CGTAATGTTTGTAGTTACCATTTTTGTTTTGTTTTTTTTCATTCTTGAAATTTTTTTTCTTTTTGTTTTTTTCGGCTTTTGGATATATTCCCGTATTTATATATATGGTTATCATCAGTATATATCTATGGATGTTTTTTTTCTCTCATTTCATCCACGCTATTTTGACCATCATCATTATCATTATCATTATCGTATGGTCATCATGATGATTTTGTACGATTCAACCACACACACACAGACGCACTCATTTATGTCACACGTTTTTCTCTCTCTCTCTCATTCTCTATTTGTATAGAATACCGGAATATGGAATTTCATTTTCTATTTGCTGTCATTGTTGTTGTTGTTGTTGTTGCTGATTCTTCTATTCATTCTTTCATTGGATTTTTTTTTGTTTCCCTTGTTATTAATTTCTGGTTTTTTTTCTCTCTTCAATATTCCTTCCATTTGTAGCCATCATCATCAATAGCATCATTGTTATTGGTTTTTAACGCCGTGTGTGTGTGTGTGTGTGTGTATGGTACCAAAATCGATAATAAAAATAATATGAAAATGGATCTCGTGACTTTTGATATTTTTCTTTTCTTCCTCTTATTGTATTTCACTTTGGATATATATATGGCTATCATACTATCCATATCTAAAGTTTTTTTTTTTGCTTTGTTTTGTTTCTTTCTTCTGTTTTTGAGTTATTTCTGGATGGATGGATGGTTCATAAATAGAACAGGGCTCTTAAAATAACATTAACAGTCATTTTTTTTCCAGCTATAAATTCTGTTCCATTATTTGTTTGTCCGTGTGTGTGTTATTTGTTCAAAAAAAAAAATATTTCACAATGCACACACACACACACACATTGAAATTGAATTGATTTTGAAGCGTTTTGGTACCACCATGGAATATGATGTTGACTATGATGATGATGTGACAAAGTTCCGTCATTTTCATATATATCACTTTATCGTATTCCATTCCAGTTGTGCGTGTGTTTAAATTTTTTTTTCAGCATATATTTGTATATTGTCATCAACATTGAGAGTTTTTTCTTTATAATTGAAAACTTTAATCATCAAAGATTGTCATCATCATCTTGCATTGTTTGAAATGGGTAGTAATTTTGTTGGTGGGTGGAGCTTCGAAATGATTATCATCATGTTGATGATTTTGTAGTAAATAAATTGGAATGGAATTAAATTTAAAAATTAAAACTCAAAAAAAAAAAAATTAACTAACAACACAAAAAAAGTGAATATTCATCTTTATTGATTTTTATTTTTAATCAATTTTATTAGTAAGAATATTCTCTGTTTGTTTATTGTTCATTGTTTTCTATGGAAGAAAAAATCAAATTCGTATGAATCGATCGTTTAGAATAATAATGAGAATTTGAACCTTTTGAAACAACATCGGTAACAATCATGATGATGATGATGATGATGATGAAAAATAATGATTCCAAATGTTTGCAACAGAATAAATAATAAAAACATTAATAACTTTGTCAATAATCGGTATATAATCAGAATTGTATTCTCTCTCTCTCTCTCTATGTCCGTGTGTGTGTGTGTGTGTTGAGACAAGTTGTTTCCACGGAAAATGAAAATAAATCTATTCATAAACTGTCTATTGCTGGATAGATTTTTTTTTCCATTTATCTTGTCTGTTGCTGCTGCTGCTGGTGGTGGTGGTGGTGGTGGTGGTGGTGGTGGTGATGGTGGTTTTTTTGTGCTATCCAATTCCAAACGTATTTTTTTCTCCACTATTTATTTATTTATTTGCGGATAATGACTACCAACAAGAATCGGAAAAATGAACAGCAAGGAAAAGGAATTTTTTCGTTCTGTTGGAATCAATTCCGATATTCAATTTCATTCTCATTCATTCATTCATTCATTGAATTTTAGATCATAACGGTTATGTTATATCGGTTAACTGGCTAACTGGTTGGCTGTTTAGTATTTTATTTTATTTTTTTATGTTTGGCTGAAGAATAAAAAAAAATGAAGAGAAACGAAAACCGATTCATCAATCGATTGATTCAATTCTTCAAAAGTAACAGAAGAACTAACACGAGTGTGCACAAAACGCACACACACACACACATTGACGTCGATGACGACAAATAGATGAATCGGTGAATATATAAAAATGAAGAGAAACGAAAACCTTCCGTCCGATTCATCAATCGATTAATTCAATTCCTTCAAAAGTAACAGAAGAACTAACACGAGTGTGCACAAAACGCACACACACACACATCATAACGGTTATGTTATATCGGTTAATGGCTGTTTAGTATTTTATTTTATTTTTTATGTTTGGCTGAAGAATAAAAATGAAGAGAAACGACGTCGATGACGACAAATAGAATATTCTTTGTTTTGTTCTTTTGTGTGTGTGTGTGTGTTTTTTTTTCACCGATTTAAGTTATGATCATTTTTTCTCGATATATTGCCTATCAATGGTGATATATTTACTAAATGCTTACTGAGTATTATATACAGTAATATTATCTAGGCGTGTTTGTGTGTGTGTGTATTCTGGTATGTTTTACTATTCTTGATTCTTGCTACTTCTTGGTTCGATTTTTTCATTTCTGGATTCCAACACACACACACACACACATAGATATATTCTGCTATGCTACTCGCTGTAAATTTGGAAGCAAAAAGAAAAAAAAAATTCACTCAAATTGCTACACATAGTCATGGGTGTTGAAAGAATCTGCGCTGAAAGAGTGAGAGAGAGAGAAAGAAAGAATTTCAAACCAATCATTCCACATTGGTTTGATAGTAGTAAATTATGGTTCGTAGCAAATTCGTCACATTTTTTTTCTATTTCTCTCTCTTTTGGTTTGTTTGTTTGTTTGTTTTCCCGCGTACACGAAAATTTTTTTTTCTTTCTTCGATTCAAAACCAATTTAATCGTTAATAACTTGTATTTGTATACAAGACTGTGACAAAAATCAACGAATAAAAATTGATAATTTTTAGCCATTTAAATCAATGTGTTTGTGGTGTTCATTCATTTTTGAAAATTTATTTGAATTGATATTTACTCACCATCATAATCGAAAAAAAAAATCACATCAAATTCGTCAATCGGTTTGTAAGTGCAAAACCAAAACCACAAATTTAAAAATTCAGTTCACCCTGTTTTTTTTCATATGACCATCTTGATTCTTTTTTTCGATTATTTATTCATTTCGATTCGATTGTGATCACAAACGATTTGTGGACAAAAAATTTGTAATTAATTTTAATTTAGTTTTTTTTTCTTTCACCAAAATTGTTGATTTGTGTCTTTGTCTGAATGTTTGTTTGTATGTGGAGATTTTTGGGATTAATTTTCTCGTTAGTATTGGCTATTTCGACACACACACACACACACAATGATTCATGATTCCAATTTGATAATAAGATTATTTTTTTTTTTTTTGGAAAGAAATAAGAAGATTGCAAGAAAATGACAAAACTGAATGTGAAATTGAGTGCAAATTAAATCAAAAAAAAAAAAAAAAAAAAATCAAACGACAAAATTTTGGTGAAAACAAAAAATAACAACAAGATTTTCTATTCCACTCTGTTTCTCATCCAATTTTCTCGACCGGAAGAAAATGATGGTGGTTGGTCGATAAATTATTCAAAAAAAAAAAAATTTTTTTTCGCCTCTGTTCGAATTTCGAAATCACGAATTTCCGTTTTTGTCACCATCACAATATTATTATTATTATCAGCATTGAATTATGTGTGGTTAAATTGAAATCAATTACTGTGTGTTTGTGTGTGATTTTTTCATTATCATTTTGTCATTTGAATTTTTTTTTCTGTTTTGACATTTGGTTGATGTAGAGGTCATTTACATACAATTAACGCGTCAATCAATCAATCAATAAACTATGAAAAAAATGATTTTTTTTGCAGTTATTGAAAACTGTAAATTTTTATTGAATTTTGATTGTTGTTTAACAATGATTGTTTGTTACCAGAATGATGCTGACAACAACCACACTATCAACATTATCATTTTTTCTTTATTGATAAATCGATCGATCTATCGATCTATCAATGAACATCATCATGACCTTCAAACAAGATCCATCTGTGTCTTTGTGTGTAAATCATGATCCATAATGATCCATATAAATAAAACAAAACAGAAAAAAATGAAATTTGAAAAATCCAAAAATATAAATTCAATTTTTCAATAGGAAATCTAATTTAATATTCCGGAAATAACCGAAAAAACGGATGTTTTTTTGGATTCTGTTTTTTTTCTTTCTGTAATACTATCCTGGAATTTTTCTTACCGTTTTTTTTGGCAAATAGAATTGCCATTTTTCAGTTGTGTGTGTGTGTGTGTGTGCGCTGTTTCATTGGTAGCTGTAAAACTTTTAAATTAGATCTTGAAATAAATCATGTCATTCTTGATTTTTTTTTTGGCCAAGTGTTTAATATTGCAGTACAGCCATAAATTCTGTGTCTCTGTGTGTGTGTGTGTGTGTGTGTGTGTCCAATTACATCACACTGGTTGCGCTGTTGCATCATATAAATTCTGTATAACTGAATTTAAAACTCAAAAGATAAAAGTTTCATTCATTTAGAGTGTGGTGAAAATTAAAAAAAAACGAATAATTTCCAGTACCGTAATTTGTTTTTTCTTATTTTTCTTTTCTTAGAATACTTTGTTTTTGTTTCTTGAATGGATTGATTCTTGTTGTTTTGATTTAACCTATCATCATTGTTAACGGTAACTGTATCCATCCGTTTTATCCGAATTCTTTACAGGTTTGTCTATCCATAAATATATGACATTTAGTATTTTCAATCTTGAATCAAATTTGTTAATGTTTTTTTTTGTTTCCACACACACACACATACACAAAGAGCATGAATCATACAAGTCATCACCATCATCATCATCATCATCAAACACATCATACACATCCGATATCAGCAACAACAACAACAACAACAACAACAATAACAACGACAACAACAACATCATCATCATCGTCAGAGCTTCATATTACAAATAATAATGATTATTATGGCAATAATAATGATAATAATTATAAAATGAACGGAACTGATCATGAAATATTGGAATTATTATTGGGACCAGTTCGTGATCCATTGGGTACTGTATTACCAATGTCAATATTATATATTGTTCTATTAACCACCGGTACCATTGGCAATGTTTGTACTTGTATTGTGATTGCACATAATCGTTATATGCATACGGCAACAAATTTTTATCTATTTTCATTGGCCATTTCCGATCTATTATTATTGATACTTGGCCTGCCACAAGAGCTATTTTTATTATGGCAAAAATATCCATACATTTTTGGTGAATTTTTTTGTCTTGTACGTGGCCTATCATCAGAAACATCGACAAATGCATCAATATTGACCATTACGGCATTCACTGTTGAACGTTATGTTGCCATTTGTCATCCATTAAAATCACATACAATGTCACAATTACCACGAGCTATTAAAACAATATTAGTGATATGGGCTGTTAGCGCTATTTGTGCCTTGCCTGTAGCATGGCAATTTGGTATCATTTTCATGGTAAGTAATATATCGATATTTATAAATAAATGGAATGGTATATATTGATGACAGAAAAAAAACTACAGATCCATATTATTAGAATTCATGATGATGATGATGATGATGATGATGAATTTTCTTTTTCTTTGATTCGTACTATTGATTTGATTTGTTCCGTTCCATGGTGGTCATCGCCAGGGAGCCAGGAAGTAACGACTGAAAAGAAAAACAATTTTTTTCTGTTGTTCTTCCTTTCAAAAATAAATAAATAAATAAACTAGAAATAGAAATGAAAAACATTTCGTTTTACTTCACCAATCTATAAGACATTTGGATTTATATTTTTTTTATTCTGGTTTTTATTTTTATTTTTTTTTTTTTTGTTTTCCTGTCTGTCTGTCTGTGTTGCCATCACATTGGTGATGGTGAAAGAATATTCTATTGAATGTGTTTCATAGGAACATCTTCAATGATGATGATGTAATGACTTTTCTGGCAAATTTTTATTTTCTCTTTCGCTCATTCTAGTCCGATAATTAATTGTACCCATCATCATTTTATTATTATTGTTGTTATTATTCTTGATGTTTTTTTTTTTTTTCTCTCTCTCTATGGTTAGAGTTATATTTCCCAATTCAATTCAATTCATTTCATTCCATTCATTAGTGGTGGTGAAGAGACAACAACAACAACAACAACAAAAAGATTCAGAATCCCATTGACCGGCTTTTTATTTTTTTTCCCTCACTCATCTAATAGCCATCCAAATAAATAAAAAAAATGTCATTTTGTTGTTGCAATTATTGTCGTTGTCGTTTTTTTTGTTGCTCTCGATGTATTTCATGTCTTTGTTTATCGGTGACAACAACAAAACAAAAAAACGGATCACCATAGGATTCGGTATATATATATTTATGAACGTATTTCAAGAGTGTGGAAGATGAGTTTTTTTTGTTGTTGTTGTTGTTGTTGTTCTCTTTAGATTGACAATCGTTATTGCTACATGGTTAAAAAATGTGGAATTCAAAATGAAAAGAATGTAATAATAATAATGATGATGATAATATAAACTAGACATTCTTGCCCCCCGAACAAATAAAAATAAAAACAAGTCATTCAGTCATTCATTTCAATTTTTTTTTTAATAGAATGATTCGAGTTCAAGTTTTATATATGAAAAGATTTTCATCATCATCATCATGATCAACAGCAACATGTCATGTCTTGTTTTCTATTTAGTTAATTCAATTATTATGATGACGTATTACACATATAAGATGATGATTTTGTTTCATTTTATTTTTCTTTTTTTTTCTCCCAAATTTTATGATCCTGATATGAATATATCTACAATAATAATGTGTTGATAATCAATTTGTCCGCGTGTGTGTGTGTGTGTATGTGTTAATGTACATTTAATCAAATCAAATTGAATCGATTAAATACTGCATTGATTTAGATCAATAAATCGAAAACATTACGAAACATATCTCGTCAATGTGGAATGAAAGTTGTTTATATTGAATATGGTTTCGAAACATCGGCAATCGTATTCTTTTTGGTACCAATTACATTGATTACCGTTTTATATGTATTGATTGGCATTAATCTACGTCGTAGTTCACAACAACATCAAAGTATCATATTGACAGCGACAACAACAAATCGTGATCATTATCAACAACAGAATAATCATCATCATTCGAATCATCATTATCTATTTGCAAAAAGTACAAATGATCAACAGAATCAATTGTTACCAATGCATTCAACATCAATATTAAAATCATCATCATCGGCACGTGAATTATCGACAACGACAACGACGACGACGGCGACTACTACAACAACAACAACAACAATGAATTATAATTTAAATCAAAAAGGTTTAAATAATAATTCGAATGTTAATCAAAATTCGAATCAGAATTTACAAACAAATCATCAACCATTATCGACAAATCATCGTTCAAGTATTCTATATCAACGTAATAATTCCATTTCAAGCTCGTATCAGAAACAGATTGCCTCAAGAAGATCGGTCATACGAATGTTAGGTAAGTTTGAAATGAAATTGAATGGATTCAATGAAATGAAATAATTTTTGTTTTTTTTTCATTCATCCATATCATCATCCTCGTATCATCCATAATTATTGCAACATTTGTTTGGTTGTGTTTGTGTGTGTGTGTTGTTTATTTATTTATCATCAATGTCCACGAATATTAAGTGGCCGTTGTAATAGCCTTCTTTTTTTGTTATTCACCATTTCATGCTCAACGTGTTTTGGCTACATCAATGCATCGTTATAAAATTAATTCACCAACAATACATTATGTTTATGTATTATTGACACATATATCGGGTATTACCTATTATCTATCGGCAACAATAAATCCAATACTTTATCAACTAATGTCAAGAAAATTTCGTATCGCATTCAAAGATACATTTGGTAATTGTTGTCCTTGTTGGCGGCGTTCAATGCCCGACATAACTTATATGAATATTGTTGGACCAGCTAGCGTGTGGTGTTGGTGGTTCATCATATCACCTGAATCGTATACCATCATTTCAGAATAATTATTCATTTCGTCGACCATCAAGTTTCACAAATATTGATCATCCATCACAACATTTACGTAATTATTCATCAATGAAATCTATACATTCATTTGATCCGGTTGTAATGTCATCAACAACAGGCACAGCCATTGTTGGTGAACCAACACCACCACGAACACCTTCTTCGGTGTTGACGTTTCGTTTGGATTGTCAAGAAAATGAATTAACAACTGATTCATTATCCACTTCAACAACAACAATGAGAAAAAATTCCGATCAAACAACAATTGTGGTTAATAATGTGGATAATAGTAGTAATGTCAATGTTGCATTAACAATTCAAGATAATAATAGTAGTGAACAATCAAAATCATCACAGAATTCCACAACAAGACCATTGGTTAAATTTAAACAATTTCTTGAAGTACCTTCAGTAAAATTCTAGATCAAACAACAACAACAACAACAAAAAAAGATAACACAATCATTTCAATCTGACAACATGCATTCATCCATGCACAAAACATTGAACAATAAATGAAACGCTTCACTGATTCTCGTGGATATGTATAAGCGACAATTTTGGAATCATCTAAAATGAATCGGCCAAATTTTTAGCAAGAATCGACAAAAAAACAAGACCAATCCGATCCGAACGATCGACCAAAATTATTTTTCCTCGTGATTTATTCATCAATGATGGTCTAGGGTAATTTTTTTTTTTTTCCATTCAATTTGTTATTCCATGGAAAACTAAACAAATCTCTTGCTATTTGATTCTACGAAATTCTAGCCTCTGTGTGTGTGTGTGTGTGTGTGTGTGAAAAATAGCACGAAGAAATAGATTTTCTTTGGTGAAAAAAAAATACAAAGAAAGAACGATTTTCGATTCATTTGCTTTTTCCAATGATTTTAAGGTGTTTTTCTGTGTTGCCTTCGGTATGTGTGGCTAATTCTTGGAATTTTCAAACAGGCATTATATCGGGAAAGAAAAAAGCCGGATTATTTTTTAACATGACAATTTTAGTTAATTTCTCGTTCACTATAGAGAACAAAAAAAAAACAATGATAATCGAATCACAATCGTTGGAGCAATACGAGTTTGGAATTTGAAATTTTGTTTTTTTTCTCTTCTTCACTCTGTTTCTCATCATTATTTGATTTTCATTTACTATCATCACATATGTATTCTGTGCATTCATTTTTCTCGCTTTCTCTCTCTCACACACACACACACATACACATTCAATCATCATTTTAAATGAAATAAAATGATGATAATCGAAAACAAACCGAAGTTGTTACAAACACCCACACACACACACACATTCAAAACGTCGATACATAACAATGTTTCAAAAAATTCAATGAAATTTTATCATCATTCTGGAACTTTTTTATATATTCCGGAAAACTTTTTTTTTGTTGTATCATCATCATCATCATCATCATTATGATCAAAACGAATTGAATGATTCGTGAAGAATAAAAATTTGTTTCTACACAAATACAAGACGACAACGTCGACACTTTTCATATTTTCATATTTTATTTTCATTCGTTTGATTCTTCATCGTTATTGTTTTGTCGTTTTTTTTGGTTGTCACATCAACAACAACAAAGTTATTTTTTTTGTCATATTTCTTTTCATTGAAAAAAATTTGTTTTTCGTTCCTGTTCATTGCCACAAAACAAACAAACACACACACACACACACTATACACACATATTATGGTAAATGATGACGATGATGATGATTGTACACTGTTCAAATTACCATTAACTTTTTTTCATTCATTCATTCTCTCACTCTCTGTGTGTTTTTCTTTTTTTTCATTTGAAAAAAAATATTCATAACATTCAATAATAACACTTATGTAACCAACAACAACAACGAACCTTTTTCATTTTTTTTTTATTTCTCAACATATATAACATTAAAAAAATGCAAAATATTATGGAAATAAAAATCAAATTTGTAACACATTTTTTTTCTTCTGTTCATTTGAAATTTGTTTTTGGTGTAATGAATTCACTATGATGATGATGATCAGAATGGTGGGTATTTTGAAAAGAAAAAAAAAATTTTTTTTTTTTTTTTTGGTGTTTTGAAATAAGATTTTTTATTTCATTCATTCATTATCGATGGTATCGTTCATCATATATTCGGATCGATTGTTTTTAGTTTTTACGCCTGATTCCAAAAAAAGAAAAAATTCCTAATGAGAGATTGTTTTTTTTCTCGTACTTTCTTATTTCCTTTTCATATATTCAATCAAATCAAAGAATGGAATATACATGGCAACCGTAACTTGTGTTTTTTTTTGTTTGTGTGTGTGTGTGCATATGCATGTGTTTCATGGTTTTTCTATTCATTTGTTTGTTTTTGTCTAAAACAACAACAACAACAACAACAAAAAAATTCATTGAATGAATTAAACAGTGCACATAAAACAAGAGATGTGTACAATGATGATGGAAGAATGAGAAAAAAAAATTAATTACAAATTACAAAGCCGGTATATATGAACAACAGCAACGAAAAAAATATTCTCCAGAAAAAAAGCAAAACAAAAATACAAATCACAATGGAAACTGGGGGAGAAAAAAAAAAAACAGAAAAGAATCGCTCGATTCATTGTGTACCAACAATAAATGTTGACAAATTCAAATTCATTTTTTTTCTCTTTAATTCATTCTTTTGTTTTTTTTTTGTGTGTTCTATTTGCATCATCATAATTTTTTTGTGTCATGACAAACAAGTCTCACGGATTTTTTTTTAAGTCTTTTGTTTTCCACTTTATCATCATCATCTATGTTCCATAGACTAAGGATTAGATTTTTTTTCTGCTCTTTTTTTTTACTGGAGATAATAAATCAAGAATAACAAAGAATTTATAGGAAAATTGTTTAGCAAGATTAAATGAAAAATATATAAAAGATTTCTATAGTTCTATAGTTATCGTTTATTCTGTTCACTTTCATAATTATCATTATTATGATTTTCAAATGGAACAATTCATATATAGTGGAAACGATAAATAATTGGTAGGGCAAAAAAAAATAGCGGATGGTTACCGGCACCCTATGATGCCACACACAAACATACACACACACACAGCATGACAAACAAGTCTCACGGGTCTTTTGTTTTCCACTTTATCATCATCATCTATGTTCCATAGACTAAGGATTTTCTCTCTTTTTTTTACTGGAGATAATAAATCAAGAATAACAAAGAATTTATAGGAAAATTTTAAATGAAAAATATATAAAAGATTTCTATAGTTCTATAGTTATCGTTTATTCTGTTCGCTTTCATAATTATCATTATTATGATTTTCAAATGGAACAATTCATATATAGTGGAAACGATAAATAATTGGTAGGGCAAAAAAAAAAAATAAAAAATAGCGGATGGTTACCGGCACCCTATGATGCCACGCACAAACATACACACACACAGCGGATTCTTTCAGCGGGTTTTCATTTTTATTCTCTTCATTGTTTCATTTCCATTTGCATTTATTGTTGTTGTTGTTGTTGTAAATTCTTGTTGATAATTATCATCATTCATCCACCATAAGCCAATGGGGTGGATTCCATTTTCCAAACAGATAAAAAAAATATGGCCAATAAAGAAAAAGATCAAGATATGTGGAAATAATAATTAATAATAACCATAATATGACAATTTTCAAATGTATTTGTGATAAAACGAACCAAAATATATATGTGTAATTTAATTCAATTATATATATAATGACAAAATGATGAAATTATCAGCAATCATAACAATAATAATAATAATAATAAATGATTTGAATGAAAAAGAAATGTTTTCGTTGCAATTTTTGTTTTTGTTACTAAAATTCCTAACAAAACGAGAAAAAACAATTGATGAATTCTTGGAAAATTTTCTTTTCCCCATTTGATTCTTGAAGTTCGTGATGGTGATAATATTGGTGTTTTTTTCTTGCAGGTGAATTATAAGAGGGAAAATGTTATCATTATTTCAAAATTGGATTATTTTGTTTATTATGTTTTTTCATCATAATCGTTATATATTGTGACATTTTGTCTTTTCATCTATGTTTGATGTTTGATATTTGTTTTGATGATTGTTATTCAAGTCCACAGCATTTGTTCCATAATGCTTTCGGATATTGATTATCTTCATAGTTTAGTCCTTGATAATTGGCTGGTGTATTTTATTTATTTTTTTTTTTTTTTTTGGCAATGATGAGTTTGTAGAGAAAAAAAAAGTTTTTCCATAGAAAAATCAAGAATAAAAAAAACGGAATAAATTCATCGGAAAAAATGAACGAAAAATAATAATAATTACCTCGCCAATTACCGATGCGAACATTCATTTTGTTCAAATCATCCAAAGAAAAACGTGGGATAATCATTTTTCGTTGAAATTTTGGATGTTCCACTGTTTCATTGAATCGTTGATAATCGATTGGCGTCCATATTATACCATCGGGTGAATAAAAATATGCAGGACGATCATAATCGATGGCGAAAAATTTTCCCGTTGCCAATTCGAATCCTTCAAATGAATCAATCGATCTACCAACAATATGCCATGCATTTCCACCAGAATCCGAATAATAACACAAATAATGGCTATGAATGGTTTCAAAAAATAAAATGTCAAAAATGATCACCAAAAAAATTAATGAAAATTATCATAATTTATAATAAGATAACTACTACTACTATCTTCATCTTTACTCATCAGCTGACACTTTTAATCAGCTGGTGAGTAAAGAGAACTAAGAAAAAAAAAGAATAAAAAACCTTCACTTACTTGATATTTGAAGTAGCATCACAAAAGTAAATAATATTCGTATATGGATCAATGGATATATGGCGATTCTTTATTGTAGTATCATCCGTATAATGAGTTTGAAATTCGAGTGCTGCCAAAAGAAAATGGAAAAAAAGAGAGATAATAGAAAATTATATGACAAAAGTTTTTCTTATTTTTTTTTCTCTCCAAATCATCATTCTCTTCATCATAATCATTATATGATTCCGAAGAAAATCGAAACACAAAAGTATTAATAGAATCATCAAAAGCAAGAGAGAGAGAGAGAGAGAAAAAAACAAATTAACTTACATTCAGTCGATGCTGGCCTAGTGGATGATTCCAATTCTTTTAGATAACAGCCATATAGTTCAAATTTGACAGCTAGATATTGATTATGAATATTGCCTTTGGAATTGGAATCGATTTTCTGTTTCTTCGTCATTATTGTCGTCGTTGTTTTTGTTGTTTTTGAACTTGAAACACTATCTATTATTATTCGAATTAAACGAGCTTCAATTGGCCACTGTAACCTTGATTCACCAATCGCTTTGATATTTTGATCATCAACATTATTGTAGAGGATTTTTGTTGTATTCGTTCCTTGATACCAAACTTTGCCATCAAAACTATAATCCAAATGATATGTATGTATACTACGTTGATTTTTGATTGATTTGAATTCTATTGATACTAGACGTGTTTTTTGTCGAAAATCTATCTGAATATAATTTTGTCCATTATTCAATGCTTGATTTGGATGGCCATGACGCCAATTACGCCATGCTGGTGACCACCATGATGATGATGATGATGAATTTGGCCGTGCAAATTTTGGAGCAAAACGTTGAGCAATGGCCGATGATGCTGTTATCTGATCATCATGTATATGGCCATCTAACATTCCCAATGGATTATTGCATTCTAAATGATGACAACAAACAAACAAATGAATCGGAAATAATGTCAATATAAATGTGACATGATAATAATAATAATAATAATGATAAAAATAAAATTATTGACAACATTAATTCAGAAAAAGATTACATTGTGTATATGTGTGTGATTTTTTTTTTTTTTTTTTGGTTTACTTGTTTGTTTGCTTGTGAATAATAATAATTTTCAAAGTTTTCACGATTTTTCTATATATGTTTACTTTTTGGACAAATTTTTTGTTTTGAAAACAAACAACTTACCAGTACTATGTGTTCGATAATTCATATGTTTCATTTGGCTACAGGGAAATTTTGTATCACTAGATACACGAAAATGTTGACACATCATACGAAATGGTGTTATAATTGACAGCTCTTTATGACCATAACCACGTATATTACGTGGATCAATTTGTATGGTAAAATTGACAATAAATTGTTCATTAAATAAAATCCATGGAAACTAATAGAACAAGAATTGAAAAAAAATGAAAAAACAAAATTATTAGTCTTGTTTTTGTCAAATTAAAGATAATCCAATTATTTTACCAAAATATCCGTAGATCCATCGGCTAATCGCTTCAATTTTGGCAATTGTCTTGTATTGGCCCAATTAATTCCGCTTATTTCAACAAAATCCGGTGTAAACAAACGCAATACTGGATTAGATGGTTCGGCATTTGAATCCGGTAAATGTCGAATGGTCGCCATCACTGTAAATGTTTCATTTCGATCCAAAACAGGCATTCGTTTTTTATAACGAATGTTGACATCTAATTTTGGATTGGGTCCTTCACCTTCGGACAATCGAATTTTTGCCTCCGTACGAGTGGTAATCGTATTGGTTAAATTGCCATAATGGGCTTCAAATTCCAATCGATAGACATCATTTTCGGTCAATGAAGGATGATCGGTTAGTTCGGCCAATACTTCGATTGTTAAAACATCGGCATCATCATCATTATCATTGAGTGCACTGTTTGTCATGTTACCGATGTCATTATTATTATCACTGTCAAGATTTTGATCTTTTTCACTATTATTATTATTATTGTCATTGTTATTGTTGATGTCAATATAATAAGTGTAACCAAAATTGGCAAACCAGCCAAGCTCCGCATTGATCAGATTTGTTTGATTAATATTAACGGTTGAATTCAACCGAATTTGTGGTTCATTATCCAATGGACAGGGAATATTAGCTCCACCATGAACTAATCGTAGATCATAAAGTACAATATAAGCACGATTCTCATCTGTTTGACCACGAATAGTGACTGATAGTTTTCCAGTAGAATATACAGGAATTCGAATTCTAAAAGGGATCCATTTTCGTTGTCGAATTTTGAAACCAATACCTTCACGACGATCATTCCATTTGGCTAGTATAACCCGTGCACCTTCGGTAATGGGAAAATGGTCCGATATTTGTTGCTGGTGAGCAACGGAATTATTTCCTGCTTCATTAGGGACTACTGTAAGAGCTAATTCATTTTTCGTTTCCAATGGCCGTTGATAATGACCAATCAGTACAGTTCCAGAGACAATAAATGGTAATGAATCGGAAACGATTCTGTCGGACGAATTGCAAATGCCAACCTCAGCAAATTGTCATTATTATTTCCATTTTCAACAGAATCATTATGGTTTTGTTGTTGTTGATTATTCAAATCAGTGTGGCAAATCATTCCCAATTCAAATTGATTAGGTTGAACATTCAATGACAATGGTGAATAGCATGGATAATTTCGGCCCACTTTAATGAATGCAGCATTACACATTTTGTATGAATTCGATCGATCCATAGCAATCGTCAATTGAGTCTGGTGATTTTTTTCAAGTTCAATATCAAAATAGAAAAGCTTTGGTCGTGTATGATGAATCAATTTATTGTTACCATGAGGTCTGAGTATCACTTTACGAGGTTCGGACAATTTTCGCCGGCTAATTTCCATTGATATATCATCATTCGCATTTGGTTTCGATCCCACCGGTATTATTATTTGTTTTGTAACGGTAATGTCTTTGTGGCCATAAATGACTTTGATACTTATGGTTTGATTACTATTCTCAGCCTGGTCTAACATTCTAATCATGGCCATAAATTCGATACTATTATCATTACGTTCATCGCGTTCAGATTTTCTCCTATGATTACCAAAATTAGTTATCATATCCAATTGTAGTACGGCTCGTTTGTTAATGCCAAATGTTTCAAATGCATATTCAGCTTTTTGATTTGCTTCAACACAGGGTAGATTATATCCAATTCTATGAATCCATAGGCCACATACTGAAATGGCAGAATTTGGATCATCATCATCACCACCAATTTCAATACGTAATGGGCCAATTGTATTCGGTCGAGTCAATGTACGAATGAGAATGTTTGTTGAAAAACCAGGCAGGATAAATGTATCAGTTTCGTTGAATAATTCAGCATCTAAATCGATTGACATATCGGCAGCAATCGTTTCGGGTAATAATTCTGAAATGTTTAAATTTATTTGCTCCGATTTGATGATGTTATCTTGGATGTTTGAGGCTGAATTTGAAATTATGTCAACTCGAATTGGATATTGCTTTGGTGACTGTTGTTGTTGTTCACTGTCGCCATTATTTGCTCCAGAATCAGCAATCATGATGGCAAAATTTGTCAAAATTTTCTGTCTTACATTCGAACCGTTTACGACTGAAATTGATCCAAAATCGATTCTTGCTCGATCATATGGCCGAGTATTTATTTCGTTTTCTTCTTTTGACATTTTTCTATTATTATAGCCATAAACAATTTGCTTTTCATTGATGGTTTCTCGTTCCACACAAGTGCATGGCATCGTTTCAGCCACTCGTATGACAGAAAATCGACAGATTTTCAAATCAGGTAAACTATCTGCAGCTGTTGCCATATCGGAACTGATTGTTATAAGAAAATCTTCAAAAGCAGCATTCGGTTCGAATTCTAATTCTACATCAACTGCTGCGCCTCCTAAAACAATCAAATCTGACCATTTTACTGAACTATTTGTCGACAATTCGATATTCGATGATGATGATGAAGTTTCATTATTGCCAATTTCATTAGACAAGATGTTTAGTTGATTATTCATGATCATCAATGGTTTTGTTTCGTATCCGCTAGTCACTTGAATATGTTCTGGTTTTATTGAATATTCTATTTCAAAGGTTGAATGAATTAGTTTGAAGTCTATATAAAGATTTTAAAGTCTAGAAAAATGAATACTTACCACCAGGTTTGACATGACTATCAAACGGTAATCGGAATGTAATCTCGGCAACTAAATCATTATCATCCAATAAAAATGGATTCACTAGACGGATAAAATTTATTCGTCCAAAACGAAAAAGAAATTTATTTTTTTCTAAACGTTGTGGTTTCAAACTTATTGGATTAGTATACGGTATGTTGATACCATTTTCTTGATACAATATTCTAGCTGAACAAGGTATGAATGGAAGTTGTGGTGTTCCCATTCCATCAATGGTGATAGCATAATCGGTAAAGACATTTTCATCTTTGAAATCACGGAATTTAGATAGAATTTTCAACTGTGTCAAACCGCCTTTGGTCAAATCGTGCTGTGTGAAATTGGCAGCAGATCCAATCATAAATGATTGCAAACGTTCGTTATTATTTCGACCGACAATAGTTATGTTGAATATTCGGGTAAAATAGCTACGTTTAGTGATAAAAATATCCAATTGAAACGAAATATTTCTGCCAATATTTTCCTCAAAATTCATTGCATAAACTGGAAAACTAAAACTGATAACATTATCCGGATTTTTCATAAATAACCGAGATTTTTCTCCATTGTTGGTGACTGTATTCATATTTAGTGTACTAAATGTATATGATTGCATTGTTGCACTTAAATTTCGATAACCAATATAATGATGTGGTGAACTAGGCATTGTTACATAATTCGATCCAAACTTGGTAACACTTATCAATCCTAACGATAACCTGTTATCCGGTTCATATTCATAAGATGTTTTATTCAATTCAATGCGGACCGGATCAGAACGAAACTGAAAATTGGCATCGAATCGAAAAATCGCTGCACTATCCAAAGCAATTTTGTTGGTTCTTCAACAATGTCTACTTCACAGAAAACCTGATCATCTTTCTGTTGACAAACAACAGAAAATAGGCAAAAAAAAAACAAAATAAAATATATTTCATACATGTTTGTGGCTATACTTACATTCAAAACTGAAACAGTTGTGATTTCCGATTCAGCTACATATGTAAAACTTCCTTTCGTATGTTCCATACCAACAATAAGTGAATGTTTTTTCTTAGCTCTTCGTGGTTTACGAAATAATATGACCGAAAAACAAATGGACAATTCATTTCGATCTTGACCATTGTTTTTAATAGTACCAAAATCCAATGTCAACCGATTATACTATACAATTCGTTCGTACAAATGGTAATTGATTTTGAAAATTTTAAAATTAAAAAAAAAATTTCAACAATACTTACGACATTGGCGGTTTTATTTGATAGAATAAATTTTGGTTCTGGTATGTTAAATTGCATGTCATTAGTTTCATATGGCATTGAAAAATTATATAATGATAATGATGAACGTTTAACACTTAACGGAGAATCTAATGTCTGTATATCCAATACAAGATCACTTGAACCTTTTGGGAATCCAATATCTAACTTGTAATGTATTGAACTTCCAACTTGTAAGGAACTTGTTTCACCAGCCACTGTACGTAGACGAAAATTTATACCATTCAATTCTAGTCCATCATCATTTGAACTCAACGCAGACAATGATGATGGTGATGATGAATCATCCGATTCAGCTGATGATGCAGATTGTCGTTTGATACGGTCCAATTGATTTTGAATATTAACAAATATTGTCAACGTTCGAGATGAATTTTTATTTCGATAATAATAATCCCCAATGGTTTTCAATTCATTCCAATTTGGATTCATTGCTATGATCATCAATTTGTAATGTTGTTGTTGTTGATAATAATGATCCAATGGTTTATTGTCAATTAATTTTGGTTTATTGATGAAAATTTCACCAGTTGTTGAATTGATTCGAAATATTTCTTGTTCATCCTGTTCAATGATTTCATATTGAATCTGTGCACAAGTACAATTTTCAATATTTAAACCAACACAATCATCATTATGAATATCATCATCATATGCATGAGCCTTAAATATTGGTCTATGATGATGGATCGTTTCTTTTTTCAAATAAAGATTGATTATTTTTTCCGAAAAATATGGCTCATGTAAATCATCTGTGTGAAAATCAAAAGAAAAAAAAATGATAAAAAATTTTCATCATATCAAGTGATTCTTTCATTCATTCATATTCTATTCATTCAAAAAATGTATATAGAAATAAGACAGAAAAAAAACCTGGTAAAAAAAAAATTGTCATCTCAAATTTTATTGCTTACCAAATTGATCGCAATGTGATCCATGCCAACATGGCATACATTTACAATAACTGTCACCATTCTTTATTCCATTATCATTATCGATACAATCACCATGGATGCAAATATTACCATTCTTACATGATGATGATGACTTTGCATGAACAAAATGACAATGAAAAATTGTCAACAATATTAAAATAAAAATGACTAAAGTAGCAAAATAATTTCTTGATAACATGATGATTATTGGTTGAAATCAAAAACCTAAATGAATGAAACAAAAAATAACAACAATGACAATATATGATTTTGTGATCAACCATTATCATCATCATTGAATTTAATAAATTCATATTGACGTAATTAATCGCGTTGCTTAGATGCATGTTCCATTGTGGAATATTGTGGTTGGTTTTTTTTTTTTTTTCCTAAATAATTCAAAGAAATGCAATCACAATTATGAAAACTGTTTCATGTTTTTTGTTTTCAAATAGTTAGCTGTCCAATTTGGACCATTTTGGATTTATTAGGATAAATTATTTAGAATGAAAAGAAAAATCTCTGGTCCGTGTGTGTGTGTATGTGTGTGTTTTGGTGTGTTGGTATTTGGAAATTGTCCAGTGTAAAAAAATGTCATACATTGATTTTATCGTTTTTTTTTGTTTTTTTATGTTTATATATGGGTTATATATGTTTATGTTTGGTTTACATTCATAATTCATTCATTATAATCTTTTTTTTCTCTGTTTGTAGATATTATTTTTTTTTTGTATGGACAGTTAATAAATGGCTAAAAAGATAATTACCAAAATTGATTCGAAATAAATATATATATGAATCTCATGAAAATGGATGAAGTAAAATCTTTCGGTGATAAAATAATAATGAAAAAAAAATTTCAATAAAAATAGATAATTGTTATAGTGATCATGACCATGAATACATGAATGATGGATGATGAATAATGGTTAAATTGAAATCCAATTGATGATGATGATTTCGATGAAACTGACGGTGTAAATGGATAGAAAAAATCAGCCGGTAATTCAACACGAAATGAAGGTGCCGGTGCATATTTCGGCACAAATGGTTCGCTTATGTCTATAAAGTTTACGTATGTACGTAAATCGATCGTTAAATTACAATCATCATTATCATTATCCACATTATTATTCGATGATGTACATTTGTAATTTAAAATGGATTTCTTTCGTACAATTTCCACGCCAATCATTCGATAATGGATTTGATCGATACGATTAATGAAAAAATTGTACATTAATTCGGTAATTATTTCTTCTGTACATTGTAAATGATTTTTATAATGATTAGTCTGACTATTTTTATTATTTTTATTATTATTCATTGATAAAATAGTGGAATTTATTTCTCGTATTAATGGCCGAATCCAAACTATAGAAGTATCATTTTGGATTAAATCCAATCTAGTCGGTGGATATGATCCGATAAATAAATAGCTTGAATTATTTGTTCGATTATCATCATCATCATTATAGTCGAAAAAATCCAAATATTTACCAACACTAGATTTGATGACCGTGCATGACACTGATTTTGTTGTTTGTTGTCGTTGTTGTTGATTATCGGTTTTATTCACAGTCATCGTTTTCATAATTTTATTCAATGATAAACGACATATTTCATAACGATTCCAGCCAAATTTCAAAATTGAATCGGCAATTTTTTCATCATGATCACATAAACCTTTTGCATAGGTACCAAGAAGAAAATTTCTTTTTTCAATTCGATGAAAAGTATGGTTTTGATCGATTCGTATGAATTTGATTTCCTGACCATATTTATAACCTTTAGTTGTGGGCCGATTCTGTAACCAATTTTCATCATTATCATCGGTTAATGATGTTTTTGTTATTGTTGTTGGTAATTTCCTTCCAAACCAACGGAATGTTACATTGAATTTTTGTTGAATAAATTTTCTAGATTGCAAATAAATGGCCGAAAAATTGCTTATTGAAGGCAAATCGATTTGGCCTATCCATATTTGTATTCGTCTTATGCCCTGTATACCTTCATGCCATACTAAATAATCAACTTTTTCAACAACATTATGGCAAATTTTTGTTTCAGAATCGTAATATGGTTGTTCATAATGTTTTCCATCCGTTTCTATTCGAACAAATTTATAGCTACTATTATTTGAACTGGTGTTGAATTTCTCAGAATTAATAAATGTTTGATATATAAAAACATTTGGCTGTAGATAGGTTCGATAATCGAAAAATTGATTGCCGGTACAATCTTCGGCTAAATTCGTTGGAACAATACGAAGACAAATCGATTGATAATCTTTTAAATATTTCACTATTTCAAGACGGCCACTACAAACATCCATTCGATTATTGATGTTGTTAAGACTATTGATTGAAATGGGTAATTTCCAATGGTAATATTCTAGTATGGTATGATTTTTTTGTTGCTTCTGTTTTTGTTGTTGATTACTTAATGTCCGAAAACGGAAACGAATTATCGGAGAACCGGATTTATATTGAACCAATGATTGGATTTTAGTTATATTTTGTATTATTCGTTGTTCATAATCATCATCATCATCATCATCATCATCATTATCATCATTGAAAATGGATTTCATTGGAACCACAATTTGACCAAATCGAAATTTATGTTTTGATTCTATTCGATCTAATTGATTTCTTTCAATAATAATCGGTTGATGGACATATGATTGCCGTCGGAAAGTATTTTCTTTGGCCAAACATAATAATGGTGATGATTGATAGAATAATTGCTTTTGATTACCGTTATTATTGTTAGTAGAGTGTAGACACATTGATAATGATGGAATCTCGGATATGTCCGATATGAATTTGGATTGTTCAAATTTCAAACATTGTCCAAATGAATAGCGATCAATTTCTGTACAATTTAGATCACAACAGCAATCTATGTCACAATAGTCCAGAATAGAATCGCATTCACAACCTTTTGAATTGTTGGACCATTTAGCAAGAATTTTTTCAAATTCTTCACGATATCGTATAAATTGTTTATCATTTTTGTTTAATTTTGCTTGATCATCTGTAATATTATTCAAATTCGTAGAGGTAGTAGCAATGTTTGATGGCTCCAAGGCAAATAACAGCGGTATATGACCATCGATCAAAATTAAATAAATTGTGATGAATGAAATTGAAAATTTCGAAATTGCTTCGATGGACAGTTTTTTCATATTGTCAAATTTGCTATTTAGATGATGATTAATGAGTTTCAACACCGAATTTCTCAAAATCTTTCAGTACAATATTTAGATCAAGACAAACGATGCCCATCGTTTCTGTATGCAATTTAAAACGTTGTTCATGTGAATATATTAACCATTCTTCGGTCAAATGCAACGATTCACCATTGAATATATTGGCCAATCGATCGATAATGGAACCGATTGGACGCCAAGTATGACAACAAATTTGTTTAGAACCCGGTTGTGATGGAATGTTTACCACACCGTAACTGATTAACGATGTCTGTTCGAAAGAATTTCGATGCCAAACTTCAATCAATAATTTTGGCCAACCTGAATTAGAATTGAAACAATGATTGATCGATATAATAATGTGAATATTCAATGAATGCAACTATTTTTTTAATGAATTTACCTTGAATTCCTTTGGTTACTAGATGTAAATCGATTGGATGTGACCAGCAGATGAAATTATTCGACGATGATGATGATGATGATGATGATGATGAAGAGCCGTCAACTTGTGTTTGTCCTTCAGCTATACCTTCGAGAATTTTCCAACCAGATCCTAACCAACGTATAATGGATATGAATCATTATATTATACACAATTCAATTCATCCATTGACTAATGCTTACCAATAATCAATTTCCATTTACAAAACAATGAATTTTCATTGAAATTTTTACCACCGGTAATTTGTCCAATCAAAAACACTTCAGCCATTCGGCCATTGATATTTTTTCAATTCAAATAGTTACTCAACTCACAATTTCATGATAAAGATGTTTAGAAAATTTATTTCTAAAATCTATATATATTTGTATTATTCCAATGAATGTTTGAAATGGAAATCAAATACAAAACATAACGGATGGTTACCATGTCAACCTGAATTTGTATTTCCAACCATAATGGTAATAATAATCATATCGACCAAACCTTTTGTGTTTTGTGTGTGTGTGTCTGTGACATAACCTTCAGCTGTTAACAACAACTATTAATGCTGATTATGCATATATGTTCCACCATAATCATCAAAAATGTTTTGTTTTAATAATTATAATTATAATCATCATCATCATCATCATCAGCAGCAGCAGCAGCATCATAACCATCAATATTTATTATTGAATTTTCAAAGAAAAAAAAATCGACAACACAATTTTATTGATTAAAATAATATTACATGAATATAAAAAAAACTTGTATGTATATCACAGAACTGAATGCAATTTAATTCAATGGCATTAATTTTGAGTATATATAATAGATAGATGTGTGTTTTTGTTTGTGTTTGATTATACAATAATTGGAATATGAGCATCAATTCATTGATAATAAAAAAAAAAAAAAGAAACGAACCCAGATTTTTGTTTCTTTCGTTTTCATCAAAATAAATGAGTAAGATATATTTTTTGAATGAAACAAATATGATGATGATGATGATGAAATAAAACGATTCTCAAGAGTAATAAATATTATAATAATTCATCATCAATTTCATTTTCAATCATCGAATATAATAATAATATTGATGATCGATACAGAGTATTGTGACTAGAAGAAATGTAATTGAAAATACGATATATTGACATTTCGAATCTTTCCAAATCTTTTGATTGAATTGAAAAGTATTCCATAAAGAAATATTTTTTTTTTTATTACAAATGTTGACACCATTTGTATTGATTTCAATTTAAATCACTTCAGGCAATGATGTTTTTCTATCATTGATTTGTTCATATTGATTTGATGATGATGATGATGATGGTGTTTGAATTTGTGTATCAAATTGATTATTTGATATGGTCGAAACGATTACTACCGGTTTTTGTTGTCGTTGTCGTTGTTGTTGTTGTTGTTGTTGTTCACAAACATCATCCGTTAGGCTAACTGTTTCAGGTGTTGCTAACGGTGCTTTTCGTTTTGCAATAAAACTTCGTAATCTACGTAAACGTTCTTCATTATAAACTTCATCATTATTATTATGATTATCAAATTTTTTACGTCGATTTTTTCTTATAGCAGCAAGTTGTTCACTAGCAGTAGTTGTCATTGATGTTGCTGGTATAGCCGATGCAAAACTTGTTTCCAACATTATTCTTTTGGAATGATGATGATGATGATGATGATGAGACTGTTGATAGATATGATCATTTGTATCCTGTATCGATGAATAATATTTTGAATCATTATCGATACTATCATCAATACTATTATTATGATTATTATTATTATTGTCATCATTATCAACACCATCATCATCATAGGAATCTTCAGTTTTACGTTTAGGTTTTGGTGGACCCGTATTAATCAATAAACTTTCTAATGCTTCAAGTATTCTATCGGGCATATGATCACGAATCATGCTTGGTGAGATTAATATTTCATCAAAATCTTCATATCCAGCCCACAGTGCTTGTATGATGAATTGTTTTTGACCAATTATACGCCTTTTTGACATGATACATATCACATTATCATATATCATTATCAGTATATTTTATTTTTTGTTCACGTCATTGTAACCATGATCCAAAGGCGGCAAAGCAAAAAAAAACAAAGAAAAAAATGATAAATATTAGATTGAGATAACAATTTTGGGAAACAACAACAACAACAACAAAAATTTTGAATTCAATCAAGCACACATAAAAAGCAAATATTCATTATTTACCTCCATTTTGGTTCATATAGAAAGCTATATGCAAGTGTATGGGGAATTTTTTTTTGGTTTGGAAAGTGTAAATTTGATTTGCATGAAGCAACGTACACCATGATTTGCGTGGCCATAATCATTTGTGAAAAATTAAGTTTAATCAATATTAATTGATAATTTTTGTCAAAAAAAAACTTACTCGGATTTATTTGGATGAGCTTTGACTAGATGAATGATACTTCCAGGTGGATATAATGGTGTATGTACAGTGAGCTGAATGTTTTCATCATTCGGGTGTGTCGAAATATTTTCGATTGGTTCCTTTGAAGAAAGATGATGATGATGATGTTGATGTTGTTGATGATGATGATGAGTTTGACTACTTGATGGACTAATATTTTGAGAATTACCATTATTATTATGTTTACATTCGACAAAAGATTCTGGTACAGTCTGTGATATAATAATGTTGTCCGATTTGATTTTGAATTTTTTCACATATTCATCATGATTTATATCACTGCTACCGATACGAAAACTTTTAAAAATAATTGGCCATTTACTCATATCACAATGTTTGATTGCTTTGATTAGATCAAAACGTAATTTTTCCATCTGATGAAGACCAAGTCTTGGTATGATATCTTTGCCCAATACAATTGATATGACAAAATCTTTGGAATATTCTGCTAGATCTTGTGAAAGAAGACCGCCAGGTGGAGCAAATGCAAAACAGATAACATTCGTATAGATTTCTCGTAAAAGAACGGCCAAAATAGCAGCAGTACCGGCGCCTAATGAATGTCCAACAATTATGATTGGATATTGATGATGACTATTGGTAGCTAGATTTCGTATTTTCAATTCTTCATTAGCTATTTCGATTATATGTTTTTCAATTAATCGTGATCGAATATAGGCAGCGGCTGCTACCATTCCTTTATGACCGTACCAATTTTCGCGTGGCGGTGTCAAAGGTAGAAGATCATATTCAGCATTCAAATCGGTAAGGACCTACAGCAACAACAAAAAAACAAACAAATTGTCATGATTGCAAAATTAATTGATCGATTGAAAGACTTACATCATACAATGATAATGTTCCACGAATACTAATCACAATGGACATTTTATCATAATCGACGGCAACAAAAAATGGTGGCTTTTCAATGGCAACATAATAGGTTATGTAGATAATTTTATAATCATGGTCAATACAGGTTTGTCGAATAGCAGCACGATTACAAAGGCAACAATTATCCCCCAAAATATTATCACTTTCACGATAAATATTGACAAATTGTTGATCATCACTATCGATTATTGTATCGGTATCGATATGACCACCACTACAGCATCTGGAACATTTAGCCCAACGAGAACTTTGATTTCCACAACATTTTATATGTTTCAATAAGTGGAACCATTGTGATGGTTGATTGGCCACCATATACATTGGCCATCCATAAATGGCTAATGAATAATGAAGATAATGAATTAAATTATACACTTCTCGTATGACCAGAACATGTGTTAGATCAAGAAATTTTGTTTCGGCAGTGATGGCAGCTCCAGAAAGAAATTGAAAAATTTTTGGCTCTTCATTATCGTTCATCATTCGTTCTTTTCGTTGTGATTTTTGCTGTACACGCATCAATGACAGTCCGGCTACAACATCCGATGGTACAACATCAAGATCACGAAAAAATTCTGATAATAATTTGGCTATTTCTGTAAATGAATTATCTCGACGATCTTTGACACAACAAAACCAACGACAACGATTTAGCCATGATTGTTGATATTTTCTTAACGCTTCACGATGACGCCAATTACGATGAAAACTATTTGAACGTCGATATTTATATTTGGAATTTGGATTATTAAGACTTTCTTGAAAACGTTTCATTTTCACCCAGCTTTTGCCCGCATAATCAAATGCACACCATACAAATAGAATGAATGATGTCCAAATTAATAATAGAAAGATTTTCAATCCAATTACGATCCCTTTGGTCGAGGCACATTGGTCATTATAGCTATCGAATTTATTATGCATCATGATGAGCAATCCATATATTTCCCATAGAATTTCAATTATAAACAATACTATCAAATGTAGAAAAAAAATTAGTTGATCAATTTTTTCCATAAATGAATGAATGAATGATGATCATCACTACTTACCAAACCAAATATAGATCAATATGTTCAATGATGAACGTGTTTTCGTATTCAGGATTGAACCACGTAAACTTACTTTAATCATAAAGATTTCAAGTATTACAAATCCAAACAATGATATAAATTGTCCAAAAACGGGTAATGTAATTATCAATGGACAATTATCATCAAGAAATAGTGTACCATTTTTGACACATATGAAAAGATAGATGAGTATCCTTTTTGATTAATAGAAATGATAATAATTGAATAAAAACATTCATTTATATTAATTAATAATTTTATAACAAATGAAAAATTCTTACTCACCATAAAAGATGTGTAATTAGATATATTGAAGCTGGAACAATTATATCATCGGAACCAATGTTCCAACGACGTGATACTATAACCAAACCTGGCATTGTGGTTTTTTGTTTTGGTTACACAAAATGATCAAATGGAATCGATATTTTTGTTCTAGCTACAATAATTCTGTTACTGATAATGATGATGATCACCATCATTTTCATCATCATCATCATTGACATTCGTTGTTTGTCGTTCGAATTGTTGTTGTTGTTGTTGTTGTTATCACTATCGATTCTATCGAATTCTATTTTTATTTTATCAGCAGCACATTTAATAGTGATGATGATGAACAACAACAACAACATTATCATCATAATCATCAACATTCGTTTTTATTTATTATCATTTTATTCCATTACATTTTTAATTTCCAATTTAGAATCAAATCAAATATTGACACATTGACGTATTTGCCCACCCACACACACACACACAAACATTTCAAAAATCAACAATAACCAGAAAAAAAACCACAATAATAATACAAGGTTTTTATTTCGAACACAATGTTTGGATTCGATATCAAAACGAACAAATGAACGAAAAAGCAATAAACATGGTTATATGTTTTTTTTTCTTCATTTATAATATAATGTTTACGGTTGAATGAAATGAAACAACCACACACATATACACAATCATCAATTCGAATAAGAAAACTTTGGAAATAAAAAAAAAAAAACAGAGAGAATCAGTTTGTATTGTGCATGTGTGTGTGTGTATATGAACGATGATGTTAATGGATGTCAGCATGTTGTATGTTTTTGAATGGGCGAATTCTTTGAATTGAATTGAAAATGTGAAAAAAAAGGAAGAAAAAATACAGAACAGAATACAGAATGAAAGGAATTTTTTTTATCGTCGTCGTCGTTGTTGTTGTTGTTGTTGTTGTTGCCTTTCCATGTTCAATTATCATGACGCAGACTCATATTATTTTGATATTATAAAAAAAACCCGAACAAGAATCAAGTTCAAAATGATCCATCGAGCGATGTATATGTTGTATGTGTCTGTGAATGGTGAATGATATAAAAATAGAGTCCGTATGCCCCATTATTATATTATAACGGGATACCCGACTTTGTGTGTGTGTGTGTGTGATAGAAACCAAAGTATACAGTTGACTTTTCTCGCAACAACATCCTACACTGCTGCACATCATATTCAATGTTCGGGTCCAATTAACTACAAGAGTGTTAACTTTTTCATATACAAAAATTATGTTTGTTAGAGATAAACTATAAATTTTCAAGTTTGAAGGGAAAAAACATTAACACTCTTGCTGTTAATTCATGGATAAAGTTCACATGATCACAATGTTCGCGGGTATAGAGGGATGAATGAAAAGTGGTTTTGGTGCCGCCCCTCATCAATTATAGCCAAATCGAATTTGGATCAGTCCAGTATTGAATTTATTAATTTTTTCCGCTTCGTCTTCTTCTATCGGTTATTTGAGAACAAATTATCGTGGGCATATCTTTTCCATTTTTTCTTCATTTTTTTTAATGTTAATAGTTGAAATTGATGGTATTTTTTATTGTTGTTGTTGATCCGAATAAATAATAATAATATTTCATATCGATGATTGATCAGATGAATCATTGAGTTGATATTTTTTAATATTTTGCATTACTTTTGTCAGATTTGTTGTCGTTTTTGTTTTCGTAATCATTGGTTGAGATCGTGAATGTTTTCCCAGTACACGGTTTGTTGATTTATTGGTTGGATCATCATCATCATCATCATCGAATGCATTATCAAAATCGAATTCCGTTTTTTCCACTTGTTCCTGGTCACCTGATTCTTTGTCATTATTTCGTTGTCCATCATTTGATTCGTCCATTTGTTGATTATCAGTTAATTGTGATGGTGATATCCTGCCTGGACATTTCCATTCCAATTCAACATAACCGTTTGTTTTGATTTGTTCATATAATGTTACAATATCCATACCGGATGGTTCCCATAAACGTACATTTCGATGGATTGGATGTATTCGATAATGAACATTTGGTTCATAATATGTTTCTTCATCACTACAATCGGCCCATATATCGCTAGAATCCATTATTATACAGATATATTAAAGTTTTCGATGTAAAAAAAAATGGTTGTAAATTCAAAATTCTGTACGCACAGATGAACACGAAAATTGAGTCAATTTTTTCAATGTATAAACTAGTCATTCCTGATTCATCCATAATATTTGAAACGTATAAACATCTGGGGATACTGTTGTTTGTTTTGATGTTGCGGTTTCTACAAATTCATTTTTTACACAATTATAATACTCGCGTTCATCGTTCATTTATTTTTTTTTTTGCTTGTCATCATTGTCATCATCAAATTAATTATTATCATCAACATCATCATCATTGTATCATCAATTGATTGATCCATCATTGGCATTTAATAATTATGGATAGAAATATTTGTTTCATATTATTTGCAATATTTGTTGCATATACTGCAAGAGATTTATTCTTTAAATCTTATCAGCCATCATCACAAGCTGATGCAATTGATTCTGTAAAAAAAGAAATTCCATCCATGTCATTCCGACAACAAAGGCCAACAATAAAAATTCTTTATTGTTATTCATGTGGTTACCAAAGAGCATTTGAAGAATATCGTAAAATGATTATGGATCAATTTCCTGATCTAACCGTAATTGGTTCGAATTATAATCCAAGCTTTTTGAAAAGTAAACTTGCTCAGCTAATATCAATAACAAAAATGATTGCCATTGCTTTGTTGGTGGCAAATGTTAACCCTTTTGCTTATTTTGGTTTACAAACACCACATTTTTGGGAATGGATGCGTGAACATAAATTATATGCCTGTATGATGACATTTTTTCTTGCTAATACATTGGAAAGTCAATTAATGTCTAGTGGTGCATTCGAAATATTCTACAATGGTAAATTTATTTCATTTTTTTTTATTATTATATAAAATAAAATTCATTGAATTCAATTCTTTTTTTTCTTCCATTCAAACAGATGTTCCCATTTGGTCAAAATAACAACTGGTCGCATTCCATCGGCAAATGAATTAATCGATATGATTGATAATCAACATAAATTTTTTCAACCTGAAACATTTGGTACCGGTGGTAGTGGTGATCATTTAACATCACATACAATACATACTACAGGTCGTACATTATAAATATGAAAATTGACAACAACAACAACAACAAAAAAATCATAGAATAGAATCTATATCTATATATTATAAATATATAATGCAATCATACAACGTTCTTCGGCATCAATTGAATTTCATTTTCCATTCATTCATAATGCCTGTACATGTCTTTCCAAAATTTCCGTAATTTTTTTTTCTTCTTCTTCTTCTTTGTCTTCATTTTGTCCATTGGAATTTATACGAATTTGTAATAATGATAATAATAAACAAAATTTTAACAGAAGCAGCAGCAACAACAACTGATTTTATTTGTAAAACCATAATGATTTCCGTTTCGCACACATTAAATTTAGAATCTTGATGATGATAATCATCATTCATTTACCATTCTTATTCAATGTGATTGTTTCTTTTTTTAAAAAAATAATTTCATTTTATAATTTGTTTTTTTTATTTAAATTGATAATGATAATGATGATCATATAATGAAATAATAGTTGATGATTACAAAGTTATATAGTTTATATGTGTGTCTAGAATTATTTTGTTTCATTATACATTGTATAGATCGATTTCGTCACAATATTCATTTTCATCGTAATCAATTAAAATGGATTCAGATAATCAATAAATCCAGATTGTGTCATTATTTCGATAAATATTTCCTCAATTGAATAGAATGGTATCAATCGTGTTTCAATCATTTGTCGACCAAATCGATCGATTGTTTTTATTCTTGTCCATGTATATGAGCCAAATATGGAAGCAATCGATAATATTATTATCAATCGAAACTTTGTGATACGAAATTTTTGTTGTAGATTCAATAAAAATGTTGAATAGAATAAAAAGAAAAATGATATAAACAATTGTTTTCCTATGAAAATTCGCCTGTTTATCAGTGGTATTGATTTGATTTTCATAAAATTTCGACCCTTTTCCGGTTCCAATTCTGCCCCCGGATTTCCATCGAGATCATTGTTTTCAAGCTGCGATTCATAATTTCCATTCATATCATAAACCGTCAATTGAGCTCCATGCATGGTGATTGCACTAGTTTGAGGTTCGCTGTGAATACTGAAATAAGTAGAATCAAGGCCAGCGATCGGTGATCTTGGCATTTTTTGATCTTCAATATTACTAATATCACAAAGACTTAATGAGTGGCATGTTGAATTCGATAAGAGAATTTTTGTGAATGTATCTCCAACCACAGTGGAAAGGTCATCGCCACGAGCCATACGTGAAGGCATTTCTTCATTTTCAATATAATCAATCGATGGCAACCGTGAAACATTCATAAGACTTTCATCAATGAAATGTTGTCGATTTTGCTGTTGACATTCGAAATTAGCAGCAGCCATAGTGGAAAAATTAAATTGTTTGAAATTATCATCAAAAATCATATTATCACATTCATAATCTTCATCTATACTAAATGTATTGTTAAGAGAAATATTAAGCGCTTGATATGAGATAAAATTTTTGTTAGGTGTAGACATTTTATAGCGATCAACACGGTTATGGCTATGATGTGGATCATCAGATGGTTTAATTTTAGAATTAGAACAATCCAACGATTGTAAACGATAATCTTCATTATCTTTCTTGAGACGATCAATTTCTTTTTGCATTGATTCAATTTTTGATTTCATTTCGATATTTTCATCATAATATTCTTTCAATGTTAATAGCAAACGATCCATATCATCATCAGTAATTTTGTATCCATTTGTTGTTGATCCAGTAAAATTTCGTCTATCATAATTGTCAATCTATAAGGATGATTAAATAAAAAATGTGATTTCAATAAATAAATAATGGAAAAATACCTTGAAATCTATTTCATTAGTAAAACTAAGACTTTGTGGTGATGATGAAATAGCCGAAAACATTTTCGAATGGACATGTTCCAATTCATTTTCAAGTGAATCAATTGTTTGTTCATAATTGGCAAGCTTTTTCTTATAATTATTTGCAGCTTTTTCAGCAGTTGCCAATGATGAACTCATACAGGAAAAATCATCTTCTAGGCTTTCAATGTGTTTACGATAATAATCAATTTCGTTTTCATGACGTTTGATCACTGTTTGATATTGATTACATTGAGCTACCAAAGAATTAATTTGCTCAGCATAGTAACTATGATCGACACCATTTTCTAAATTACCCAATGAATGTCGATTATCATCAACATCACAACCACCAACATCATTATCATCGGAATAATTCAAAACGATAAAATTGGAAAAACCCTCTATCGATTCAAATGTTGATTGGGAATGATCAAATTGTTGATCATTGTCGACCAATGCTGCCGATGGTGTCGAACAATACATACGTTCCATAATTTCAGAGATTGTTTATTTCTGATGATTATAATTGATATATAGTTCAATAATAAAAACAAAACATAGACGATAATAATGGCAAAAAAACAAAGCTTTAACTTGAGTGTTTACACGAAAAAAAAAATAAACCGGAAAAAAAAATTTCAAACAAACCACATAAACATCATCATCATCATCATCATATATTCAAGGTTGAAAACATTCATGTCAACACAACTGAATTGGTTTTTTTTTCTGTGAAAGAAACAGAGAAAAAAAAATTCGAAAATTCGAACATAAAATTCATAAAAGACGTGACCGGATTTAAATTTTCATCATTCACAAACATCGAATCGCATTTAATTTAGTAAATAAAAAAATTTCTCCTTCGATTAATCCTGTAAAGGAAAAAAAACGATTATCCACTACCCATTAGTCCTATAAATAATCGGTAACATCACCATTCTCATCATCATCATCATCATCATCGTTGTATATGCGACAAAAATTTTTATTTGCTTTTTAAACATTTCGAAATGAATTAACAGAACAAAAAACAAAATTTGACCAAACAAAGCAAATGTAATGTTTTTTACGGCGAATAAAAAATTAATTTTTATTCCCAGCTGGACCTAACCTATTCACCATCGGCGATAAGACAAATCCGCTGTTTTATAATGGTTGAACCAAAAAAAAAAAAAAAAAAACTTTTCGGCTCTCAAAAAAAAACAAACTTTTTTTTGTTGTTGTCGGGTAAATTTTTTTGTTGTTTAATTTTTTTTCTTAATTCTTATTATTTTTTTGTATTCGATTCTCGGTGTGTTTTTTTTCGACAGAACCGAACCTTGGTCATAATTTCTTTATTGTTGGAGAACAAAAAAAAATACCTAAAAACTTTTTACTTAAAATCAACGTTATAGAATCATCATTTGATTAAAAACATTTACGTTTCGTTGATTTAATCTGATAAGTTTTTTCTCTTTTTGTTATTGTTGTCGCCGTCATCATCATCATCATCATCGTTATATACGTAAATATATTTGAATTATTTTTTTATGAAATTCCATGTTTCATTTCTTTTTGTTTTCTTTAGGTCACTTTGAAAAATTTGCTTAATTCCGGCTTGTTGGAATAAACCAAAAAAAAAAAAAAAAAAAAAAACTGCAAGCAAGGTACTGATGTCAACAAGAAGAAAAAAACTTTAATTACTTTTGTTTCCTGGAATTTTTTTTTAGGTGAAATGTAGATTTGACTTTATATAACTTTGATGATGATGAAATGTGTAACATAAGTTTCATAATCATACTGATGACCATCATAACGGAAAAAGGAACGAGTAGGTGGTGGTGGTGGTGGATGATGGCGATTCTTAAATTTAATCTGCCCCAACAACAACAACAACAAGAAAAAAAATTTCGAATATTTTTAAAATCATCAAACGTAGGTCGTTATGGAAAAAGAAAAAAGTCAAAAATCTTTTTTTTTTTTTTAAATTATAAATCAACGAAACGAACGATGATTATCATGATCATCACGAAGAAGATAAAATCTAAATCTACATCTGGTATGAACATGTTCATTTTATAAAAAACCACCGTTTTTTATTTCTCTGTTTTTTCCGAGCATGCCAGCCATTTTCATTTGGATTTGTTGGCCATACAATCTTACCTATACGAATGAATTTCTTGAATTTTGATTGGTCAAGACGGCTAAAAATAAATGGTATACGGAAACGCATGATGTGCGCATCTAGAATAGAAACAACGCAATGATTTTGAAATTGAATTCGACATTTTTTTGGCATGAATAAAAACCATGATGATAAGTATGTGTAATGATCATTATAATAGTTGATGTTTATTTCACTGGTTCATTTGCTTTTTCCAGAAAAAAACAGTTAGTCAAAAATATCATGAAATATCGTCTACTTTATCATCATTGTTCACCTAATTTGAATGAATAAGAATTAAAAATCTGGTCTATGACGAAGACAATTCAATTGGGACAGCTTGTGTACAATCATCATCATCATCATCATCGTCAATTCATTTCGAACGATTTCAATCAACACATCCTTCCATTGATCATTCATAATTATAATCGGACATCAACCTGAATATATTTGTGTGATAAAATACTATAAAGGTGAATTTGAAAGTAAGTCAAATTTTGAAACAATTTTTTTTTCTCATTCTATTACAGAATTCTTTTTCGAAAATTCTATTTATTTACTGATGTGTGTGTGTGTGTGGTTGATTGAATCAAAATATAATCCTCTTCACTTTTGGCCTGAATACGTTGCACTGAAAAAAAACATGATGAAAATAAACATATATGAAACAAACTAATCTTAGAACGAATCAATTATTCAATACTACTATTCCATTAGATGAGATTCTAGATTTCAACATTTTTTCGAATCCCAATCCAAAACAAATCTGATTGCTTCATATTCGAATGTTTTTTTTATTTACTTTTCCTTTTCCTGTTTTTTTTTCTTCGATAGATAGATAAATAACATTATTTTTTCTCATTTTCCGTTTCTATTATTTATTTTATATAATAATCAATCGGAATGTTTGCGCGTAAACATTGTGTGGTTGGATCGTGAAATTAAAAAAAAAACGAATAACCGGATTTCAGGAAAATAGTAATAATGACAACAAAATATCCGTTATTTACTGTTGAACATCATCAACAATACCAACATGGCCATCATAATCTTGTCATATTTATTATTACAATATGTTTCCTATATCAGCAAAATTTTGTCGTTGAATGTTTACCATCATCAACGTCATCGTTGCAACAATCGCAGCCACAAATATCATCATCATCATCATCATCATCGAAAACCGGGATCGAATCAGAATCAACAATAATGGATCAACATTCAAAAAGTTCATCATCATCACTGTCTCATGAAATTCCACATTTTCCCAATCGAAACATTTACAATAAAAATGATGATGATGATGATGATGATGATGGATATGATACTATTAACGATTATAAAAACGGTAATGATAATAATATGGTTAGAAACAAACAACAAGATGAATCGATCGATGGATCTAAATATGGCCAAAAATCGAATGTACTTTTTTTCCGTGGTTATAATGATGATCATGATGATGTCATCATTGATAATGTCAACAATATTAATCATCATTTTCCAATGAATTCATTATTATCAAACAAACATGTTGCGGCGGATATTAATGATTTGAAGAAAAATTTGATTGCAATGAATAATAATAATAATAATAATCATCTGAATTTAGAAGATCAACGGCCAAAATCCACATTATTAGATCAACAGCAATGGCAGATGTTTCGAATACCAATGAAATCACAGCAATCATTATATGGACATCCAATACAAACAGATCGACAATCAATTCAAAATCATTTGTCATTTATTTATGATGATGATGATGATGTTAATTATAAAAACATAGCCAACAGGGAATTCTTTCAACAGCAACAACCATTGCATCTGAAAAACATTGCATCCAACGCCATTCACAATAATAATAATCATCATCATCATCATCATCATCCTCATCATCAACAACATTCATTATTATCATCATCAGGTAGTCAATTTTTTTTTATTGCTTGTATTTTTTTTCAAATGAATATTTTATTTCAATGATGATCAATCATTATTTCTATTTCTATTTCACAACAAATACAGTTGGTGTACCAGTAAAACGGCGAACTTCTGCACAAGGATTTCTACGATTCGGTCGTCTTAGTTGGCCATTGAAACAAACAATATTGAATGGTATGATTAATAATAATAATGGTGGCAGTAAACGTGGTGAAGAAACGGCATTTCTTCGGTTTGGCCGTACACCGGAATCGATATCTGAATCAATGTTGCCATCATTTACATCACCACCATATATATTTTGAAAATCAAAAAAAAAAAAAAAAATTCTTCTTCCCATAACAAAATTACATACATAGTAGTAGTAGTAGTAATTCTTACATGAAAACGAATCCGGAATTTTTTTTGTCCCCGTTTGAATATTTTAAATTTTCGGCTCATCTGTTGTTTGTTCAAAGCACGAAAAAAAATTGAGATTGTCATCAATATCTTTCAGAATAATAATTTTAAAATTTCAACAATTTCATCATATCCAATTGTCTTGTATTCTCACCAATAAAACCGTTGTTCATTCATTCATTCATTCTTTTTGAAAAACACTGTGGTTGGTATATAATCGATTAAAACAAATCAAATCAAATCGAATCAAACTAATCAATCTGATTGATAAATGAGAGAGAAAAAAAAACTTTGTTTCACAAATCAAATTTACAAACACTAAATAGTAGCAAACAAAATAAAAATAAAAGTGATCAAAATATGCAAAGAGAAATAATTGTTTTTTCATAAAAAAAAAAATTGATGAAATGATTCTGATTCATATGTTGATGATATATAGTTAATTAATTAATTAATTATAATTGTTTTTTCAAATTTTTCGATTTTTTATGCATCTGTCTTGATCGATAAATGTCAAATTGTGGTGGCATTAGATTCGATCCTTCACCATCACCATCATCATCTTCATCCATTAATGATGCTTGACCAGCTGAACGTTTTGTACCAGATGATCCAGAATTTCCAATGCCACTACCGAAATTGAATGAATCACTAGCTTCAAGTGCTAATGCAAAATATCCTTTAGCATCGGTAGGCATAAGACAATTTGTTTTACTTGGATCAGTTAGAAATGAAATAGCAGGTGATGTTTTGAATATCGACATTAATTCATCAATGTTGACAAATGGACCACGAAAACTTAATGGTGGTGGTAATTGTGATAATAATGATGTAACCGATGGTGGATAAGGAAAAATACCTCCTGGCATTAAATTATTGACTGGATTTTGTACAGGTTTAAATGGTACCATTTGTGATAGATTCGGTACAGGAATCGAAGATTTTGTTGAATTTTTTAAATTATGGCGATGACTTTTGGATGAACGATCAATATCCATAGACATTTTCATTGAATGGCCATTGACCAATGATTCCGAAATGGCCGATGTTGATGATGATGATAATGATGATGATGCAGCTGATGGATTTATATTAAAATAACCAATAGATTTTAATTCTTCCTGTGTACATGGCATTAGATGAAGAAATTTATAGCGATCAACAAGCCATGCTGTTTCGGAATGATTTTTCTGTTGTTGTTGAAGTTTTTCAATCACATTTAATCGTCGTTTTTCCACATTAATAACGCTGGCTAAATCACCTATTTGTGATTCAAATTCTAGAAAACGATTCCATATTTCTCTACATTTGAACATGGATTTATTACATTGATTAGAATGATCAATTTTGTTTTCATATAATAAACTTACAATGATTTCGATATTGGAACTGAATCCGATGAAAGTACACGTTCGAATAGTACACGTATATTGTTCTCTTCATTCAAATGGCCTAGAAAATCAATATAAGCCAATATGAATGGTGCTTCATGTAGGAATCGTTTTAATCCTAATTCGAATATTTTACATGAAATATTCATGTTCTATGTTTTTTTATGTTTAAAAAAAAAAAATATTGGAATTTATTAGTTATATTTAACAACGAAATTAAACGAGAAATTCATTTCCGGTTTTTTCATATTCAATTTCCGGATAAGGAAATCGAAAATGATTCTTTGGAACACATGGATCACTTACCTTGCTACAATAATATTCAGTCATAGCAGCAGCTATATACACCTCATAACCACAACGAGAATCGGCACGGGCCCGTTTGAATATTGCTCTTGCCGATGACATACTTTCAGTACGACGAGTGAATTTCATATACTGTATATAAGTCAAAGTTGGATTAAAACCAATCGTTTTGATATGAAGTAATTTCTCATAAATTTTAATCGATTCATCTTTTCGATTACGAGACTATAACAAATGCAAAACAGAAAAAAAAGAAAAACAAAACACAATTCGAGTGGACATATGATTATCATGAAAAATTTATGGGAAAAATTTTTTTTTCTTGCTAAAAATAGTCATACCTCTTCAAAATCGGCATATGAAAAATGTAACAGAATATTCTCCTTTAACAATGTAGATGTTGCACGATCATAAACCGATGCTACATCTTCTTGTAGCGCTTTATGATGATTCATATCACCTTTTTCGGCCATTATTTTACTATTTTCATCTAAATATGATGCATATTCATACCAAATATCAGGATGATGACCCAAACATAGTAGACATTGTTCATAAGCAAATACAACTATTTTTTTAAAAAAAATTTCATTATATAATTAGCAATCCTAGCAATTATATAAATTAACAATACCTCGTTTGATGACCGATGTAACATCTTCAGTTTTCAATGGATTCTGTTTCTCCCATTGTATATATTTTTTCCATAATTCAACTTGACGATTTTCTTCTGGTGTTGAATGTGGTGGTACAGCCGGTGCATTTCGATTTAGGCCACGAGTGGTTGCTTCGAATTCTTTCGCTACACGTCTGGCATTCATATAGTCTTTGGATCGATCGGTAATGGCTTTATCGACAAACATTGGATTAATACTTTGTTCATAGGCTAGATATTCTTTCCAAAATGTTTCAATATTCAACATTGGTATGATTATGCCACGTTGATATACACGACGAACAGCCGATATTTTTTGATTTTCCGCATAGCTACCTTGGGCATCAACACCTTTAAGAAATTGAACATAATCATTATAGATGGAATATGAATGGATATCGATGCCCATTTTTTCCAATGCAAAATCGAATGCTTGGCCCATTTTTTCTCGAAATGATGGTAGATGATGTTTAGCTTCTTTTATATAATTAAGATAACATTTCCAAAGATCAATGTTGAGTACTTTGACCAGACAACGTTGAAATAGCTACAATTTGATTATTTTCATAAATCATTTTCGAATTCAATATAAAAATGAAACACACCTTTTCTACACGTTCATAATTTTTACATTTAATCTCTTGTTCGATACTTAAACGCCAGAATCGTCCGGATGTTGGAAATTGACTGACCAATTGTTCATATAGTTCGCGTGAAATTTCTGGAGTTTTATTCTGAAATTTATATATTAGTATTAAATTTAACAATTTCGAAATCGAATTCGAAATTACCTGAACATCTTTGATGAGAATATTCCATGCATCCAAATCATATGGTGATTCGACCAGTTTAGCTTTTGCAATCAATACACGATCACTAACATTTTTCAAACTACCGGGAGTAGGTTGTAAATTATTTTGTAAATCATTGGTCGTTGTTGAAGCGCCAGGATTTTTGTCGGTTACAGATCCAGCCGTTGTTGTTGCTGTAGAATTATCTTGATTCGATGATGATATCGATAGTGTCGTTGATGATGATGATGATGATGGCTCAGTTTTAACGTTGGTCATCATGCAAACGATTAGCAAAAAAAAAATTGGTCACCAATTTCAAAAAAAAAAAAAATACAACAAATCGAACCCAAATGACCGAAACCGAAATAAAAAAAAAACTCATGTGTATATTGTGACTTTTATGCGCGCGCTGAATTAATAAATGATGTCATTACTTTCATCGTATAAACTTGTTTTCAAAGAAAATTTTGAATAATAAAAAAAAAATTGCCAATCCAATTTTACGTTGCCACTACTTGTTGCATACACACACACACACACACACAAACACACCTGGATTCTCAATCACACACACACACACACAACAACAAAGATTTTGGACAATGGAATTGAATCCATTGGACATTTGTTGTTGATTGTGTGTGTGTGTGAGTCATTCATAGTCCAAAATCATAACAGCAGCCCTTTGATAACCAAACAGAATTTGATTTAAAAAAAAAATTGTTTTTTTTGTGATATGTTCAAATTTTGAAATTTTGAAAATTCCCACCAATTTGTTGTAACCTACTTTGATTTGTAAACAAAAATTCAGCTATTCACCATTAATAAGCCTCAGCTATTATCTATTCAATCAATTCATAATCATCATCTAAAGTTTATTGGTCATTATCATATATAAAGTGGTAAGTTCCGCATACAATAACAACCAAATTAATCACGATCATCAATGTTGTTGTTCAAAAGAGAGAATCACGCGACTATTGAATACATTTAAAAACATTGAAAATTAATGAATCTTAATTGATGATGATGATGATGGTCAATTTATGCTGGGTAAACAATATTTCTGATCAAGTGAAATGAAAAAAAAACAACAACGATTAATCAAGTTTATCAGAGAGAGAGAGAGAGAGAGAGGGAGAGAGAAAATCTCGACTGCAATCAAATCGAACGTTTTTTTTTATACACTGTTTTATGATTCGAACGTGAAAAAAAACGCTGGCCTTTAAGTGTTTTTGTGTGTGTATGTTTATCATGCACGTAAATAACCCGAATTTTTTGTTCCTTTTTACCAGATATATCAGGTATATATCGATATACTCATTAGATGTTTACCTGTTATTGGACACACATGAACATGATGATAATAATAATGATGATGAGATCATTGATTCGAATCGAATCGACCTATTGTGTGTGTGTATGTGTGTGTTTTTATATTCGGGTACGGATTACCTCGTTTGAATGTTTTGAATGAATGGATGAGAAAAAAAAAAAAAAAACAGGTTTCGGGTATTCATTTCATCTCATCATCATCATCATTTTTTTTCATTCTTCTCTCTATCCGGGTGTGTATGATTATGATCTCATCATTTCGGTTAATATTTAACAAAAGTATTTTCTTTTTTCTTTCTTTTTTTTTTGAAAATTCTCTATCCATCCCGATCATTTAAATCGAGTGTTTGTGTTTGTGTTTTGTGTGTTTTTGTGTGTGTGTGTGTGCTGTTCTTTGTTTTGGTTGTTTCTACATTTTTCGGTTGGCCGGTTATTATCGTTGTTGTTGTTGTTGTTGTTATCATTGTCATTCAATGTTCAAAACAACAACAACAACAAAAATTACCCATCCCATAATTAGTTGCAGCAGCAGACTAACTACTTGTGTTCAACACACACACACATTGGTATTCGATATTTGATATTTGATGATGTAAGATGAATGAATGGCGCGCAATCCAGTATTTCAAACCAAATCTTGTTCATGTGTGCGTGTGGTGTGTATATAAATTTTTCAATCGAACACGATCAATTTGATCTTTTTGTGTGTTTTTGTTCAATTGAATTTCCGTGTCTTTGCATAATACATACATTTCATCATGCATGAATCATTGAACATTAAATGACCGAGATGCTTGAATGATTTTTTTTTTGCTGGCCAAAGAATCCTGATTCAAATTAAATTGTTCGTCTGTGTGTGTGTGTGTGTGTGTGTGAATGTGAATGTGAGTGTGAAAGATGGAAAAAAATTTTTTTCCTATTTCTCACTATAGTTGAAAATGTTGAAATTTTTTTTTCACGTTTCAAATTTCAATTGTAATCATCATCATCATCATCATCACTGTGTGGTCTTTGGTCGATCGGTCGGTCAATGGCTTGACTTGATTCATTCATTCATTTGCACTGACGGTTGTAACTTTATTTGAATTTTTATTTTATTTATTGTTCCATCCAAATACAATGGAATGATGATGATGATGATGATGACATCTTCATCATCATTATGATCATCATCTTTATTACCATTCTTATCATCATCATCATCATCATCATCGCAGACAATTTACCATTTGGACATTCCTGTATATACCTGATGAAAATATTGAAGAAATAATAAATTTGTTTCATGCTTTATTTTCCCTTTTTTTTTGTTGTTGTACATTTCCATTTTTATTCGAATTCCATTGTCACTAAATGTGCATACAGTGTACACACCGACACACACACACACACACACACACACAACCTATTGTAAACTAGGTAAGTTGGATTTATATTTATAATTTTTTTTTTTTGTTTGTTTATTATTTAGTTTATTTGTTTGTCGTGCAATAGGATATAAAGATAGTAACCATAGATTGTAATCAAAAAAAAGACAGATAGATTACCAGTGATAAAAAGACCGAGAGAGAGAGATAGAGAAATTATGGATGTAAAAATGTTCCAGGAACCATAATAATAATAATAATAACGACAACAACGAAACGTGACCGGCATTTCATTTCATTCATAACATTCGAATTATTGATTTAAATCATCATCAGCGACTACAATTCGGATCGATCAATCAATCAATCAATTTGTTTGTTTGTTTTTATTTTATTTTCACTCTGTGACAAGATTTTACTGTTGATAATTATAAATTATTATTATCACCATTAAATTTTGGTGGCTGTGTAAAAAATTAATTTTTCACAGATTTCAATTTCAAATTTTTTTTTTTACTATTTTCTTTTCGGGTGCCAATCATCAGAGATTTTTTTTTTTAATTTATTTATTTATCGATGATAACTTTCAATTAACTCTTGTCTGATGGTTGTTTGTTTGCTCTCTCTCTCTCTCTCTCTCTTGGTTATCTCATCGTCATCGTTGTTGTTGTTGTTGCTGTTATTAATGTCTTGGTGACAAGTGTAAGCCATAGATTTTCAAACATTCCTAATGATGATGATGATGATGATAATAATAATTGTATGTATCTAACGGTGCACACACACACACACACATACCGATTTTACCTTGGTTGTGTACATAACACGTTGATTGATTTTTTTTTTTTTTTTTTTTGCCTGGTTGGTTGATTTCACATTTCATGAGTTTGTCCCCCTGTATGTGTATATTGGCTTTTAAAAAAAAATTTTTGTCACAAATAGAATGTGAAAAAAAATCAGTCAGTCAGTCAAACCAATGTTGTTAAATTAATTTCTCTGTTTTTGTTTTTGTTTTTTTTTTTGTTTTTCCATTTTGTCTTTTGTGTTGCATTTACTAATGAATGGTTTTTTTTTGACGTTGAAAATTAAGCAATGATTCAGTTGTTTGTTTGTTTCTAGATCAAGTTTTTTTTTGGTTGTTGTTGTTGTTTCAATTGTCAAATTTCTACGAATGGTAGTCCAATCATCATCATCATATATCGATATCGATTAATGTTTGCCCATTAATTTCTCAACAGACAAAAATAAAAACAAAAAAAAAAACTAAATCATCAAAGCATCCAATTTTTGAGTGAAGGGTAAGTCTTGAAGTTTGTTGTTGTTGTTGTCACGATAAAAAGCCATAAAACAAAACGAAACGAAATGAAATGAAAAAAAATTTTTTTCTTTTCCAATTTCCATTTCAACTTTGTTCCTTTTCTCTCTTCTGTCATTTGTATCCTTTTTTATTGGTTCGATTTGTATTCAAGCGTAGGATCTCATCTCATTGTGTATGGTATAATAGTTGGATGGATGTTTTGATTTTGCCGTAACAAAAAAAAATTCATTCCCATCATGACCACCATGATGTATGTGAATGAATGAATGGAAAAAAAAATTTCTTTACCATGTGTGGTGGTATGCTGCGTGTGTGTGTGTGTGTGGTGAATATTTTATCATCATCAACATTGAAAAAGGAAAATTTTGATTTACACACACGCACATCTGTTTTATTTTGAATGAAATGTTTTTTCGAAAAATTTATTGATTGAAAAAAAAAATTAAAAATTTAAAAAATTTTTTTTTTTTGTTTTTGTTTTTACAGATTCTTTTGCCTCATTTTTTTCTCGTGTTTATGTGATTATAGCCATGGTCATTGTGTTTGAATTGAAATAAATTTCTTTCAATCGACAAAATATATTTATTCTCCTGTTATTGCATCTTGATAATTTTGTTTGTTTGTGTGTGTGTGTGTGTGTGTGTGTGTGTATGTACAATAATGATAATCATGGATGAATCAACAACAATCAAAATGAATCGTAATCATAATTGTGATAATAATAGTAATAATGATGATAATGATGATAAAAAACATCAATTAAATCATCATTCATGTAAATGTTGTCCATATGGTTTTCATATTGATACAGATTTTGTTCGTTATTGTGATGCATTATTATTGGCATTATATGGCCAGAATTCAAATCAAAATTATCATATGAATAATCATCATGAATAATCATCAATCAACAACAACAACAACAACAAAACACCATTATCACCGTCTTTATATAAACAACAACAAATTCATAGTTCAATTGAACAAAATTTCAATTTTAATAATGATGAAAAATACCTCAATGATAATCATGATGATGATGTTGATCTTATTCTTGATCCAGAAGAATTGGAACAAGATTTTAAAAAATCCAATCTTTCACATCATGAATCTATAGAATCAATGCATTCGAAATCAACGACTATTTCAACATCATTTGATGGTGTTATTGATGAACGTATATTATTATTAGATAATGATGATAAAACATCTGTTAGTCTTGCCATTGCTACTATTGATACAGCAATTGAACAATATCAACAGGAACAAGAAGAAGAATTACAGCAGCAGCAACAACCACAACAACAACAACAACAACAAATAGCATCATCATCGGCACCACTTTCGGAATCATCGGAATGTTCATCATCGATAACAACAGCAACAACAACAACAACGACAACATCATTATCTAAATCGGTATTAACACAGATACGTAATCATCTAGCGCAAAGTTTATTACGAGTTAAAGAGCTTGAAAATCAAGTTGCACAAATATCAATAATGAAAAAACGATTGGTCGAATTAGAATCTGAACGATTGATTTTGATGGAAAAATTAACAACCAAACAAAATAATGACGAAGAGAAAGAAGAAAAAATGGTCAAAAATTCTAAAGATTCGGCAAAATTACCCGAGGCGGAAGCAATCGATCAAACAAAGATAAATGACGATGATGATGATTATGATAATGATGATGATGGTAAGCCATTATTTTTAATGCTTGGTTATTATTTATAAATAAATACATTTTTTTTGTTTGTTTGTTTTTTTTCATTTGTCATAAATGGGTTAATCTTTATTGATTTATGTTGATTTTTCTTTCTATTTAGTTGCGAAAGAAATGAATAAAAAATTATCATTGATTAAATTCGAAACATTCAATGTTGAACCAATAAAATATCGTCATATTGGAACATTAACCAATTTTGCTCCCTGTGTTTTATATCGTAATGCATTCGTACAGACTGATCTCAAATATAGAGATATTCGACCATTGGTTAAAACAACAGAATCATCAACAACCATGAACACCGAACATCATTTGATAATGCCGATTAAAATGGAAGAAAAAAATTCTCAAACTGATGATAATCTGATTAGTAATAGTATGATTGGCGATCATATAAGTAGTAGTAAAAAGATTTATGATCATAATAATATGGCTACCAATATCGATTCGGTTGCTGATGTTCAACATGATAAGATCTCTAGATCAACTGATAATGATAATGATACGACGTCTTCGGCGGATGATGAATCTTCATCAGTCGAAGTGGTACGTGATTGCCATAACCAACGAACATCTAGCCCATTGAAACTTTTTACAGACGTTACCAGCCTTGATGATGGTAATCATTTTAGCCAACATCTGAATGTAACGAATTCCAATAATAATAAGACTGAAGATATGCCCGAGTGTTTACGTAGTCATTTTATTGTTCGAAGACGTCGTCGTTTATGCGACAATTGTGTTTTAAATGAAACTAATAAAGGTGGTGGTAATGTTGATTATAGTCTAGTCGGTTCAATTTCTTCATCATCATCGTCATCATCAGCATCACCACCATTATCATCACCAACATCGGTGACAGCAGTTTCAACTACAACAACTATATCGACAATTCCATCAGCACGTAAAACGATATGCAATACAAATCGAATGTTAAAGTCAGATTCAGGCATATCAGTTGATCCTAAAATGACCGGAAGGTCTAATGTTGTTCCATTGCTATCACCATCATCAATCATTGATGATAATTTGATGATTGAAAATGATAAAAGATTATCCACTGAAAATGACGATATGATGATAGGAATGATCTCATCATCAACTGAATTCGAGAGCATACCATTATCAGATGAAAGTGAATCAGCTTTTTCAACATTATCAAATACAACTGGTAAAGATTATAAAAATCAACATCAACAACAACAACAACAACGACAAAAACAACAGCAAATATTATCAAATATCTCGCCAAAAAAATCATTTGTACCAACAGCCGAATTAAAAGCGACGTTAAAAATAATAAATGAAAATCTATTTTCACAACCTAAATGTTCACTTATATTTGTAAGTTTGTAATCTGTTGACATTGTAATCAATTCAATTGTAGATTTAATTTATTTTTTAAATTTTTTTTTCTCTCCATACAATTGATTTATATTGGAAAAAAATAGGCAAAAAGTATGGCTGTGGTAGGAAAGAATTGGTTTCGCACATCATCATCAGTGGATTCAGATTATCATGCTGTCGAATCTTATCTTGATTTTGTGGAAAAATATTATACAACCAAATTACTTGAATGGTTAGTCAATCTGGCCGATCCAAATGGCAATACAGCTTTACATTATGCTATCTCATACAATAACTTTGATATCGTTTCAATTCTATTGGATTCAAAAGTCTGTGATGTAAATCAATTTAATAAGGTAAGCTATCAATGAATCTTTTTTTTTATTATTACGATAATTTAATGATTGATAATTTTAACATTTAATTTAAGAATGGATATACGGCAACTATGCTTGTTTCATTGGCTAAAGTGGAGAATGAATTACAAAGAGATATTGTCGAACGTCTGTTTACAATGGCCGATATTAATCGTAAAGCCAAACAAAATGGTCAAACAGCTTTAATGTTGGCTGCTAGTCATGGACGTGTTGAAATTACTAAAATTCTGCTTGAATGTGGTGCCGAAATCAATCTACAGGATAATGATGGTTCAACGGCATTGATGTGTGCCGCTGAACATGGTCATAATGAAGTTATTTCATTATTATTATCACATTCTGATTGTGATCCATTGATTGAAGATAATGAAGGTTCGACAGCGCTGAAAATTGCCTTGATCAATGGTCATAGAGATATTGGTGTTATGTTGTATGCAGGATCCAGTTCTCATCATAAACGTAATAATGGAACATTCACCTATCATAATTCCTCATTGATTAGTCATTATCCAGTTTCATCACCAAACTCACCATTATCATCATCTTCGAGTTCAAATTTTCCATATCGTCGACAATCTTCGTTTCAAAATTGAATTTTGTTTTTTCCTCAACTCATAGATTATTTATCAGACAATTGTTGTACTGAAAAAAACATGAAATATTTCTATTTTAAAAAAAATTGTTTTTAATCAAATTTAAGTACATTGAATCATGAAATGATTTTTTAAATTTTAAATAATACGCCCATCACTAAAGAGGAGAAAAATATTAATAAAAAAAATAGCGTATATATCAACAGCAATGGGGTCGATGTTGTGAAAATAGTGGAAATTATTACATTCATAAACAGATGTTCGTATTCGTATTGCAGTCAAATCAATTGTGTGCGTCCTTTTTTTTGTTGATGGATATCAAATATCAACATAAAATTTGATTCAATTTACATCATAATCTTTTTGTGTTGTCGTTGTTGTCGTCGTCGTTTTGTTGATTGGACTTAGAACAATCAAATAATCATTCGAAAATCAATAAATTATTGAGTTGTTTCTTTGTCCATGTAACCTGCTTTGATTCTGTGTTTTGAAGTTGACTAAAAACTTGACAACAACCACAGGATTAAGTTTCATCTCATTTTGAGATTCATAAAATGGAAAATTCAAATTATCAAGTAGTGCGATTCCTTTCACAGGCCAAGGTTTGTTATTTGAATTTTTTGTAATGTCATAATTTTGACTTTACCATATATTTATTTTATTCGTATTCTAGTACCATCACCAGGAACAAGCTCGACGGCATATTACCAATGTATTGAATATGTATCGTAATCTATACCCGTATCTGGAAAAATGTACATTACCAAATGGTATCAAACGTGATCTGGTCATACTTCGTGGTACAATACCAATCACCTATCGAAAAAATACATATAACATTCCTGTATCGATTTGGGTGTTGGATAATTATCCATATTCTGCTCCAATTTGTTGGGTAAATCCAACAAAAGATATGACGATTAAAACTTCTCAACATGTCGATCAACATGGCCGTGTTTATTTGCCTTATTTGTCTAATTGGGATAGCGTTAATAGCGATTTACTTGGAGTTATTCAAGTCATGATTATCGTGTTCGGTGATATGCCACCACTTTTTTCAAAACCAAAAACAACCGCGATTCCTGGTAAGTATTTATTCTCTTATCCTCATATTTCAATTTCAATGATGAATTAATTTTCTTTTTTTTTAATAAAGGATATCCACAAGGTAGCACAACAAATCCACCTTATCCTACTCGATTTCCTGGCCAATATCCATTTTCAAATTCTTATCCAGCCGTACAACCTGTACAACCAACAACGTCAAGCTATCCATCACCTCCATCTAATTCATCCGATACTGTATCATATCCTGGCTATCCAATGATGCCTATGCCATATGGTCAACCAACAAACCAACCGACTAATGGTTCGGTCACTGGTCATAATTCTTCATCAACATCTTCTACCGATACGAATACGATCCCTAAGGAACAAATTCGTCTATCGTTGATGAGTGCAGTTGAAGATAAAATTAAAGCTCGATCCAAAGAAATTCTATCTCAACATAAAGCCGAAATCGATGTGCTCAAACGAACAAGTAATTATTATTTTTTAAATTGCAATTTAAAAAAATTAATTTCCTAATCAAAATATTCTAGGCGATGATCTTGAAAAAGGCCGAACTAAATTGGATAATTTGGTTAAAGAGATTGAAACAAATCTGGTCGAACTGAGCAAATGTAGAGAGAATATCCAAGCTAAAGATTCAAAATTATCCGAATTGGTTACCAAAATGGAATTATCGGAAAATCAATTGAATATTGATGAATATTTTGGACCAGTACAACCATTGTATAAACAATTATTCAATGCTTTTGTTGAAGAAAATTCAATTGTCGATACGATTTTCTATTTGAATGAAGCTTTACAGAAAGATGTCATTGATTTGGACATATTCATCAAGGTAATCACATTTTTCAACATTTTAATATTGATTATTAATTTCAAATTTTTTTCCATTTCTAAAAGCATGTTCGTGAATTAAGCCGTCGACAATTTATATTACGTGCATTGGTAAAACTTTGTCGAGAAAAAGCTGGATTACCCACATAGTAGTGTGTATGTGTTACATATTCATGATAGTCATGATAGCTTTTTTCAATTGGATCAACAATTGGATTTGATTTTAAAAATCCTCCCCCGGACATTACATGAAGAGCCATTGTTTTTAATTAATCAATCAAAAAAAAATTTTTTTTTTTTGTTTTATGACTTGTTTTACCTTTCCTTATTTTTAGGATAGGGTGTGTGTGTATGCATGTGCATGTGTATGGTTTGGTTATTATGATTATCATCTAAATTCGTAATATCAATATCAATAAATATAATTTATTTGCACACGCACATACACACAAACACAACACATAGATACACAATGCCCAATTTTAATTTTGATTCTCCAATTCTCAATTTTCGTTATATTTGTCAAAGAAGAAATAAAAAAAAAATCTAATTAAATATAAAATAAATAAATAAAAATATATATTCGATTCAAATGGTGATCTCTACTTTTTTTTCTCGAATATTCTCGAAAATCTATTATTTTCAGTTGATATACTTTCGAGGTATAAATTGATGATTGTTCTGTGTATACACTGACAATTGTAGTGTATGAATGAATGAATGAGTGTATGATAGCAGCAGCAGCTGACAGTAGACAATTTTTTCTGTAAAATTCATATTCTTTATCATCATCAATATATTTATTTATTTAAATCTTGAATTCATTATCAATCGAATAAAAAAAAAGAAAATGGTTGATTATAGTAAATGGAAAAATATTGAGGTAAGTAGATGATCGAATTTTAATGAAATACAAACGGTTTTTTTTTGTTTGTTTTGTTTCAATATGATCCAAAATAGATTAGCGATGATGAAGATGACACCCATCCAAATATCGATACGGCCAGTTTGTTTCGATGGCGTCATCAGGCTCGTGTTGAACGTATGGAAGAAAGAAAAAAACAAAAAGAAGAATTGGAACAAAAAAGACGTGAAGTTGTGATGAAAAAGAAAGAAATTGAAAATAAAAAACAAATTGATTCTAATCTAGAGGAAGAATTGAAAAAATTAGAATTAGAACAAAAAGAGCTAGAAAAACGTGAACAAGAGATTGAAAAAGCTGAACGTAATGCACCATGGAATGTTGATACAATCAGTAAAGAAAGTTGGAGCAAAACGGTTATAAACAAAACGAAACCACGTGAAGATCGTTCAAAATTGACCGATGAAGAACTTGAACAACGATATAAAGATTTCGTACAAAAATATGAAGATAAAGTTAAAGAATATGCTATACTTTCCAAGTTTGATGATGCCAAACAATTTCTAATGCAAAATCCTGATCTTGGTAAGTTTTCTTGGTCATAATAAAATGAGAAAGAAAATTTTTAATTTTAACATATGGTTTTTATTTTGTTTCTAGTTTGTGAAGAATCATCAAATTATCTAACATTTTGGTGTCTGAATCTGGAGATTGAAGGAAAACATGATCTTATGGAACATGTTTCCAAACAGGTCATATCATTGCATTATATTCTTGAACTTAGTAAACAGATGAATATTGATCCACGTGGATGTGTATCATCATTTTTTACACGTATACAACAATCGGATCAAACCTATATGGCTGCATTTGAAGATGAAATCAAATCATTTCGGCAACGTATCGTAAATCGTGCAAAACAAAAGATTGATGATGCTATTAAAGAATGTGAAGAAGAGGAACGACAAAAACGACTTGGACCAGGTGGTCTTGATCCACAAGAGGTTTTCGAATCATTACCAGAATGTTTACAAAAATGTTTTGAATCACGTGATACGAAATTGTTACAGGAAACAATATTAAAAATGGATCCAGAAGAAGCAAAATATCAAATGAAACGTTGTGTTGATTCTGGTCTTTGGATTCCGGATAAAAGTCTATTGAATGATGATTCTAATGATAATAAGGATAATGATGATAATAATACTAATGATGATGATGATAATGAAAGAATTGAAACTAAAAATGATGATTGAATGATAATTTTTTTCCCCTATTATCATTATACATGCATGCAACACACACACACCAATTTTAAATCAAAACAACAACAACAACAACAAAAATTCTTTTAAATAATCAAGAATACCATTTTACACCATAACAAATCAAGAATTTGAATTATATTTACCAACAACAACAACAACAACAATCATCATCATCATCATTTAGATTAGAATGGAAATTGAGTAATCAAACTCGATAAAAACACACACACACACACACACACACACAGAGAGAGAAACAAATTTGAAAAAATTAAGGTCACAAAAAAATAAAAATAAAAGTTTTTTTATTTTGTTTTGTTTTTTTTTTTTTTGTTGTCTGAAACCTCAAATTATTTTGTTTGATGTCCACCATCATCATCATTTTTTTCATTATTAATTCATTTTCTTCTTTTTTCAGTTTTCATCCATTAAATCAATGGATGGATGGATTCCTTCACACATAGCAGACACACACGGGTCTCACTTTTTTTTTTTGTTTGTTAGACAACAACCATGGAATTATTGCTCTTGACATTTGGGAGATTTTCTTTTTTCAATTACTACACACACACACACACACACTTTTACAAGTTAAGTTCAATGTGTAATTGAAAAAAAAACGAAAAACATGTGTGTGTGTGGTGTATGAAGAAAATTGAAAAAAGCTTTTGTATTTTCATCGTCCATTTTGTTGTTGTTGTTGTTGTTTTTTTTATCATTATCATGTCAATTTTCCTGTCGTGTGTCTGGGTATGTTTTTATCGTGAAAATTTCTACCAAATTGAAAATCATCATCATCCACATCGATGATGATGATGATGTTTTTAGGTGTTTTGTAATAAATGATGATTAAATATAGCCTGTGAAAAAAAATTAACACTTATGATGATCATATCGATCGTATTGAATCATCTCACTCCACAATAAATAAATAAATAAATAAATAGCCAAAAAAATGAAAGACAATGACCTAGAGCGACAAAAAAACACACAACACAGTTCATTTTCGATAAATAATGATAGGATGAATTGAGGATTGTTGTTGAACATTTTCAAACATCTTTTTTTTCTTGGCCACTGCTGCTGCTGCTACTGATTGTTATTTCTGAAATGACCGATATTCATAAGCTTTTTTCAAAATGATGAACGAAAATAAATCTCGTATATATAAAGAAAAATTGATGTACAGTAATGGCTATTGTGTAATTGAAAAAAAAATGGAATGGAACAACAAGAAAATTTTCCTGACAATGACCATAATTCATCTACAGTCAAAAAAAAAAACTATCGGGCGAGTAATCGCGATTCGATGATCAATATTCTTGCTTTTCATTTTCACTTTTGTTCGAAATTTTTCTTTTCATTGGAACTAATAGAAGAAAAAAAAAATTTTTTTTTCTTCCCGTTCGATAAATAATTAGAATTTTTGAAATTCTATTTTCATTTGTTTTCTCTCTTCTAGGGTTAATATAGTTGATGATGATTGGCAATTTTTTTGACATTCGAAAAATTCATATTGGAATTCAGAGCAGAAAAAAAATAGAAATTATGAAATTTTCTGAATGGCGTATTGAATATCTTAAATGTACATATTTAAATTATGGACAAAATGTATCACGTTCAATAAAATTTTGTGGAAAAATTAAAAAAATTTTCTGCTGTGGCCATCATGATTGGCATCGTCGTTGTTGTTCGTTGGTTGATTTTCTTGATGAAATGAGGTAAGTGTGGTGGTACACACACACACACAGTGGTAATAAAAATGCATTGTAGTGAAGCTGACATTTGATTGTGTTTATCTTTTTTTTTGTCCTATCATCATCATGCATGCAATATATATATAAAGCAACTATAAACATTTTATACAATTTCTAACCTGGTTACTAATCATACAATTCATATTAATCATATCGATTGTTATTTTCATTGTGATCAAAATGAAAAAATTAACACCACACATACTTTCATCATGACCAACGACAATCATCACAAATGTTGAATACTGTTGATTAATTGATTGATTTTTGATTATGATTGAAAAATTTAAAATTGAATAAATCTTATTTTTTTTTGTTTGTTCTTTCAATTGTTGTTTGTTATCATCACATATATGGACATATAAAAATTAAATCGAGAAAAGCCAATTTGTAGTTTGACTGTGAAACCAAAAAAAAAAAAAAAATCTCTAAATCGAATCACATACAACGACGACGGCGACCACCCAGAGTTAGAAATGATGATGATTTTGGATGTCTAAAACTTTTTTTTTAATTTATTTATAAATATTTTTCTTCCATATTATGGTTTTGAGCCAAGTTATTGTTGTTGTATTGTCAGATTTTCGATGATGATGATGATGATGATGATCGACATATGTTTGTTGGTTTGTTTGTTTGAAAAAAAAGAAATTCTTTTTTCATTTTTTTTTCAATTTCAAGATTTTCATTTACATTCACAAAATAAATAAATATATACATGAATAACATTGAGGATCTCTGTTGTATACGATTTTTCATTGCAACAAAATTCCAAACACATCAAAATACGATTCTTTCTCGAATAGTGAAAAGCCATTGAAAAAATAATAATAATAATAATAATCTTTATAGATATTTGGCTTGTCATTCATCATATAATCATCAACAAAACATCATCATCATCATCATAAGATGTGTAGAATATTCTTTGGAATTTATGAATTTGCACATTCGAATTCGAATATATTATTATTATTATTATTATTATTATTAGCTCAAAATAAAAGCCGACTATATGCACACACACATTGTCAACACAAACGGATGGACATACAACGAGAAAAAAAACGATATTTTTCATTTTCACATATATATTGGACATTTATAAATTGTCCAAGAATAAATGTCGTCTAGTTTTTGTTGTTGTTGTTGTTGTTGTTGCATACCTTTTTTCACGAATGTCATCATCATATAATAATGTGTGATGTGATAATAAAATATTAGTCATTCTATCCGGAATCATATTTTTTTTTCTCTTTCTTTTTCAATTCTTGTTCTCCACATGTGGAAATAGTTGAACAGCAGCAGACAGTTGATATTTTTACATTCGCTTTTTTTTTGATTTCCATGATTTGTGTTGTTGTTGTTGTTGTTGTTGTTGTTGTTGGTATATTCGAATTTATGTATGTCTTTTTCATTTAATCGTCGCCGTTTTTATTCTGCAATCGTTTATATCATTCAAAGAACTTTTTGATTGAACGATTTATCATTGAATTGGTTGTACAAAAATTGATTCAACAACACAAGTCGATTGGCTGGCTATGATCATGAATCACAATATATATTGATCTTGAATGCAATGGTATGGGCAATATCAATCAATCAATCAATCATCATCATCATTCGAAAATATTTCCATTTTTTTTGTTTTGTTTTGTTTTGTTTCGTATGAAAAACAGATTTTTCTCCACACTCATTTTTTAATATATGAGGATGACAAATGTATGTAATTAATGTGATTATTATTATATTAGAAAAAAAGAGAACGAAATAAATGTTATCATCATCATCATCATCATCATCATTATCATTAAAATAATTGATGTACAAATTGTTTGTTATGTATTTTATGTATGGATCATCATCATCATCATCATCAATATTGTTCGATGATTCGCCGAATTGTACACCTTTTTGTTCATTCGTGAAGAGATGTAATGTATATATATATCAATCAATCAATGTGCCGAAAAATCTGTTTTTCTGTTTCAAAGGTGATAAAAAAAAGAGAGAAAGATGGAAAAAAAATTCAGTAACGAACCATTAATTTTTTTTTCTCTTTATTTCATTCATTTTTTTTTTTTTTGTTCTTGTTTCGTTTTTGTTCTTTTTCAAATGCAGAATATATGAAAAATGTTTTCAAATTAACATCATCATCATCAGTATTGGGAAATTGAAATTCCAATAATTTTTCAATAACAAACAAACAAATAAATCGCATCATCATTGTATTGTATTCTGCCGAGAAATTCTTCTATAAAAAACAAAAATCTCTCCTGGGAACTCTTTAGGTTCTTCTTTTTTTTTTGTTGTTGTTGGCAAATATATATTCGATTCGATATATGTATATATAAATCCATAGATGGATGAATGGTCATGATGATGATGATGATGATGATGGTAATAACTATGCATTCACCATGCATAACGATCACATAGAATGTATGTATTATTATAAATATATTTTTTTTTGGCCAACATTTTTCACGGTAGAATAAAGAATTTCTCTCTCTCTCTCCTGATGATAGAATATTCGAAAACAGATTGGCCAGAAAAAAAAAAATATTTTTTCTAGTAAAAATGACAAATTGTTTTTCAATATTGTATGTATATCGATATGGTAATGTTTACTATTCCCGATCTGGTATGTTGCATGCACACACATAACCCTTTAGCTAATAATTTTTGTTGTTTTCTACGAATACAAAACAAAAGAATTTTTTTTTTTTTTTGGTCCTTGCATCTGGTATCGAGACGATAATTTGATAGTGAAGTTTTTTTTTTTCGATTCCTGGTTATGTGTGTTTTTGGAATTATTGACTCTCAATTCTCTCTAACTCGATTGGCAAATAGATAGAATCCAATGTCCGGTCATTTAGTATTAAGTCAAAAAAAAACGAAATGGCCCAATTTTTTTTTTTTTTGGTTCACCATGTATCAATGATTGTTTGTTGTTTGTGTGTTTTGTTAGTGTTTTCAGACACAGTGAATAATTTACTCTTAAAACATACGTCCGCGTTTCAGGGAGAAATTTTTATTTTTATTTTCTTTTCGTTTTATTTTCAATTATTTACTCCTTCTTTTTCTTTGTTGTTTTTTTTCGCAGGATAAAATTCAAACAACTGGATAGAGGAGGCGTTCAATGATGAAAAAAAAATTTGATTAAAATTTTAATAATTAATCATAATTATTATAATTATCATCAAAAGACTAATTTCATCATATGTGTGTCTCTGCATGTTTTGAGGTCAGCATCCATATATACAGTATATATGGTCATGGATCCATTTCCAACACTACCACCACCACCACCCACCACCACCACATCATTTTTCTATGAAAAATTATTACATTGCCGGCGTAATAATTTCTCTTGTTGTTGTTGTTGTTGTCGATTGATTCTTTTTTCATTCAATGAATATTGGGTTATTATGATTCGAATCCAACAACAAGTACAATTCTGGTGGCAATAATATCATTATAAGAAACAAAAAACTTGGATATTTGGAACGTGTTGTTGGAACCGAAAATTTTTTTTTTGTTTGTTTGAAATCGGTACACGGAACAAAAAAAACAAAACAAAAAAAAACAACAACAACAACAAATGAAAACTGAAAACAGCCAACGGACGATTAAATTGAAGTTACGTGATTTAATTATTATATATACGGAAACATACAACAACCACAGATCATTTGCCGATCAACGACCACCGACAATGCCTTTTAATGATGAAAACGACAAAGATGTTGTGTGTGTTTTTTTTTTGGTAAATATTTCATATTTTCTTTTCTCATACAAAGCTAAAATTTTTTTTTTAGTTTTCCAGAATTTCTTAGAATTCCATATACCACTAATGATATATAGACATGTAGATAGAACACGAATATTATGTTCTTTTTCATTTTGTATTGTGTGTGTGTGTGTGTGTGTGTGTTTATCTAATTGATTAGAATTCAATACAAAAGAAGAAATCCAATCCAATAAGTTTCATTGGTTTTGATTTTCATGATCAAATGATGGACATTTGAAAAATGTTTTCGGACATTTATTCTGATCATCATCATCATCATCATCAGTTATTTGAATGTGTGTGTGTGTGTGTGTGTGTATGTGATAAGAAACATATGTATCGAAAAAAAACTGCAGTATCTAATCATGATAATCAAATCTGATTTGATCAAATTTTCAGATTTTTTTTTCTTGTTCTTTTTTTCAATACCGAATATAATTTTGAATATTGAAGAAAAAAAAATAACATCATGTATACCATCATCAATGAACATGAAACATGTGTAAGAACATGATGATGATGATGATCATGGCCAAATTGCTTTATAGAATCTTTCATTTCCATCATCAACATTCATTCATTCAATTCTTGGCGCCGCTTTTTTTTCATAGACACACACACACAACAGAATTTAGGAATTTCACACACACACACACACAACACACACAAAAAATAAGCGCACAAAAAAATTGTGAAATGAAAGAAAATAATACGACGACGCCGTAGTTGCTGACTTGTTGTTGTTTGGTAGTTTTTTTTTCATTATTCTTTTACACACATATACACAGACACAGACACATTTGATGATGAACGATTCATTTCGGATTTGGATGTTCATCATCATCATCATACCAGTCAGCTATCCAAACACACACGCACACTGAATAATCAACTTTTTTTTTCTCAAACATTCTGCTTGAATTTTTTTCATTTCATTTCATTTCTTCTCCTCTTTTGTACTTTTCATTATCGTTTTTTTTATTTATACAGAATTTCAAATTCTCTCTATATGTGTTTCTGATGATTCTTTTTTAGCCAATTTTAAAACTGATTGACTTGCTGACTGACTGGCTTACTGAATTAATGAAAAAAAAACTTTGGCAAAATTTCCAGAAAAAAAATCTATCTTTTCAATTCATCATCATCATCATCATCATCATCATCATCGTGATCGTCAGCTGTAATTAAATTATTACCAACGACTAGACTGGCTGCTAATCAAAAGCAAAGTTCTATACGAAAAAAGCAATGAATGAATGCCCCCAACACCATTGCCACCCACATGCAAAATGATTCAACTGATGATCATGATGATGATACAACCTTGTTAACGAATTTAATTTTTTTTTGATTTTATCGTTTCTTGTTTTTTGTTTTTAACATTTAAATACGTGTGAATATTTTAATTTACATTATTTTTTTCTTCAAGAATCTTTTATGATCTTCCATAAATTATCATTATCAGCAACATAAAAAAAAATTGTGATCATCGTTATTTTGTTTTTTGTTTTTGTTTTTTGTCAATTGCTCAATTCAATAAAATCGATCATCATGATGACAAAAAAATACAAACCATCATCATCAATGAATATGAATGAAACAACATCATATGGTTGTGTTGTTGATGATGATGATGATGATGTTTCACCACAACGATGGCCAAAATGTTGGCCATCATCATCATCAACATCATCTGCATCCACTTGCGCATCATTAAATCATAATCATCATCATCATCATTTATATAATAATTGTAATCATGTTCATATCATATCATCAATGTATCGATCAAATCAAATAACAACAACAACAACAACAACAATTTTACAATTAATTGATCAAATTATACGTTATTTAATATTGGCAATTTTATTTATATTAATTATGATTATGATACCTGTCGATGGTGGTATTATAATGTTGGCCAATTGTGAACCACAATTATGGAATAATAATCATCATAATCATCATCAACAACAACAACATAGTAGTAGTAGTGGTGGTGGTTATTATAATGGTGGTACTGTTGGTGGTGGTGGATATGGATTAAATGTAATTAATAATTATAGCTATACAACAATGACAACTAATAATAACGGTGGTGGTGTTGGTGGTGGTGGTATCATCAATGCAAATAATAATAATAATTTTTTAAATCAAAATCAATTTACCGATTATATTGCCTGTGCTAAACATGAAATCAATAATAATAATAATGGATTAATGACAACAGAACCAAGCCATGAACCACATGGATTTCGTATAAAAATTCAATCAAATCCAGATAAATATGTACCAAATGAAATGTATACAAGTAAGTTGAACATTTTTTTTCTGGGTTGGTGTATCCATTTTATTTTTGTTTGTTTGGATTATATTTCTGGTTTCTCATCATCATCAAAACCTAACTAATTAAATAAAAAACAACAACAAAACAAAAAAAATGATGTAAAACAACCAGTAAAAAAATAAGGATCAATGGATCGTTTAATTTTGTTTTTCTCTAACAAACAAAACAAACAAAAAAAAAATTGGTGGGGATCGATTTCGATTCGCTCCAATTGTCATTGATTATGATGATGATATTATTATTATCATTATTTTCTCTCTCTCTCTCTCTCCACAACGAATAAGATAATATCTGTATTGATCAGATTGAACATTGAGAGAAGGAGAGGAAATCAGAAAAGATCAACGGAAAAAACAACAACAACAACAACAAAACTAATCGATAAAATCAATTCAATTATTTTATCCATCGTTGTTGTTGTTGTTGTTGCTATTAGGGTGAATATATTTTTTTTGCTGTTGTTGTATCATTAAATTGTTTATTCAGAATTACAGAATTTTGAAAATTGTTTTTTTCCCAAATTCTGGCTGTTTAACACAAACACACAGAGAGAGAATGCATTTACAACAATTCATTTATGGATTTGCTTTCTTGAAATGATTAATTGGTATGTGAACAAAAAAAATTTAAATTTCCGTTTGGAAATTTAAATTTTTTTTTCACTTCAATAAAACACACACACAGACACAACAAAATCATATGTTTTTTTTCTTGCTTTTCAATGTCACATCGTGATCACGATGATGATGATGATGATGATGATAAAATCGATGAATGGAAACGTTTTGGAATCAAAGTCATTTTCTCTCCATCTTTATTTTTTTTTCCTTCTGAGCACATCAATAATTGTCATCATAGTTTTTCAAACATCACAGTTTGTCACCATCAGCAAAAAAACGGCGGGCACAACCATTAGATTATATCAACTATGACTAGGACTAAAAAATGATTGTCATAAGCAGAAATAGTTGAAAAAAAAATAAACAAAGGGGTTAACAAACAACAAGAATGTTCTGTTCTGTTCTGTTCTGAATTTTGGCGAATGAATGAAATGAAATGAAATGAATTAAATTGTAGAGCGCTGATGATGATGATGTTGATATGAAAAAAAAATCACTAAACAATCAAAATCAAACAAAAATAGGAATTAGTGTTTGTTTATTTGAAATTAAATTGACTGTAAAAATAGTTGCCAACAAACAAACAAACAAACAAACACAAACACAAATGCAGAAAAAAAATCGACAAATCCTCGTCACACACACACACACACAGACAACGAGGTAATAATAATCATCACATTGCATCAAATTCATCGATTCATCATTGCATTGAAATGCATCATTTGACTAATAATTGAACTAGAAATTTTCTGGAGAAATTAAAAAAAAAATCAAATTTTTTTCTCTCTTTCTCTCTGATGATGAATAAATAAAGATAATTACAATTTTTCAACAACAAAACAGCCGTTTTTTTTGGATTTTTTTTGTGTGTGTGTGTCAACAACGATTCACTTATTAAAGAATTTGATTATTATGATGAAAAATTCTCTAGAGAGTGAGAGAGAGATTCTGAAAATTCTGGCTGAAATCTGATTTTGCTGCTATCATCATCATCATCATTAAATTTAATTAAATTTGTTTTTTACGAAGAAAAAAAAACAACGAACGATAATAATCTGATTATCATCGTCAGCAGAAAGAAAGAAAAAAAAAGAAATTGATTAATTAAGATCAATTATTATTGATTATGATGAAATGTTATTGATACAATGGCAAACATTAACCATTTTTACCTTTGATTGGATGACTGATAATGTTTGACTTTTTTTTTCTTAAAAATGAAATTTTATACACTCGACGATTGATGAGAATCTTCATCATCATCATCATCATCATCATCATTAACATTAACATTGACATATACATTGATAAAGGCGTGTGCGTGTGTGTAGGCCAATTTTGATCTTGTTTTTTCTCTTATTCTTTTGCATCAAAATAATTGAGATTCATTTTGTAAGTGAGTGTACAGGAAAAAAAAACAAAAACTAATTGTTTTTGTTTTGTTTTGATTTGTTTTGTTGTTTTTTCGTTAGACAAAACACAAAACATGATGATGATCACATAATAATATTCTTGTGTATCTTGAAGGTATTGAATTATTTATTCCACATTCGTTAGTTATTCATATATGATGATGAAATTCATTTAGACGCCCAATTCCAATGAATGAAATTCCAATTATTCATTAGTTATACGGTTACATTCCCATTATATCTTAACGCTTAATGTCAATTACTGGCAAAATAAAAAGCAATAACAACAACAACAACAACAATGATAACCGAGAAGAAAAAAAAAGAATTTCGTTACATAAAACCACGATAAATGAGAAAAAAGAATCAGAAGAGAATCGATGATCCAACAAAAAAAAACCTCAAGTAGTACGTATATATATTAATTAAATGCACATTGAATGAATAATATACACATCGCCCGCCATTACCATTATCATCAAAAAAAAAAAAAAAAAATGTTGATGGTCGGGTTCAATCAACATTCACAATGAAAATTTTCCCTAGTCTATTGCACCTATTTCCTATTGATTCGTTAACTATATATATATATATCCAAAGCTAAACAACAGTTCTATCATTAAATTTCAATCATTTTTTTTCCGCATCAAAAAAGAAAAGATTGCAATATCGCATTGGTTGTCGTGTCTCTGTGTGTGTTCACATGATCGGATAATTAGATTGAATTGTTGTAATTCCTTTACTGGAGATACTTGCAAGAATTCATTTTATGTATATATCGATTGATCGATTCTGATTATCGTTCATTTTTTTGAATCACACAATTACCAATAATAATAATGATGATAATGCGATTAATAATAATGTTACACAATTGACAAAAGAAAATAAGAATAAGAATAAGATGAAAATATGTCGACATGTACGAGAGATATTTCAAAAAAAAAAAAAAATTCTCATTTTCAAAAAAAAAGTATTTCATTTTCATTATATAATATATAAATTATCAATGATGAAGAACTGAAAATTTTTTTTTCTGTGGTTTTTCTTGTATTTTCGGAAATGTTATGTTATGTTCACACACACAATTGACTGATGACAATAATTTGAGATTTTTTTTCTGGTCGGTCTAAAGAATTTGTGATAAGAATTTTTTTTGGGTTAGAAATATTAATGGAATATAATGTGATGACTTGAAAGGATTTTCAATGTGTTTTGGTGGTGTTGATGGTGATGGTGTGTGCGGTAGTGGTGATAATAATGATAACAATAGCAATATGATTATGAAAGAATCAAATTCATTCAATCGTGATAATGATGATGATGATGATGATGATGAATTGTTAATTTCATTTAAATTTTTTTTTTCAATAAAAAAAAAATTTTTTTTTCTATCATCAGCATTTTTCGAATTTCTTTTGTTTGCCAATGTTTGGATGCCATTTTGTCTTACTTGTCTGATTTCGGTGGAAATAGCCTTAATAATGTTAATGGTTTGATGATGATGATGATGATGATTAGAGGCCAATCAATTTTGATTTTCACACATTCAATAAATCGACAATGATGATGATGATGATTATCATTATTTTAGGGGCCAATGGTTTTTTTTGTTGTATCCAATTGGGAATTGCCCAAGAAATTTTTTTTTTCTTTAAATTCTTGTATCTGAACAACAGTGGATGCCTTAATTGATGTTGATTTGACTTGAATTTTTTTTTGTTTGGTCAAATTCGAGTACGAGTGGCATCCATTTCGTTTTATTTTTTCGTTTGAACGATTATCATCATCATTATCAAACATTATTCAACGTCTGGAGACTCTTTTTTTTGTTTTGTTCAAAAATCCCATTGAGAACCCAAAATGAAACTAGAGAGAGAGAAAAAAAGAAAACTTTTTCATTCCAAAATTATCATCCACACAACAACAACAACAACAACAACAACAACCACCACTTTGCAGAATTAATGGCTAATTATATCTCACTTTTTATAGCCGAAAAAAATAATCAAGTGAAAAAAAAACTGTATATAAAATAGTAACAAAATGAAAAAGAAAGAAAAATTCTACAAAATTCAGTTAATATCATCATCATCATCATCATCATCCACAGATTTGAATGAACAGAATTTGGATTCTTTTTCTAATGTTAATATCACATTATCCGTATAACTTATCCTGAGGCATTAACATATCATTTACATTATTCATTTTGATTTTGATGATGATTTGTTAACTAACTTTCTATATATAATTTTTTTGTTTACAGTTGTTTTACAAGGTGATCAACATCGACCATCCAAATATTCTGTTCCAGGTGGTTCAACAATCTATGGCCCACCATCATCATCATCATCATCCGGTGGAAATAGCCAAAGATTTACTGAATTTGTGTTATATGTTGTTCCTAAAGATTTTTCATCATCATCATCATCATCATCATCACAATCTTCATTATCATCATCAAATTTAAATCGTTGGACATCATCATCATCATCATCATCATCATCGTATCACCATCATCAACACAACAACGATCATTACTCGATGTTGGTAGTTTTCAGGTAAATTATGTTGAAAATTTTTTTTGTTTTTTCAATTATCCATATGGGAACCATATTGTGATTTTGTTTTTGTTTTCATTTTTTTTTTGTTTCATGTGACAAATTATCGTTATTGATAGTAGCGTTGTAGATCTCATATAGATTTTGTCTCCATAAAAAAAATAACGTCTTTTTTTTACTTTGAGCATAAAAAAAAGTAGAATGAAAAAAAAAAATTAAACGATGCATGCAATTTGCAAACTATGATGATGATGATGATGAAGCTTCACATAATGATTCTGCTAAAGCCTAGGCCAATCGAAAGAGTTGAATAATTAATTCTATATAGCCGCCGAGAGAGACAGAATGAGAAAAAAATTTATTATGAAAAAAAAAGTTGCAAATTGAAGAAGAATCGTGTAGTATTTAATTATTTTTTTTTTTTTTGTTTCTACTAACTAATTTTCTTGTTTGATTCATCGTAAAAAGCCTCAAGTGTACACCGATTCATTGGTAAAATTATCTAAAGATTGTCCAAATGCTGTAACGCATACATCGCCAGTGCCAAAGAATGAAATAAGCGTCATGTGGCTTGCACCACAACAAGGTTCTGGATGTATAGTATTCAAGTAAGTAGTCGTGATTTTTTTTCCACCGAATATGTGAATTTGATTGAAAAGAATGGCCAAATTATTGAATGGTTGTTTTTTTTGGCGTTGATTTTGGATAATTAATTATCTATCTATTCCATGCAATTTTTTCTATCATTGATTTACATATGAAAAAAAAACAGAGCTATTGTAGCCGAAAATAAAGACAGATGGTATCATGAAGATGGTGGCCTAACCAAAGTGCTTTGTGAAGAAGAAGCCGATACGATAGCCGATGCTGAATCGGAAATTGTCGATGAATGTTGTGCCTGTGATGAGGCTAAATATGAAGTTACATTCGAAGGTTATTGGTCTAAATATACACATCCAAAAGATTTTCCTGCTAATGCATGGCAAACACATTTTTCCGATATAATTGGCGCTAGTCATTCATCCGATTTTCGTATATGGGAATATGGTGGCTATGCTAGTGAAGGTGTTAAACAAGTAGCCGAATCCGGTATAACGAAAAAACTTGAATCAGAATTGAAAGCAGAATCAAGTAAAATCCGTACGATAATTAAAGCTCGTGGTCTTTGGTATCCAAATTTGAATGGCAAAACATTTGCCGTATTTCGTGTGGATAATCGTCATCATTTAATGTCATTATTATCGATGCTTGGTCCTAGCCCAGATTGGTTCATAGGAGTTAGTGCATTGGAATTATGTTTGAAAAATTGTTCTTGGGTTGCCGATAAAAGTATCAATTTATATCTTTGGGATGCTGGCACTGATTCTGGTGTCACTTATCTATCACGTGATCTACCAACCATACCACAGGAACGAATTCGTCGTATAACATCTACATCGCCTAATTTACCCGAATCACCATTCTATGATCCAAGCGGTGCACCAATGAAACCATTCGCACGGCTAACCATTTCAAGGCAACGAATTTATGAAAAAGTTTGTGGTGATGATGATAACCGTTTTAGCATATCTGATTTTGATGATGATGATAATCGATGTAAGTTGATGTTGATGATGGATAATCTAATTTAGCTCAAATTTTGATGAGTCAGATGTTTTTACTTTTTGTGTGTGTGTGTTTGGAATGCGATCACTAATTGGCTTCATTCTTCTTTTTTTTCATCTCTTTTTATTTCTGTTATTTATTTAGCTACCGATTGTTCAGTGACCGAATGGACTGTATTTGGTCCTTGTTCAGTTGCATGTGGCCATGGAATACGTAAACGAACTAGAAATTATATGAATGAAAACGAGCTAAAGAAGTTGGCTGTAATATGAAACTAATTGAAACTGAAGAATGTGGTGCTAAATGTGTCAATAACGTTAGCTGTGAAACTACAGCTTGGTCTGAATGGACCTCGTGTAATGTTACATGTGGTCGTGGATATCGGAAAAGAAATAGAAAATTTTTACATCGTTTAGCCAGAAATTTATGCCAAAATGTTGAACTTGAACAACGTGAATCATGTGTTGGAACTTTGTCTAATTGTGGCCATCAAAATCAACATCAATCATCATCCTCATCTTCATCTTCATTATCATCAACTTCAACCGGATCATCAACTGGCCATAATAATTATGATCAAGAAATAATTGAACCACATTGTGCAGTGACCAGCTGGTCTGAATGGACACCATGTTCAGTTGAATGTGGTAAAGGAGTCAAATATCGTAATCGATTGTATATTAATGCTTATAAATCGAAAAATGTTTGCAATGTTAAATTGATACAAGTAATCGAATGTTTCAACAAAGCCTGTATAACGCATAATAATGATGCACAACGTAAGTGTGTTTCAATTGAATTCTAAACATTTTCCTTTTCTATAATAATAACAACAACAACAAACAAACAAAATTATCATTACATGGATAAAATTTCAAAGAATTCTTTATATTCACTATGAGAGAAAAAAAAAAAAATCATGTTATGAACATGGAAATTTTTCCATAATATCAGAATGAATTAGGATCATACACACACAGACAATCATAATGTATTCGAGATATAGTTTCATTAATTTCTTCTACAAGAATTTCTCATATATGATATGGCTTAATTTTTTTTTTATTCTTTTTCTTTCTTTTCATATATATTTAACTTAATTTTTCTGCTGCTGTTGTTGATCGTTGTCTGCGACAGATGTATGTTCATTATCAAAAGAAGTGGGCCCTTGCCGTGGCTATTTTCCTCGTTATTATTACGATTCAAGTAAAGGTGCCTGTCTACAATTTATATATCGTGGTTGTCGTGGAAATCATAATAATTTTGAACGTTTACAAGATTGTAAAGAAAAATGTGAAAATCAATTTAAAGGTATTACGTGATATATGAATTTTTTTTTCGTAAAATATAATGATGTTTTTTGGAAAAAAGGATTTATCGATGAAAATATACGTTCAAATACAAATGTTCAAATGTATAATCAATATAATCATTCAATGACATCGCCATTGATTGGTGATGATCAAAATTTGGTTATCGATTGTGTTGTAAGTATTGATTGATTGATTGATCGATCGATCGATCGAATGAATTGAAAAACAAAAACTACATTTTCATCATCATCATCATCATAGGTAACGGTATGGTCCGAATGGAGCCAATGTACAAAACCATGTGGTAAAGCAAGAAAAGAACGTAGACGTGAAATAAAATTAAATCCACAGAATGGTGGACGTAAATGTCCAAAATTGGTACAACGACGTAAATGTAAAGAGAATCCACCATGTGGTAAGTTATATCATTTGATAATGAAATTCTGATTTATTCAGAGAAAAAAAAATTGTTTCATTCAAATTGCTTTTGGCTTATGGCTTTTTTCCTTTTTTTTCCTTTTCGATATTTTTTTGTTTCACATTTCATATCCATAATGCTTTCGATAATATGATGATAATAGTTTCGGATAATCGAAATAATTATCAACAAAAAAAGAATGGCCATAATAATTATCATCATCAGCATCATCATCATCATCATCATCAACAGCAACCATATGGTGGCTATCATCATCAATATCATCAAACATCATCATCATCATCAGCAGCAGCAGCAGCAGCAACATCACAACAGCAGCAATCACGAAATACTCAGGATTATCCACAATTAAACTAACAATCATAAAAAAAAGTCAAATGAAGATGCCACTTATGCTGATTATGATGACCGCTGATAATAATGATAATCAGTCGCAATTATTATTATTATTATCATCATCATTTATTTTCAATTTCCCGCGATTTTTTTTTCTCTTTCTATCTCTTCTTGATGATCTTCTTATTTTGTGCTATACACAGAATGTGCAATGAGCCAATGGAGTGAATGGAGTTCCTGTGAAGCTCATTGTGATACCGGTAATGGATTAAAACATCGTCATCGTAATATAACACAATATCCGGATCCTGGAAGGCCAACATGTGGTGCTACTGTTGAAAGACAATATTGTGTCGATTATCCAACACCTTGTAATAATTGAATGGCATAATACCATACAATACCATATATATTGTTATAAGTCTTTGAGAACCAAACAAAAAAAAAAACAAATTCTGGTTCTCATTATGAACGATTTTATTGTCTAAAGTCAAGTTCATCATCATTCCTGTGTCATTATCATCATCATCATCATCATCATTTGAATTGTTCATTCTTTTTTCATCATCACCATCATCAATCATCGTAAACTACAATACAATAGAATACATACTAATACTATTTCACATCATTGCACTTAATTATCCAACATACAATTCTTTCACATCATCATCATCATCATCACGATCATCAGTCTGTGGAACATCAAACAAATATAAAAAAAAAAAATGAATTGGAAAATCCCCCCCCACTTTCACGGCATGGGGTTGCCCCTACTAATTAATCATTTCATTTTTTCTCTTGTGTATGAATGGATGGCCATATATATATATATTGGTTATAAATTTGTATTGGTTGCTGTCGTTTGGTGATGATGATGATGATTGTTCATTCGTTTTTATTTGTCTATTTTGTTTTCATTTTGTTTGTTTGTTTGTTATTGTTGTTGTTGTTGTCCCTCTGTTTTTGATGATCCATTTGGTTTTTTTTGTTTTGGGGTTTTTTTCTCTCTCTCTCTCTTGCTACCAATTCTGGTTCATCCATCCATTCATTTATTCTTTGTTATAACCAACTAACCAACAGACAACAACAACAACAACAAAAAAAATCTATCATTCACATTGTAAACACCAAGAATTTTTCATTTTCATTTTTTCATTCACCATAATAAGAATCACACTCGCACACACACACCCATACATGTATTGAACCATCATCAATTTGATGATTCGATTCTAAATCGACATATATAATGTAAATATGGCTGTTGTTTTTCTTCATGATTTTTTTTGGCAAAAAATGAATTTGCAAATCTTCCATTTTGATTATTAATTTGTCATTATATTTAAAATTATTGATTCAATATAATAATAATAATAATAAAAATATTTATAATAATAATAAATTATGAAAATCAAAAAAATGATGATGAAAACGATGATGATGATGTTTGTATTAAAAACAAAACAAAACAAAAAGTTTATATTTGGAAAATAAAAATTGTTGCATGATGATGATGATGATTTAGCTGTGCTATAATAATGTTTTAATAAATTCTTCATAATTAATTTTACCATCACGATCATGGTCAGTTGTTTTCAATAATTCATCTAAATCTCTTTCGGTTATTGATTCATCCATCATTAACATTGCCGATTTAAGTTCATCACGTGTTATATAACCATTTTTATCTTTATCAAATACTAAAAATGCTGCCTTCAAATCGGCTTCAGCATCATCATCTTTTGGTGTTTTGAAACGTGAAAACCAATGTAAAAAATCTTGTTCATTAATTAATTGATCACCTTAAAAAATAAACACAATTGATTGATCAATGGTTTAGATTTGAGTCAAGTTTTTTTTTTACTTACCACTTTTTGATGCTTCTTTAAATATTTTTTGCAACATTCGATCAGATACAGCGACACCTATACTGGTCATCATATGTTTCATTTCATCGGAATTTAATTTACCATCATGATTAGTGTCAAACATTGCAAATGCACATTTTAATTGGCCATCATCAATTTTTTTATATTTAGATTTATGCATAGATCCAGTGGTCGATGATTTTGATGATGATTTTGATGACTATAGAGATTAAAAAAAAATTAAAATTTAACTATAGTTATCTTGTCAAAAAAAAAAAAAAAAATAAAATAAAATAAAACATAGAACATCAAACCATTGCTTTCTTCATGATCTTATGGATCATTCGGTAAAGATTTTTTTTTCAATTAACACAAACAAACAAACAAACAGGAAAAAAAAGACAACAAAGAATCGTTGTATTCTTTAAGAGAAGCAACAAATGAAAAAAAAAATTTAAAATAAGAATAAGAATTTGTCGTTATAACACACAGACACAAAAAAAATCAATAAAAATAAAGCATCAGAAATGATAAACACACAACAACGGAGAATCGAAAACGATTCGGTTATATGGTATTTGCTTATTTGTCGTCGTTGTTTTATTTTTTCTTTTCTTCATTAACCACCATCACCGCCACCAACGCCTTTTTCATTTATTCATTTATCCATACCAGTTGTTGCGTATACCTTCATCATTTTATTTGGTTCGTTGTTTTATTAGTGGCAAAAAAATAAAAAATGAAAAATGAAATAGTAACATCAAAGATGGCATAAACCAAAAATAAATTGGATACAAGTTTTTTCTTTTGATTTTTTTTTGTTTGCTAAAAATAACCATCGTTTTATTTTTTTCGATTCTAAAAATGTAGCCCCAACCAAATGAAATATAGAGAAAAAGAAAAATTTGCATTTCAATTCATATGCCAAGAATGTCAACCATTATTATAGACAAACAAAACATTAATCACATAATCATCATCATCATCATCATGAATATGAGGATCATTCTCCAAGGAAACAGTCGAATCATTGTCTTGTTTTTTTTGTCGTTGTTGTTGTTAAATTTAGGTGCGAGAAAAATATGAAAATGATAATCATACTGATGATAGTCATGGACAATGTAGTTGTATTTATGCAGCATTTATTTATCTTATCCTGTAAAAATAAATTATGGATGAATTGATTAAAGACAAGATAATCTAAGAAGGTTAATTAATGTGATTATCATCATCATCATCATCAATTGTCATTCTTTTATTGTGAGATTTGAATATTTATTCGAATTTTATCATGTCATCAGTAATGCCATCTTTTGGTCGAAAATGTCAAATCATATGATGAGCAATATAGATATATCTATATCGTGTGTATACATTTATGATATCATCTTGTGGTTTTGCCGCCAAATTTTTTTTTTACGATCAAGTTTTTACATTCCGAATCCATTGATTATATCAAAATGACAACTATAAATAACAATAAAAAACAGAAAACCATTTTGGATTTTTTCACCAAAAAAACCAATCATAATAATGTAACAAATACTAAAATCGTACCTGTAGATAAATCAAACAATTTCAATGTGATTACAATTATCGATGATACTGGTAACACAACTACTGCTGTTAATGATAAAAACAACAATGATAATGATAAAATTAATGAAACGAAAAAATCCTCAACGATAGTGTTAATATTGTAAGCACGAATAATAATAATAAACGACCATTGGGTTCTAATGATGAATTGAAAAATGTTGAAAATTCAATCATTGAAATCAATTATATCGATGAAAATTTATGTCAATCTTTATTCGAAGAACTTGAAATTGATGATGAAAAAAATTGTGATTTGAATTCAAAAGAAAAAATTGCTGATGATAATTATGATGAACTCGAATCAAAAGAAATGATTACTGACGATAAATATTCTAATTTTGAAAAAATTTTTCAAGAATTTCGACATATCATTCAAACGGTATTGAAGAATCCATTAAATGAACATTTATTCAATGAACAAGATTGGAAAAATATACAGGATCTAACCAGTTTAGATGGATCAATTCAAGTATTGTTCATACGATTATATATGCGAAAACATGATTGGATTCGAATTGCAAATATTAAATATCCACAACTTTGTGATGATAATAATGGCGATCATTCGAAACAATTACAAATACTATTTAAATCAGGTTTTATTCTTGATCGTAAGTCTTTCATAAATGATGATATTTTCTTTCTAATTAATTTAATTGTTGATAACTAGATACAAGTTTAAAATCAATTGAAGATGGCTTTTCGGCGCTAACATTTTTAGAGGTTAAGATTTTTCTGAAAAAATACAATGGTTTCAAAATGCCTAAATCCAATCTAAAACCAAAAGTAATCGAAGCATTTCTTCATTATATTCGTACGACTCGATCGGTGTGTATGAGTAGTAAAACAATTGAAGAACAGGTGTTACAACGACTTCAAAATTTTTGCCAAGATAAATGTATTCGAATCAATGAAGATAAATCTGAAGTATTAGATCGAATATTTTTACTATATCATTCACCAAATGATTTATTGGAACAATTCGAAGATAGCAACGAAGATCAATGGTATCGACGTGTATTGGGTGATTATTATAATGATAAAAAATTTAATTTCATCTCTAAACAATTGCAAGCAAACATTTACTGTGGTCGTGATGAATTATTAGAATTTGTTAAAGCTTTTACCATATATTGTGAAATAATCGTATTGAACAATCGGAAACAATTTAACGAAGTAATCCATCGTCTTCTTCCATTCATATCAGAACAATATTATATTTGCATGGCTAAATGGTCGAATAAAGATTCTGGATTGGCAGAATTTCTACGACCATTCACAGCCACTGGAATGTATGTTCGATGTTTACATCAATGTTTAACATCATTGGACAAGAATCGACTACATTCAATATATATTGTAAATGTGTTAAAATTATTAGACCAAAATATCTATGGTGTACGATATCGACCACATTGGTATATACGAGCATCGTTAATTAGTCAAAATTATATGAAAAATCTGGAACTAGCTGAACAATTTTGTAAGGATGGTTTACGTGATCCATCCGTTTGTTATGATCATAGTCTTGAGCTATATAATCGATTGTTAAAATTGAACAAATCAAGTGTTCAAAATTCACCAGACCTTTGCCCGGAATATCATAAGCAAAATATTTACAAAAAACGTACAATCGTTGCTTCATATCGTCATATTGAAAATGAAACGGATAGAAAAAATTTCTTCGTAGCAAATCATACAAATGGTGATGTGGAAATGATTTCCGTCGAAGAAGTTGTTCGTCGACATTATCTTAATGAAGGCTATACTAATGGAATTCATTGTGAATCCAAAGTGTATCATTCGTTATTGGAATTGTTATTATGTGATATCATTTTCTCCACCGATATTCCCGATACATTTCATTATCATGGACAAAGATTTCCACTGGATTTATGTTATGATTCATTTTATCAGCAACGTAAATCATTGATTGATGATCGAATTAATGAGATTTCTCGTTGGTCATCTGAAGCACTTTCAATCTATATTTCATTAGCTGCATCTAATAATACTAAATATCCAATCGACATTGAATATATTCTTTTGAATAATTTGAATGTAAGTACTATCATTTATCATCATCATTAATTTATACTTTACTTATGTTTCGAATTTTTCTTTTTTTTCAATAGGAAATCGCCTATTGTATGACGGCACCGAAATTGGCTCAGCTTTTACTATTACTTGCTAAAAATTATCGCCATCTTCGTAAAGGTTTTCCTGATTTAATCATGTGGAATAAAGATACCGGCAAATTTAAAGCAATTGAAGTGAAAGGACCTATGGATCGTATATCGAATATACAATCAATTTGGCTATCGATAATGACACAAATTGATTTAGATTGTGAACTTTGTACAGTTAAACAGAAAGATGATCACGCTTAAATCTATCAATAAATTTTTTGTAAATTGCTAAAATAGAAAAAATTAAATTTCGAATACTTTTCCAGGAAATTTCTTTTTTATTGTTAATTCTTGAAACTTTCCCATGATCATTGAGTTTGGCGCCTAAACTTGTTTTGTTAAAAAATTATAACCAAGTCAACTGGAAAAATAATGCAATTTGAACATCGAAATAAACGTTTACGATTATTGGCTGAAAATGGTGGTCAAAAATCAAATCCATATCCGTATTGGATTAATTTCTATACTACACCACCGGATTATAAAGTTTCATTACAAGAAATCGAAGATATGGTCTCTGAACGTCTGAAAATTCTTGCTGTCTTTGATAATCTATTACGAATTAAGGAAAAATCTCGTGCCCTTTTCGATGCGATAAATTCACAGATCTGCAGTATCAAATGTGAAAATAATGAAAAGAATTTTTATGTGGCAGGCCGTAGTGAATCGATTGGCAATCGATTTGAAGCTCGTAAACGTGATCACATTTCACACTTTCTTTTGCGCATTTACTATTGTCAAAATGAGGAGCTTCGTCGTTGGTTCATTTCAAGAGAATCAGAATTGTTGAGAATTCGATTCATTGAATCAAGTTTTTCGGATGCTTCATCATTGGAAGAATGTTTACTCTACTATGGATACAAATATGAAATTGTTTCGATGGTCGACAATCATGATTTATTTCATAAAGTTGATTGGGCTGAATATAATCGCCGAAATCAACAGCAAATTGCATTCAAATTGAAATTCGAAGAAGCATTCGATTTGATGAGATTTCGTAAAGTGTATCTACACGATGGTTATGCCTATATCGGATCAAACGAAATTATCTCTGTTCTATGTCAAGGTTTTAAAACCAATTTGTCCAGAGAATTGACACGAATGCATTCATATTTCTATTCGTTTGGTGAAGAGCGATTAATTTGGCGTTTAGAATCGTTGCATCATCATTACATATTAAATGCTAAATCATCGAATCGAAATAATAGCCAAGATAACGATAATGGCCGTGAACGTATCCATTTGAATGAGATAAATGAATTATCTCGTAATATGTTTCCACCGTGTATGCGTTCAATACATGATAGATTACGTCGTGATCATCATCTTAAACATTATGGTCGCCTTTATTATGGTTTATATTTGAAAGCAGCTGGCTTATCAATGGATGATTCGATGGAATTTTTTCGTAATGAATTGTCTATAACGAATCCGGAAAAATTTCAAAAAGAATATTCTTATACGATACGTTACATTTATGGAAAAGCTGGTAAACGTGTACAATTGAGTGCCTATAAATGTCACAAGATTATTAATGACAATGCACCTGGCCCTAACGATACACATGGTTGTCCGTTTCGACATTTTGATGTTAAAAATTTAAAGGCTCTCTTAGTTCGTTATGGTGTGAATAATGATAATGATCTGGAAGAAATTGTACAAAAAGTAACGGAAGATAAAAACTATACAGGTGCTTGTGGCAAATATTTTTCCATAAAATATGGGCAAGATCTTCCTGATCAATCGGTTTATCATCCAAATCAATTTTTTATTGCAGCACGTCGAGCAATAAATAATCCTGTCCAATGCACAACTGATGTAGTAGATACGAGCCTTCCACAAGAACCGAATGTATCGACTTTATAAATGATTTAAAAAAAAGAAAAATAAAATCGATTTTAATAAAATGATGTTTTTTAAAAATTATCTTGCCAATTAATCCTGTTCTATTGATTAAATACAACGTTAGTAACAATAACAAATAAACAATTTGAACAATCACTTGGTGTTAAATTTTTATCAATCAAAAATGTTTATTTTGATCGAATTTTTGTATCCGAATTCAGCCATGATCTGGACATTGGTAATGTTGATGGATAATAGGTGCCTTTTTTACGTTGTAATGTTCCATCTGAATTTCTTAATGGATATGTAGCCATCAATATCGGTAATTGAAGTTTGATTGTTTTTCGTGTTCCTTTTGCAACTACCATGAACTGTACATAGAAAATGAGCAAAAAGTTTAATAATTAAAATTGGTTCCAAACAAAAAAAACTTACATAGACATCATATTGAATTCGAATCAGGTTACATCCACGAAGATTTGTCGGAGGTATTGGTGGTATGTATAGTAATTCATTTTTCCATTGATCACTCGATTTTGGTTCGATTTTACCTCTTTCAACTGATGCTAGTTCACGTACTTCGCTTTGAATAACTCGATTTTTCGATGTATATTGTATGGTCTATTTGTTTTGGACGAAAAAAAAAATTAAATTAAAAGATTTGCATTTAACAACTGTTTACAGTACCTCAGTAAGAATTGCACATGATTTTCGAATCTTTATTGAACTATTGTTATAAATATTGGCATTTATCGAAATACTTTCGCCAGGAACATAACCACCACGATCTAATCGTACCCTACAGATGATTTTTCCATTAGAAAAACAAAGAAATCCTAACTTTTCTTCGATTTCACTATGGAATGGTTGTGTTAATAACGATGGCTCTTGATTCAAATCGATAGGATTCATTACGATTAATACTTGGTGATTTTTATGTACCATTCCATTTGGATCTCTTAGTTCTGCTTTGCAAAAATATTGAACCCAACCATGTTTGCCAAGGAATGTTGATGGCAATCCTAATGGTAATCCTAATCGAAATGGGAATGTATGAACGCCTGCCGATAACACTAACAAACGGCTCATCGATGCATTCAAATTCAATGTACTTTGAGTGTCAACTCTGGTTAGATTATCGCCCAATAATCTCATTCTAAAATCAATATAATTTTCTTTATCACCAGAAACGATACCACCACTACCGACTAATCGAACAACACATTCACCGATTATGTGAAAGAATAATCCTAATAATAATAATAATAATGAATGGTAATGACAAACAAATTTTTAATATATATAAATAAATTTCAAAAATCAATAAAAACTTACCAACTATGGGCATATCATCATCCAATTCGAGTACAACTTTACCGGTAAGAAATGTACCGGGAAAATATAAAAGGCTTTCATCATCCAAGATGATCTTAAAGAATCGTAATTTTTTCACCATTTTCACCAAATTTTTTTGGATGAAAAAGTTTGTTGTTGCTGTTGTTGTCGTCGTTGATGTTGATGATAATGATGACGATGCTTAGGATGGTTGTCGATGGATGTTATTTTGTTATGTTGTTGTGAAGGATAAATCAATATATATAAGTTTAAATGCTCGATGAATCTTACAAAAAATTTACTCAAAAAAAAACTATTCACTATGCAATACACATCCATATAAAAACATTTCAATGGACCATCACACACTATATAACATGAAATTGGAAAAAAAACCACTTTTCAAATAATGAAGATATATTTATGTGTGTGTTTGTGTATGCATATGATGTATGTGGATTCGTCATTAAAAGTTTTTTTTTTCTTTAGCGACCGATTGAGTAAAGTACTTGTTGCATCTTGATGAATTTCCTATTACGGAATTTTAGTTGCACTGATTTCATACATACATATGTGCGTGACAATAAAACAAGTCGAATGTCAACTTTTACTTTTGTTTGGTTTTATTTTAAATTTATGTGTGTTGGTGTATTAAACTGGCGGTGGTAGATTTCATGGTCAAAATTTACATTTTTTTTTTACATATCGGAAGAATTTCATACCGATTGGTTTTATACAAAAAAAAATTCACTATATATCTGAATGTGAATGGATGATAAAACCAAAACAAATGAAAATGAAACGCAACAATCCAATGTAACTCGGAGCTAATTTAGAAAGGAAAGAGAGAGAAAGAAAGAACGACTGATGAGTATACGAACTTCGGGGACACGAAAAATTTACTTTCTCTTTTGTTTGACTCATTCAATTTAATTTTCGATCAATTTTATGATACGATGATGCTCTATACTCTCATACATTTTGTTTACTTGTTTTTAAGAATGAATTTTTTTTCTTCTTTTCATCATGTTGGAACATCATCGACGATACGATCGACAATGTTCGACATGATGATGATGTTGATGAAAAGTGAAAACAAAACAAAACAAAACAAAACAACAAAAAACAGGTTTTTTCATTTGGCCAATTGATATTTCAATGAGATGTGAAATTATCCTGTCTGTGTATATATGTTTTGGACGATTAATTTTTCTATATACTACTATTGTTCATATAGTAGATCATCATTTATTTACTTGTTGCCATAATATTCATCAAACACACACGACATTTTGATCCAGAAATAGAAAATGATGATCATCATTATTGTTGTTGAATGTGTTGCCATTAAAATGTCCTAATTCTAAATATGTTTGGACAATCATTTCATTTCATTTCATTCATTTCTATAATACGATTATATTTGTGTTGTTTCAATACACAAATCATATATATGAAACAAAACTTTCCGGATCTGGATTTCATTCAACTAAAAATAGAAACAAAATACGCCAGAGATTATGGTAAAAAGAATCAAGAATTATAATCAGGATTAGTTTGTTTATATTTCAAGCAAATTTATTGGATAAGAAAGAAAAAAATCAAAATAATTCATAATTTATATATCGACAATTTTCCGGTGAAATCCGTACCGATCCAGGCTTACAATCTCTATATAGATGACATATCATACAGGGAGCATAGAATAAATCGGATTTATCACGATTCAATGGATTATATCGAAACAATGATCGTTCACCGATGGTTTTTTTCAAAATTTTACATTCAAAACATAATACATTGAGAATATTTTCAATATCGGCCATTTTTATATCATGAAATAATTTTGCACCTTTGAATTCATTGAAAATATCCGATGCACTAGCATAGACTGGATCAAAATCTTGATCAGTAAAATCATCATCATTATCGCTACAGTTAGCATCAAATCTGGCAACAGCTTTTTCAAATGAACTTTTGCATTTGTCATATAAATGTTGTAGACATGTAGTTTTTAGATTTCGAACAACATCTTCCCGTATTGAACCGGAATCATAACAGGCGCCACCAGTTATTGTTTCATCAGGCTGAAGATCGAACAGGAAATATAATTTTCTATTCGAAATGGCTTTTATTGATTTGATTAGTTTTTTATTTTCCAAACTTTTTAACACTTTATTGAGAACAAGTTCGGCCAATTTTGTTTTTGATCTGATATCACGAATCCAAATACCATTATTGTCCGCTGCTCTGATTACATCTAGAACAATATCTTCATGACTTTTTTCTTCAACAAACAGTTCAAAATGTGTCACATTATTTCCAGGGCCATCCCTGGTTTGGATTTTTTTCTCACTAATCAATGAATTCAAAGCACTTAATCGAAGTGCAACATCAGCATTGCCAATACGCATTCTGAGTTCATTATCAGTGATGGCTGATTTAGACGACTGTAGAACCGAATATATTCTAAATTGAAATAAAAAAAAATGACATAAGAATGTGAATTAACTAAAACAAAACTTTTACCTTTTTTTCAATTGTTCTAGATTGTCCATTTTTAGAAGAATTATATGACAATTTAAAAAAACGAATTCTGCTCATCAAATGATCACGTGGTCAAGTGATGAACGAAAAAAAAATCGATTATATATCGATATTAGAAAAATTCATTTTCAAACAGCAAAAATCATCATCATTTATAATAAATTAAGAAAAAGAAAAAAAAACTTGGCAGTTTATTCAGAATCAGGATTTAGTGTGAATGATAAATGTGTTTGAAAGTGATGTAGTTTTTTTTCAAATATTCAATACAATTCAGAAAAAAAGTGGATAAAGGAAAAAGAATTCAACAAAAACAGTTTGTTCATATTCATTATAATAATATTCGTATCATCGGAAAAAAAGATGTATTGAGAATGTGAATTGAAAAAAAAACATTCAATGGTCACATGTGTGTGTGTGTGTGTGTGTTTTAATAAAAATGGTCGTGATCATGATATATTATGGCCATTATATAATGCAAAAATGAATAGGAATTGCAATGTTTTTCATAGAACAAAAAAAACAAAAACATAATCATCAATCGTTGTGAAGATATATATCCGAGTATTCGTGTATAATTGAAAATTACAAAATCAAATGTAAATTCGAATCAAACAAAAAAAAAAAAAAATGTTTCAATGACAAGAATGTGAAAAAAAAATCAATGAATTGGATCGAATGACATGAATCGATGAATTTATTATACAAGGAAAAACAAAAATGAATAGATCGATATTTGTTATGGTATGATGGTTGATGATCAAATCAAATGGTGTGAATATAGTGAAGTTTGTCATAGGTATTCGTGCGTTTTTTTTTTTTTTTTTTTGGTTTTGATATTTTGGTTTCGAAATATTCATGAATAAATATAAAATGATTTTGCATTATTTACAGGATGAGAATTTCATTTCGTTTTTTTTGGGGCGTTTGCAACCACAAAAGTGGTTTTGATTTTTTTTTTTTTTTTTTGGTAACTGAAATTTTTGTTGTTGTTGTTGTTGTCATGAGTTTCATTAATTTGATTATGATGAAAGCTCATTTGTCATCTTGCCGAGATATGACACAGAATAGACAGAATGAGAATATCAATGCAAGTACTTGAACACCGACCAAAATTGTTCCAGCCAATATAATGAATAATTGTTTTTGTCTGATAAATTCTTCAAATTTACTCATACATCCATCATTATTTAGACCGCGTATATCCTTGAGATTTTGTATATCACGTCCACGAATATTCTCCAAACGTATTGGACATGATTCCTCATAATCCTGACAACAGGATCTAGGTATACGATAAATTCGTTGATCTGGTCCCATTGGAAATGGTAAATTATTCATCAAATTGGAATTTTCTTCATTTGTTTGATTATTATAATTGGATGTGATCCAATCTTCAGGTCCCATTATTCCACAACAAGAGAAATATCGTTGTATACGATCGACTAGCATTTCGGTAGCATTAGTATTTCCGGTTCCATAATTTCGTTTAATCAATTTGGTTGTATCCAAACGAATTCTTTCGCGAACCTTTTCTCCATTACGAATGGTCCAAAATAGAAATGCACCGCTTAATACACATAATATTAAACAGATCGAAATATACTAATGGATAAAATAGAAAAACAATTGATTAATTGATTTGAAATTATCAATATAAATAACAAACCATAAGCAAAAGACATTTGGATTCACGTATAGCTCCACAACAGCCAAGGAAACCAATGATAGTCATCAAAGCTCCTAGGATAAGTAAAGCAATGAATGGTGTAACATAATGTGTGCTGATTTCTTGAATATCAAGATAATTCTGTGAATCCCAGTATAGATAGGCAAAAAGACTAAGAATGAACACACCGGTCAGCTATTTAAAAAAAACAATAAATTCAATTATCATTCAATACAAATGGAAAAAAAAACATTAATGAATTAGAAAACTTACCCAGAAAATGAAATTGTATAAAACAACAATCAATTTGATACAGATGAACATTTTCGAATGAAGCTTCTTTTTGTTGCTGTTGTTCGAGTTTGGATTCTGGATATTTACTAAATTATTATTTCTTGTTCGTTTCGTTGTAATGTTTTTTTTATTTTCTTTTTGATTCAATTTTCGTTGTTATTATTGTTTTATTTTTGTTCGTTTCGTTGTCGTCAATTTGATTCATTCACCTATGTATATAGAAATGAGCTAAAAAACAGAAACACAATACAATCAATCATCAATTCAATCAATCGATCGATTATTGTTGATCGATAATAATATATATGTTAATTTATAAAGACATTAAGAAAACAACAAACAACAATCCCACACCCACACACACACGATGGAATGCTACCGAAAGAATCCTGGAATTTTTACTTAATTACTCACACATCACATTATACCTTTTTACAAACTTGACAAATTCAAAAAAGTTTTCATTTTCGCTTCACTGAGAAATAAGAAATTTTCCGGATAAAAAAAGTGTAAGTCAAGCATTTTTTTTCTTATTCTGAATTAGAAATGGCTGAAAAAAAACAAATGTTTAGAATCTAAACTTTAGATAAATATTCAGGCCACACAGATGGTCGTGTGTTGTGTATATATAAAAGTTAATCACTAAGAATGAAATCTGACTGAAAACATCGATTCAATGATGAAAAAACATATATAACAAGTTTACTTACATCGTATTTTTTTTTAATTATTATTACACATAATCATCATAATCATAAATAAGCTCAATGTAATAATCACTTGTTTTTTTTTCATCGAAATTCTTTGTCTTTTCTTTTTGGTATATGAATTTTGAATCGTCAAACAACAACAACAACAACAACAACAGTTGTAGATCTGTGTATTACATAAACATAAAATATAATAATGCTGTTTAATATTTAATATAAATATATAAAAATAGTTTTCTTCACTGGAACTATTGCATACATACATACAAACAAACAAACAAACAAAGGTGTATTGGAACACAAAATATTCAAGTAGCCATAATGAAAAATAAGTATAATGATAATGATGATGATGATGATGATGATGAAAAAAAAAACACAAAGAAATTCGAATTTATAATACTTGTGCACTCGATTATAATGGAAAAACTTTTTTCTTCTTGTTTGTTACTTTGTATTTGAATTTTTGCTATATATATGACCATAATAATAATGATGACTAGTAGATGATGATGACATTTTCAGCTGATTACCAACCAGATAATAATAAACTTAAAAAATGTCAACACAAATTGTCACTAGATTTTTTTTTTTATTATTTGTTTATTGGAACGCAGAATAATCACATGATTAACACACACACACACACAAAAGATGTTGTTGTTGTTATTGTTGTTGTTGGTGAACACACCCAATTTCCAAGACACACTAGAATCGATAATAATAATATAATATTATTATTATATGATCAATCAAAATGGAATTATAGCTAATTGATGAAAAATTCTAATTGATATATCATTTTGTTGCTTTTTACAGGCACAAAATTTTTTTTTTCTTTGGCTCATTCGGTTTGGTATTCTATTCAATTCAAAGTTTGTTATTATTATTATTATTATTATTATTACTTTGGCCTTTTTTTCCGCATGCCAATGAAAAAAAGATGCTATAGACAACAACAATAACAACCACCAAAATGTATAAGTAGCAACCAGAATAGTTAAGTTCATAGACAATGAACAACAACAACAACAACGAACGAACGACAAACTTCAATATAGTGGAGATTTTCATTTTATTTCAAATGGATGAATGAATTGGATATAGCATAATGGAAACCAACCATCGCCCACCACCACCACCACCACCAACGCCAACATTAACATCAACACCAGATAAAAACGAATCGAATCGAACCGTAACACTCATAATAACTATATCACCGAATCGAATGTGAGATTCCCCGGGTCTTCATATTTTTTTTTTCATCATCGTCACCATCTTCATCTTTCATCAATTCTGGTGGTGGTGGTGGTTTCTATCAAAATATATCTATGATCTATGGTGAACAGCTACGACGCCGACGCCATACTGAATTTTTCTTTTTATTTGTTGACCAACAAAATAGCATCCGTGTGTGTGTGTGTGTGTACGATCATTATATTGTTGAATGCGTTGTTGTTTAAATTCGATTCATTCGCAAATAATACACACATACACACACACATACACACGAAATCAACAGAATCGGAAAAAAATTCTTTAGCTTTTTCTCCTTTATATTGGAATATATTTATTCTGTTGAGATGGAGTGCCATAGACATAGACATAGAGATAGAGATGACTCACACATCATGCGGTATTTTCGGTTTGGGTGTGTGTGTAGGTGTTTTCTTGTTATTTTTCCAATTCATTGGATAAGATTCCCTTCACATTTTTATTTTTTTGTTTGTTTGTCTATCCAATCTATACAGACAGATGATATAAGAATAAGAATGTTGTTGAATATAAAATTAGTTCTAGGATTATATATTTCGAAATATTTGTGTGTTGGCGTGTGGACATCATCGACAAACTACTTTTTTTTCTGATGATGACGACATTTTTTATTGTTTGCATTTGTATATGGATCAATATGACTGGAAAAAAAATCTCAATCCACTTTGTTGATTTGTAGTGGCTGTATTTTTTTTTTAATACTAGACCAGTATGGATTGTGTTCAATGATGATGATGATGTTGATGTGTTTGGTTTTATTTATATTGCTTTCAATTCAATTTTCACACTTTTTTTTTTTCTTGTATACATACATTGAGATTAATTTGTAAATTGATTATTGTTGTTGTTGTTGTTGTTGTTGTTGACAACAAATTCGACAACTAACACGACAACAATAACAATAACATCCCGTCTCATCATCATCATCAATTCTTTTTTTTTTTTGATGATTGTCGATAATGCACTTACCTCGTTCTTTGTAAACAAGGAAAAAAAATGTTTTTGTTTTTATCTTGTTTTTTTGTTGATGAAAATGGAAAAATTATCATTACAAGATTATCATCATCGTCATCATCATCACGGGTTTTCTTTTTTCTTTTTTTTTTTTTTTTTTGGTCAATTCTTCGAACACCAATATCGAAAAATAAAGTTTTCTTTCATATATATCACACACACACACACACATATGTAGAATGAGTAGATTAAATACTAAAATACAAGAAAAAAAAGAACACTTGATAAGTGTCGTAGTAGTTGTTTAGTTGTTGTTGATTATTTGGATTGGTTGTGATTGATGTTTTCAAAGAATAATTTTAGTTGAATGAACAACAAATGAAATGATGATGTATGGTGAAAAACCATATATATAACATATAAAACACTTAAGATGATAATGACATCGAAAAAAAAACAAAACAAACGACTAAATTAAGATGAACTAGAAAATTTATTCATTCATTTTATTCAATCATTATTTTATTTGGTCACATCTGCAAAGGCGGCTACCAAGAGACAATAATAATGATAATGGCTGGCTGGATGGATGGATGGATGGATGGACGAATGGTGGTAGTGTTGGTTGGTTGGTTGGTTGGCTAGTGTTAGTGGAACACCACCAGTCATATACCAGCTATATGTTGTATGCCCTATGACCTGACCTAACCACCAGAAGAGACCTAGATATATACAGTTATTTTTGTATTGAATTGAAACAAAAAAAAACCATTGCCACTACAACCAATCAAATCACCATGGATATATTCCAGAAAATAATTCTTCTACCTTTTTTGTCCTCCTTCTCCTCCTCGGATATCGGATCAACCGAACCTATTTTTTTTTTTTTTTTTGAAAAAAAAGGATAGTATTCATCAAAGGCCAAAGTTTGTTGGTTATTTTTTTTTTGCTTTCGTTGTTGAAATTCAAAACTTTCAAAAAAAAAAAAAAAAAAAAAAAAGGCGAGGCCCATCCAATTCAATGTGTATGTTTATTTCATCTTCATCATCATGATCATCCAACTGCGATATGTCATGTATACCAAAACAAATGCATATGGTACTCTTGATGATGATGATGATGAAAGCAACTTGAACTTTTCATTCATTTGAACTATGTGTGTGTGTATGTCTGATTATTTCAAATGTAAAGTGACAATTATCTGATTTGAATTCAAATTGAATTGGACACACACACACACACACACACTTGGTGACTGAGGATTGCAAATCCTAAGTGAATGATTCATTCTATTCAAATGAGCCGGGAATAATAATGATGATGAAAAGTTTTATGGAGAATTTTTCAGATTATTTTCATTTCATTTTATTATTAGCGTTTATTATTAAAGTTTTTCGTTTTGTTTTGTTTTTTTTGGATAGCGTTTGGAACATGAATGCGGATGCTTGTTTTTTTTTCTTGTCTCGTTAGTTTCATTTGGCTGGATTATTGAATTTTTTTTTTTTGTTTGATTTGTGATTTTATATTTGATTTGTATGTCTGTTTCATGGTTAGTAAACATTTGGTTAGTATTTTGTTTGCAAAAAACAAAATTTGTTCAATTCATTCGATTTCGATTGTTCAACATAAATGCATATCGGAAAAATGTGCCTTATTCTTGAACATTGGTCCCCATTCATTTTCATTGCCATTTGGTTTACGTTGACGAAACCAATTTTTATCCTGTTCCTGACGGGCCTGTTTATCTTTTGTGGCCATTGTGGACCATTTTGAGACATAGATGTCTTGTCTAGTATAGAAAATTAATTTTGCAACAACAACAAAAAATTTTGGTAAATCATCATTTCATTGTAAAAAAAAAATAAAAAATAAAACAAAACCAACTTGTTTTCATCGTGATTTGATACGAAATTAGTTTTCGACATTTTTTTTTTTTGATTTTTTTCTTGTTGTTGAACGACAAAAAAAACAAAATGCAGAGAGAGAGAGAGTGAGTGAGCTTGGTTTGAAAACAGAAAAAATATTGAAAAAGTGGAATGCTGCTGCTGCTAATTGAGAATAAAGGGAAATTAATTAATAAATATAAAAATCAATCAATTAACCAATAGATTCTTGACTTACAATGTGTTAATAATAATATTTTCCTAGAATAGAATTTGATAGAATTTTTTTTTATTTGTTTCGATTTTCAAACAGCAAATTCAATGAACGTGATGTAATTGTGTCAATACACGTAATTCAAGCGTATTACCGCAATTTGCCAAACGACTACCCAATTTTGATGAAATATTTTCAATAATCACTTTGAAACTTGTTGATGATGATCGATAAGATTTTTTAATATTGTTGTTGTTGTTGTTGAACAATGAAATTCCGATTTCCGGGAACATTAAGAATGATTTTTTATAACATAATACAAAATATAGACGAAAAAATTAATGGAAAATAATCTGCGAAAAAAAAAGAAAGAATAAAAGAAAGAATGATTGATCAATCAGCAATCTGAATCGAACACAGAATTATTGTTAAAAGTTGATAATTATAAATTCCTTTATTACTGGAAAATTTGATTCTAGCCAAATGTGAAATGAAAGTTTATGTGGCATAAATTTTTATATTCGAAAATAGAAACAGAAAAAATTTTTTTGTCTTATTTGTCAGGAGTGGCTGTGACAAACTCAAGTCGATTTCCTTCAAAATGCAAAATCCAAAAACAAAACAAGTTTACTACAACTACATTCATCATCATCATCAAAACCTGAATTTCTTCTCTTTAGGCGGAATTTTTGTCTCAAAAATGTTACTTTGAAGATCATGAATGAATGAAAACGTGATTTACACATGATATATCGATATTAATCTCTGTTTGTTGTTGTTGTTGTTGTTGTGGTTGAAATTCACGTTTCTTTATTAATTAAGCTAGCCATTACTTTTCTCCATTGGGTCATATATTATACTTTATTTAATTTTCTAGTTAGTTAGTTAGTTAGTTAGTTAGAAAAAACTTGTTCCAGAAAAACTTGTATGTAAAACTATTGAATGTGTTTTTGATGTGTATGATCGATTGATCGATTGATCAACAACAACAACAGCAGCAGCAGCAGCAATCTCGTGATTTCAATCGTATCCGATGATGATGGCCATAAAAATTCTTCTTCTTCTTTCTTTCTTTCTTCATTTTTTGTTGAATTTAAATGATGTACATTTCACTGTCATTCTGTTGTTGTTGTTGATGATGAAAAAAAAGTTCATTATAAATTCAAATCAAAAAAAAAAATTTCAATTTATCAATTTGGATTCTGAATAAATGAAAAAAAAAAAATACAAAAACACCAGAAAAAAAACATGCACACACACACACAGTCATATATATTCAGTGTAAACAATCATTTTGTTTTTTTTTTGTTTTTTTTGTTTTTATTATCTGAATTTTAATCGCACTATACACATATATATATGTACAAAATTCTATTTGATTCGGGTGAATGTGCCCATATGAAATGAAATGAAAAAAAAACGAATGAGGTGAATTGGATTTTTGTTTTTTTGTTTTTGTTTTTCTGTTTTTTCTGTTTTCTGCGTACATTTTATATTATTATTCCTTCTGGTCAAATGTATCGATTCATCGTAGGAAGGGTACATCATCATCAATGTCAACAATATTGTTTCAAGTTTTTCGTTGTTTTCTTTTTTTTTAAATGGAAAATTGAATGGTAAATTTTCATTTTTCTCTCTGGAAAACCAAGACAAACTGGTCTGAATGAGTGAATATATCTAATAGTTACCTCCACACACACACACACACACACACACACACACACACTTTTTGAATTCAAGATGGTGTCGTTTTTTTTTTCTTTGTTGAGACCATAAAAATGATTCACAAGCTACTCCATCATCATCATCATCATCATCATCATTCATCATTTATTCATATAATCGATTCAATGATGTAATAAATTCGTTAAACTATTCGATTTGATATTTGAAAAATAAAAAAAAAAAATTGATGGATCCAAAAAAAAAAAAAAAAATAATGGAACCATCAACCAGTTCTTTGTACAAACACACACTCTCTTTCTCTCTATATATATATCATTGTCCTTGTACTTGATAGTTTGTTATTATTGTTCAATTCACCATTCATCAATAGATTTACCGGTGTTTCATCATATATATATAGTCAATAACAAATGTATTGAATGTACATTTTTTTTTTTTGTGTGTGTGTGTGTATTTGTTGTTGTTGTTATTGATTCTGGATTCTAGTTATTTTATTTTTTTTTCATTGGATTCTTGTTTGATACAGATTACAGATTCTTAAAATAAAATTACATGTAACATATATACATCTTGTAAACATGGCCAAAAATAAAAAATAATGACGTTATAAGCCATAAGATTAAATTGAAATTTTTTTTGCTTGCTTGCTTGCTTTCTGTATCGATTTCTTACATCAAGGCTCGACCATAATACAAGGCTTCCATCACATATAGAGAAATGATTGGTTCGAAATGAAATGGCCAAATATTAACACAAATACATTCAAATGGCCAATACATTCATGTCATCGATGTATGGATTCATTTCCAAGAAAAAAAAACAAAACCTGTACCAGGACACGATTTTTAGAAAAAAAAGAAATCAAGAATAACAGAAGGTAAGGCAAAAAATGTCCAGAGGGAGAAATAATTCTGTTGAAACCATATTGATGAAAAAGAATTTAATGGAATTTAAATTATTACGATGTTATTTGTTGTCATCTTTTGGCATGTATTATATATGAAACAAATGGACAAAAATTTTTCCATGGAAATAAAGTATACCATCAATGGAATTGTAGCCATGGCTGTTTTTTTTTTTTTTTTTGCATTTATGATATGGTCATAATGATTCAAAATTATAATGATACTGATGACATTCAGTAGAAAAAAAATGAAAAGAAAATTCAATAAACACATGGCCATAGCTTTTCATAGTCAATATCTAAGGACAAATTAGGTTTGTGTGTGTGTGTGTGTGTGTGTGTGTCAATCATCATCATGAAGCAAGAAAAATATATGCAAAAAACCGTACCGTACGAAATGATTTTTTTGTCAAATGAATTTTTAATTTCAATTTGAAAGGAAAAAATTTTCCAAATGACGTATATTTATGAAACCAAACGAGAAAAAAAAAGTTTCATAGTAGTCCTTTGGGGTTCAAAGAGTTTATTCATTTTTGTTTTTTTGTTTGTCATTGATTGTAAAATTAGTTTAGTTCCACTCTTTTTTTTAACGTTGGTTGATTCGATAATACACACCATATGTGTATAGGAAAAAAAATAGAAAAGTTGAAGAATCAATTGACCTAAATTTGATGGTTGAATTAAAAATTTTCCTGTTTTTAAGTGTCATGCATGCATGAATATATCTGAATGATAATTTTCGTTGGCCAATTTCATCTTTGGTAATTATTCTAATTAGAAAAAAAAAATTTCATAAATTTTGAGGGTTGGTTGTATGAAAATGAAAACCAAAAAAACAAAAACAAAAAAAAAGGATTTTCATGCACTGAGATAGATTGTATGTAATATTCACAAACGAAATTTGTTTTCACATTTTTCATCTGCGTAATTCCATTGCACACACACACACACACACACATACAGAATATATCAGAATTTGCTGAATCAAACAAACCAAAATTCAATTCAAGAATTGAATTCGGCGCAAGTACATTAGATGTCCACATTCACACACACACACACACACATGATGATCATGATCATATATAAAAGACCAATGAAATTACCAACGAATGAAACATTATCGGATATTTCGACAATCCGTACGGATCATAAGTTATGATATTATGGAATTGTGAACATACCACATAGCCACCACCACCACCACCACCATCACCGCCACCACCACCACTATTATCAATCTTAATGTTTGTTTGAAGCCAAAATTAAGAAGAAAAAAAAATTGTGGTTTTTCAAAATAAAAAGAAAACGATGCATAAATAAATAAATGATGATGATGATGATGACGATGTTGATGATGATGATGATGATGTGATCATATAAAAACGGGAATGATTGTTGAATATTTTGTGTCTGCTTGTGTGCCATTTGCAGCAGCAACAACAACAACAACAACAACAACAATTTGCTTTTTTTCTGCCATATAAATATTATTATTATATTATGATCTCATCATAGACAACAAATATAAATATAAATGAAACATTTTCTGCTTGAAAAGTTGTGGAAAAAAAAGAAATTTTTATTATACAAAAACAACGACAACAACAACAACTTACGAAAATGAAAAGATTGTTTTCGGAAATATTTCAATTCTTTCAATAATATTGATGTTTGTGTTTGTCTGTGAATTTATTTCACACTGTTCATCATCATCATCATCATCATCATCTTCACCAGAATGCTGGATTTTAGCCAAGAAAAAGAATAAATAAGAATAAAAAAAAAGTGAAATTCGTTCATCAATTCCATCTTTTTATATTCATTTTTTGTTTGTGTGTGTTTGTGCGGTGAATTCGAATCTTTTGCTATTTTTGTGTGTGTGTGTGTCCCATTCGTCTATAACATAACATCTTTTTTTTTTATTGACATATAAAATGTTTTATTCATATAAAGATAGATTTCACAACTGAACGAAAGAAAATCATCATTTTTTTTGTTGTTGTCTTTGCCCATTAAAACCACATTATTCGGGCAAAAAAGTGGATTCAATTCATCACCATTCAATTATTGCTTTTAGTGCTTAGCTAATTTCAAATTCAAATTCATCTGTATTTGCAACTCATTTGCCATAGTCATCGTTATCGGTTGTCGATTCTTTGATTTTCATTGTTTTCTTCAAGAAGATAATTTTCTATATACGAATCCATTCAACAACAACAACAAAAAAATGTACGACCAAAATATTCAATTGACAATCCGTAATATGGAAAATATCCGCATTAAAAAATTTGTAAATATCATCACATTATCGATGCATGTTGTTGTTATTTTAATCATAAATTCTATACTTTTATCATCAATAGATGCGGTAAAAATTTCGAGTAAGTCAATTTTTTTTCAAATTTTGATTTTGTCAATTTAATTTTGTTTATTATGAAAAAAAAATTTAGATTTAATACCACATTATTGTGATCAAAATATCGATACCAAACCAATAAACAATGTGAATGAACATTATCAACATCATACTATAGAATTGAATTTAACCGAACCAAAATGGACATCATTTTTAAATCTTGGTGCATCAATTTTACAAGGTGTCGATGTACCAGACAATTATCAATGTCAATTAATTGTATCTAGTCCAGCCAATACTGGCCTGATATTAACATTTCGTAAAGCATTATTAAATGAACAAGATGTTATTACATTTCGTTCCGGTAGTAATCCACGACAACAAGTTTGGAATAATGAAACACGTGAAGGATCCCGATATAAAGAAGTATTAACATTAGTTGATCGTAGTAATCCTAGTGCTATTATTATTAAATATGAACCAGCTGCAGGTGTTTCACCATTTGACGCTGGTTTCGATTTGGCTATTACACTTTATCAAGGTAATGATGAAGAAAATAAATAAATACTTTCTGGATTAATGATTATATTTATTTTTATGGTTATTTCATTTATAATATATAGAAAAAGATATTCATTGTGGTGACAATTATGATTGTAATAATGGACGTTGTATTGAACCATCATTACAATGTGATGGCTATAATAATTGTGGTAATGATCTTGATGAATATAATTGTCCTGGACAGCTTAGCTGGTGGATGGTCGGCATGCTTATACCGATTGCCATTATTGTTGTTGTATTGGCCATATTTGTATGGATACGAATGTCTAAAGGTTGAAAAAATTCATACATGATCTGTAAAACAATTTATCCAAAAAAAAATTCAGTCAATTCAAAGATCTAATCAATCAATCAATCAACCCAACCAATTTGAATCAAAATTCCCGGGTTAAGAAAAAAAAGTAAACATCAATCCATGGCGCCATCTTTTGATTTCAGTCATAATTCAAGTTTTGAATTTTTCAAATCGCATCGTTTTATTTAAAAGAAATCAAGCTAACATGAAAAAACAACCGGAAATCCATTATTTCATTCATCATAATCATCATCATATTTATTTCCTTTATTTTCTGCACACACACTTGTCACCTGTTGATGTTGTTATTTAATTTTTTTTTGTTTATTTTTTTTCATATTTTGCTAAATAATTTTTTTTTGTGTGAAAAAAATCATCATCATCATCATCATCATATATCCACGTATATCAAGTACCACCTGTATCCACATACGCCTACGCCTACACTATGCTTTACAAAGACCAAATTTAGAAAACCAAAAATCCACCACCGCCGCCTACGTTCAGATTTGAATTTTTGTCACATTCATTTGACATTAACACAACAACAACAACAATGAATGATGATGATGATGACAATTTTCTTGTGCATTTTATTTGGATGGATGGATGGATGTATGTAAATCACTTTTTTTGTTTTTTCTTATTTTTTTTTTTTGCTGTTGCTGTAAATTTTAACATTTGTTGTTGTTGTTGTTTTTATTGTCAAATCAATCAATTTTCGGATTGTTTTTTTTATTATTATTATTTATGTTTGAATAATTTTTTTTTCATTGTGTTTGATGAAACGTAATTAAAAGAAAATTTGTGAATTTTGTTCATTTTGTTGTTGTTGTTATCAAGGTGTAAATTACATTTTTTTTATCCAACGAAAAAACAAAAATTAATTATTTGAACGAGAAAAATTAGCCAAGGATTTTTGTTGTTGTTGTTGTTCATTTTATGCATGAATAGTCATTTTTTTATTTGGATTAATCATACAGATACGGGTCAATCATCATCATCATTATCAAGATCAGACAATAACAAGGGAAAAAAAGGGGACAACATAACGGGTGATATACCTGCTGTTGTAATGAGAACCATTTGGAAATGGAAAAAGAAAAAATTATCTAGAAAAAAAAAAAACAACAATGACAATGGATATTTTGTGACAATATTTGTCATTATATCGCATTCAAATAATCTAGTTCAATGATTATTGATCATTGATCATTGATGATGATGATCAATGGATTTTTTTGTTTTGTTTTGTTGAAAACATTGAAAATCCAGTTGTCAATCGGTTTTTTTTTGTTTTGCTAATTAATTTTGATCAATTAAGTTGATGATTGTAATATAATTTATTTATGAAACAAAAAAAAACACTTGAAATTACTGAAACAATTATTTTAAAAAAAATTATCAAAATCAATCAATTTAAGTAGAAATTGGATCAATATTTTTTTGTCGGCAAACAAAATGACAAAAAAAAAAATTTCCTTGTTGTCACGTTAATCATTTAAAGTGGATGGAATTTTTTTTTTTTTTTTTTTGGACACACCCTTTCATATCCATTTATCAGATTATTTAAAGAATATGAAGAATATTGAATATTATGGATCGATAGATGGTGTTGATAAATCGTTTTCGGTGATTCGCGCCAAATATAATGGTTATAACCATAACCATTCGGGTAATAATAAAATGTGTGATGAGGTGAGATTATTCAACAATCCATAATGGTAAGTTAGTAGTGGTAAAAATTCTGAAATTCATAAATGATAGCCATATCAATAATATTTACTACTGCTACTACTACTACTACAATTACCGGTTATTCGATTCGGTATTGTATGGATGAGAGTAACCAATAAAAAAAAATAAATATCCGAAATCGATCAGAGTGCTTTAAAATTGAAATGAGAGAAAGAAAAAAAAAATTCAAATATTGCTCAAATTTGATCCAATAAGCAATAGAAGTCTTAGTAGTAGTAGTGGTTATAGTTATAAGAAGTGGCATTTTTTTTTTTTGGAATAAAATTCGAAAGGTAGTAGTACTATTGAATAGAATCCAGATGTTATAAATTCGAATTCCATTTTAGATTCTTTTCATTGTTTCATACCACTACCTAGTTATTGTTGTTGTTGTTGTTATGATTAGAATAAATGTTGGCAATCCACATCTAATCGAAGATGTTATGAAGGGTTAATGATTTGAATTCGTTAGACAAAACAAAACAAAACAAAAAAAAAAAATTTTCATTAATCAAAGATAATCATTGAAGGAATGTTGTTAAAATTGATGATGATCTTGTGTCAACAAAAAAAAAGAGTACTGAGACAAACATAATAACGGGATTTATTTATTTATTTATTTTTTTTTTTACTTGCTTATCGAACGGTTCAATCAATTTTTGTCCGTTCAAATGAATGAATGAATGAAAGAAACAAAATAACTGTTTGTCTGTCTGTCCATCAATGTGTGTGTGAGTCGGTATGTCTCTGGTATTTTTTTTTTTTTTTTTTGTATTCATGGATTTTTCTCTTTTTTTCCATTTCCAAATATTCCAATAACCATCCACTAACTTCATGTTAATTTTGTTTTTTATTTTTTTTTTACTTAAAATCATTTATATGTCAAAAATATTCATCGACATTATCGTTACCGTTATATAATAATAATAATAATAATCGGCTACCACAAGTGAAGAAGAAGAAAAAGAAAAAACATTCGATCAAAACAGCGATCATCATCATCATCATCATCATGACGACGATAACCTAGATATATAAATGTGTGTGTGTGTGTGTATGAGAGAGAAAGAAAAAATAAAAAGAAAAAATGTCGAAACTAAAAAAAAGAGACGAATAGATGATGATGATGATGATGAATATAGAGATCGATGGTTTTTTTGTTTTGATCGAGCCAGAAAAAAAAGACCGAAAATTGACGAATTTTTTTGTTCGAAAACAAAAAAAAAAAAAAAAAATAAACAACAATTTGAAATTTAATGTCTCAATCGATCGATACAATAAAATGACAACTAATCAACAATCATAGTTCGAATATATATTCATTGTGTGTGTGTGTGGTTTTTTTTTGGTAAGGTCACCGACAACAACAACGTCAAATCCATTGCAGCATCTATCAATTGATTAACTAGAGACGAAAAAAAAAATATCATTCGATTTTTGCAAGCAACAAATTGAATTGAAATTTATTTCTACTACAAATAATAAAGGTAAGTTTTATGTTTTATGATTTTTTTTTGTGAGAAACCAAACACACACACATACATACATAGACCAGATGAAATTTCACCTGGAATTTTTTATTTTATTTTTATTTTTGATTGAGAGTAATGTAATGTTTTGAGTATTTGTGTATTTTGGCTGCTTTTTTTTGGCAATAAGGCTATAACCTGCAATATCTCTCTCTTACACATTTAGGTTGTCTGCTTCTGTCTCTTTCAATCTATATTATTTGTATTTTTATTATTATTAGTTTAGTTCACTGTTTATTTATTTTTATTTTTTTCGCTGCCAAGAGACCAGAAACAAAAAACACCTACGTCAGTGTGTGTGTGTGTGTGTGTGTGTATGTATCTTGACAAACAAGGATCGATCTGTATTATAAAAAAACTATCGTCATCATCAAATGAACCAGAAAAATTAAACTAAAAACACGCCACACAACTAAACCAAATGGTAAATCTCATCATCATCATCATCATTAAACACACACACACATTATTGTCACGTTGTTATTTGCCCTTAACGTATACGTTATTTTTTTCTGTTTTTTGAGAAAAAAAAGAAGAAGATTATCCATTCATTGAATGTTTTTCATCACTTTACATTCATCATGGTTCGTTCTCTTTCTTTCATTCACAATCTATCTTTGTATATCTTCTAATAATAATCTACTGACAAACTGATTATGACGATGTCAAAAACGTTCTTCCGAGTTACCTGGTGGTCGTCAAGATCACAAACATACCAACAAACAACCCGATCTTCATTAGTAGGCAATCGATCAACAACAAGAACATCGTGATCTTCATAATAATAATAATAATAAAACGACGACTACGACGACAACGAAAACGACTCGTATGGTCACAAAATAGTCGTGTCATTTTTCTGTTTATTTTGTATTATGTAAATACATGAAATGGGTCAAAAAAAAGGTAAAATAAATGTGATGATTTGATTTACTATTCTAAAAAAAAAAAAAAAATTTTTTTTTTTGTTTTCTTTTTAAAATTTTTTTAGATTCATAATTATAAAAACGTCATGATGAATAGGATGATGATAATAATAAAACAAATATGAAAATATAAACAAGAAGAAAAAATTTACAACAACAATGTGCAATCTTTAAAGAAATCCAATCTTGTCATTATCAATCATCATAACTTATCAAATTGTTTCCAATTGAAATTATCTTTTTTTATTGTTAACGATGAGAAGCTACCAATTGTATTATCATCATCATCAACAACAATGATTTGTACACCAGATATACAGATATTATTGATATATAAAGCAATATATCTGTTTTCATTAAACACACACACACATTATTGTCACGTTGTTATTTGCCCTTAACGTATACGTTATTTTTTTCTGTTTTTTGAGAAAAAAAAGAAGAAGATTATCCATTCATTGAATGTTTTTCATCACTTTACATTCATCATGGTTCGTTCTCTTTCTTTCATTCACAATCTATCTTTGTATATCTAATAATAATCTACTGACAAACTGATTACCTGGTGGTCGTCAAGATCACAAACATACCAACAAACAACCCGATCTTCAATAATAATAATAATAATAAAACAACGACGACTACGACGACAACGAAAACGACTCGTATGGTCACAAAATAGTCGTGTCATTTTTTTCTGTTTATTTTTGTATTATGTAAATACATGAAATGGGTAAAAAAAAGGTAAAATAAATGTGATGATTTGATTTACTATTCCTAAAAAAAAAAATTTACAATTTTTTTTTGTTTTCTTTTTAAAATTTTTTTAGATTCATAATTATAAAAACGTCATGATGAATAGGATGATGATAATAATAAAACAAATATGAAAATATAAACAAGAAGAAAAAATTTACAACAACAATGTGCAATCTTTAAAGAAATCCAATCTTGTCATTATCAATCATCATAACTTATCAAATTGTTTCCAATTGAAATTATCTTTTTTTATTGTTAACGATGAGAAGCTACCAATTGTATTATCATCATCATCAACAACAATGATTTGTACACCAGATATACAGATATTATTGATATATAAAGCAATATATCTGTTTAATTAAATTTTTATAATAGAGGTGACAATTTTTTTTCTTGTTTTTTTCTTAAAAAAAGTGGATATATATCATCAAGTGATCATCATCAACATATATTTATAAAAAAAAGAGAAAAGAGACATGAATTATATAATCAATATAACTAGAATCTTTTGATTCTTTCATTCACTGTCTGTTGTATGTTTATGATACTAATTCTTATTTTATTTTTTTCTTTTTTTATTATTCTTTCATTTTTAGGTCATTCATTCATTCAAATAGTCAAACAAAAATACGCCTGATGAACAACAGAATTGAATAATGATGATGATGATGATGAATATGATGGTTCAGATTTTATTCGAAAGAATATAAAAGAAAAAGAAAATCTCAATCATTGAAGCTAAATCTTTTTCTTTTCTTTTCTTTTTTTTTTTTTTTTTGATTCAAATATTTCATCGCATACGAGAAAAGAAAAAGAAAAAGAAAATCATCATATTAATTGTCGCATACTGTTGTTTGTGCACGTTGCCATCATTTATTATCATTGCCGACAACCGCTCTTCTTTAGCCACCATCAATATATTACACAGTGTGTAAATTATTATTATATCCTCTCAATGTGTGATTATTATATTATTTTATTTGGCAAAAAAAAAATTTTCTGTGAATGTGTGTGTGTGTGTCTCATTAAATTTTGTGAAAAATGAAATGAAATTTTACAAACACACAGACAGACATTTTCCATAAAAAAAGGCACGTTCTCTATAAAGCCGCCTGTTATCCATCCAATTCATTCGTTTATATATTGCTCTCTATAATTCGCAACATTGAAACAGCAGAACAAAAAACGGTTGAACGGCACGAATTATTAAAAAAAATTGGTAAAAAAAAATCATTTCTGAGTCATGATATACAATACAATTAATAATAATACAAAATCATCACTGTGAAAAAAAATAACGTACAACAACAGCAACAACAACTATTGACTCACATCATCACATCAAATCAACAGCGGTTAAAACTTTAAAATTAAAAAAAATTTTTCATCATTCAAATTCATCATCATTCGAATCCATTAGAAATTCTGCTCAACAAAAAAAAAAAAAAAAAACAGTAAAAACCACACACACACACATCAACCAAACCACGCCGCTTTAGGTGAGAACGACGCCGACGCCAAGTTTTTTTTGTTTTATTTTATATTACAGTTAAATATATACCAGTGTGTACGGAAACGAAAAAAAAAATCGACAGTTATTATTATAATTGAAACGCCCCTATATTCTATTCGTTTTTTTTCTGTTCATTCGTCTGTGTTTTGTTTGTTTCTGTGTGTGTGTGTGCGTGTGTGTGTGTATGTATGTTTTTTGTGCCATATTTTTTTTCCACATTTATTCACATTTGATGATTCGCCTAATTCATTCATTCATTCATTCGTTCATCACTTGTGACTCAAATCGAACATCTCAAAACAACAATAATAACAACAACAACAACAACAAATACATCCAGTCAAAAATCATTCACTCATTCGGGTCAATCCAAGTCAAAACATTTCATTTCAGTTTCAGTTTCAATGTGTTGAAGAGAGAGAAAAAAAGTCAAAGTCAAGTTACCCCTTTGAATTTGCATCATCTGTTTATTATTTTTATTTTTTTTTTGAACAATTTTTCATCGTCGTTTTTTTTCGATTGTTTAATAATTGAAAAATATTGTATAGAAAAAAAAATATCGTCCGATATAGAAACACGCCGTCCAATAAAAATCGAACATAATGAATGATGAAAATGTGGCCGATTCATCAGCCGCAGCCAGAATAGCACCAACATCAACAATAATGATGAATAATGATGAAAAGATGGCCATGAATATGAATATAACGAATGAAGTATATCTAAAATTTGGTAGACCAATATCAAATGAATGGTCAGAATTTCCTGGGCTTCCATTTGCCTTTGAATTTGAATCAAATTTTAATCGTGATTATCATCGACAATGGATGTACGATAATTGGTATATAGCGATATATGTAAGCATCATATACATAATGGTTATATTTACTGGCCGTTGGTTGATGACAAATAGACAACCATATAGTCTACGTACGCCTATGGCCTTATGGAATTTAGCTATCGCTTTGTTTTCATTGTTTGGCACAATACGTTGTCTTCCGGAATTCATACACATCATTACGCAGGAAGGAATAGAACAATCATTTTGTTCAAGTTCATATTATCGTGATGTACGAATAACACTTTGGTATTGGCTATTTGTCTGGTCAAAAGTAATTGAATTAGGTGATACAATATTCATCATATTACGTAAACAGAATCTAATATTTTTACATTGGATCCATCATGTATTAACGTTATCATATGCATTTTTCGTTATTGGTGATGCACCCGGTACTGCACGTTGGATGGTTTCAATGAATTTCACCATACATACATCAATGTATACATATTATACATTGAAAGCTATGCGTTTTCGTATTTCACGTTTAATTGCAATGACAATAACAATAGCGCAAATTACCCAAATGATATTTGGCCTATACATCAATATGAAAGCCTATTTAATCAAACAATCTGGACAATCATGTGATACCTCAATATCCGCTTCACTATGTGGCCTTTTCATTTATTTTCTTTTTTTCTTATTATTTATCAAGTTCTTTGTATTTTCATATTGTTCCAGATTTCCATTGATTGGCTTACGTAAATCATTACGAACAACAACAACAAAAACAACATCAAATATCAAAAATAATAGTATCATTACAAACAATAGCCATTCAACAAACATTAGCAATAGTAATAATGTTCGATCGATGAAAAAACATGTTGATTAATCCATAAATTCTTCCTTTGTTTGTTTGTTTGTTTGTTTGTTTATTTGTTTGTTTGTTTTTCTTTGTCTTTTTGTCCATCCAACAAATCCAATACCCATATATCTCTTACCATCTACCTACTATTCACAATTTTTAATTAAAAACAAAATAACGGTCTAAAAACCCGGTATTACTACTACTGCTACTGCTATATTAATTTAACAAACAAAATACGAAACAAATAAATCTTTTTGTTTAAAAAAAAAAAATAAAACTTTGTACCTTGTATTCAAAAATAAAAAAATTTACAAAATTAACGAAAATTTTTTTTTCTATTTATAAAAAAAAAAAAAATTATTCGTCATACACACCCACCAACACACACACAGAGACACAAACAAAATAGCCCTGTTTGTATTTTGGAACGAATTTTCAAAACAACAAAAAAAAACATTATCGTTTGCTGTCTACAATTATATATAAATATTATATATCCACGATTCACACATGTTGTAAAAGTTGAAAATTCCTATTCAAAAAAAAAAAGTAAAAAAAATTCATATGACACAGCCACAATATATATATGGAACATTTTGAAAAATTTTGAAAACAAAAACTCTGTTGCCTTCTTTTTTTCTTTCTTTCTTTCTTTCTCTTGATCGTCATCATCATTCTCATTATCATCATCATCATCATCATCGTCGTCATCATCATCATCATTTTTCATTCATTCTTATTATTATTATTGTAATTTTTTTTTTATTATTTTAATTTTAATTAATTAATTAATTCATTCGATTGATTTGATTGATTGATTGATTCAATTGTGAAATGAAAAAAAAGTGAATAATTTGTGGCGAAATATTAATAACGATAATAATAATAATTCTTTTCAATTGATTACTAAAATATATAATTTCTATGATCTATGATGATTGCAAAACAAAAAACAAAAAAATGACAAGAATCAAATGATTCAATCATCATATTGATTGATTGATTGATTGATTGATGGTTGGTTGGTTTTTTTTCACAGAGAGAAAAAAAATGGATCAAAAACAACAAACAAACAAACAAATGTGATGATAAATTTTGGCAATTGCGAAATGAAAAAAAAAACAACAACAACAACAACATACACTTATTGAACTTGAACTTTTTTTTTCAATTTTCAAGGTAGTTCAACGTGTATTCATAGTACAGATGAATGGATGATGATGATGATGATGATGATGGTGAAAACGTCAACGTTCGAATGACGAAGACGACGACCGAAACACAGACCCAAATAAACATTTTCCATTTCTCCTCCAAATTTTTCTTAATGTTTTTTTTTCGTTTTGTTTTGTTTATATCATGGATATTTGACGGGCTTTTTTCTGAATTTTTTTAAACAGCAGTAAAAGTAAAAATAAAATAAATAGGCAAAATTTCAAATGGTTGTTGTTGTTGTTGTTGAAAATCACGTTGATCCAGAAATGATTTGCGAAATGAAAATTAAAAACATACACATGCCATATATATGATCATGATGAAAATAAACTCATAACAAAACAACAACAACAACTTGTTGCATCGACAAATTCATTCATTTGGTCTCATTTTTTTTTAGTGTAAAATCTAAGGAGAATGACATTGTGCCCTGTCGACCGGCCATCATAACGGATCATTATTATCATCGTATGATGATCTTCTTCGATCATTATGATGATGATGATGATGATGATTGCTCCCCTTATTAAACGGTCACATTTGTCTTGTACTGAATTTTCTTTTTTTTTTCTCCACAAAGCTCATCGGATTATTCGATCGACATGATGATGATGATGATGATGACATAATGACACAGTGGCAGTGAAACCTATACGCGTATAATATATACAGACAAAAATTAGACAAATTTTTTTTCCGAATTTGTTGATTTGTGATATAATTTTATTATAGTGTATGATTTTTTTTTCAAGAGGATATAGATTTATTCATTTCCAATCGGCAACCGTTACCATCACAATTTATGCATGTATGTATATATTGATGATCTGTTTTCCATTGATAAGCATCGTTCAATCTTATGTATCGGCTGTCTGTATTTATCAAGAAAAAAAACGAATGTTTATTTAGTAAATTGATTATTTACAATCAAACGAACAAAAAAAACAGAAATATATCTGTACCTATCATATAACAATATATACAACAATGCCAAACACTCGTATATTCAAAATATTGCAACAGTTTCAGTCCAATGGAAAATGAAAAAAAAAATTTCAATGCAAATTATTAGACTCAAAATTGAAAATTCATCATCATTAGCGATTGATAAAACATAAACAAAAACAAAACAAAGATGAATTGAATTTTTGAAGAAACAACAAAATTCATTTTCCACAAATAAGTTCACTATGTGTTTATACAGGTAAAAAAGTAGTGTAAACAACAACGAAACACACACACACAAAAAAAATTAGAGCAATGAATATGTGATAAAATTTAAATTTAGGGAAAAAATGACTACAGAGACAAACAAACAAGCAAACATAGCACACAACTAATGAAAATGAAATTTCCATTTTCATTTTTTTTTGTAATGACAAAAAAAACGAAGCTTGGCCCGAATTTTCATCATCAGATGACGTTTTGAACTAATTTCCAATTTGAAACCGATCATAATCATCATCATCATATATATTATAAAAGTAATAAGAAGAAAAAAAATTGAACCAAAAAAAAAAACAAACAAGAACACATCACCTACCTTATCTTCATCATAATCATCATTAATATTATAAACATTCAATGATTATCTCCGGTGATGATGGTGGTGGTGGTGATGGCGAAACTAATGATGACGATGATGATGATGATGGTTTCATTTCCTTGTTTCCATCATCACCATCAACATAAGCATGAGCAACATCGTTGTTGACTTGTCCAATATCATTGCCAATCATATTTTTTGTTACTATATTTTCTTTGAATGTAGAACGATATAAAAATTTTTCCAATTCAAACAATTTACTCTTAATTTCACGCAATAATTTTTTTTCATATTCAATTTCTTCAGTTATATCACGCATACAATCCCATTGACGATGATAAAATTCATCATTATTATTATCATTACCATCCATTCTTGATAATCGTTGTTGTTGATCAAGATATTCGCATGCTAATAATTTCCAATAAAGACAATCTTCTGGTGATATAATGTTTTCATTTTCAGTTGATTTTTGTTTCCGTTGATGATGATAAATTCTGTCGAATAATTTACACCATTTATGGCTATAACAACAACAACATAGAATGTAGACAATATAATAACATAATAGATACAAATAGTAAATAATACTGAATGGCTCCGGTATTGATAATCGATTAGCAAAATCTATCACTAATTGATAACGTTGAAATTTCCAAATTGAATCAATTTCTGATACCCATTTGGAAGCGGTCACGGCAAATATAGAGAACAATAAAGGGCCAAGAATTAATTTAAGAATAATGAAGAATTGAAAAACAAAAACGTATATGATAAACGTATCGTTATCATCATCATTTTGATAATCAAATGTAATGGATGAATTATCAAATGAATGGAAACTATTTGGACAATATTCAGCTTGTTTTTGCCGATCATTTGTAACGGTGATTTTGCCTGATGGTGGTCCAGTAAATAAGGAAACGATGCCCTGATGAAATACTGATTTCACTGAATCAACAGTCAATTCTTCATATGGATATTGTAATGATCGAATGGCAATGGAATTAGCAATCAATATAACAGTGGTGATACGCATATAGTTAACAAAATCCACAGTGATCATCAATCGAAATCGATATAGGAAAGGACCAAGCGTTGATGAAATTGGTAAATATACTGAGATTAATCGATAATAAAAGTACAAAACAGCCAATGCAATCATAATTTTTTGCCAATAGATTGGATAAAAATATATTCGAAGAACACGGGTGGTTGAAAAAATTCCAGTAAAAATGAGAATCAATAGGATTTCGATGATTTTCGGATATACAGTTACAACGGATGAATATCGTATGAATAGAATATAAACATGTCGAATGTAACTGATTGCTATGAGCAATGACCAACTACAAACGATTGAATCGAGAATAATATTACCACAATTTGGATATAATGCGGCTAATGAAATCAATATGAGAAAAATCACATAAAACAATAATGATGTATAAAATTTGCTAATCGGTGCCGACCACATCATAATAATCATTTTCCATAATGGTGGCTGTTTCTCTACAAATACCTCCCGTTTCTTCTTCCGGTCGGATCTATAGTTTTCATTCATAGTGTTTGATGATTGGTTTGATGTTCCAACATCATTAACGAAAGCCTGATTATTGTAAGCCATTTGTTTCATTTCGTACGTTTCATTACGATTCACATTTTCATATACATCATCCAGTTCATCGTCATCATCATCGTCCAATTCTTCATCATCATCTTTTGGTTCATCATTTTTAAAACGAACCCAAATATACATGGGAAATACTAATAAACTACAAAGTAATATTTTGATTGAAACTGGAACGGTAAAAAAACCCCATGTTATTTCACGAAGACGAATCTTTCCTTGAAATGTATTGGCCAACCATTTTTGGCAACAAGGATGAGCAAGAAATTGTTTCAATCTTGCATTGGCTGCAATATCTACGGCTGTCATATAGTTCCAATCTTTGATTGATTCACGTAGTACATTATAGGCAAGCGTTATGTTTTCCTGATAACAACGATCAAGCACATCGTATGCATAGCTGGCAAATGTTTTCGAACGTTGTTCAAGTTCAAATTTTAGATTTGTATCATAAACATGCCAGGATAGTCGTTCGAAAAACATTGATATTATCAATGCTAAATGTATTGGATGATCACAATATTTCCATAAAATTTCAACCAATTCATAACGATTTTGTACGACTGCCCACATTGTTAACAATGTTAGTGCTTTACGTTCAGCTACCAATGAATCTTCAATGAAATCGCTAGCATTTAGATGTAGTTCATCTAGGAATATATTTTTTATGAAATTCAAATTGTTGAATCAAACAAGACACTTACCAATTTTAATTAAATTTTGTAATCCAGTACCAAATTCTAGCAACCAATTTAAATCGGTTTCAATGAAAAATTTCGATTGTCTATCGACTGGTGATTTACTTAGCACAGTTTCCCAACATACAGCATGAAAAAATTCATCATCATGTATCATACGAAATAGGCGACTTAATTTGGATGGTGTTAAAAATTTATGCAAGTGAAAACCATTGGCCAAAAATAGTTCAACAAATTCTTCACGATCCTGTCGTGTTAATATGGTCAGAAATTTAGATTTCAATAATCCACTTAAACTGATTGAATTCATTGAAAACAATGTGTTTCGAGCTACATTAGCACAATTCCAATCGACAATTAAATCAAAATCTTTAGAAAATTGTTCACCATCAAATGGACGATCAACATTACGATGTTTAGATTTCAATATGGCATTCAATAAATATTCACGAAGATTGGTAAGATTACCTTGATTGATGTTATGCGTATCCAATAAGATTAAATATTCACGACCATCTTGTCGCCGATGTTGTTTGGTGAGACAAACACATTCAATGACTTGTTGACAAATTTTATCACGTTCATTGTTTTTATTGTCAGCTTCCAAATCACTGAACTGTTGTATTATTTTCTTATCCAACAATGGCTTCACATGTTTATCGATATAATCCACATCCAAATAATCAATAAATGAATCAAATATCCGTGTATATGCATAGGAAACAATATCGGCCATTCCACCAGTTCCTTGCAATACGACAACCGGGATTCGTTTTTTTATCAATTGCAAAACAAGCCGTATATTTTCTGGTTCTCCATCAATCAAAATCGAAACAAACGGTGTATCAGCATTATTTTCATCATGATTTTTTGATTGTTTTTGGCTTGAATTGTTAGTACAATCTTGGATGGTGAATAAATCGATCAATTTCATAATGAAATCATTGTTGTAAGGAAAATTTTTCAACACAATAAAATGTGTATGATCAGGATTCAATTCAAATCGATGGCCATCATTGCAGCCAGTGTTTTCAATGTTTAACAAATTCTGATCGACCAAACCAAAAACAGATGATGCATATAAACAGTATAAACAAACATTTGAAAAATCAATAATAACCATTACTTACCAATGCATTTTCAATGCAGCATAATTTTCGTCCATAAACCAGATGATTTTCATGAGCAATGCCGATCAAATTAAAGGAATTCACCTGTTGATAAAGACGACCTTTTAGTTTGGCCTTTTGAAATTCACGTTCGATTGCCGAACACACATAAGATGTTACACCACCATTAACGGCATTGGTCAATATCCACATTTTGGTCGACATAGCCGCTTTTGCGATACCAATTTGAAAATTTTTAATTTGTTTTTCATTTTTCCATCGAGTATTTTGTGATTTTCCCGTAACGATCAATGTAACAATTTTGGGCATTCCAAGTTGCCATTCTTCCAACAATATTCGTGCCAATTCATTAGATGTAATATGTGGTTCAAGCGAAACGAATGGTTTGAACTGGAAAAATAACAGAATAAAATTACAAATTATTATTATTATTATTCGAATCAAAATTCAACACTTACATCGTATTGATGATCTTTGTGTTGGAAATGAATTTCACCTAAATTAAATGATGATCTTGTTGGTGATTCAGATTCGAATGGTGATTCTTTTATAGCATTCAATTGTCCTGTCAATGGTGTTGGTAATGGTGTAGGAAGCGGAAATATCGAACCAGAACGTCGTGAACGTCGACGTGTTGCTAATTTTGATTGTTTCAGATATGTATTCAATTTAGCATCCTCATCATAACAATCACCGTGTTGATTTCCTTGCTGTGAAATTCTTGCCACCAATTGTATTCGTTTGACAATCGATTGAAAACCACCGGTTCCTGAACTTTGGCCAAGCCTTACGAATGAATTCTTCCGTTCGGCGGTTGAAGATTCTCGACCCGGATAAATTTCATCTTCTTCATCATTCATTGGATTCTGGTTATTCATCCTATGATAATTGTTGTATGTTGTTATGTCTATGTTTGTTACTAACTGACAAATTTGACATTTTTCGATTGATATGGATAAAAAAAACAACCTAAACCAACAAACACCTGTGCACGCTTATTCTATGCCATCAAGTTAATTTTGATAATTATCAAAATTATCGATCATCAGAAGATTTAACATTCGAAACACTTGAATAACAACAGATAACAGGTGTGTGTGTGTGTTTGAAGCGCCATAAATTTAAACAAACGACAAAATGATTTAGAATCATCAACCTCTGTCGTCATATCTTCTATGAACAAACACTAAACATGTCACGTGTGTTGCTCGCATGGTTTTCATCTGCAGAATATACATCCAAAAAAAACAAACATGAAAATGAAATCAAAAAATTCAAAGAAAAATTACCGCCAAAAAACCGATAATGGTGAAGATGAAATTGAATTACTTAAAACTGAAATCAGCCAATTTGATTGGTCCAAATTTAAACGATTCGAAGATCTACCTGTTTCACGAGCAACAAAACGTGGACTAGCAAAAAATAACTATGTCATTCCAACCGATATTCAACAACAATCAATCGGTTATGCTCTCACTGGTAATGATGTACTTGGAGCCGCTAAAACCGGGTCCGGTAAAACTTTAGCATTTTTGATTCCAACGCTCGAATGTTTGTACCGAAATAGATGGACAGCGTTCGATGGTGTTGGTGCATTGATCATTTCACCTACTCGTGAATTAAGCTATCAAACATTTGAAGTATTGAAAAAAATTGGCACCGAACATGATTTTTCGGCTGGATTAATCATCGGTGGTAAAGATTTGAAATTTGAAAGCAAACGTATGGATCGTTGTAATATAATTGTTTGTACGCCTGGCCGTTTACTACAACATATGGACGAAAATCCACTTTTTAATTGTGACAATTTAAAAATTCTAATTCTAGACGAAGCTGATCGAATTTTAGATCTTGGATTCGCCAAAACAATGAATGCAATCATTTCTAATCTACCGAAACAACGACAAACATTGTTATACTCGGCAACACAAACCAAATCGATCAAAGATCTTGCCAAATTGAGCCTCAAAGATCCTGTTTATGTTTCATCACATGAACATGAAAAACATTCTACACCGGATAATTTGACACAAAGTTATATCGTTTGTCCGATTGAGGTAAGATTTTTTTTTAAAAAAGCTCTAGATTTTATTCTAACTTTTTCTCCGTGTTAAAATTCAGGATAAAATCAATATGTTATGGTCTTTTATTCGACAACATACGAAACACAAAATTATCATATTCATGTCCACTTGTAAACAGGCGAAATTTATTTATGAATTATTTTGTCAACTTCGTCCGGGAATTCCATTGCTTGCACTTTATGGTACATTACATCAACTAAAACGTATGGCAATCTATGATAAATTCTGTGAATCTTCCAGAATTGTTTTGTTTGCAACTGATATTGCTGCACGTGGTTTAGATTTTCCTGCCGTTAATTGGGTAGTTCAATTGGACTGTCCAGAAGATACAAACATCTACATACATCGAGTTGGCCGTACAGCTCGTTTCGAACGAAATGGAGAATCATTATTAGTGTTGGCGCCCAGCGAAGAACAATCTATGGTCGAACAATTGGAACAAAAAAAAGTACCAATAGAAAAAATTCAAGTAAATCCACAGAAATTGTTTTCGATTCAAAGAAAAACCGAAGCATTATTGGCCAAACATGTGTCTCTAAAAGAATCAGCTCAACGTGCATTCAAAGCCTATTTAAAATCGGTGTTCATGATGAAAGACAAAAGTGTATTTAATTATGAAATGCTTGATGTTGAATTATTTGCACGATCACTAGGATTATTGACAGCGCCACGAGTTCGATTCATCGAACGTAAAATGGCTGCTCATGCGAAGAATCAGCCTCCAGTCAAGAATATCGAGATCAAACAGAATCATGCTGTAACGATAAACGAACAAAATGATGATGATGATGGCGACAGTGATTTTGATGATTTATTTCAAGTGAAAAAATATGAATTCCAAGATAACAATGATGAAATGGTACACGTGGATCTAAATCAATCAAAAAGAAAAAAACAGCTTACGAGAGCTGCCGTTTCGAAACGATTGTTGAAGAAAAATATTCCATTGAATTCAAAAATAAAATTCGATGATGACTGTAATGCCATACAGGAAGGCATACCACGAAAACAAACATCAGAATTGACGAAAAAATTAGATGAAATTGAATCCGGTATTGATATTGAATTAGCTAAACAGATCATGAAAGAAGAAGATATTATTGATAAAAAATTGTATCGGGATTTGATCAAAGAGAAACATTTGGCTAAAAAATTGAAAATGAAAGAAAAAAAGAAATCAGTGAAATCAAATGAAAATGATGATGAAGATGAAGCTGATGAGGAATATCTTGAAAACGAAGACGTATACGATGATGATGATGATGATGAGGATGAAATTGTTACAAAGCAATACATTGATGCTTTGCCCGATCCAGACATAGTATTTGGTGACAAAGATTCTGAAATCGAAGATACAGACAATCATTCTGAAGACAAAGATGATGATGATGAACGACCAGTACAAACGACTAAACGGAAAAAATTTCATAAACCAATTTCATCAAAGAAACAAAAATCTAATCAATATAATGATGGTGAAAATTTAGAATATTTTGAACAAATTGCACAACAATTACTTGATGTTTGATTTTATTCATTGATTTTTTTTTGTATTTTTGTTAAAATATAATAAAAAAAACAAATTAAAAAATATTAAGAAATTTCTTGTAGTTCCTTATTGATTATCTCTTTGTATTCTTCAAATCCACCTTTTAGACATTTGATTGTTCCATCACTACAATGCCATAATTCTTGGCAAACTTTTTGTATCATATTTTGATCATGAGTAACGAGTATAACACCACCACTGAATTCATTCAATGCTTTGGCCAGTGCTTCCACTGTTTCGACATCCAAATGATTAGTAGGTTCGTCCATGATGAATAAATGTGGACTAAATGATGAATGAATGAATGAGAAATTTTTCATGAAAAAAACTCAACATAAAAACATGTGGTAAAACTTACTTTGTCAATGTCATAGCTGCAAAAGCAACACGAGATTTTTGTCCACCGGATAATGATTGCAGTGATTGTAAACTAAGATCACCAGTAATACCGAAACCGCCTAGATATTTTCGATAATGTTCAGCTGATTTTCCAGGCTGTTGTGTGGCCATAAATTGTAATGGACTTTGATTCATTGGTAATTGATCCACATGATGTTGAGTAAAATAACCGATGGATAGATTACGATGTGAATGCCGTATACCGGTTGTTGGATTCAAATCACCAATCAATAATTTAAGCAAAGTTGTCTTACCCGATCCATTATCACCGACGATACAGATACGTGATTGTAGATTGGCATTCAGGTTGACATTCTTTAGAATAGTTCGGCCCGATTGATAGGCAAAATTTACTTCGCTCAATTCGAGAATCGGTGGTGATAAACTTTCTGGCTGTGGCAACTTGAACACGACTACAGATTCTTTTTCAACTTGGTCGACAATTTTTAATTTATCTAATGTTTTAATTCGACTTTGTACCAATGATGCTCTTTTGCTATTATAACGGAAACGATCAATAAATTCTTGTGTATGTTTAATGTACATCTGTTGTGATTCGTATTCACGTTCTTGATTTTTAAGTTTTTCAGTCATAGCTGTCATGAACGATTCATATGTTCCTTGATAGCAATCGATTTTTCGGGAATGAAAATGAAGTATTTGCGTCGGTACTTCTGAAAGGAATTTTCGATCATGTGACACGACTAATAATGTCGATGTCCAATGATTAACAAGATAATTGGTAAGCCAAATAATGGCCTTCATGTCCAACATGTTGGTAGGTTCATCCAGCAACAGAAGATCCGGTTTTGAAAACAGAGCTCTTGCCAATGCTAAACGCATTCGCCAACCACCGGAAAATGTTTTTGTTGCATTTTTTTGCATTTCATGTGTGAAACCTAAACCTAATAGAATGGTAGCAGCTTTAGCTGGAGCTTTGTCAGCTTCAATAGCGGTTAATTCTTGATAGATTTCATTTAATTGTTCAGTCTCCTTATCGGTTAGTGATGATTTTTGTGACAAGATTTTTTCACGTTCAAGAAGATCTCTGCGAACAGTATCACATTCAAGGACAGAATCCAATGCTGTTGTATCATCACCAACTACTTCTTGTTCTACGTGTAATATTCGAATATGTGATGGAATGACCAATTGACCGGTGGATATCATTTTCAACAGCGTAGATTTACCGATACCATTACGACCACAAAGTCCATATCGTTCGCCATAATTCAATGATAGGTTAGCACCTTGCAATAACACATGACTGCCAAATGAAATGTCGAAATTTTCAATTTTAATATCTTTGGTTCGATTTGTTCCAGCCTCTTCTTGTCGATTAGCTTTCTTTGATAATGATTGTGAAGCCGATGCCTGTACATTCGAAGCAGTTGTATTGGTATCAGCTGTAGATGGACCAACACCATCACGTCGTTCTGCTTTTTGTTTAAGTTTTTCTTCGGCTTTTCGAAGTTTGTTCTGGTCAACTTTGGATTCAACTTCTTTACCACTTGTCCAGATAGATTTCCATTCTTCTTCTTTATCATCATCGACCGTTGAACCAATGTGTATAGGCCGGCTAAGTCTAATATCATCACCATCCTCATTGTCTTGTTCATTGTTGGCACGAATTATATTGAATAATTTATCACACATAACCTGACATAAATTTTCCGGTGATTTAGGTGGATTTGGATTGAATGCGTCATTAAAACATGAGATGAAAATTTCACCTACTGCTTCTTTGATATCATTTGCCGAAGCAAACGTATCGGATGTTAGTACACCAGTAATATAGTCGGATAATTGTTGATCAATATCGGGTATTTGTGCTTGTACAATGTTTATGATTTCGGTTGCAGCCATTTTTTTTTGTAATTTTAAAAATTAAAAACTTATACCGAGAAAAAAAACTAAACAAAATAATGATTTCAAAAAAATAAAAAAAAATTGTATACACAAATTCGTGCACGTTGCATCGATCGGCTACATTGACCAAGATTGATTCTATTGGGTTTCAATAGTTTTTTAAATTTTAATCCGCGCATTTTCAAAATATTTTGCATTTTAATATATTCATGAATTAAACGTTTATTTTATTTTATTCAATAGGAACAGAAAAAAAGATAATAATGATTTCAAATCCAATGATTCATATTAATTGATGGTAATTGATTGCATCGTAATTTTGGATTGCTATTTTTGGAATGAAACGTTTAAATGAGTAAATGGTAAACAAAACAAATCGACTTGGCCAATCATTTCAGTTTCACTTACCTGGCCGATGGAATTAACAATGCAAATTTTTGCATAATACCAACATCACTATTATCGCAAAGAATTTTGGCTAATGAAATCTTTTTTATTTCAGCCAATTGTCCAGGAGTGAATGATGTTTCCATGCCACCATTTTCATACCAGAATCGATCACCTTCTTTGATACGTCGAAATTGTTCACCAATAATACAGGCAAATGTTGGACCAACAATAGCACCAGGTAGAATCTGTTCAGATGTACCGGCAATAAATAGATCAACATCTTCCACTTGTTTATATAAATGGCTAAGAACATCAGCCACTGCTGGATTCGATAACACAGTACGAAGATCGGTGAATGATTTGATTTTCGAAAGGCCACAAACTTCACGATATTTAACATAACTTTGAATACCATGATCACGACCACGTTGTATGTTCAATGCAACTATATCAAGACCAAATCGTTTACCAGGTGCTTGAAACAAATGATTGGTTACATCTCTTGAGAAAAAATTATCAACTAAAAACCAATGAGTAAAATGAAATAATTAATTGTTTGAGAAATATCAATTAATAGACTTACAATTTTTCATTCCTTGTCCAGTTAAACCGGCTATTCGCATATCATAAACACCATCTTGATACAACAATGATGGATTGGCAAATACATCTCTCAATGAAATCTGTGCAACAATCTGATTTTCCGGTGTATTTAGATTCAATATACCATGTACTAATGAATGTAATCTATATGCAGCCGTACTGAATTCATTCAAAATGGTAGCATCTACTGCTTGATTATAGGAATCACTGTAACCATCATGTATTCTTAATCCAAAATGTTCAATTGTTTTTGGTCCAAGAATTAGTGGCAACATTTCATTATAGATAATGTGCTGTAATTCTGCAATAATAATTCGTTTGGTTTCTTGAAATATCGTCTCATCATTCCATTGTGGATGCATGTTTTGCAATATGGTTGCAATTCGATTATGTTCACGTAAGAAAACTGTATGCAAAACGACTAGATCAATGACTTCGTTTGCACGAATATCACCAGCCAAAAAACAACTCATATTAGCTGTTTCAGGAATCTGACAATTTACTTCATTTCGATTTGAAGTGGTCGGCGGAAATGGTTTATGATTCAACATGGTTACTTTCATTAATCCACCTTGAAATTGTCGAAGTCGTGATTCTTGTTTCAATGATGGTCCATAAATGTTATTGCCATCAATGTATGATGATAATTGATTTAGCTGTTCACGTGGTCCAAATTTACATTTAGGATTTACAGCCGGTGCTGATCGTACGAAATTTATACATGTCTGTGATTCAGCCCGTAAGAAAAAATCATCCGATGGAACTGGAATAACAAAACAAGCTGGATGTAAAAGTTTCGGATTTTGACGTACTTTTTCATCACAACAGCTTATACGTTTGTTATCATGAGCTGATTCGAAAAATGAAAGAAAAAAAATTTAACTTTTACTCAATTATGCCATCATTAAATACTTACTTCGAGTAATAGCCGTACGAGTAATATCATGATCAATAAATTGACCAAATTGCATCAACATTGTTGAATAGAAATCATTTTCAAGCTGTGATTCTGGTGAAATACTCATTGAAATTTGTCGAGAATTTGGTAGTTCATTGCCATCCATAGCACGTCTTGGTTCATTGAAACGATCACCATAATCTGGTGATAATAATCGACTAAACGTACTGACAGCTTTTCCTTGATTTGTATAGATAAGATTATTGCATGTACCATCTGGATTTCTATATCGAATATTTTGACAAACAGCATTTGATTCACAAATACCTGCCAATGAAGAAACATCTCGAATATTCATATTACTTGATTGTATATCATCGAGAGACATGTTTTGGCTGTCAGAAAAAAAGAGCACAATTAAAATATGAAATTTTAAACGAAAAAAAAAATATCACCACTAACCTTTTAGCAAAGCTAATAAACGTTTCCAATGCTTGAATGGCATCATTCATTTCTTTCAATGATAATTGATTACCACCGAAAAAATTTTGATGAGAAAATTCTTGTGTACCACTTTTTGGTTCAAGATCATTTCGTCGTAATTCATCTTCAAGTGATACAAGATCCTTGATTATTTGATTGGCTTCATTTGAATTGAAATCGGCTAAATTAACATTTCTTGTGGAACTTTCTGCCACTATTGTTGGGCTAAATGTATTTGTGACCACAGGAAATCGGCTAGTTTGTGGCAAACTAATGCCGACTTTATCACCATTATTATTATTATTATTATGGCAACAAACACCGGTAAAACCATTAGTCATTGAACAGAATTTCGGTGGTGAAGATGTTTTCCGTGAACAATTGTAATAAAATTGACATGTACCAACTGTACATTCACTTCGACCAAATGAAAATGAACGTGAATCAATTGGTGTGCTTACCGAACTTGATCGTAGCAATGGTACCTTACGAAGCTGTGCATTATTCTGAACATTCGATGTTATTTGTTTTGGTGTACGATGTACAAAGTTCACAATTGTTGATCGACTTCTTGTAATAGATGGCAAACGATGTGTAAATTGAAATGTATGTTGTGAATTACATGATGATATTGATAATGTAAACAATATGGATACGAAAATTGACCGGTAAATAAATGATAATTTCATCATTGTAATCATAATCAATCCACAATCAAGATCGAGATGATTGAAAACACGTTTTTTTCCACTTTATATCCAAAAATCAAACGATCGTTTACAACCTGTGTGAATATTGAATGAACAAGATTCATTCAAATCTTACGATTCTACACCATATAATAATAATATATTAATCTCAAACAGGATTCTTCAAAGATTAAAATATGCGCGCGCACCATGCATAAAGAGATGAAAAATCATATATATCATTCTTCAAGGTTAAATTCTGTATGTTTCAAGATTATTATCAGAAAAAAATGATGATGATCGTTTTTTTGTGATAATAACTGTAGCAATGTTGTACCATTATTATATTGTTTGGATTTTTTCCAGGGAAATTTTTTTTTTCTCTTATCACATCATTTCACAAGAAAATTAAAAATGATTTTGTTTTCCACGAACACTTGTGAACAAAAAAAAATTGTGATTCGAACAACACTGTATTGTGTACTACCGATTCAATGATATTAATGTTTTGTTTTTTCTTCATCCAAAAAAAAAAACAAAAATACCCAACAACAATGACCAACGATAATTATGATAAATTAATAACAATTTCATTTATTGAATATATAATATTAACAATCTATACATCTAAATAAATACACTATGAATTATTATTATTCGATATTCATATATACTTAATAATCATCAATAATTATATTGGCTATCCGATCGATCGATCGATCGCTGTTATCATTCATGTAAAACTACAGAAAAGTTGGGTGTGTCTTTTATAGAATTAAATCATCATCATCATTCAAAGAAGTGTATACATTGTGTGCAGGGAGAGAGAGAGAGAGAGAGAGAGAGAGAAAGAGAAAGAATTCAACATTATTCAATATTAGCTATTGATTCACTGATTGGTATATTTGTATTTGTATTATTATTGTTATGATCATTGAATGATGAATATTCAGTACGATGTTTTGCTGATTGTCGAAATTCATCCTGTATTGGTACATCTTTTTCAAGTTCATTGAACGATGATTGATTTCCTATAGATGATGTCTGCTGTGAACCAATACTACCAACACCACCAACACCACCAGCACGTCGACCACTTTCCAACCAATAGGTAACCATTACTCCTTTTCCCTTTTTTTTATATTTGTTCAAATTGAAAATGAAAGTAATTAATCATCAATGGAACAAAAAATTCATGATTTTCATCATCTATAGATTTTACCTTGACTTCAACTTCACCTCTTGGTATAATAGTAAAACAGCCAAATGTGTCTAATAATTTTTTCGTATTTTCCGAAATATGAATTCTTTGTGGTTCACCTATGAAATATGATTAGATAAGAATGATGAATCATATTTTTTTTGAAAATAATTATGTCCATTATCCACTTGCCATGAGTTTCCATTCGTGATGCTGTGTTGACTGTATCACCAAAAAGGCAATATTTAGGCATCTTTAATCCGACTACGCCAGCAACACATGGACCACTATGAATGCCAATTCTAATTTGCAAACGTTTTTTAGGCGAATGTCGAATCTTGAATCCAGATACGGCTTTTTTCAAATTCAATGCCAACATTGCAATCTCTTTGGCATGATCATTGCCATTACGAATAGGAAGACCTGATGCAACCATATAAGCATCACCGATTGTTTCCACTTTATAAACATCATGTATATCGATGATTGCATCAAAACAGGTATATAAATCATTCAATAAATCAACCACTTGTAATGGTGATGATTCGGCCGATAGCAATGTAAAGCCAACAATATCGGAAAAAAATATGGTAACTGATTCGAATGATTCGGGCTTTACATGTGATCCTCTTTTCAATTCTTCAGCAATGAATCGTGGTAGTAGTTGATAAAGTAATTCTTCGGTTTTCTGTTTCTCTTCAATGACCGATTGAGTCTTTTCTTCGACAATTCGTTCAAGATTCTGTGAATATTGTTCCATACGATTCAATAAATTATCTAGGAAATTTCTCGATGATATTCCTCGTGTAATACGACGCAATTTTTGTTTGATAACAATGAAATCCGGTCGATTATTTGGATGTTCATCCCAACATTCTTGCATTAGTGTAAGTAATTCTTTTGAAGCTTCATCTGGAGCCACTTCTGGTCTAAATGGTGGCACTGTACCCATTCGAACTCTATCAAGTATTTCATCTGGTTGATAGGTTTTTTTCTTTCTACCCAATCGTTCCAATGATTCGAATGGAGGTGATCTAGTAATAATTTCTTGCAATATAATCGCGAATGCATAAATATCGCCTTTTTTCGAACCCGAATTCAGTGGATCCTTAGAACGCAAATGCTCTGGAGCAGTCCAAAAAAGAGCTTTTGAATTAAGATCATGTTCACGAGTTATTTGAGCATGTAACGTACGAAGACCATAATCGGTAATTTTCACCATAAAACGACCATCTACAACACAATTGGTCGATTTTAAATGGCCATGATATTCAAGTGTACTATTCTGTAAGAATAACATTCCTTCAACAATATCGGTCATCATTGAATATTTAAATGTCCAATCGATTTGTATTTTTTCCGTTTCCAATAAATCATGTAAACTACCTCGAATCATTAGTTCATTAACGACACCATAATTTGGTTCATCCGGACAAATTCCAATAAATCGAGTAAGGTTTTCATGTGTAAGATCTCGCATCTGATTTGATTTGAAATTATTACTCATGTCCTATTGTAAATAATGTATTTACCTGTTTGATTTCAACCAACAATTGACGGCTCATGGCCAATTTTTTTATCTGTAATGGTTTGAATGCAATTTTAAGTCCTTTATAGATTCCAACATGAACTGTATCCAATTCACCGGCTGCACTAAGCAATGAATGTCCAATTGAACCGATTCGCAATGATGATGCTTTACCCGATTGATAGCCATCATTATCTGAAGCTAAACTTAATGCTGATTTAGCTCCTGATTTCGCCTGATTAGGAAATATGATATCTTCATACACGACTCGCCACCAATTATCATTTAAATCTTGTTCCATTTTGATTTTTTTGTAAGCAAAAAACGATATTATCAATGTTAATAATATAACCACGAAGAATGTGATCAAAATTGAAGCCCATATTGGAAATCCTTCGTGTTTGATACAATGTGGTGCATCACCCGTAAAACCACAATCGGGTACATCTGGTGCTGGACCATATTCTTTGGGCCAATGAATCTCAACGCCAGCAAATTTATCAAATATACGTCTAGCACCAAAATATGTTGCCACTGGTCTCATCGTACCGGTTTCTGGATCTAAATCGTTTAATGTATAATCAACTTCACGATCACCATTTTGATTGATTAAAATATCTCCAGTTAATGCTGCAGTCAATTATCATCAAAAAAAAGTTATAATTTAATAAACAGAATATAAATTTTCAAAGTAAATAAAATACCATCTGGAAACGTTCGATCCCATAATGCTCCCCGAATTAATGATCGACCATCGGTAACATCGCCACCTTTGGCTAACGTATAATTATATGCCCAAGCATACATGAAAACACAATCATAAAAAGCTGCAACAACTGGATTAACATCGTCATGATTTGCCATACGGCCAAATTCTTCGGATGATAATTTCGTAACCTTGTGAACAAAACTAGTGTATTCCGGAGAAACTGGAACACGAATTGCCATTATCATCAATGATTCATACATTTCTTTGGCAATTTTATTTTTACGATCACCAGCTTTGTACCAGGAAAAATCAGCCGATTCTTTATTAGTTTTTAACAATTCAATTCCAAAAAATACGTATTCACCACCACCCATGCCAAGTGAATGTGCCTCAATCATTATATCACGGGTATTTTCACCATTAGTGACTAGAATTATTACTAAAAAAAGTGAAAAAATGTGTAAATAGTTTTCGACAAAAAACATGAATGAATGAATTTACCTCGAGCACTACGACTAGCTTGCCGTAACATTTTCTGATAATCGATTGTAACATTGGGTAATTTTCTTTCATATGTGATTGATTCCAGAAAAATTTCATAACCAAATTCAGCTTCTTTGAAAATTGATTGCAAACTAATTCTGACTAATTTATTGGCCAACTCTGTTTCATCGACAATCAAAGAAATATGTTGCCATCCATAAACTTGAAATATTTTGAAGAAAAAATGTGATACACGATCTTTGGTGAAATAGAACAAAAGGTCAGAAAAATTAATCAATTAGAAAAATTCATCATATCAATTTTTTTTGTTGTTGTCTAGGCACTATGAATTACCCAATGAAAATGAAATTCTGGTTAGTGTGGTGAAAATTTTTTTATAAGAAAATTCATAGCTTATACCACCAGCAGTGAATACTGGTACATTCCAATATGAAGCCATACGTGAAACTGGATCCAATGCCAATGAACAGATTGGACCAATAAAAGCGCTTACATGTCCGGTATAATATTTTTCAGCTGCTAATGCACCTAAAACATTACTTTGACAGATATTATCATCATATACTGGATTTAGATAGAATTGTAAATGTGGATATTTTTTTGCTGCATCTTGTATGGCCATTTCCAATGTTGGTTTAAGTATTTCATATGAAATGGGCAATTCATTTTGATTGGAAATCAATAAAACTAAATCGATACGATTAATGGATACAGCTGTATGGTCACCACCGATGACCATTGATGATGATGGTAAATCATTACTTTGTCTACGACGTAATATAATGCTGCTATTATTGATGTTGTTGTTGTCATTGTTTCGTCGATCTTGAGATATTTGGACCGATCGAGTAGTAAGAATCAGATCCAATAGGATGAATAATATTACCACAATATACCACGATGATACGTACATGTTGTTATAAATTCAAAACTAAAATAACCGTAACCAGATAATTTGACCAGTTATAACCGTCCATTTTTTTCGATTTTCAAATGAAACTAGTAGATTATCATCATGAAACTTTTGTTTGTTTGTTTTTTTTTCATTCTTTGTCAAATATTGACAATTTTTGTCACTGGTTAACTTCATTGACACCTTCATTTTACAGTGTATGTGTGTGTGGGTGTGTGTGTTTGCCTTCTATTTAACACAAATAAAATTGTTTGTTGTGGAAACAAACAATAAAAACTACTAATCAGATTTCATTCAATTCAATGGTGGTCATCATCATCATCATTGTTATTATTCTTTTTAATAGTTTTCAAACACACAAAATATAATAACATTATCGTTCGATTGAGGATTTTTCTAGAACAAATTCATTTTAATTCGCACATTGCAAAATAGAGTATATTTTTTTTTTAAAAATTTTGTCACAACAAACAAATTTATTTTGTTTGAATCTTGCAATCAAGCAATAGAAAAAAAAAACAAACCAAAAAAAAAAATGATAATTATCATCATCAAATTAAAATGGAAACAATTTATTATCATTCATTCATTCATTCATTCATCATCATTATTATTGTTTTTTTTTCTAACAACCATTGTTATTACGTAACAATATTGAAACAGCTTTTGGCATAATTTCAGCCTGTATTGTTGAACATGGTATCTGTTCACCATCGATGGTCATTATGTCATCATGACCTTCAGGTGTTAAACGGAATGCTTTACATGGAATAAAATGTACAAATGGCAATTTTGTATGTGAACCATCTTCTAGTGCCAATAAAAATTCAATCACCTGACAAGAGGAAACTGAACCATTTATATATAATAAATATATGATTTCATCATCTAATTGAGAATCTGGTGAAAATTTAACAGTTGAACTTAGATATTGTTGATAGGCACTATAAACAATAATAAATTCATCATTAATAGTAGTCCATTGATCGGTAACTGGTTGATTTATTGGACAAATTTCTTGGCAAACTGAATCCTTATGTAAATAGCTTAATCTACCACGATAACGTTTTAATGCTAAACTTCGATATACCGACCATATTGTGAATCTGGGTTCACCAAGAAACCTAAGACGTTCGGATTCAATATCAATATCGGCCATCAACCCCCAACCGAATGATAGAAATGAATAATAAATTTGATTTGTCGTTGTTGTAATTCGAACCAAATCCATTGGCGTTGGTTGACCTTTGATCGTATGTAATGTTGATTCAATTAGTTTATTGAACATTGTTCTACCGCCATTTGTATAAATGTTATTAAGTGAACAGGCTAATCCATTACCGGAACCACCGGGAATGATGCCTAAATAAATCAAAAAAATCAAAAAAGAAAAAAATTATTATTAATCAAATCTTATAAAAACATTTTTTGTTTGTTTGTTTCAAAAACTCACTAATTGGAAGAGAAATTTTTTTTGGCATTGTCGTAGAACGTTCAAGTGAATAAACAAATCCATTGAGAACCTCGAACAATAATCCATCACCAGAAATAGTAACAATAGCCGAATAAGATCCAACAAGATCATTATGATGTCGTATAAAATCCATTGCATGATTAGCATATTTAGTCGTTAGAACATGATATTTAACATTACAATCATCCAACAATTGATGAACATGGTCATTGAACAATTTTACAGATTTTCTTTCACCACTAGCAGGATTCATCATAATTAATAAGGGTTTCGATTGTGAATATTTGATTGCATGACCTTTATTGATTAGTGGATCCAATTTATCCAATATTGTACATGCTTCAGCTAAATTTTCTTCATAATTGCTACTTTTGGCTATTAATAATAATACTTGTTTACGTTGAATTTTACCACCACCACCACCACCACCACCAATGGTAGATTGTTTTCGGTGAAAGACAAAGAATTCAAGTACAACCTGATTATCTTCTAATTGTACATTATAATTTGATGAATTTAATTTTGATTCAGATGAAAATGGTCTACAACATGATATCAATAATAATGATCGCTTTTGTTTTTGTTGTTGTTGCTGTTCCCGTTGTTGTAATTGACCTTGACTACCGATATTATTACCATCGTCATCATCATTGTCATCATCATCATCATTGTTGTTGTTGTTGTTGTTGCTGGTCATCAATGTACATCGAGCAATTTGATCAAAATGATAACATTGATTAAATTTCGATGATGGTGTTGTTGAATTTGATGAACAATGTTCAGATGATGATGATCTTATTAAATGTATGCCTATATTGGTTACATTCAATTGCACTGGTTTTGTATCGATTCGATTTCTATATTTAAATAGATGGCAATTATTTGTTGTCCAAATTAATTCACCACTTTTATCACAATGACAAATGGACATTGTTTATATTTTATTTTGATTAGCTAATTTGTTGTGGATTGACAGTGATGATAATATATATATGCACAGGTATAAGATTCAAATGACAATGGGATTAAATTTTTTTTTTTTTGGATCGATGCTCAATCAATCAATGCTGACCCAATTAATTAATCAAATCAATCAATAAATCAATTGAATTGAATATGATATGCACAATTAAATAGGTCCATTAGAAGAGAAAATTAGTTTAAAGAAAAAAAAAATTTACAGTCATATTGTGATGATGATGATGATGAGTGATTAACTTAATAATAATTGTCACCGATATATAAAGTGAGTTTTTCAGTGTGTGTGTGTGTGTATAATCAAAGAGATAAATCGATTGATTTGATCGACAACAGCATAATTTCTTATTTCATCATATGTGTGTGTGTGAGTTGTAGACAATTTTTTTACGTGATCATAAAATTTTTTCGATAATAATCACATGATGATGATTGTCACACACACACACACACACATAGATAAAGACAACACCGATGAAAATGATGATGATGAAAAATTTCAAAACAATTTTTTTTCCTATGAATTTAAAGAATCGATAATAAAATGATTGATGATTTAAATGATGATCAATGAATAAAATTGAAATTACTGATCAATTTCGAATCAAATTGAATCCAATTAATGAAATCAATAATAAAAAAAAAAAAATTTATAAACAATGATGATTATCAATGATGATGATGATGATAAGGCCAATTGGATACATTTGGATTGATTGGTTGATTGATTGATTGATTGATTGGATGAGTGATTATAATATCTATATGGCATTGTATTGTATATGATAAGGATTCAAAAAAAAAATCGCACACAATTTATCAATCAATCATCATAATCATTGATTTTATGTGTGATGATTGATATTTTATATGTCTAAAAAAATTTGAGTGAAACAAAAAAAAAAAATTAAATCAACCAACAAGTACAACAACAACAGGAGTTTTACACACAAAAAAAAGGTTAGTGTTGTCATAACAATAGAAATGACGACGATGATGATGACGAATGACGATGATGACGATTTGATTTTGAATATAATAAACTTGGCAACAATGGATAGAGGAAAAAAAAAAATCATCGATGATCATTCAAAATTTGTTGTATGTGTGTGTGTGTGTGCGGTGTATCCATAATAAATAATAAAATAAACATATAAATCGCCATCGTCTTTGTCCTTGTTGTTGTTGTTGTTGTTCATGTTTTTCTTTTGACCATCTAACAATGATCAATGTGATTAATGACAATGATGATGATGATGATCAGAGAAAAAAAAACACGTTTATCATTATTATTATTGCCCATTTACCATTGAAAAAGAGAGATAGAGAGAGAGAGAAATTAATCGAACAAAACTCACACACACACACAAGAAAATTCCGTATAAACGAATTGCAATTTTATGGATTTTTTTTTTCTCAAGAAAACAAAAAATTCATATTTGGACAACATTGATCAACTGCGGCCACTATGATCATCATGAAGACTGTTCTGTTTATTAATGATGATGGCGACAATTTAAAGTGTAATCGAGGTTTTTGTAGTTTTTGTTCTTTTTTTTTCAATTGAAACTTGAGATAGTAACCAGCCAACTGATTAACAAAACCAAAAAACAAAAACAACAATCAACAATGAAATCCAGACCAGATTTTATTTCTTCAGTTCCTGATTATGACGGTGCTGATTTTTGTTGCTGTTGTTGTTGTTGTTGATTGTCATCCGTTTATTTTATAATAGTAGTAGTAGTAGTGATTTTATTGTTACAATTTCATTTTCAAAGAATAAAAACAAAACAAAACACATAAAATGTCTAGTCACACAAATGAATTTATGGCAACAATGATGATGCTCAACGATTGTGAATAAATGAATGTTGTTGTTGGTATATGAGGTGCATATATTTATGTGAAAGTGACAGTGATGTTGATCAATGTTGATCATCATCGGTCATATTGTGTGGTGATCAAAAATCAAATTCCAGTTTTTTTCATTCTATCTTACAATTTCATCATGATTGGGGCACGACCATACACACATTTGTTGTATCATAATGATATCACATTGGTGGCGAAATTCAATTCTTATTCATCTGTATATCTGTAAACGTTGTTCTGTTTGAAGATTAAGACAACCAACTTTTTTTTTTTTTTTTGACTTTTTATCAAACACACACACACACATAGACACAAAAAAACAAAACTTTCTGGTCCCATCATCATCAGTCATTTTTATTCAATTCAATTGCTAAAATCAATAAATTATATTACCATTGGCCAAAAAAAAAAAACTGAGAGTAGAAGTATGAAAAATGATGAAAAAGAAAAAAAAGAAGGAAAAAAAAATTCAGGTGGTGCAGCGCACATACAAAAAAAAACATACCTACACACACACACACAAACTTACATTTAAAGGTAACATAACATTTATAATTTCATATATGTAAAAGATGGCCTGGCCCGAAATAATTGTCCAGGATATCTTTTTTTTTTATTCTATTCTAGAACTAGAATACACACACACACACACACTATTTATAAGTCATCCACACATTAAAATAGCTCAACAATACTCTGGAAATGAATCATTATCATCATCATCATCATCGACCGACTACGAATAGAAAGTTGTATGAACATTCATACACACACGCACTAGAGCAATCATTATCTTCATCGTCATCATCGTCATCATCATCGGAAAAAATGATCATTTCGAACGAACCTAAAAATGAAATGAATGATTTGCATGAAACGACAAAAAAAAAAATTATTCCATGTTTACAATCATCAAAATTTATTATTTGTTCTATACAATTGGATCATTTTTCTAATGATGAATATCGAGAATCATCATTTATATTTATATGTGCATATGAAATGTTTTTGTACTTGTTTTGACTGACATTCGAATGAATTGAATTGAATTGACGAGGTTTGTCAATTATCGAAATGAAAACCAACAATTAATGAGGAAAAATAAAACACAGGAAGTAAAATCAATCATCATCCACGATTTTTTTTGGTGGTTTTGAAGGCCAGAAAAAAATAACAAATGTTTTAAATATTAATAATAATGTGTGCTACATACACACACACACACATTGATCAATTTATTAATTTGAAATGATGAAAATTTTTTGATTTTTCAAATACAAATGTGAATTGAACTAAATCTGTCATCATGAATGAATAAATGATGATGATGATGATGATTGACAAATGAAATTCATTCAATGTAAACTAATAGAATAATGTTTACCATTCAGGTTATGTATTGGTGATTGTATTGGATGAGAAATTGTCCATTCATACCAAACATGTATGTCATTCACATTTCGTGTAATTTGAATTTCAATTTTTCCATCATCATCATCATCATCATCATCATCGTGGCCACTAACATCGAATGGTGTATGTAATGGAAAATAGATCGGAAACCAGCTATACATATTAGAGTTTTGTGTCGATGGTACAATTGATAAACGGTGATTACCATAGAGACAGCAATCAAAATAACCAACAAAACCATGACATATTGTTGGTATTTTCGAATGAAATGTCAGTCGTTTTTTACGATTATTATCACGTGTTGATGGTGGTCTATGAAGGTCACCACGACGATGTTCAAATGTGAATACTTGTTTTGGTTTATCGATAAGATATGCATTTCGAATATGTACAACATAAGCATATTCATAAGCATTAACATTTGTTCGTCTATCCAATGATAATTGTGAATATAATCGTTGTGATTGAACAGGACATAAATATGATGTATAAGATTGTGGTATACAGATTGCATCTTTACTAACATAGTTCCACACACCATCCAAACATTCGGGACTTAATTCATTATCACCAAATGATCCAAGTAATTCAGAAATAATTAGATCAGCTCGTTCTGGTGCCGACCAATAACGCATATCACTACTAACAATTTCAACATAACCATGTGATAATCCTAGATAGCCACCCCATTTCAGATCTTTTAACATTTCCAAAGTAATAATGGCATTTGGATTTTTTTCAACAGCATATATTCGTATGAATTTATCCACCGAATGAGCTGCTCTTAATGCTTTATCTACTAAAGGACCACGGCCAGCTCCAACTACCATAGCAATTCTGGAAATAATAAACAATTAAATTTTGGGTTCGATTAGAAATAAAAACTATAATAATAATAATAATTTCAAACTAACATAACATCTTTTTGGATATCCATCAAAGCTTGTTCAATAGCTTTTTCATATTGTTGATATTTAATAATGTCGGTTTCAAATACTTCGTAAACAGATGAATCTAGATCATCTTTTAATGGCTGAAATTTAAAAAAAAAATTGTTCAGAAATTAAATAATTCATTGTGATTATCATTAAATACCTGCAAAGGATATTGTAATAAATCTTCATAGTATTGACAAAATTTTTGCAATTTATCAGAAAAAATTTCCGTCTTTTGCAAATGTCCAATATATTGGCAATAATTTTTTATATGACCATGAAGATTATTTCCTTTGATAATGATGGAAAAATTGCTAGCCATTTTGAAATTAATTTGTCCCATAAATAATTGCATAACTTTGCTCAAAACCGGAAATTTCGATGAATTCGTCAGAAATACAGATGTAGGTAATATAATGAATTTAATTGGTTCACCTAGCCATCTGTCCAATCTATCGGTATCAAGTAATTCACCGTTCACTTCTAATGCAATCGATATATTAGGATGGAATTGCATTATCTTTCGCAGATGATTCCATTTTTTCCATTCATAATCATCATCAATGTATATTGGATCTTTTCGTAGTTCTTGTGTTTGCATTTTGATATTTGCCATTGACAATTTAATCGATATAGCTAAACTATGATGATCATTTGTTTCTGATTGTGGATTCAATTTTCGATTGATTATCGTGGCCATATTTTCAATAGATTCATGATCTTCTGGACATTCTAAAATAATGTTCTGTATTCCAGCATGTCCAGCAAAATTTAATTCTTTTTCTAACAAACGGATATTTCGTTGAATTCGAAAATCACGTTTCGGTATGTTGATGACAATTTTGTTGCGATCTATTTTAATGTGAATCAAAATAAAATTATAGTTATAAAAATTTATCATTCAATTTTTGTTTACCTTTGCCATCGAGAAATACTTCGCTGAATGGAATAAATTCCGAACATTTAGGATGAATCACCGGAGCGACAATATAATCGAAACTGAATTTTTTGTTAAATCAAACAAATATTTTTATCAAACAAACAATGAATGCTCATTAAACATACCCATATTCATTGTATTTATCCAGAGAAATTTTAATATTATCGATATAATTACAAGAATAACCGACGGTAATCATATTTTGATAATTAAATTCACAAAATTTAAAATAAAAAAAATTCAAAATTCTTTTTTAAACATGTGATCAAAAGAATCCGCATGCGGCAATTTTGTTAACCGTTCATAAATGCAATGATTATTTTGTATTGTTTGAACACTTAGAAAAATTAAAATTTTTTTTTATTCATTTTTTTTAAGGAATTTAAAATGTTTTTTAATTTTAATTTTAAAAGCGAAAAAAACAATATGATAATCATTGTCTACATTGTGATTTACATTGTTCCATTGCTATATCGACCATATGTACGATATTTATAAAGTCGAAGTAAATTTCGTTGTAACATGGTGGTGGTCACCTTTCCGATGGTTGGCACAAAAATTGATGCTTTTGTTTTATTTCATCGTCAAAAAATTTTAGCACAAGCAAAATTCACAGCTATTACACCATCTGATGGAAAGTGGAAATTTCATCGAATTAATAAAATCGAAATTTTTCCAGTAAAAAACAACAACAACAAACCTTTTAACAAATCAAGCATGCGGCAATTTTGTTAACCGTTCATAAATGCAATGACAATTTTGTATTGTTTGAACACTTAGAAAAATTAAAATTTTTTTTTATTCATTTTTTTAAGGAATTTAAAATGTTTTTAATTTTAATTTTAAAAGCGAAAAAAACAATATGATAATCATTGTCTACATTGTGATTTACATTGTTCCATTGCTATATCGACCATATGTACGATATTTATAAAGTCGAAGTAAATTTCGTTGTAACATGGTGGTGGTCACCTTTCCGATGGTTGGCACAAAAATTGATGCTTTTGTTTTTATTTCATCGTCAAAATTTTTAGCACAAGCAAAATTCACAGCTATTACACCATCTGATGGAAAGTGGAAATTTCATCGAATTAATAAAATCGAAATTTTTTCCAGTAAAAAAAAAACAACAACAACAAACCTTTTAACAAATCAAGAGGAACACGATAATTAGAGCTTGGTACACCAGTAATAACAATATCAGATATTGGTAAAACTTCTTCCAATTTTTTATCAGTATCTTGGACTTTATATTTATTCAATTCAAGATCTGGACCACGATAGAACAAAAGTATATCATTTATATCAACAGAATAGACTTTGGCACCATCATTGGCCAATAATGCAGCCAAAGGTCTGCCAACAACTTCACTTCTGTTGATAATGGTAATCGTTTTTCCACGAAGTTGATTACCATATGGTACATCATTATCATATACATTGCAATGTTCTAAAACCTAAATAAAATGAATCAATTGATTATTAATTATTATTAATAAAAACAAACATTGAGTGAATAATTGATAAAATTGAATTACTTACTTTAATAACGGCTAATGGTGTACAAGGAATAATTGATTTTAGATCTTTACGTCCTTGAATATGACGAATATTACGATACATATTGAATCTATATAGATGACATAAACCTTCAACATCTTTGAATGGATTCACACAATTCTGTATGTATTGATCATGTCCACCACCGAAAACTGGATAATAAACAAGTATACCATGTATAGTATCATCATCATTGGCTGCAATGACAGCATCTTCTAATTCTTCACGACCAATTTTACGTAATTCAAATACAATACCGGATCGTGCACAGCTTTTTTTCGTTACTTCAGCATATTGTTCAGCAGATGGATCATTATTGGCTAAAAAGCTAACCAATTTTACTTGAGCATCGACATCTTTGATCTGTCTAGTCAATTCATCACTGTTCGTGATGAATTAATAAATATGCAACAACAAAAACAACAAAAAAAATCCATAATTCACGATACAGGAACAACAAAACAAAAAAATCAAGTAAACACATTACAGGAACACACACTTACAGGAATTTTTCGGCAATTCTAGCTCCAGTTATGACTTGGCATTCCATTTCCACTCAAAAAAAAAAAATTGTTTATCGAACTATTTAATGATTATATTATGAAGATGAAACGATGGATATTGATGTGTCACATACACACACACACACACACACACACACGATGACGATGGCAATCACAGAGAAAAATTCAATTATACAGTCTCAACAACAACCACCACATATATAATATATGATGATGATGATGTAAGGTAGGAAAAAAAAACGTGAAACGAAAAAAAAAATTAAATCTGGAAATACAAGATTTTTTCGTTTCTGGTGACACGAGTTTTTATTTATTTATTTTTTTTTCTTGCTGTATATATATTCAATTGGGAAGAAACAACAAAAAAAAAAAAACAACTGAACAACCACTAAAATGAAAAAAAAAATTTTCTTTCTTCATGTGTTTTTTTTTAATTTGTTTTCATTTTTCATGTGTGTATCTTATTAATATATATATGCAGCCGATTGATTACATTGCTGCAACAACAAGTCATCATCATCATCATCATCATCATTATCATCACTAAGTTTAATGTACCATTTATCACGAAAAAAAATCATCCACCCATATTTTTTTTTTTTTGATTAGATAAAGGGTAAATCATTTCCATGAGGTTTAAAAAATTTTACCATTTAAAAAGATTAAATTTCTAGATTTCTAGACAACAAAAAAAATTTTTTTGATGATGATAAAATGTTTTCATTACATTTTACACATATTTGATATATCGTAGCGTATATCGGAAGCATAATCAATACACACAAACTACTATATATTATCATTGTTTTTTTTTGCTTGTGTAATCTGATCGCTTTGGAAATAAAATAAATTCAATATACATGATAATATCGATGACGACAAATTTTTTTTTTGCTTTTATTGGTAACAATGATGATGATGACATGATCATCGTACCAATCATTGATTACCCAGATCGACGATATACTCGAATAAGTATTATTATTATCCAAATATAGGAAAATAAATGAAAATATTTCGATATTTTGGTGATATTTTCAAATGATTTGGTTTTTTTTTCGTTAAATATGGTAAAAAAAAAATTTTTTCATTATTGCTAGTTATTCTATAATGATGATTCTTGATGAGATAGTAATGGGAGGGAAAAAAACCCAATTATCATTGAACATGCACTAGAAAAAAAATATGAAAAACGTATTTTTAATCACATGGTGTTTGTAACCCTGGAAAAAAAATTTTTTTTTTCTCAATGAATTTTGTTTCACCAATAAACTGCCAGTTTGATGTTGATGATGAATTGGAATTTTTTCTCTTTTTTCATTACAAATATGACCAATATATAAGATTGAATAGAATGAATGCCAATGGAAATAGATAACGACATTTACGATCAATTGATTCAGCAATTTCTTGTGGTGTATCCTTTAATATCATTGAAATTGAATCATAATTATTATTGTTCATTTGTGATGGTGATGGTGATGGTGGTGATTGTTGCTGATTATTGGGTATTTGTTGTTGTTGTTGTTGCTGCTGCTGTTGGATAAACGTACTAGGACATGCATAGCTAAATCTACGTGCCAAATTTAATCGTCGTTGATTCAATTCATGATCCTAAAACAAAAAAAAATCATTGTTAATTCGGACCAATCCTTTCAATTCAAGTTTTTTTTTCTATACACAACACTTAACTGTTTTGATTGTCGATAATGTTGGCGCAAGTAATAAATTATTATAATTACTATTACTGCCATTAGTAGCAAATAATCCACAACTATTTTGTCGTTGATAAATAACATTTTGTCCATCCTGTTTGTTATCATTCACATTCATATTATTGTCCATAGGCGATAGAAATGATGCAACACTAAGGCTACGTTTAATTCGTTTACGAACTTTTAATTTGTTTCGCTCTTCACGATGTACATAACATACGTATACATATTCAATTAATGTACAAAATATCGATACTATATAGAAACAAACAAAACGGAAGTAAAAAAACAAAACGAAACGAAAAAAAGGAAGAAAATTGTAATTCAGTCATTATATAATGATGATGATGATTTTATATATGGTGATTAATGTAAGAGGAGGAAAACAAAAAAACAAATACAAACAAACTTACCAATACATCCAGCAAACCAAAGATCAATTGCTTTAACATATGATACTTTTGGTATTGTTTGTTTTGCTTCTTTCGATACGGTTACCAATGCAAGCATTGTGGTCACACCAATCGATGTACGGCTAGGTGCAGATGTTATATCAATCCAGAACGAAATCCATGATGTTGCAACAATCAACATTGATGGTAAAAATAATGTAAACATTGAATGTACAAATTGTCTTTTAACATTCAATTCAACTGTTAACATGCTAAATGTTTCTTTTTGTATATGTTTATTATGTTCAGATATTGAATATCCTTGTATTGAATGTCCAGTAATTTGAAAACCATCTTCAATCAATTGTGAATCATTCCATTTAAGTATTAAATGTTTTATTGATAGATCGCTTGATATTAGATGTATATAACAGGTTTGATTATCGAATGGATAGCTTTGATAATTCATTACACAGATTAGATTTAGATTTGTTCTTTTAATAACGGAAATAAAAATGTTATATTATGTAATGTAATAATGACCAATATACAACACATACCTATAACGTATAGATACATCACCATCACAACCGATACGTAAAAATGTCAACTTCGACAATGTTTTTGAACCAAAAACATCTATATCATCAACTCTTGATACACGAAGATTTGGTGTCCAAATATCCGTAAAATAATGTGTACCAATAATTTCTTTGACCATTTCACATGAAAATGTTAACCGTGAATCATTCCAATGAAATTCATATATTGCTTGTATTTCTAATAATGATTCAATATCTTTATAAGTGGCAATTGGATCCATTTTCATATTCACTGATATATTCACACATTGTTCTGCAATACAAATACAATATAAATGCAAAAATGTAAAAAAAATTCCAAAAAAAAAAATTCCAAAATGATACCTGTATTCCATAATGGCCGGATCCATTTATGATAAATACTTGAATTGATTTGAATTGAATCATTCAATAATTGAACAGTATATTGTTCTTGTTGCCGTTGTTGTTGTTGTTGTGTTGGTGTTGATAAATCACCACCATCAGCTGATACTATCGTATCAACAATGACGATGATGGTGATGATGGCAATGATGACCAAATAAAATTTCTGTCCAATGAATAATAATGATAAATAGAACATTTTTTTCGTTTATTCAAAGAAAAAACAAAAATTTACACACACACACAAACGAAAAAATAAAAAATAAAATAACTCCATCTTTGGCCATCGACAACATTGTTCACAAAATTCTAATTTTGCTTAATCCTCGTTGTTGTTGTTGTTTTATTTTTTCTCGTTTCGCCCTCACATCTTTTTGTGTAGATAAAATCTATTTAAACATTTTAAACCATTTTTTTCTGTAATGGTTTTATTCTTACATTGTGTGTTATATTATATTATGACAACAACAACAAAATGGATTAACACACAAAGTGACCTCATCAATCATTTTTTCATTTTCATTTTTGTTTATAATAATGAAAAAATGAATTGAATGATGATGATGATGGAGCTTATATATATAAAATAATTAAGTTTATATCCACATCTAATCTCTAACAAATGTGATGATGATGTACCGACAAACACTTGTTGATCTCAATATTGAATTAATAGAAAAAAAATAATGTGATGATGATGATGATATATCATCATTCAAGTCATTGGCGACGATCCTGTCTGAGTGTTTTGTACTAAAGGGCGGGCGTCGGTAATGTACACACATATATTATGTGGATATGGAAATTTTTTTTTTTTTTTTTTGAACCAATGAACGAATGAATTATATAACATGTTGTGTAGTGTATATACAAAACTAAAAAAAAGGAACGAAAGATAAAATCAGATCAGATAAATTGATGGATGGAGATGAGAAAACAAATGTTTGTATGTTTTGTATGTTTTTTTAAATTCATTCATTCATCGGACGAAAAAAAAATCGGACAAAATTATCATGGATTTTGACAAACAAAACAGAAAAAATGAAAATGGAAATCTCATTGTCATCATCATTATGATCGATATACATGACATTTCATGCATATCAATCAATCAATCAATCAATTTAACATTATTATTATTATGGCTGAAAATTGATCCAAGAATAAGCTATTTTTACACACACACAGACACACACAAAAAATGACGTATATTGACCGACATATTAATAGATTATTATGGATGGATCAATAAATAAAATACAAAATAATCTCCACAGATCATCATTGTATTATTATCTACAGTGAAAACGTTTAGAAAAAAAAATAACGGGAATAATCCCTTTTATATGATCCATTTTCAGGATTATGATAAAAATGAATGAATGAATGAATGAAAGATAACAAAATTTTTTTTTGTTGATAAAAATATTTACCAAACAATCATCGTCATAAACGACCAAATGGCAATCAATCGAATTCGAAGGTAAAAGAGAAGAAGAAGAAGAAGGAGAAAAAAAATTCGTTCATTACATTTTTTTTTAATTTCTTTTTCCCATCATCCGATGAAGAAATGATGATGATGATGATGATGATGATAATGAGGGAAGGCAATAATAATAAAGATTGTGTTGTATTGTGTTGTGTTGAATTGTTATTGTATTTTTTTTTAACATTTATTAGACTATCATCATCATCATCATCATAATATTGAAGGTGTCTATTTATAGACACCTATTCGTTCGGCAAATGATGATTGTAATAATATATTATATATATTGGCTTTTATGTGTGTTGGTTGATTGGTGTGACGAAATTTTGTTGTTGTTGTTGATGATGATCAAAAATTTGGCAAAGAACTCGCAACAGGTTGATATGGTGGTTGATGAGAGGGTGAATTTAAATGTGTTGAAATTAAAATGAGTAAAAATTTTGAAACCAAAAAAGCGGTGGAACAAACAACAAAACACAAATCATGCATGATCGGTTATTCATTTATAAAGAGATGGATTTCAATTTTCAAATTTTTTTTTCAATTATGAATCAAATGAACAAAAAAAAAATTCGCTTTTTCGTGATCCACGGATGGTTTCGACATGATAATAATTTCAATTTGAATTTTCATTTGAACAAAAAAAAGAGCAAAAAAAAAATTCAAATCGATTGTTCGATGATTCGATTCGATAATCGATTGTTTCTCTATCACACTTTTTCATATATGATCATCATCATCATGTTGATATTCAATCAATCAATCAATCAAAAAAAAAAAATCTGAACGATATGACCAATCAAGCGTTCAAAATTTCGGTCAATTCTAAATTTTTGAAACATAACTAGGTTATTATTATTTCGTTTTGTTTGTTTGTTTGTCTTGTGTGATGATTGATCATGATGAGTGGATTTTTTTTTATTTTTCATTTTGTTCATTCCGTTCTTCAATATATATATTGAAATAAAAAAAAAGAAAGAAAAAAAAATAAATGGAAAACGAAGATAAAAAAAACTTTTTTTTTGAAATACATCTTCAGTTTCTATTTTCGAATCATATAATTCATTCAATTTGTTTCTCCTTTCCTTTTGTGTGTTCATGTGCACATGTGGTTTCAATTCTAAATTTGTCAATTCTAAATTTTTGAAACATAACTAGGTTATTATTATTTCGTTTTGTTTGTTTGTTTGTCTTGTGTGATGATTGATCATGATGAGTGGATCTTTTTTTTTTTTTATTTTCATTTTGTTCATTCCGTTCTTCAATATATATATTGAAATAAAAAAAAAGAAAGAAAAAAAAATAAATGGAAAACGAAGATAAAAAAAAACTTTTTTTTTTGAAATAAATCTTCAGTTTCTATTTTCGAATCATATAATTCATTCATTCATTCGTTTGGTTTCTCCTTTTTGTGTGTTCATGTGCACATGTGGTTTTTTTTTTATCAGCCACATATATTTGGAACACTTTTTTTATGGATTCTAATTTGAATCCATTAAAAAAAATTCAAGTGAATGCGCTGTGTGTGTGTGTGTTTGTTTGGTTTTTTTTTTTTTTGTTACTTTTTTGTCGATTGTTCTTTTTGTTGTTGTTGTTGTTGTTGTTGTTGTTGTTGTTGTTGTGAATATATACAAAACAGACACATATACAGATATCATTTACAGACAAATAGAGATATAATCACCATCATCATCATGATAAGATTTTTTTTTTTGTTCTGGAGAATAGAAAAGAATGAAGCAATCTAATTTTAGTTTTTTTTTTTTTTTTTTTTGATTGCTGTCGTTCGTTTTTTTTTTTACATATTCATTTCATCAACAAAATACAGACACACTTACCTGTTGCTTCCATTATTCACTGGCCACATTTTCCATCATCATCATCATCATTATCATCATATGATAATGGGATAATTTCAATGGACTTGAATCTAGTAGAAAATGATGATCATTGAACAATGATGATGATGATGATGATGATGGTGAGAATAGTTTGGATCCATTGTATTTTTGGCAAACAAAATTGAATGTGATTTTTTTTTTTTTTTTTTTGGTTCCGAAATTTATTTATTTATGATATCATCACCACATCTTTTTGTTCTTTATACAAATACAATTCATGACATTTTCTGTGTGTGTGTGTGTGTTTTTGTTTTATTTATTTTTTTTCTTTCTTGATACACACACACTTTGAAGCAATGATGATGTTGATCAATGATGGATGATGATGATGATGATGAACAGCAACAATAAAATTCTGGCACATTGATGATGATGATGTGTGTGTGTGTGTGTATGTATGAGTGTATTCAATGTGATGAAACAACAAGCAAACAAACAAACAAAAAAAATTGTGAATCATATCATATCATTTTATATATATAGAACATTATCATTAAATCAAAGTTTCGATTTTCATCCAAATTAAAATTAAAAATAAAATAAAAAATTCCAAATAGAGATAGAATAAATGAGAGAGAGAGAGAGAGTGAGATTAATTTGAGTAAATATGAGAGAGAGAGAGAGAGAGAGAGTAATATTTCACTACCATCAGCAAATTGAATTGAAATTCCAAAGTTCAATAATCATTTCAAGTGTCAAGTGTCAAATGTCAGAGCATAGAGATTCTTCAGTCATTCTTCGTCTTCTTTAGGCTTTAGCGGCGGCTTTACTTTTGGCATATTGGCCACCACCACCACCACCACCACCACCATAGGCACCTTTACCTTGTAAACCGGAGCCAGGTCGTCGATTTTCACCTTTATGTACAACAGTATGCACTTCTTCAATAACAGGTCGAATTTCCTGTGTCACACGACGATATGGTTGTATGATTTCACGTACTTCTTGAATCACAGGTTTAACTATTTGATGAATTATTCTTTGAGGATCATCCTGTAATTAATAAAGGGCCAAAGAGGTCAAAAATCCATAAATAAATAACAGAAATACAATGGAAAAAAATGGGAAAAAAAGTACCTGAAATGAAGCATGCTCTACTTGTGGCATAGCTTGACCACCATGACTTTGTTGTACATTTAATCGACTTGATGCAGTACGGAAATGAACCTGAACAGGTAATTGATCTGGTGATACTTCAATAACTTGTGGTTGTTCCATTCCATCTAATGATGATCCATAAGATTTTTGATCACCGCCACCGCCAACGCCACCACCACCACCACCACCATCAACATTACCATAACCACCATATGATGATAATGAACCGGATGATGAGCCATAATTTGAATAACCGGAACCAGAATTCGAATAAGCATTTGTAGTGGCAATCAATGCCAAACAAACGAAACCAATCTATATGTAAAAAAATTAATCAATCAATCAATATTATAAACACAAACAAAAACACACAATAAATCAATAATAATAATCGATTCACACATAGAAATACACAATCAACACACGAAAAAAAAAAATTTTTTCAAACAAATATTCTCTAACCTTATTGAACATTATGATTTTGATGATAAACAAACAAACAAACAAACAACAAATGTGAATTATTCAATATTCATCTGATGAAAAAATTTTCCATAAACTTTTACTTTATATACTCAAGAAATAAAAAAAAACCGAGCAATCATCTTTAGGCAAAAAAAAAGAGAAAACCAAAATGGAAACAAAAAGAGCAAAAGAAAAAAAAACTTGAAAGTACGAAAAATATCAAAAAAAACGACGTTTGAGGATCGTCATCGGTTTCATTCATTCATTCGGTCGGTCGGTCGGTCGGACACACCTTCACCATATGTTTGATGAAAAACGTCAACATCAACAACTAGGCCACAACTATTCATTGACCATTATTATCTCTGTTTTGATCATCACAATAAATCTTATCTCATCATCAAATTGGACAATTCAAATGCGATATCATGTGAAGTGTCATATATATAAAAAAAAAAAAAACAGCCACATACGGAGGATGATTTTATTATGGCTGTATTTATGGATAAAATCAAATGGCGGACAAATTTCGATAAAGAGACGATGATGATGATGAATATAATCGGACAAATGGAGAAACAAACAAACAAACAAAAAAGATGAGAAAATAATAAATGGATTATTATTCGACCGATCGACCGGCCGGTCAAACATTCGTTCATTATTGGTCAACATATAACAGATTTATTTATTTTTTTTTTTTTTGAAAAATCTGGGACAGATAAAAAATTTTTTTTTCAAAAATCAAAAACTTAGGCGGAACATTTCATTCATTCATTCATCATAAATTCTCCCATAGACAAATTTTCAATGATTAACACATATGCATTAACCTGGTCTTGTATTTGGTTTTATTTTATTTTATTTTTTTTTTCGTTGAAAAAAAATTTTTCCTTTTTCAAATGTCATTTTTTAACGATTGAAATGAAAAATTTTTTTTTCCTATTTTGCCCAAAAAAAAAAAATAAAATCATTTTTCAAAATCAAACAATAACGGGTGGAATTTTTATCATGGAAAACTTTTTTTTCCCAAGTTTTTCTTTGAAAATTTTCCTATCTACAATTGGGGAAAAATAATGTGTGAAAATGTTTTATGCGGAAAATTTTATTTTATCCGTCTGAAATGAATAATGTATATATATATATTCGTTGAATTGGATTCAAAATTATCAAAACACAAATGTTCATCACTTGCAATTTTGTCCTTATTTGTTGTTGTTGTTGTTGTTGTTTGATTTTATTATCATATGCGTGTGTGTGTGTGTGTGTGATTGATGAAATTTGAATTATTCATTTTTTTCAAATTACGCGCCCATATTTTTTTTGAGTGTATGTGTGTGTGTGTGTGGTGTTTGGATTTTTTTTTTTTTTTTTCATATTAATTTTCAGCAATGATATTTAGACAAATTTTTTTATAAAACAATAATGTCAACGATATGTCCAACATGATTACTTGAACAAAATTAAATTTATTAATGAAAAATATTTGGCCACAAGTGAAACCAAATGGATTTTCATTCATTGTTTGTATGAATAGATTTGTTCTGATTTGATATCTATATGAAAATGAAAGCCAATTTTTTCGACATGATTGAAAATTCATCATTCTTTGTGATGAATGAATATTCCATGGTAATAAATGACGATAACATTGTTTATTATATGATGGTATATGAGTGAATCGTGAATGGATAACATTGAAAATGAAAAACACTGTCAACAGACTGATAATAAACATCATACCATGTATAGTATCGGTAACATTTCGGCTATAGAATATGGTGATACAAATTATTGTCGATTTGGATATGGTTTCCATTGCCAATAAAATTAATTTTAAATCATCATTAAATTTAGCTGTATGATCAAATAGCTGTACATATTTTGTATGAAAACGATGCCAATGTTTTTTCATATTCATCATAATCAATATATGATGATTTAAACGATAATTGAATAATGATTTGGTTATGAATAGAATTTGTTTGAATTGAATATTGAAAAATTCAACCATTATAATCAATGCTTTTATTGGCACTGTAAATGCTAATATTAGATATATTAAACGTAATAATTCAATAATAACCATAATCATTGAATAGAACATAAAGAATAAACCAATTTGATTCTGTAAATACATAGCAATGATTTTGATGTAAAAAATTGACATCCAACAGATTATTGACAATAATAACATGGTGAACATAATGATTGATATATAATCAGAAATGATGATTAATCGTAATATATATTGCCGATATTGGGGAAAAATTTCGAAAATATCACCATAAAATGAATAATAAGCCAACAAATTATTCATACCGGAATCATAATTCAATACTTTATGTATGGAAAAAATCCATAATATTTCGACAGTTATGTTAACCACAATCATAACGATTATGGCCAAATCCAAACGATATATATTCATTATATGTGCCGATTGTTCTAAATTAATAGCGAATGCATAATCAGGCCATTGTAATCTTGCCAAATAGAATATTATTGTTAACAATCCAATGATTGTAATCAAAATGGCCGGTTGAAATACAGTAAATGTTAACGGTATCTGTTGATGATAATATTGCCAATAAGAATAATTCAATCGAATTCCAAGAAATTTCCATGATCGAAATGAATATTCAATCAATGGTCCAATAATATTATATGGTCGTCGACGAAATGGTAAAATATTCATTTTTACTAATAATTTCGTTTCAGCCATCCTAGTTATTTCGAACCAGAAAACATTACCATTGTAGAACACATATTATTCTGAAACACACACACACAATTAAATAATCGAATCTGTGACAGAATTCAAGTCCATTATTATTATTATTATTCTACCAAAAACAAAAATTTTACTTATTGAAATCATAGCAACAGTAAATTGTATTGAATAGATTCATTTAAATATTTATTTTTCTTTCTTTAAAATTTTCATATATAATTAATTTGATTCACTTTTGGAACATTAAAAACACACACACACAAACACAAACACAAAACATTGCCGGAAATTCTAATGAATCTCTGAATGGAGCAAGTTGGAAAAAAAACGAAATTTCAAAAAAAAAAAAAAAAAAATTACGAAACCAAATTGTTTTTTGTTTTTTTATTGAAAAAAAAACAAAAACAAACTCGTCATTATTATCACAAAAAAAAGTGAAATCAATCAAATATATCGATCAATAATGTAGGTGGATAATTGAATATTCGAATTTTTTGTCTGTTTTGTTTGTTTGTTTGTTAATGATGTGATCACAAACAGTGCCATCTATTGTAAATGTTTTGTAATGATAATTGTTTTTGAATATAAAAGTTTTGTTTAACAAAAAAAAAAAAATTAATTATAATTGTTTTAAATTAGGATGTTTTCTTTTTACATGATCTACAAGATTACTATATTGTCGTAATTTATAATTACAATATGGACATTGATATGGCTTTTCACCTGTATGTTTACGACAATGTATGATAAGATTACATTTTTGACTGAAAACACGAGAACATTTATGACATTTGAATTGTCGTTCTTTTGTATGTGTATTAATATGTGTATAAAGACTTGATTGATATTTGTATCTATTGCCACAAATAAAACATATATGTTTGTTTTCAGGTTTATGTGTTTTTAAATGTTTATCAAGCTTACCATAAGAAGTAAATCTATAAGAACATTTTGTACAAGAAAATTTAGCCATGTTTTTTCTGTTTAAATCTTTGTTCGATGGATTATATTCTTCTGTTGTGAATGCCAATGAACATTCTGGATTTTCGGTCATTTCTATTGTACTGGACAATGGAATCGTTCCAGTTTCCGTAATTGGATCGATTGTCCAGACTTGTGATCGATAAAACGGTCGTCTCTTTCGAATTGGCTTCAACAGATTCAAATGATCCAATAAATATTGTCGATGAGCGTTGAAATCGTCGGTTAATGAATGAACATTTTTCAAACATTCGGACACTTTGCATTCGATTTTATCAGTACGAGACATCAAATGATTTTCAAATTCTTCGAATTTTTTCTGAAGAATATCGGATAGAATCGGTTGGATTGGTTCGGAAAAATTATCAAAATCAGATACAATTTTTGGTTTCTCTATTTTATTCAACTTTGTTTGATAACTATAACCATGAACATTGGATTCGATTATCTATAGAAAAAATCGATTAAAAATTACAATCAAAATAATGTCATTGAAAAATGATGAATATGTTACCTGATCTACATGGATATTTTCATTTGTAATCGGCTTGTTTGTAAATCCATTAGTTTGTTGTTGTCGAAAATTTTCACAAATTATTGGATGAAACCATCTAGTCAAAAAGGATAATGATAACATGATAAAAGTATTCACTTTTTTCAGTTGACAAAAAAAAAACAAATAGAAAAAAATGACAGAACCAAACTGAATGAGGTGTAGCGAATAGGAAAAAGAAACGTAATACGAATTTAAGAGTGTGAAACAACGAGCAATAAATTCTATATCTACTCAAAAATATGTTACGATGTATGAATAGTAAATTTTAAAAATACCAAACTCAACGAACAGATGGAGTTGTGTGGTTTTTTTTGTTGTTGTTGTTGTTGTTGATGTAGAAATGAAATAATTTTTAAACAAAACATTTTACCACAAATCTAAAAATCAAATTCTTTAAATTCTTGAAAAAATAATGCAAAAATTGGACACGATGAATTCATCCACATATATATCAATTAGCCACAATATGGAAAGATTCGAAACGAACAAGATCAATTTAGATTTTTCATCCATCAATCACCAGATGGCAATATCGATCGATTTCACATTTAATTGATAATTTTATCGAAAATAAAACTGATTTTGTTTCATTTTTCGTTTCAATTTATCATGTATTCAACAACGAAAGATAATGCAATAATATAAAATGGTTAAATCTTTGAGAAAATAATTTAAAAAAACCAGACTTTATTGTTCATAATTTGATTCATCATCAATCATCCAAGCACGTGAATTTGTTTGTGTTCCAGGGAAAATTTTCCATTTCAGTGAGTATTTTTTTCCGAAATTTTTATTGTTTGTTTATATTTAATCACATTGTTTTCAAATTTTTCAATTTTTACCGCGGTATTCTTTTTCTCTCTCTCTTTTTCAAATACAATCATATAATGAATTCATTTGTTCCGGCATATACTGTAAATGGCCAGAATATTTATTGTGAAATGGAATATGATAATAATGATCCATTCAATAATGGATATCAACAACAATCGAATAATGTAATGTCAAATGAAACAATATCGAATCATCAATCCGTAAATTATTCATCACATGCAAATGTAAATGTTATGAACGAATCACTGTCAAATTCACGACGAATTTTTGATCAAAAATTTTTATTTGAAAAACTATTCGAATCGGCCATAAATCAGATGCAAGATATTCAAAATTCTGAATATAAAATTCTTGAAAAAAAATTTGATGAAATTGAAAATCAGTTAATGTCTCGTGTGGATAAAATCGAAAACAAAGTGAATGAATGTTCAAAAAATGTTGAATCATTGGCCGATGATTTTATTGCCCATAGACAACATTTATTGGATCATCCAAATCTATTGAAACCAATTCGAAGAAGGCGATCAACGATACGAGCTAGACCGATTCAGCCATCACCAGTTTGGACAATCGAACCGATAACAGAAATCCAAACAATTCAATCAACTGAAACTTTATTTCAAAATGAAACATTAAAACATTTGATTCGAGAATGTTTGAAAGAAAATAATGATTTATATCAAAACCGACAAAATTCATTATCAAATGAAAATGAAAATAATAATCAAACATTGACCAATACGATAGAAATGGGTGAAAATTCCAAACAATTTCCATTGTTCATTATGTTCATTTTCATATGAAACGGAAGAAATTCTAAATCGTCATCTAAAAACTCATCTACCTGGTCATAATCATGCATGTGAATATTGTGGAAATCTATTTAAAAGTAAATATACACTTTCTGTTCATATTCTTATACATACAAATGAACGTCCATTTAAATGTGATTTATGTGACTATTCTAGTAATTACAAAAGTAGTCTTAAAGAACATCAACGTGTCAAACACAGTGGTCATAAATATGAATGCGATCATTGTGATTATAAATGTGGCACAAAATCCAGTTATTATCGACATATTCGAAAACATTCCTAAGTGGGTAAAAACAACAACAAAAAATGTTTTCATTGATTTCATTATAGAATTCAAAAAAACAATCATCAACTATGTATAATATATATAGTATCTATCTATAAGTCTTCATCATTGTATTGGAAATTTTTTTTTTTTTGTTGATCAATAATCAATCATTTTATTATATTCATTTGTATTGTTTTTTTTCTCACTGAAATTTATTTGAATAAAATAAAATCGTTAAAAAAAAAAAAACAAAAACAAAATTTTTTTTCTAAATTTAGTATATTCCCCCCTTCACCACCAAAAAAAAATTACACAAGTGTTGATTGTTTTAATATCTGTGATGATGATTTTGGGCCACTTCAAAAAAAAAAAAACACACACACTTGTTGAATGGTTCAATCATTTTGTAACTTTACAATTTTGTTCATTCGAATAAAAACAAAAAAAAAAAAAACATTGTGTAAATATGTTTATGATGATGATGATGATGATGATGATGGAAAAAAAGGATTGGAAATGTATTCATCACACATTTTTTCCCCATTTTTGTTCCCCATTCGTTTGGCCAAATTTATATTATTAACAAAAAATCATTATTGTTGTTGTTCGATGACGATAAGGAATGTGGTGGATAAACCTGGTAAACTTTATGGTTTTTTTTCGCTATAAATATATATATATATACAGATATACAGATAGACTACAGGCAAAAAAAAAATGAAATTGAAAATGAAGGCTATGGTTGATCAATCAAATTATCATTATTGATTGATTGGTTAATGAAATTGAGTATTTGATCATCGAACAACAAAGGTGAACAACAACAACAACAACCAATGACCGCGGTAATAAAAAAAAATAAATCCAAATTTAGAATCTCAATTTTTTTTGATCGTAGAATAGAAACCACAATCATAATCATAATCATCATCATCATCATCGGACAAAAAAAACTTGATGATGCCCGAAATGGTAATGGTCATCAAAATTACAACCCAATGTTGTTGTAATGATTGATTTGTAATTAAATTTTTTTTTGTTTCGTTTTGATTGAATAAATCGTGATCATCATCATATTGTTGTTGTTGTAACTCTTTTGTTTTTATTTATGAAAAAATTTTTCTTTTTTCGTTGTTGTCAAAAGCGAAAAGTTTTTTTTTCAATCAATTTTCATGGCTGTTGGTTTGGTTTTTCCACTAATCGTGCATGTAACATTAAACAGGCAAGCAAATTGTCACCAGGTCCAAAATGGCCTGGATTATTGATGATGAATTTTGCATTGTAATCACCCTAATTGAAAAAAAAAATTTGATGTTTTTTCTGGTCACAAAACAAAACAAAACTTACCGATGCCATTTGTGCAAGAAAACCTTTAAATTGTTCAAAAGGAACAGTTACACGGCCATGATTCAATGTAACTCTACCGGCCTGAATTGGACAGCTACAAGGTCGACCAATGTTTTGAAAAAATGGACAAAACAAATCATTGTACCAGGTTTTGAATGAATCACAAACTTTCAATGTACATGATCCAAAAGTTCCATCAATACAGGGCAATGTAATATTATATGGATCGTTATCATAGTTTAATGTTTTATTCACAACGATTGTCATTTCGGCATCCAATGGTAAATCTTCGTTTATTGAAATATCACCAGTAAGATATAATTCTTTTGTTTCCGATAGCACTAATGGTTTTGGTTCGAAATCCAATTTATTAAAACGAATAATTTGGCCACCACAATCTGACCAACGGAAATCATTTGGATTATTTGATTCAATCAATAGATGGCCATGAACAATTGTTATGATGAACGATAATGCGAAAAGAATTTTTGAAATCATTTTTTTTCTTTATGTTGTTGTTGTTGTTGCTTGAGGTAAGAACAAGGATTCGATGCGTGTTTTTGTACTAAAAAAACATCAAAACTTTTCTCATTAAGTTTGATTAGCGATCAATCAATTTAATCGATGAATTTGAGAATTTTGATCATCATCAATTGTTATTTATATCTGCGTGTGTGTTTGTAAAACACTTTCTAGGAAAAAAAAAAAAAAAAAAAAAAGATGATATTACCTAAGGTTGTAGAAATAATTATTTGTTACCTTTTTGTACTTATTGATGATGATGATGATTAAAATCTTGGAAATTGATACCCAATTTGTGTGTGTGTGTGTGTATGTGTGTGGTTTTGCCAGAAAAACAAACTAATCATTAAGCATTTTGATCAAATTATCCTTTTTTTGTCTTCTTCTTCTTGACATGGTATGAAAATAATCAAACTGACGGAAACGTGACGAACCAAATCTCTGTGTGTGTGTGTGTGTGTGTGTGTGAATGCTTGAATCCAATAATCGATTATATCGAAAATCGAATATGATGATCAAAAATTCGGGTCAATAAGACTATCAAAAAAAAAAAAAAAATCGATCGAATGATGATGATGATGATAATTATCTTATCCTTGTATCTTCATTCATTGATTTTCGATACGAAAATTATCTTTTTTCAAAAAAATTCTTTGATCTCATTATTAAAAAAAAAAAATGAAATCAAAAGTTTCTCTAATTATTGCAAAAAAAATAATCAATATTTTCAATCTTTTCAAAAATTTCAATTTCCATGATTATGACGATGACAATGAGTTTGATTGATCGATACATGAGTGAATGAAACAATTGTGTGTGTGTGTCTGTGTACTATGATGATTATCGTATCATCATCATAGTTAACAAGAGAAAATGATAATGATGAGTATTTCAATCAACCACCAGAAAAAAAACCATCACCTCATTTTACTATTATAATCATCATCATCATCATCATTTTGAGAAAAAATAATGATAACTATGGATTGGTGATGATGATGATGATCTTTAATAATAGACTTTTTTTTTGTCTGATGGTTACTTAGTCATTCACTTAGCCATACATCGAGAGAGAGAAAGATGGCTGATACAATCTTGAAATCTTCTTTTAAACATATCGGAATGATGATTGACATGATGATTGGCTCGTTTATAATAAACACATGGATAGGGGTTTCTTTTTTCATCTTGAATTCACCCAAAATGTTGTTCATTCATTCATTCATATTGAAAATGAAAACGGATTCAAATTGCTCCCAACAAAAAAAAGATCCCATATCATCATCATCTTCATCTTCATATAAATGAATAGCCGATCCCAAATGACCAGAAGCACTATTGAAAAAACAAGAAAAAAAAACTTTTTTTAGTATTAAAAAAAAATTAAATATGAAACCATTATCCCCAAACTATTGTTTCGAAAAACAAAACAAAAAAAAAAAAAATCTTCATGTCCGATAATTTTTTTTAATGCCAATAGATTATTATATGGTTTTTTCTTGCTTGCTTGTTTTTTTTCTTGGCATCCATGATTTTGAACAATAAATAAATTGGATTGGATGATGCCCAGTTCAATAAAGATGATAATGACGATGATGAACATTCTTTTAGACATGACCTTTTTTTCATTTCCACTCATTATTATTTTTTTTTTCATTGCTTTACCATTGACCGAAATTTGTATCGACTTTTTTTTTCTTTCATCAGCGAATGTGCCATTAATGTAATCAACGTCATCGTTGTTTGATAAATTTAGATTCAAAAAATGAAAAAAGATTTCCCTCATCATACGATATCAAAGATGAGGATAAAAACGATTGATTTTTTTTCCCAAATGAATTTGAATGTCAATTAATTTTGTAAAATTCTTTTTTGTTCGTATTTTTACAATCCTCGACAAACATAATCACATTAGCCTGGAGGTATTATCTGTGATGAACCTATGTACCTGCAGGTGAGATATAAAGAAATTTAAAAAAAAATAAATAAACAAGAAAAAAGATCATGTCACGAAATTGGTAAGAAATAAAACTTGAACTTTAAACCTGATAATATATACTATTCACATTGCAGATTTAATCCAAATTGATCCATTTCCATTATCGCTCTGTGTCAGCTTGAATTTATTCTCGATGGCATCCACTGACATCCAATGACAATGAATGAAAAATGTAATTTTGCATATTCGTCCATTTCATTCCATTTCACTAGTTCTTTTGTCACGAAAAGAAAAAAAAACAAACAGGAACATACATTCGACATATTCGAATCCGGACACATTCCGCATACAATTGAAATGAAATCAAAAAAAAAAAAAAAAAAAAATTCAATAGCCAACATGTGTCATGGTTGAGCAACGATACCGGGACATGTGTTATTCATCCGTTTATTTTGTGTGTGTGTTTAGTTGTTTATTTAGATGATTATCATCATCATCATCATCAAAACAAAAAAAAACAAATAAAGAAAAAAAAGGAAAAAAAATACAGACAAAAAAATTTAAAAAAAAAAAATAAACTTACCAACATTATATTCATTCAATTCAATTGGCCAATTCAATTATTCGATGTAGAATGATGGTGGCTTTACAAAAGTATAAAAATTGAATACAATTAGCGTGAATGAAAAAATAAAAAACAAAAAATTGTATATAAACCATGGACACCTGTAGTGTTTGTTTGTTTGTGTGTGTGTGTGTGTGTGTGTGTGTGAATAACACTCCTCTTATTTTTTTTTCTTGTTATTCGGTTATTTAGCATCTTTTTAGGTAAAAAGAAATTATTTTTCACATTCATTTTCTCAAAGTTGTTTTTTTTTGGCTTTTATCGCTGTTGTTGTTGTTGTTGTTGATGTTGTTGTTGTCATTGTCGTCGATTATCATACATATCCTACATATTGTGATTATGATTATTTTTGAATCTGTGTGTGTGTGTATATATGTCTTACGGCATTTCAAATGCAAAATTATCTTTCCCCATTACATTTCGAAGGAGTAAAATGGAAAAAAAAATCTGGAAGTCACTAACCTAGCCAATGATGATTGTGATGTGATGATTATGATGATGATAATCAGGGTCGAATTAAAAGTTGGACATGATGATGAAAAAAAAAATCTTGGTCAACATTATTTACTGAGAAAAAAAAACCAAAAATCTTGATAAGGGAATTTTATTTTTTCTTCTTCTTATTTAACCAGTGGTCCACAATCTCCGTTTAAAAGCATGTATAGTTCAGGATTTGAAAACTAAATTTGTCGAGTAATAATAATCATCATCATCATCAGTATATGATTGGCAGTAAAACAACGGAGAAAAAAAACTTACTTGAAGATGATAATGTGATTGAGAGAAAGTTTTTTTTTCTTCTAATGTTTAAATGGTGGTCCAGAAATAAAGAAATTTATTTTTTTTTTTTGGACTTTTTGAGATTTAAAGAGAATTGAATTGATATCATTCACACGGCCAAACAAACGAGAGAGAGAGAGAGAGAGAAATGGTCAACATGGACTTGGACATGGACATTGGTCGATGATGATGATGATGATGATGAAGAAGAGAAAATATTTCATATTCGTTCTCTCTTTCACTATATTTTATCTACATGTCTGGTCCTCAGGTATCATCAAATTTCGATACGATTTTTTTCGATTCAAACATTTTGGATTTTCACTTTCATCATTTATTTATTTATTTATTTTTTTTTTTCATTCGAAACATTGTTGTTGGCCATCGATGCATATGATTTTGTTTTTTACTTTTGTTTTCAATATTACTGATATTCCGACCGATCGATTGACCGTTATGATTCATCAGATAAAATTGTTGACAAAAAAAAAAAAAAATTGAATTGACATTCGAAAATAATACGAATGTTTCACACACACACACATAACACGCGCTAGTGTTTGTTCATAAATAAAGTGTCATATACTGAAAATATTCGATTCTAATATATTTCCGTACGAATAAAATAATGTCGTAATTCATTTTGTTTTGTTTTGTTTCTGAAAAAAATTTAAAAAATTTTAAATTTCAACAATCTATACTACGTCATTTTTTTGTTGTAAACTAATCATCATCAGTAGTAACATCAATGAATTGATTGATTTTCATCCATTGTTTCATCATCTGATTTTTTTTTTGTTTTTTTTTTTAATATTGCATTGTCAAAACAAAACGAAAAAAAACCGAAAAAATCGGCCATGTTGACTAGTATATTGAAATTGAATGCAGCAATACCGGCACTGTTACCGGTATTCATGTTTATGTATGTACATAGAATGCGGCATGAAACACCATTTGTTCGTGAAGAATTCCTACGTGAATATGATTATATTGTTGGTAAGTTGATGATTTTTTTTTTATTTCATTGCATTGAATTATTCAAAACATTTTTTTTTTCAAAAGTTGGAGCCGGTTCAGCCGGTCCTGTCGTTGCGAATCGTCTATCGGAAAATCCTCGAATGAAAGTATTACTTTTAGAAGCTGGTGGCCATGAAATTTATCAAACAGAAATTCCCGTTCTTGCAGCACGATTACAGCTTTCAGAATTTGATTGGCAATATAAAACTGAACCACAAAAATATGCCTGTCAAGGAATGATTGAAAATCGTTCAAATTGGCCAAGAGGAAAAATTCTCGGTGGTTGTTCATCTATTAATTATATGCTTTATATACGTGGTAATATTAAAGATTATGATCTATGGGAACAATGGGGTAATTATGGCTGGGGCTGGAAAGATGTTTTCTATTATTTCATCAAATCCGAAGATAATCGTGATCCGGCCATTCTGAAGAATGGATATCATGGTATTATTAATATTTAATCGAATATTTATGTGCTGCTATTTTCACTTTATTCGATTTTATCGATTTTATATATTTCCATTTTCAATCGTAGGATTCAATGGCCCATTAACCGTATCGACACCACATTATACAACGGCAATCGGTGGTGCATTTCTTGAAGCTGGAAAAAATTATGGCTTTCCAAACATTGATGTCAATGGTCCAAGACAGACCGGATTTGCCATACCACAAGGGACGGTTCGTCGTGGTGCACGTTGTTCAACATCTAAAGCATTTATCAGGGATTTTCGTGAACGTGAAAATTTTCATACAGTGATCTATGCTCATGTAACACGGATACTGTTCAATGAACATAAACGTGCCATTGCCGTTAAATTTGATCGAAAAGGCCTGGATTATATCGTATATGCACGACGTGAAATTATTCTATCAGCCGGTGCTATTAATTCACCACAATTATTGATGCTATCAGGTATTGGGCCACGTTGGGATCTTGAACAACTCGGTATACCGGTCATTTCAGATCTACCGGGTGTTGGTGAAAATCTTCAGGATCATATCGGTGTCGGTGGTATGCAATTTCATATTGATGCACCTGTTTCTGTTGTACAGCCTCGAATGTATGTTGCTAAATCATTTACACAATGGATTGCATTGGGTATCGGTCCATTAACTATGTTGGGCGGTTTAGATGGTCTTGGATTTATCAGTACTAAATATGCAAATGCAAGTGATGATTGGCCCGATGTTGAACTGCATTTCATACCCTCATGTCCATCATCAGATGGCGGCGAATCTGTTCGTAAGGCAATGAATCTTAAGAATGAATTATTTCAAAAAATTTATGAACCATTTCTTTACGATGATTCATTTGCTTATTATCCGGTACTATTAAGACCTCGTTCAGTCGGATGGATGAAACTTCGTTCGGCCAATCCTTATGATCAACCAATCATTCAGCCAAATTGTAAGTTTTAAATGATAATTATATTCAAAATGATTGTCTAATGCGAATGTCTTGTGTAGATTTCAAAGATCCATACGATGTTAAAGTATTGGTTGATTCGTTGAAACTTAGCCTTAAGATGGCTTTATCGAAACCGTTTCAAAAATTCAACGTAAGACCATGGTCAAGAAAATGGTATGGTTGTGAAAAATATCGTTGGTTTAGTGATGAATATTTTGAATGCTTAACACGATCATATTCGGCAACAATTTATCATCCAGTCGGTACAGCTAAAATGGGCCCACCAGATGATCCGATGGCCGTAGTTGATCCACAACTTCGTGTTTACGGTGTGAAAGGATTACGTGTCATTGATGGATCAATAATGCCAAAGATTGTTTCAGGCAATACCAATGCACCGATCATAATGATTGGTGAAAAAGGTGCCGATCTAATCAAAGGTCATTTATATCCACCGGTCAATGTTCGGCCAGGATATGCACCAATACCGGAATATTTAAAAAATCCCGAAACCGAAAAGAATGCTGTCGGTGGTCCATTAAGTAAAATTGGACATTTATTTGGAAAATTTAATTTTCTAAAATTTGGCTAACAAAAACAATGAAAAAAAAAATGAAGAAGAAAACATCTTCAAACATCATGTGTACCTACTGTGTGGTGTGTATGTGTTCTGCCCTAATGATTTCATTTAACACATCTTCACACAAGAAAAACAACAACAACATAAAAAACCCACACAAACAACGACGACATTGATGAAAATGATTATCAATCAATTTTAATTCTTCAAGGTAAATGGCTCAATAACGTATGTCAACTATTAATATAATATGATATGACGATGAATTTTAAACAAAATTTCTCACGTAGACATCCTGGCTAACTGGTTCAACTGGCAATAAGTTTTATTTATAAAACGTCATTGAATTTCTTAACGAACTTTGATCTTTTGGAAAGTTAATAATGTTGTTCGATTTTCAAAAAAAAAAAAAAAAACAAAATTGGTCATCAAGTCTAGTCGTTGTAAATCCTGTTTAAACTTTTTCTCCCTTCGTGTATTTCAAACGTCCCAATTAATTTCTCATCACAAATCGTCAGAAATGTGTGTGTGTGTGTGCCGAATAACAAATATGAACTACTTTTTATCCGCTGTCTTTTACTCCTCCCTGGTTATCATCATCATCATCATTATGGATGTTAAAAATATTGCCGATTTTTATCACCGATTCCTAATTGGTTCAATAACAAGCAGATAAAATTATATATAATAGCTTTCGGGTAAGTTTTTCTTTTTTTTTTTTTTTTTTTTTTTTTTGTTCGAATAACAATTAATTATTCATTTTTTTTTTATTGAAAACAATTTTTTAGAAATCTAATAATTTTAAAATGAAATTTAATAATAATATAATAACAACAACAACATCAACAACAATTATCAATAGATTGGTTTAAATAGACGATATTAATGACAATGATTTGGGTCGATTTTTCTTTGATATTTGGTTTGGAATTAAATTGAATTTTTGTTTTATAATTTTACAAATGGCCACTGCTTCGAATACTAATGCAGCAGCAGCACCAAATATGGTATCGGGTAGTGATAAAAAAGATGAGATTGATATTGATCCAAAATCAAAAGCTGTATTCTATAAAAAAGGCTATGAAATTCTAGCTAAAATTGGTAGCGGTGCATTTGGACAGGTAAGTGTTTGAAAAGAGAGAGAGAGAGAGAGAGAGAGAGAGAGAGAGAGAGAGAGAGAGAGAGAGAGAGAGAGGAGAGAGAGTTTGAGAGAGAGAGAGAGAGAGAGAGAGAGAGAGAGAGAGAGAGAGAGAGAAACATTCATTAATTTAACGTTGGTTGATTAATCATTGATTTTTTTTTTGATTTTTTTTATGATTAATGAATAAACATCAGGTATATCATGCACGTAATTTTAAAAATGATATCGATTGTGCCGTCAAAGTATTGGATCTGAACGCAATGTCGAAAAAAGTTTGTGAAAAATTTTTACCACGTGAATTGTCAGCATTGATGGAAGTAAAACATCCGTATGCAATACGTGTATATGATATAATTCGTTCGAATCATCGTATCTATATATTTATGGAATTTGCCGGCAATGGTGATCTTACGTCATATGTAAAAAAGAATAAATGTCTGAAAGAGCCATTGGCTTGTTTATGGTTCACACAAGTATCTGAAGCCGTCAATTATCTACATACAGAAATTCATATGGCACATAGAGATATAAAATTGGATAATATTTTATTGGATAAAAATTTCAATTGTAAATTAACTGATTTTGGTTTCGTCGATCTGATCATGGATGATACAGATATTAATGAAGTTATTAGTCAAACATTTTGTGGTACATTACCATATTATTCACCACAAATAGCATCGAAAAAACCATATAATCCATTCAAAGCGGATGTATGGGCCATGGGTATCGTATTGTATGCAATGTTACATAATCGATTTCCATATCATTTTAAAGATGTGAAAAAAATGGCTAAAGAACAAATGGATTATCCGGCATTTATTAAGTCACGTTTTTCACCGGAATTATCAAGACCAGCACAGGATCTATTTCTACTCATATTTAATCCAAATGATTCAATACGAATATCGATGACTGAAGTATTGGCACAAGAATGGATGATGAAAAAAGGCAAATGTGAATGATGATGAAAAAAAATAGACACACACACACACACAATGCTCTCATTCACGATTCTTATTGAGCAAAAAAAAAAATTTTTTTTTTTCGCTAATTTTTTTCTGTCTCATTCAGATCCATATATTTATATATCAAGGTTGATTTTTGAAAATAAAATAAATTTGATTTGATTCGATTTTTTTTTTTTTTCTTTTTTTAATCTTAGACCATTCGTGTTACTAGAAAAAATAACGTTATTGTCTGAAATAAAACGGAAATGATTGTATCATTTTGAATAACATTCTCATCGATCAATGTGAAGCCAACTATGTGGCTATTGATTAGGTCCAATGTTTGCGTGATCTTATTTTGTTAACAGTGGTATTTTTGATAATTTATGATAATGATGATATTTTTTTGTGAAAAAAAATGAAAAGTTAAATATAAAATTAATTGTGAGAAAAATAGAAAATGAGAGGCACACTGAAAAAAAGTGATTTCGTTACATTAATAATAAATACTTACTTTGAATTTGGTTGACAAATCGATACGATCAAAATGTTTACCCATTAATGAATAATATTGTTTATGGCTAAAATAATTATGTTTGAATAAAGTGGCGGCATTCATTGTCAATATACTGACGACCAACATTGATTGTATGGTAAATGTAAAAAAGAATATCTTCAATGACATAATAGTTTCGGTCATAATGGTCACATATAATGCATTACAAAACAATGATATATACACCAGAAATGTGAATGATAGATATTTAGACCAAAACTCATTGATCATTCGAATTTCACTATAAAGCTTGGATTGATGGTAAAAATGTCGCCGAAACGGCCTGATCATTAACTTTCTAATGGAAAAAAAGACGTATTTAAAATTCAATCGATATCAATTTTCTGTCATCCACTAACCTTGATCGTGGTTGAAATCTTTCCAAAAATTTTTGATTCAATTTAGATTTTTCAATTAAAATCAAACAGATTATTCGAAAATAAGCAAATAAATTGGTTGTATATACTAGACCATAATAGGCCCAAATGGCGGTGAAAAATGCCAAATTGAAATTGTAAAATGAATACCAAAAGTATGAATAATTGAATAACCAGAAATTATTTCGATATGGATCAATACTGTATAGGAAAATCGTTGCCATACAAAACAATGTAATTGGCACGGATATCAATACGATTGCTTGCATTCGAAATTCATGTCGTATTTTGCGGATGATTAGATCGATTGAATTAGAATGTAGACCTAAAGATCGAGCAAAATTTGAATGTCGTTCATATATTTCTAAATGTTTTTGACGAGGTTCTTGACAATAATCATGATAAAGTTGCAATCTACGTTTTGTGTTATCTTCAATGCTCATGAAAGGATCATAAATCTGATGACAATATGATATTAATAAACGAAAGAAATGATAATATTTTTCGCTGCTGAATATTAATGCAAGATAAAGACATTGTTCGGCACCGAAATGGAAAGCAACCATTTCTGGATGTAAACGATTCGTATGAAGTAGATGAAAAATCGATCCAGTAATTGTCGTTATTATATGTTGATCATTACGAAATAAACACATTGAACCAGCTCGAATAAATGACGATGTAAACAATGTGAATACAAATAAAAAATTCAAACTTGACAATCTATTTTCATGGCTATTTTGAATTAGCTTGTTGATCTTCATCAAAATAATTCGATTAATGATTATGGGTGGAAATAGAGGTATGACCATTCGAAATGGATAGTTTAACAATCGAATCAAATGATGTAATTTGAAATAATTCCATAATGGATGATCAGTTTTCATATTCGAAGCGGATAGATTTCGAATAACTGCCGTCGAACAAATTGATGCCCGTTTCGTTAATGTTCGTATTGCATTTCGAATATTATTCAACATTTTTTATTTTGATTCGTTTTTTTTTCAATTTTTCAAATTTTCAAATTCACTTTTGTTAATTTCACTAATGATAAACTAACTGTATGTATGAAACGAATGACATTTATTATTTTGCAATTGTTTTTCAGATCCATTGGCATTGCTCAAATCTTTGTCACAAATCAATTTTTCGATCCAATTTTTCATTGTCTACTTTATGATATGATTATCGATCTGTTTTTTTTGGTCTCAGTCCAATTTAACTGTGGGAGAATTTGTTTCAGTATTTTGAATATCGATTTAACATCGATTCACGAATCATGATGGATTCAAAAGTGCCATGTCAATTTCACGATTCGAATGTATTTGTGGAAAAGTTTTTTTCCAGAAGAATACCATTGAACAAAAAACTATATGAAAAAAAAGAAAACGTAAGTTAATTCCGTTCAACATGAAACAGAAAAATTTGTGCCTCAAATGGATTTCGATCGAAGACATTGAATTCTTTTCTCTGAGTGAATTGTGATAATGTTTTGGAGCTTAAAGTTGTAAATTATTTTTTTTTCTTCATTTTTTAGAACAAATTTTCTTTTGGTTACAGATTGTCAACTTTTTTGATCGTATTTTTTTGCCACTGAATCCAATCGCAAGATTAGTAGTAGTAATGGGCGAGGGAGAAATTGATTAATCGCTCTCATACCATTCGTGTGACCAGAATAAACATTGTTATTGTCTGTAATAATATGAATAGAATTGTATCATTTTGAATGATTTTTCCATCCATCAATGTGAAACCAACTATATGGCTATTGATTAGGTCTAATGTTTGCGTCATCTTGTTTTTTAATTTTTTTCCGTCAAGAAGTAATAAATAATGTTTTGATGATCAAATGGAACCAGGTAAATTATATTTCAAAAAAAAAATGAATAGAGTCATTATGATTGTTATTTTTTTCCACGTAACGATTTTTGAATAATGAAACGAAAAATGGAATTAAAAAGGGAAAAATTTCAATTAAAGTGAATATAATAATATATGATGTATTGAATACTCACTTTGAATTTGGTTGACAAATCGATACAATCAAAATGTTTACCCATTAAAGAATAATATTTTTTATGGATAAAATAATTATGCTTGAATAAGGTGGCAGCTATAATTGTCAATATACTGACGACCAACATTGATTGTATGGTAAATGTAAAAAAGAATATCTTCAATGACATCAAAGTATCGGTCATAATGGTCACATATAATGCATTACAAAACAATGATATATACACCAGAAATGTGAATGATAAATATTTAGACCAAAATTCATTGATCATTCGAATTTCACAATAAAGCTTGGATTGATGATACAAATGTCGCCGAAACGGCATGATCATTAATTTTCTGATGGAAAAAGACGTATCGAAAATTCATCAAATGTTTACCCATTAAAGGAATAATATTTTTATGGATAAAATAGTATGGCGGCTGTTTTGAATAAAGGTGGCAACTACCATAATTATCATTGATTATTATGGTAAAATGTAAAAAGAATATCTTCAATGACATCAAAGTGTTATCGGTCATAATGGTCACATATAATGCATTACAAAACAATGATATACACCAGAAATGTGAATGACCAAGCCATTTGAATTTCGTGATCATTCGAATTTCACAATAAAAACTTGGATTGATGATACAAATGTCATAACCGAAACGGTAAATTAATTTTCACCAATTGGACCAAGGCATTATTTAAAATTCAATCGATATCAATTTTTTTTTCATTCACTAACCTTGATTGTGGTTGAAATCTTTCCAACAATTTTTGATTCAATTTAGATTTTTCAATTAAAATCGAACAGATTATTCGAAAGTAAGCAAATAAATTGGTTGTATATAATAGACCAAAATAGGCCCAAACGGTGGTGAAAAATGCCAAATTGAAATTGTAAAATGAATACCAAAAGTATGAATAATTGAATAACCAGAAATTATTTCGATATGGATCAATACTGTATAGGAAAATCGTTGCCATACAAAACAATGTAATTGGCACGGATATCAATACGATTGCTTGCATTCGAAATTCATGTCGTATTTTGCGGCTGATTAGATCGATTGAATTAGAATGTAGACCTAAAGATCGAACAAAATTCAAATGTCGTTCATATATTTCCAAATGAAAAATTTGTAATCGTCGTTTCTTATTATCTTCAATGCTCATAAAAGGATCATAAATCTGATGACAATATGATATTAATAAACGAAAGAAATGATAATATTTTTCGCTGCTGAATATTAATGCAAGATAAAGACATTGTTCGGCACCGAAATGGAAAGCAACCATTTCTGGATGTAAACGATTCGTATGAAGTAGATGAAAAATCGATCCAGTTATTGTCGTTATTATATGTTGATCATTACGAAATAAACACATTGAACCAGCTCGAATAAATGACGATGTAAACAATGTGAATACAAACAAAAAATTTAAACTTGAAAATCTTTTCACCTGGCTATTCTGAACTAGTCTGTTGATTTTCATCAATGTAATTCGATTTATGATGATGGGTGGAAATAGAGGTATGGCCATTCGAAATGGATAGTTTAACATTCGAATCAAATGATGTAATTTAAAAGAATTCATTTTTGATCGATGATTGATATTCATTTTAGAATTCATTTCTGCAAATGATTTTCGTTTTCAAACACAAGGTTTGTATCACTTTTTGATTGTTATCATTCAATATTTTATACTCGTTTTTTTTCGCTCAGCAAAAATTTAAATTCACTCCAGGAATTTTGTAAATGATGAATGAATAAATGGAAACCAAATTTGACTTTTTTTTTTGTTTCCAATTCCATTGAATCATAATGATGATGATGATTGATGAATATTTTTGCCTTAATCTATACACACATATGATGAACGAATCTAACTTTTTCATTTTCAATGTTAATTTATGTTTTTGCATTATCGATTCATTTTGTTCACAAACATTGATTCTTGGAAAATGTTTTTGTTTTCTGTTTATTTGAATATATAAATCAACATTTCAACTAATCAATCGCGTAAACCTTGGTTACAATAGATTCATGTCACTGTGTCGTACAATCATCATCATCATCATCATCGAATCATTTGAACCAATCGAAAAGTAAAAGTTTGATCGTAAAATCGAATTTCTCATCAACAATAATTACAAATAACAAAAAAGTTTGTCACACTTTCTTTTTATATTTATTATCTTATTGTTCATAAAAAACATTTATTTTTCCTTCAATATTTAGCTTATTATTATGGTAATAAAAAAAATGAAATTATATCATCACATGAAAAGCTCCCCCACCGTCACCATCTGAATTTTATGTGAAAAAAAACTTTTTTTTCTGTTTTGTTTTTAAAATTTTCGTCACTATTTTTAGAAATCTATCAATTTTTTTTTTTGTTGTTGGTATGTTATTGTTTTGTTTTGTTTTGTTTTCGTTTATTTTAAGCTTCTTTAAGCATCTTAATAATGATCGGTATCAATGTTTTGTATTGATGTTCTCCAATAGGTTCATTAGAATCCATAATTGCTTTCAATTCTGTCCATGTTGTTTGGTCATATTTTGCATCACATTTACCAATATCCGATAATTCTTTACACATTAATTCCATATTCTGTCCAACAGCTGCTTCAATCATTTCATTAAAATAATCTGCAGAATCACCACCACAACCAGCTTGAATTGTATCGATAATACATTTACGGAAATAATGTGAACCACAACATCCACCACCTAACCGTAATGATTTGTCTATAGTTGATACACGTTCCATCATCGCGATATGTCGATTTACACAGTTACGAATTGGTGCTGCTTTAGTATCATCATGAAAACATTGAATATGTCTGGCGAATTCGGTTCGTTCACCCGGATCAGCACAACGATGATTAATACCATCGGTAAGATCGGTTATCACTTTGACCAATATAGCTTTAATTGATCCTTTTGCACATTCTTTTGCTTCATCGTTCAAACATTTTAAACCGGATTGTGTATTACTGAAAAATGGTGGAAACAAATGAAAAAAAAAATCATTCAATTCGAATTGCTGGAAAAGAAGCTTACCTGCATAAAGTTTGTACTTCTTGATCATTGGTCGGTATTGGAATCGATGGATTCGAAATAATATCGAATGAATATGCACATTCATCCAATTCTTCAATAGTTCGACATGACCAGCCAACTTTTAACAATGATATGATTATAGCCAATATGGTTATGTATTTCATATTTTCGGGAATTTTTTTTTCGTTTGAATTTGAAAACAGTGGACGACTACTAGAAAAAAAAATGAATACAATGTCACGGTCATCATCAATTTATATAAGAATTCAACGAGAAAGTACAAATCAATTAATAAGATGATGATGAAGAGAAATTTAAGTTTTCAAAAAAATTTACATTGTTAATGACCATAATTAAAAAAAATGAAAAGATGATGAAAATGGGCAATCGATCAGAAACATTTAATTATTTCAATCATTCGGCTATGAATTCCTTGATACGCCCCCACATTATTTTCATGAATCGAGAAAAGGAACTTTTTTTTTTTTTCAATTTTATTTTGTTGAAAATCATCATTATTCATTTTTTTTTTGAAACATTTTTTTTTATTTTGGATAATTATAGATTAAGTTAATCAAAATAAAAAAACGCATTTAATGTATTAATTTTTCACCATCATCATCGTTAATCGTTAATAGTTATGGATGTCGATAATAACGTTGCTCTAAACGATGCAATTGTTCTTCGAATTTTTTATCCTGTTCCAATTGTCTACGACGATGATTATTGTATATCTGTTGGATACGTTGTCGTAATTGATTACTGGATGATTTTAATTGTTCAGTAAATCGATCACATTGTTGTCGAGAATATTCTGGTAATTTTATCGGACCAGTATATGATGACGATGATGATGTTTGATTTTTGGACAATTCTTTTTTAATCAATATTGGAACATGTTTCTGTTGTTTTTGTTTACTAATTGTTGGTGATTGAATTTTCGTTGTTTTAGTAAATAATCCAAACTCTATCTGTGGTAAATGTGTCTTAGGAATAAGATGTTCAAAAATTGATGGCCGTGGTCTTGTTAATGTTGGTTGTTCCAATATCTCATCGAAAATCTGTTTGATTTCTTGTAAAGGATTATCAATTGTCATTATGGTATTATTATTCTCATCATTATTATCATCATTGATACCAAATGAAAATGAATCAATTAAATTATCATAATCGATAATTTTTGTTTTATTCATATCCATTGTTGTTTTGGAACCACGTTGAATAATTGCCGTTTTCATTGATGGTGTATGACGTAGTAGTGGCCAATCATAATCAATCATCAACATCAACATCAACATTGTCATCATCATCGTCATCATAATTATTTTCTAATTGAATACGAGTCAATGAATTTGAATCATTATCAACGATATCCCACACTAGTTGTCGATTATTTCGTTTTATTATTCGATCATTATGATCATCATCATTATCATTATCATTAGGATTTTTTGATAAAGACATTTTCAAAAAAAAACAAACTAACGAAAAAAATAAAAACTCAAATTCACCAAAAAACCACACACTTTTCTTTATTTTTATAGACAAATATGAAAAAAAATTTTTATTTATTCAATTAAAATTCATTATTATAAAATCAAGTGTGTGTGTGTGTGTGTTTGTAAAAAAACAATAATTGATTGTAATAAAATAAAATTCATTAATAATTAGAATTCATGATGATTATAGAATTGAAAAATAAAATAAAATAAAAACAAGACATGCAAATTCGTTGATGATAATAATTGATAAGTAAAAGAAAAAATTGATTATAACAGTGGTTCTAATTCGGACCAATTTTGTCCATGTGATATTTTTACTGGCAATACCACTCGTAAATAATTGCCAACCATTTCCATTTGTCGTTTTAAACATGATCCAAATTGTTCAAGTTGATCTCGTCGTACCTGATACATTAATTCATCATACATTTGTAATACAAAACGTACATCAAAACATTGTTGATCGATCTGTTTCTGTACAGCAATCATTGCAATTTTGATGATATCAGCTGCTGATCCTTGAATTTTTGTATTCAATGCTTGTCTACATGCTCGTGATGATTCAACAGATTTTGGCGACACTATTGCCGATAATTGCCGTCGACGACCGGCAATCGTTTCAACATAACGTTTTTGTCGACAATTATCAATAGTTTTCGTTATAAATTCATTTAAACGATTATATCGTTGAAAAAATGATTGTTTATATTCGGCAGCTTCTTCACGTGTAATTTCTAATTTCTGTGCCAATGATTCATCACCCATACCATAAATGATTCCATAACAGATTTGTTTTGCTTGTTGTCTTGTTTCATAATCTACTTGATCTATGGATATTTGTTTCCAACTAGCAGCTATTGATTTGAATACATCCACATCAATATTATTCAATACTTTAACGAGATTAGTATCTTTAGAAAAATGTGCCAGAATACGTAATTCAAGTTGGCAATAATCAGCTGTTACTAATTCATAATTATCAGGTGATATAATCATTCTTCGTATATGGATTAAAGTAGATTTAACATCGTCGTTTTTGATGGCATCATTCAGATGTGATTTGATTTCAAAATCATTATCTAAATTAATAAGATTTGGATCATACATTGCTATACGACCAGTTGCTGTCCATTCACAGCAATTACCATAGATAAATGAATCATTATTTCGGAGATGCCAATGTCGATTGATTGTCATTATGGAATTCGTGAGGGCATGATTCAATCGACGCCATTCAATTATCATTGTTGGTAGATGTGATTTTTTTCCAACTGATTCTTGTAGACGCATTAAGGCCATTTTGCTTGTACTTGGTTTTCTCGTTACAGGCGTTATTTTGGGCAATGAAGTTTTCGTTGACAAACGTTTTGAACTTGAACCAGGACTTGAAGTAGTAACATTAAAATATGATGATATTAGACCCATTTCTTGTGAATATAGAATTTTGGCTATTTGATCAGGACTATTTAGATTAAATGAACGACCAACTGTTGCAAAGATTTTCGTTTCAATTCGAGAAATTAAATCCTGAATCGTATCTTCCAATTGATTCATGTATTCACGATCAACTTTTGTTGGATTTGATTCCATCACTGATATACAAATTCTTGATGGAATTTCAATTAATCGATAACTTTTATAAAGATTTTGTTCACGTAATCGTATCAATAAACCATAAACAAGATTGAAAAGAATTAAAATTTTCAATAAATAATCAACATCTTGTAGACTTTGACAACCAAATGGATAACGTTTTGTATTGATTAAAATTTGACGATACTTGTCAATACGGTTAAAATAGTCGATATCCAATTGATGATTCATTGCCCATTTGGGTAGATCTTTTATACGAATTGAATCAATATTATATTGTTGTGATTCCGGATCTAATAACCATGTAGCTACTGTTGCATCATTCCATTCGATACGATATGATATGAATGTCCAATCAAAATTAAATACATCATAAAAACATCGAACAGCCTGTTTAACATCATGACATACGAAACGTATTGTATTTGTCGATTCTGTACCTAAAACTACATTCGACAAATGTGTGAACCAATTTTGTCGTAAAAATTCCAATGCTTCATGACCATTTATGTAGTATATTTGTTTTTGATTCAATTTGGTTACATATAAACCAACAAGATAAAGATCGGATGAATTTCGTAATCGAAAACCTAATGGTTCATCAGATGGTTGTTGTTGTGTGGACAAACATTGATCACCTGGTTTCAATACAATCATTGTACGTTGTTTATTTTGATTTTTCCGTTGTTCGAAACGAAAATATAATGCCACTATTTGATTGTTATCATTTTCAGGAAAGATTCTTGCCAGAAAATCTTGACAACTTTGGCCATTTTCAATTGTGATTAATTCAAAATTATCCACAGTAACATTGGATTCATGCAACAATGGTGGATTAATAATTTCATTATCGGCTAATGATTGAAGAAACCGGTCTGCTTCATCCTTACTTTCAATAGTATTCACTGATGATGATTGTGAATGTGATTCCGGATCTTCAGATGAATCTTGTTGCTCCTGCTGTTCCAACATCTGTAATAATTCAATATCTTCATCTATTGACATGGTCGACATTGATAATGATTTCGATGATTCCGGCATCATTACGGTTTTATTTGTTCCCTGATCATCTTTTGTTTTCGAAATAATTAATGATAATCCTTCAAGTAGCTCATCATCATCTTCATCATCGAAAAATGTTGACGTATCTGATTTCGGTGACGATGGTTGTATCGAATTTGATTGTGGTTGTTTATTAGCATTTGGTGTGGAAGAACTGGGCAATGATGAACCTGAACTAGAATCTTAAATCAACAAATGAAAATAAAATAAAAAACAATGGTAAGTATTACAAGACAAAAAAATTTATTTTCAAAATAAGGACTATAATTTTTTTTTAATTTATAGGAACAAAGATGATTGATAAAAAAATTCAGATCTAACCTTCTTCAATGGGAACTTCAATATAATCATTGCTGGTAAGTGAATGATCAGTTTTGATTCGTTTATTATTGCCGTCTGGTTCCATCATATCCATTGATTCATTACTTCGTTGAATTTTTAATGTTGGTTTGGAAAATGCCTGTTCTTTTTCTTGTTCTGGTGGTGGTAGATCATCATTGACGATCGAAGCTGGTGAATTAACTGTAGACCCACTTTCAATTTCATTATCGAATGAAATTTTTTGCCCAATCTCTTTTTCTTTCAACATACGGGCTTCTTTGATTATCATTTTCGATAATTCGGCTATTGTTATAGTACAATCTAATGTGGAAAGATAAATTCGTGCCTCATTTGGATCATTATTGCCATCAGGTATTAAATCTTTCGATGTCATCAATGCAATTTCAATATCTTTCGGTTTCAATTGTATTAACGATGAAATATCTTCATAACCTTTACTATGCAATTGTCGAGCAATCATCGAATTTATACATGGAATTCGTACTAAATCAATGAGGTCAAGTTGAACACCAAATGAAAGTCGTGGTTGAAATTCTTCAAATAATTTGGCCAGTGTTTTCCATTCTAGCCGTTGACAAAATGTTGATAACATACCGGCAAAAGTGGATGCTTGTTGTTGCAATGACTGAAGAATTCCTTTATCGAGATTATATTTTTGTTGTACTTTCCACATCGGCACTTCTTCAATCAATTCAAAAAGAGCCAAACTTGCATAAAAACGACGATGAATTTGAGCTTGTGTAGATGTCTTCATGCCAGATGTTGATACCTGAATACAGATAAAATGTTCACTTATACCAATCAATTTAGCTATATGCCTAGTGTTTTTATCCCATCGTTCATAAAGATTTAAATAATGATGCCAATCAATATCGGGAAGCTGATTTATAATATAAACTGGTGTAGTTTGATATACCAGATGTAAATCAGTCAACAATGATAGTTTTGTTCGGAAACGTTTTAATTCTTCATATATGAATTGGCCATCAGATGGTGATACACCTGAACTTATAACAGCTCGACCAAGATCAGTGACATTAATTCGTGAATCATCCGATTTTTCTTCACTATTATTCGCTTCAGATGAATGAATATAGATGAATTCATAAGTTTTTAATTTATCCAATACCATTCGTATACATTCATTAATTATTTCATCTTTTTCCATATTTGTTTGAGATCCCAATAAATTTAATGGACAATTACGAAAAAAAGTACAGCCAAGATAAACGTGAATATCATCGATATTTTTGACCATTTCATTTGCAATGACTTCAAGTACAGCACGTAAAAGTTGATCATTTAATACTGGTTGCCATTTTATATTTGAAGAAGTTGGAATTTGTTCCACACTAGTTGTCGCAGATGATTTGTTATTATTCAATTTTTGTATCGTAATAAGATTTGATTTAATTGATTGCATTTTTGTCGAAATAAGCCGACGAGCCATATTGATATCTTTGTCAGCACAGAAAAGAAAACTTTCGCCCAATGTATCGATACCTTTACGTCCCGCACGGCCAATCATTTGACGATAATTACCAACGGCCAATAGCTTATTTGAATAATCTAATGGTGATGTAATCATTACACGTCTTGCTGGTAGATTAACACCGGCTGAAAGTGTTGTTGTACAACAAAGTATCCTTAATGTACCATCACGAAAACCTTGTTCAACTGTACCACGTTCTTCCATTGTCATACCGGCATGATGAAATGCACAACCAAATTTTAATACACGTTCAAGATTTGGATCAAAACCAGAAGATGATCGTTTCAATGTGTTTATAAGCGAAACTGATCGTTGATAGGATAGGATCTGATCGGAATGGATACTGTTGCGAATATTACGTTCAAAATCATTCTGTGGAATTCGATCTTTCTGGCCAATGCTGAATATATTGGAAGCGATACTTTTCGCCATCGATTCACACATTGAACGAGTTGGACAAAAAATCAATGTAGAGAAACCTTGAGCCAATGTTTCAATGGCCATGTAAATCAACGATTGTGAAAAGGCTGTATTTAATTTCAATAGATTACAATCAATTGTCTTTAAAGGTATACATTCGATTTCTCCATTGTTGTCATTATTACTGAGACCACTTGAGACAACTGTTGATTGTAATGAACTAAACTGTGTGTCTGGTTGAATTGAATTTGTCGAAACTTTGAGAATTTCATTGCCAACAACAACATGTTCATTTAACGGTACTGGTCGATAATCGGTAACAAAAAATTCAGCATCTAACCATTTGGCGATATCATTAAGATTCGGTATTGTTGCTGACATGCCGATAATTTGTAACTGACGAAGATCGATATCTTCAGCAAAAGGATTTGATTTCATGTGTATCAATTTGGATAACAATAATTCGAGAATATAACCTCTTGATGTGTCACCAATCATATGTAATTCATCAACAATAATGAGGCCAATTTCAGCAATTTTTTTTTCTTCAATCAATCTGTTGACCATATTGTTTGCCTTTTCTATCGTACATACAGCTGCATCGACTCGTTGTAAACCTCCACGAGGATTTGTTTGTCCCGCAAAAGAATCTATTCGTAAACCAAGGCGTCGAAATACTTGTTTTAAACTTTGAACTTTTTCCACAGATATCGATACAAATGGCAATATGATTATGGCTTTTTTACGTCTTTCCAACAATGTTTTGAATAGAACAATATCGGCAACCATTGTTTTACCGGCACTAGTTGGCGCAGAATATACAAGATTTTTTTGATCATCCAGTACACCCGGTAATTCAAGACATTCAACTTGCCAGTCAAAAAAACGGCTTATACTCTTTTGGCCATAATGATGTAATATTGGTTCGGGTAAACCCCAATTTCGTAGCTGATTCTTATCGACTGGCGTTTTATTTTGAGATTCTTGATAAAATTGTTGATTTAATGAGATATTTGAACGATTTTTTTGCTGCCAAAATAGTCGACCATTTTTCATCATTGAAATCGACGATCGTTTGGCCTTTGTTTTGTTTTTCATCGCTGGTACCATGATTGTTGACAATATAACAATAATAATTCATGTACTTTACAATAAATATATGACGGTAATAGTGTGAGATAAAGTTACTTTTGTTGTTTTTTTTTTTTTCGTTTTTGTTTTGGAATTTTTGAAAATCACAGAAAAAATTGAATTTAATTCGAACGTTGTAAAAAAAAAAGAAACCATATGATTATGTGTAGTGGTAGTGGTTGGTATTAAATTTTTGAAATTTAAATCTACATCATTATTCTGTACCACTACCTTCCGAACTTTATTTGGTATGATGGATCTGTTCATAAGTGACGTTTTTTCGTGGGGAAAAAAATTTAAAAATTTCTTGTATGAAATTCCAATTGAAAATACTTTTATTTTTATTGAATTTTTTCCAAAAACATTGAATACAAGAAAATAGATAATGAAACCAGATAGATAGGCAGGCAGGCACAGATATAAGTAGCATGACAAAAATGATCACAATCAGAATTCGAAATTTAAAATTTCATCAAAGACCATCGTTTACCTATATAGTGATTGGAATATAAATTGAATTGAATTTAATAAATGGAAAACTGAAATAAATTGAAACTTGAAATTGCAATTGAGTAATTTTTCAGGAATTTTATTCCAGAGTATTATAGTACAACATTGGTTTATCATTCAACAATAGAGGTGTGTTTACCTTGTTTGTTGTTGTTTGATTTTCTAGATCCATTGGCTCAGAACTTGTCATATTATTAGTATTTGGATTTAGATTTTCATTTGAATAATTTTTCAATAATTTACGATATGTACGATCCATTGCAATTGCACCGACAGGTGCTGTCATCAGGATGGATAATACGGCTAATGTTAATACGATTTGTGCACGACCAATATCATCGTTAGTTTGTGCTAGATCCAATGCTACTGGACCCATTGCAGCTTGAATTGTAGCTTTTGGTAGCCATGATATGGCCATAAATAAACGTTCTTTTCGATCAAATTGACCATAAGTAACCAGATAAGCTACAATCATACGAATTATGACTGCAATCAAAATGATTACAATGCCACCAAATAAAACGGACGTATCTAATTTTCTTAGACGAACACTAAAACCAATTAAACAGAAAAGAAAATTTTCGAAAACCACCCACAAGATACGAAATGATTCACGGCTTAATTGACCAAGATTATTTTGACGCCATCTAATTGATGCCACAAATGGTGCGGTTAAAATAGCCAATGGGCCAATTGATTTCAAATTAGCCTGTTGTGAACCAAACCAAATAAACAATGAAGTTGTGGCAAGTAAAATGAAACGATGAATTTCAAATCGTTCAGCTGATTTTTTACGATCATATCGTTCAGGAATATACCATAGAATGATGCCAACAATTAAACCATAAATAATACCGGCCAATGCTTCTAATGGACCACGAACGATGGTCAATATCATTTGTGAAATGTTCGAACCACCATCACCATTATTGATGGCAAAACTAAGACATACACTAACACCAGTGATTGCGAATACATTATCCACACTTGCTGATGCAATCAACAATGTTGGAATACCATTTCGAACACCATAATTCTGTTCTTGAATTATAACCATACTCGGTACGACAACGGCTGGTGATACTGATCCAATGACAAAACCAAGCATCAATGACCAACTGAGATTAAAACCAAACCAAATCCATGAAAGTAATGTAACAATTAATGCTTCAACAATTGATGGTAACAATGAAAGTCTGGCACATACTGATGATAATGTTCGTATTGCTTGTGGATCCAGATTTAAACCAGCACGAATCAAAATAATAATCAATGCTAATGATCGTGTGGTCGATGTTAATGTTGGATCCATTTCATTGTCAATAATATTACCATGAAGAAAACCGGCAACAAGCATACCGAATAATGGTGGTAATCCAATTTTTTCTGATAATAAACCTAAAAAATGTGCACCAACAAACAATATAACCATATTGAATAGATCACCATCAGGTGGAAGAGATTTAGCCGGTAATATGATCAATAAATTCAAATATATCATAGTGATTGTTAATAATTTCCATGTAAATAATGGACAATGTTTATGTATAAATTGAATGATCATTTTGTATGAAGAATTTGAAAAATTTTGTCAACAACAAAACAAAACAAAAAAAAACTGAAAAATTCGATTCAAAACAAAAACAATTGTCTTCTTTGGATAATATGTGTTCGATTCTGAATGTACGTATCACGATTTATTTGAATTTGGTATAATCCGGTTGGTTTCAAATTATTATCGTCGATAAAAATTATCATCACACACACACATCATCATTATACACATAGTGGCAAAACAATGGCATACCATTGTTCATCATCATCATCATTATCGATAATTTAAAAACCTTTGGATCATCATAAATTGTGTTTGTGTGTGTGTATATTTGTAAAATAGTAAGTCATAAAATTTTGCTTGAAATTTTTTTTTTCTGTTTTTATCATCATCATCATTTAGTGAATATATAATAATAATAAATTAGCCAATTAATTGTTTGTTGTTGTTGTTGTTTTTTTTTTTTTTTGCTTAGATACGATACATTAATTTTGGTGGAAGAAAACGATTCCTTGCTATACGTAAACGTTGTTTGTTAATATATGCAAGATCACTAAGAAATAATAATAAAAATATGAAATAAATTGCACTTGATATCATTTGTAGGAAATTATCTTCAGATTTGGTTTTTGTCCAAAAATAAAATGCCGATAAAACATCGAATGCACCGAACAATGAACAAATAATGGTTAAATGATAATGTTCTTTAATAACAGCCACCAAGCTTAACATTCCGGCTAATAGCCAAATAATATTGACAGCTAATTCGGTTGCAGCAAACTAATTAAATGTATAAAATGATTAATGATTTTTCTCAAAAAAACAAAAAAATTTTACCTTTTTATCCGTCAATGATGAACCAATTCCATCATTATCACCAGGTAGCTGTGGTTGTAGTTGTTGTTCGTTGTCATCATTCGAACAATCGGAAACTCTATCATCATCGTCATCATCATCATCATTTGTATTCGATATATCGATAGTATTCGTATTGTTATTCAATGATAATGGTGGATCATAATTTTCATTCTCATCATTATTATCATGATAATTTTGATTATCAATATACAAATCACGACTATTATTATTATGATTAACATTGTTATTGAGATCGATATCAAAATGATCTGATAATGATAATGGATCAATTAATTTTGGCATCTGTCTATCGGCAATAATAATAATAATAATAGTGACCATAATAAGCATTAGATCGATAGATATAATTGTAACCAATGTTGATTTTTTACAATTATAATATGATGGATAACGTACGACAGGTGGATTTATAATCATCATTGTTGTTGTTGTTAGTGTTGAAGATTTTTTCACTTTTTCATTGAAAAAAATCATCGACAAAAGAATCATATGAATGAATCAAATTTAAGACAGGAAAAAAAACTCTCACCAACCGCAATTCAATATAACTACATTGGAATTGAAAAGAAACAAACAAAAAACAAAAAAAAAGATTTCAATTTTCCGACGACGACGACAACGACGACGACGAAGACAACGACTATGTGACTGTGTGATTCCGATGATTATTAGTGATGATGATGATGATGGTGGTGGTGATCGTGGTGGTTGAGGATTTTTTTTTCTTTATCACTCGAATTTATTTGTGTGTGTGTGTGTGTACGTATGGGCGATAAGATTTCGAATGTTTTGAATTGCAAATTTTTTTTTGTCTTCATCTTCTTTTTCACTTCACACACACGCACACACACACACACACTTTAACAACACCATCAAATTATTACCAACCAACCTAATATATAAATCAATGTCAATGCTATGTTGATTGATCATTAATTTGATAATGATTATCAAATAATCATCATCATCATCATCATTATCATCAACGTCATTATGATTTGATGGTACCAATTTATTTATTCACACACACACACACACACATACTGTTGTTCACTGTTCTATATATATATATATGTAAACAATTTCCGTTTGATTTTAATACCTAGAAAAATCGTATGTAAATCATCATCATCATCAAAAACAATGAAACAAAAATAAACGATCAAAATATTAAAACAAAAATTGTGCTACCGAAAAATGACGATGATAAAAATTTGATCAATCCAATTCAATCAGCAAATGAAAAAATCATTTCATTCTCATTCAAAAATTTTCCATTCTACAAAATTCATAATCTTATATATACATACATGTGTGTGTGTGTAATTATTAACAATATATCGAAATGACGAACATCAACATTACATATACATTGATTGATTTGAATCGATTGATTTTTTTTTTCATTTGATTCTAATCATTCGAACCAGAAAAAAAATATATTATAAATCTAATCGATTTGAAAAAAAAATCTAATCATCAATGAATAGAATGGGTTCAAATTTCAAAAAATTACAATTGCAATTTTTTTTTATTTTATTATTCATAAATGATTGAATGGTAATTGAAAATTAACAAATCATCATCATCACCAACATCACATCATCATCAGTATTCAAAGCTATTAAAAGTATCATTAATCGATTGATCATGTTGATCATTTTCAGTTTTGAAATCAAAATCATTATTTACTGTTTGTAATAATGATTCAGAATGTTGTTGATCGGCAATAGCATTATCGGTACAGAATAGATTTTTATGTGTAATACACACTTGGATAAATTGATTATATATTTCACAATTAAATTCTTTTGATTCATCACGATCAAAATGTGTAAAACTTTGACATTCAAATTTACTACCACCACGTACAATACCGTATGCTTCGATCAATTGTTCCGGTTCAAGTATAAAGGTGAGCTAGAAACAAAACAAAAAAAAAATTACCAAAAAATTCATTTCGAAATGGAAACCAAAAAATTTACCGGTTGAAGCAACATAACCTGTACGTATACACCATCAGTAGTTTTGATGACGATTCGTTTATTTTCACCTTCAAGCTATTTCAAAGACGAAAAAAAACACACAATTGAATTTTCGAAAAAGTATTATAAAAACGAAATACTCACTCGTTGAACGAAACCCATAATAATGGCCAATGAATTCTGAAAATTATTCATCATAGCTCCATTGATTCGAACAGCATGATGATCAACTTTATCAGTTAATGTGTCCATATCTTCAATATTTATAACCATTTCAAAACAAACAAGCAAAAAAAATTGAAATTCTGACAATTTTTGTTACGCTGATGAAAGAACGTAAAAATCCACAACACAATGAGTGAACAAAAAGCGCGAAAACGAAAACAAGATTTGACTCACCTATTTACACATCAACCGTTTGATGATGTTAAAATGGATGGATATAACAAAAAAAAAGAAAAAAAAATTGAAATTGATCCAAATTCGATCAAGTTCCGTTTTTTAATATGATGAACAACAACAACAACAAAAATTTTGAATGGATCATTTTGATTAAGTTATTCTCCAACGGAAATCGAAACTAAATGAAATCAAAAAAAAATTCTGTTTGTCATCATCACTATCACTATGTGATAGGTTTTTTTTAGGTCGCTTTCTCTTTGGTTCTCAATTTTTTTTTCTGTTTCGTCAAATTGCACATCGAGGTCATCGTTATGACCAATGATAAAAGAGCCTGAAACTATTCCTGTGGACACACATGCTCCTCTCCAGGTAATCATCATCCAGTCACCATGATATGGCTGTTCACATTCTTGTAAATTTCCACCCCCGCCCCCTCCCAATGTAATGATGATCAACATCACATCGCTATCATAAAATTTCAATCTATTTGATGGGGATTTTTATTTGTTTGTTTGTTTGTTTCACTTTTCATTCGTCATCGAATCAAGACTGAATCATAAATAAACAAAGGTAAAACATGATAATGATGATCAATCGATGAAAACTGGATTTTTATCCCGAAAACATCAATTTTTAATCTCGGTTTTGTTTTTCTCGTTGTTGACTAACTATAGTGGTGACTTGCCGCCGTCGTCAAACAAGTTAAAATTTTACTCTCACTTGGAATTTTTTTTTTCGTTAAATACAAAAAATCGAATGCTCTCTTGATGGGACCTTTTTTCTCTTTTTCTCTCTCTCTCTCTTTCTATGGCTATTTATTACACTGTTTGACCAGAAATTTTTTTTGACATGAAAAATCCCAATTTATCTATCTATCCATTTATCTATATCTAAATCGTATTGATTGAATCAATAATGGAAAAACGATTGATCAAAGCCACATGCAATCATCGTCGTATATCGTGTCTGGTTTGTCTTCAACACCACCACCAACAACAACAACAACCCGAAGATTTTCATCTTCATTGTTTTTGATTTTAGCATAAATGCTCAATGCTCAATGTTCATCATCATCATCATCATGCTAATACCATCATCAACGTCATTAAATCGACGGCCAATATCCGTTTGTCTATTGATCATTGCCATTTGTTGTTGTCATTGTCAAATATCGGCTCAACTTTTTCTTCCAAAACGGCCATGTGAGATTTTTTTTCTAAAAATTTTTTTTTATTCAATTTCTAATCATATATAATAATTAGGGCTATTACCAAATCGTATTAATACGACAGCCATTAGTAATGTTATTGCTAATATATCGAATGTAACATCATCATCATCATCATCTTTGCCTGGTGCTGGTACATCATCTAATCATTGTTTAACACCTTATGGTACTCCGGGTGAATGTACAGATATTAGAAAATGTTTCTATCTAATACTTGATCTCACTATTTTACGACAATCGGTCTGTTTTCGTAATTTAATTATTCCTGGTGTTTGTTGTCCATTAGAAGGTGTTGATGGTATACGGCCATTTGTAAGTAGTTTTAATATTCTAAATTATCAATCGATTTGATTTGTTCCATCACTATTATCATATAGAGACCAGTTAATTCAACAAAACCATCATCATCATCATCAATAGTCCGTCCACCAGATACCAGCACCGTTGAACCAATATTTATACCATCATCGACTACAACTACCTCTACTGCTACTTCCGTAACATTAACCACAACGGCTATGACTACGACATCAACAACAACAACATCGAAACCATTTCAACAGAATCGTCCATTATGGAATTCAAAACGACGACGACAACGACGACAACAAAAGCACCATCAACACATCAGACAACATCTACGACAACAGAACTATCAATGACGACAAGACTACCTTCACTATATCCTCCATTATCAAATGATTCATCGTCATTATTTCCAGATGATATATGTGGATTAGCTGGACGTGATGCAAGAATTGTTGGCGGTGAAGATTCATTATCAGGGCAATGGCCTTGGGCTGTAAGTTTTAAAAAAAAAAAAATTTCATACGATGACAACTAAAATGTCTTGTCTTGTATTCTGCGTAGGTGGCGATATTTTTATCTTCAAAAGGAATTAGTAAATATTGGTGTGGAGGAGCACTTATCAATCGAAATCATGTGAGTGAAATCAAATCAAGAGTGGGTAATAAATTCATTCACCTTAACAACAATCTATATTCTTTACACATAGATTATAACAGCAGCACATTGCCTTTCCGATCAACGTGGTCAACTATATCCACGTGAAAATCTTCTTGTCAAATTGGGCATGCATGATCTAAATAATAATGATTATGAAATGGATAGACAAACATTTAATGTTGTATCCATTTTACAACATCCAGAATTCAAACGAAATGGTTTCTACAATGATCTCTGTCTATTACGATTAGATCATGATGTACGTCTTGTGCCGGAATCTGTTTGGCCTATTTGTTTACCAGATACAACTATTCGTTCACGTAATCTTGTTGGCTATATGGCCACTGTAATTGGTTGGGGTACAACCAAATATGGTGGCCAACAAAGTGGTCTATTACAACAGGTATCATTACCTGTTTGGGATAACCATGACTGTGATAAACGTTATTTTCAACCAATCAATAAAAATTTTCTTTGTGCTGGTTTTGTTGAAGGTGGTAAAGATGCTTGTCAGGTATGTGTGATATATATGAAAAAATACATCCAAAATATGAATATGATGAACTGATAAATTTTAACCCGTTCTACCCACATAGGGAGATTCAGGAAGCCCTTTAATGTTACCAGATAATAATCGACGATGGACAATCATAGGTATTGTTTCATTTGGTAATCGTTGTGCACAGGCTGGCTATCCAGGTGTCTATACAAGGTTTGTCGAAAGAAAATCTATTTTGTCTTTGTCTAAAATTTTATTGTTTCTTATATTCATATAGAGTTACCGAATACATTGATTGGATTCGATCAAATGTGTGATTTTTAAATTTTGAATGAAATTTTTTTTTCATTTTTTTTATTTCTGGTTCTTTATTGGTTTTTTCAAATGCGGTTGGGTGGTATATGGTATATATTATATATTTATTATTGACAAAAACATACATACACAAACACACGGAGAGAAATCTCTGAAAAAAAATGTTATTGCCAAAAAAAAAAAAAAAAAATTTTTCTTTTCTGCCATTATTTATCCTGATCTTTTGTTATGATAATTGATAAATCATTATTTTTATGACTACTAGATCGATTAATCATCATATTCTTTGATTTACCAGCCATTGATGATTTATTTACCATTATTTCTACATTGGATTTTGGTTGTGCATCCGATAATGTAATGCCAGAATATTCACCAAGATTAATAGCTTTACAATTGATCCAATCATTTTCTGATTGTTGTTTAGATATTGATTGACTATTTTGTTGATGTTGTTGCTGCTGTTGTTTTTGATCGAATATCTGATTAATGAATCGATTAATATTTGGATCAATATCTGATGATGATGATGATGTTTGACTATTACTACTATTACAGCCGGTTGTAGAAATAGGAGTTTTATAATCTATAAATGTTGATTTTAATCCACCACCACCACCACCACTACTACTACTGGTTATAATTAAAGATTTTTTATTCGAACATTTACGTGAACTTTTTGATGATGATGATGATGATGAAGAATTATTCAATGTTCGATGATCAGATGATTTTTTCAACATTTCATTCATTGTCAAATGATTCAATTTTCTTGATTAAAATTGAAAAAATTGCTCTATATTTATTATCGGTATGTGTGTGTGTATGTGTACTTAACATTTTTATTTTATATATTAAATTAAATCGTGTGAAATTAATTCGATTCAATTTAATTTTCAAAATTTAATTCATTTGATTGATGATAATGATGATGATGAAGAAAACAATGGTATGTGTGATTCTATAATGAGAAAATTCGAATCGAATGTATTTTTTCCATTGGTTAAGGTTAATGTACGCCCACACATGTGTGTAATCGAAAAAAAAATACGTAGATGATTTCATTTCATTTGGCATTATCACCACCACCACCACCACCACCACACCGTCAGAGCAACGAGAATCGTCAATTTAAATAATCATCAAATCAATCAAGGTATCACTGTACGATCATATATGCGTATTTGGTAGCTAAAAAAAAAAAAAAATTTTTTGTTTCTATTTTGCTTTGCTCGTTGCTCGTTGATTACATTGAAGACATTGACATTGGAAATTTCTTATTTTCAAAAATTTTCTTGCCAATAAAATTCGTAGAATAACATCATTAGATTCTGTGTGTGTGTGTGTGTGTTTATTATGAAAATTTGTTTTCATCGTCGAACTAAACCAAAACAAAACAAAACAAAACAAACAATTTCACAAATTGCAATTACCCAATTATATTAAATGGCGTCATATAGATATATATTATATTTAAAGGATGTTTTTGTTTTGTTTCTTTGCTTTCATGATCTCTCTCAATTTTCTAAATGTTCAATGAGATCCTCGTGATCATCATCATCATAATAAATTGTCGTCTTCGTAATGTTCTTTAACAAGAAAAAAACAACAACAACAACAATATAAATTAACAATGACGTAATTATGGCCAATTGTTCCGTATTTTTTTATATTTTTTTTTTTAATTGTCTTCAATTGACAATTTCGATTTAAATTTCAGTCTAATAATGAACAATGGCTATACACACACACACAGAACGTCCATTCCATTTAACCACCAATAAAACAGGTCGATCGATTGATCATCATGACAAGTCGTCTCTTTTATAGATCTATTTGAACATTGAAAAAAAGGTAGTAGTTCATAATTATTCTTTCCACATTGTGATGTGGTAGCATTTTTTTTTTACAAAAATTTTACAAAAACGCTACAGTCACAATGGATTATACGTTAAAAAATGAATGTTGAATCATATTTCTGTTTTCAGTATTTCTGTTGACAAGTTAACAATTGATTGGTAGTCACAATGATTGATAAGAAATATGGCCATAATAAGCATGTAAAAATTATGTTTTCAATGATGATTTCAAATGACCAGCTTTTTTTTCATTTCGTCGTTCGTAATATACGTTGTTTTGTTTGTTTCTCTACCATAGAACAAGTGAATGATGAGCTGCTCTCTATAGTATAGCAAAATTATATATACATTCTCTCAGTTAGTGTAAAAGATTTGAGTCGTCAAGTTGAAATACTTGCTTTGTGTGTGTTTGTTATGCTTCGTCGTCGTCGTCGTCGTCGTCACACCGAAAAAAAAAATTAATAGCAAACAAACAAACAAAAAAATTTCTTTTTTTTTCGTATTTTTATATGTAAAACACACATAGAACAGCAGCAGCCATAGAAAGAAAAACAACGACGTCGTCGTCGTCGTTGTTGTTGTTGTTGTCGTCGTAATTACCATCATCATCGAATTGAAACAAAAAAATTTCGATTCTTTAATATTCTGTGTTGATCCATAGATTTGTTTGTTGAATTTGTTGTAATTTAATTTGTATGTATGTGTGTGTGTGTACATTGATCTCTAAATTCTTTGTGTTTTATGTGCGTATATTGTAGATGTTTGTTTGTGTGCTGATCAATATACAATTGATTTGGAATTGTCCAATTCTTGAAATATCTTTGTTGTGAACCAGAAAAAAAAGAAAAAAAATCGAATTCTTATTGATTCAACTATTTCGACTGAATCTTTTCGTTCTATTTTTTTGATCATTCAAAGATTAAAGTTGTTCGAATATTATTCCATTCAATTTAATAAATAAAATAAAAATAATCTACAAATGGCTTCATATCCACCAAATGATAATCAACCACAACCGATTCCATCAACATCAAGAAATTTTATTGATCATCATCAACAGCAACGATTCTCATCATCATCATCATCATCATCATCGAGAACAATGTCATCACAATATTTTCCTGGTACTAGTACAGCAAGCACAAGTAATAATAGTATAATCATGATGGCTACATCTTGTTCATCAACACCAACAACGTCATCGGCAACACCACGTACAACTGAATTGGATAATATCTGGGATGATCTTCGAAATGGTATTGAACAAGTTTATAAACATAAAAATCAAGGCATGTCCAAAATACGTTATATGGAACTTTATACGTAAGTTTATCATTTTTTGTGAAAAGTGAATCGAATGATTTTTTGATTGATAAACTAATTTTTTTTCTTGTTTTCAAATAGTCATGTATACAATTATTGTACATCCGTACAAACATCGACATCATCATCATCAAATTCCCATTTTAGTCCATTAGCCAGTAATGCTGGCTCATCATCATCATCATCATCAAACAGTGGCCAAATAACATTGTCATCATCATCACATCAACGTTTACGGCGTCCAACAACAAATAGTGGCGGAAGTAGCAGTGGTAGTGGTGCACAATTTGTCGGTTATGAATTATATAAAAGAATTCGTAGTTTTCTTCAGGATTATCTATCCACTTTGCTTGAGGTATGTTGAATTGTCTTTTAACATTTTAATTTAACCTATAAATTATGGAATTGATTAGAATGGTCGTGATCTGAATGATGAAGAAGTGCTTCGATTCTATACAAAACATTGGGAAGATTATCAATTCTCAAGCCGTGTATTGAATGGAATATGTGCCTATCTAAACCGTCATTGGGTAAAACGTGAATGTGATGAAGGTCATAAGGATATATATGAAATATATCAATTAGCATTGGTTACCTGGCGTGAAGTGTTATTCTCAAAACTAAACCAACAGGTTACTAGTGCAGTGCTTAAATTAATTGAAAAAGAAAGAAATGGTGAAACAATCAATACTAGTCTCATCAGTGGTGTTATGGGATGTTATGGTAAGTTTTTTTTTGCTTATAATGTGGTTTTGATTCATATTTAACTCTCTTTTTTTCCACCTTAAAGTTGAACTCGGTATCAATGAATCAGATAATCATCAAAAGGGACCAAATCTTTCGGTCTATCAGCAAGCGTTTGAGGTACAATTTTTTCTTGATACTGAACGATTTTATCGAATGGAAAGTGAAAATTTTTTGGCCAAAAATTCCGTTACCGAATATATGAAAAAAGCCGAACAAAGAATTCAAGAGGAGAATCGACGAATTATGCTCTATTTGCATAAAAATACATTGGGATTGTTGATGAAAACATGTGAACGTGTATTAATTGAAGATCATTTGGAAAAATTTCATCAAGAATTCCAGAATCTATTGAATGACGATAAAAATGAAGACCTTGGACGAATGTATCAGCTTGTAATGCGTATACCGAATGGCCTTGGTGAGTTAAAAAATCGCTTAGAAGCACATATTACCCATCAAGGACTCGGTGCTATTGAAAAATGTAGTGAAATAGCAGTACAGGATCCGAAAATCTATGTAAGCACAATATTAGCTGTGCATAAAAAATTTAGCAAACTAGTACAGGAAGCCTTTTTGAATGATTCGGGTTTTGTTGCCGCACTGGATAAAGCCTGTGGAAAATTTATAAATAAAAATGCCGTCACCGATAATTCAAATTCAACAAAATCACCCGAGTTACTTGCCAAATATTGTGATTTATTGTTGAAGAAAACATCAAAGATACATGAAGAAAATGAGCTTGAAGAAACATTGAATCAGGTGGTAAGTAGTCAGCGAAATTCTTTTCTTTTCATTTCAAAAATAACCCTTTATTCTTTCGTTTGATAGATGATTGTATTCAAATACATCGAAGATAAAGATGTATTCCAGAAATTCTATAGTAAAATGTTGGCTAAACGTCTGGTACAACATATGTCGGCCAGTGATGATGCCGAGGCTAGTATGATCTCGAAATTAAAGGTAATTAATCGTTTACAAAACGTGTTTCGTTGTTTATTTTTTTTAATATATTGTTTTTTCAATCTTTTAATTAGCATTCTTGTGGGTTCGAATATACATCCAAATTGCAACGAATGTTTCAGGATATTGGCCTAAGTAAAGATTTGAATGAATTATTTAAAAAACATCTTAGCGAATCCAGTGAAGCACTTGATAGTAAGTTGATTTTGTTTTTATGTTTTATAAAGTGGATAGATTCTAATTGAAATTAATTTTTTTCAGTCGATTTTTCCATACAAGTGTTAAGTTTTGGTTCGTGGCCTTTTCAACAAAGTTTTTCGTTTAGTCTACCAAATGAGGTAATGTTTAGTTGTTTGCTGTAATTTATTTTTTTTTCAATTTAATTTTCTCTTTGATTTTTGATTTCAGTTGGAGCATTGTGTGAACCGTTTCACAAAATTTTATAGCGCTCAACATAGTGGTCGAAAATTACTTTGGATATATAGCATGTCCAAAGGTGAATTGGTGGCTAATTGTTTTAAAAGTCGATATACTTTCCAGGTTAGTCGATATAGAAATTGAAATTTTATAAAAATCCTAAAAAACTAAAACAATTTTCATTATCATTTTAGGCATCAGCGTATCAAATGGCTGTATTGCTACAATACAATACCACAGATAATCTAACCGTACAACAGTTGCATGATATTACTGAAATTAAAGAGGATACACTACATCAAGTGTTGCAAATTTTGCTCAAAACTAAAATATTGGTCATTTCTAATCCGGCCGATTGTGATCCATCATGTGTTGTTGATAATGATAGTTGTGATAATAGTCAAGCATTTACTAAATCGGTTGGTTCATCATCTATGATACGTGAATCATCATCAACCGATACGAATAGCTGTTCATCTACAGGTGGTAGCGGTGATGAATTCATTTTACATCCACATACACGTCTTTCGTTGTTTTTGGGATATAAGTATAAAAAATATCGTGTGAATATCAATATACCAATAAAAACGGAAATGCGTCAAGATCAGGAAAAAACACATAAACATATTGAAGAGGATCGTAAATTGGTCATTCAGGTATGTGAATATATTTTTTCTGTAATTATTCGATGAAATTGATTTTAAATTTTTCAGGCGGCAATTGTTCGTATAATGAAGATGCGACGAACATTGAAACATCAACAATTATTGGCCGAAGTGATTAATCAATTATCATTACGATTCAAACCAAATGTTAATGTGATCAAGGTAAAAATTGATGAATTTCATAAATAGATCTTCATTCATTGTTTTTATTATATTTATTTATCGATCTAGAAATGTGTTGAAGTTTTAATTGAAAAAGAATATCTTGAACGATCGGATGGATCAAGAGATAGCTATAATTATCTTGCCTAATTTTTTCTTCATACTTTGGGATGGTAGGAATCTCAATTCATCTGGAATTAACTGACTTAATTTATTTCTCTTCTGCTGTTTGTTCTGTGTGTGTAATGTGTACGTGTGTCAACATAAATAGCGATTGGGTAATTGAAAATTTAAAAACGAAATGTGTACCCACAACATTTGCATAGATAAAGAAAATTTCATATTCTGTGATATCGGAATGAAAAACCAAAAAAAAGAAGAGAATGTAAGGAACGACAAAAATGGGCGATGCCACCCCCCATTCATCATTATTCAACACAAATGTCAAATCTGTAATTCAATTCAATCATGATTTATGTTTCACCACCTGATAGATTCCACACATCCCCACTATACAATTATTTCAGTTTTTTTTTATCTACACATATTCTTCTATACAACGATAAAGTTTTTTTTCTGATGAAATTATTTACCATCATCATCGGGATTCAATTCAATACAATCATTCAATTATAAAATTTTGATCAATCATCAATAATAATAAATTCAGATCAGATAATAAGATCAGTGTTTGTGTTTTTGTGTGTGTGTGTGTATTATTATTTCATCATTATTTGTAAATTTAATAAATAATCAAATCATATATACAATAAAATAAAACTATAAAATTGATGATGAATTTTGTAATGAAATTAACAAATTTCGAATATAAAATGTTGTCGATGTTTTTTTTTCGTTGAAAATGGAGAGCTTAGTTCGAGTGGAAAAAAAATGCAATTAGTAATCAATTGGAAAAAATGGGCCGATCGTCTATTATTTGTGGCCATAATAGCCAGTATTTTTTGTTCATTAAAAATTTATCAACAAGATTTGAATGCCATTTATTCAGATTCTATGGATAATATTAATAATAATAATAATAACAATAATAAACAACAACAACAACAACAACAACAACAACAACAACAGAAACAGAAAGTTGATGATAAAAAAGAATCAGCTGTTGTTTTATCATCATCATCATCACGAATTCAACAACAATTATTGACGGCAAAAATTTTTCTATATGGTAATTGTGCAACAACTTCGATGGCCGGATTTTATCTATTATTTCGGAAACAAAAACAATATCTTCTTGCATTGTATGCTATCGGCACGATCATATTATTGGCCATTCGTAGTTTATATGCTGCGCAAAATTTTCTACCATATTATCATTCACCAAACATAATCGGTCTTTTATTGGCCATTTTTCGTCTTTATGTTCGCATATATCGTATAGATACAAGAACCGTTTTTCAATTAGAAAATAAAGATGAAATTTTCTCCGATTCAACACAAAGCATCGATGATGAACAACCAAAACATCATCGAAAAAGATATCGAAATAAATCGAAAAAGCAACGAAAATATTCACATCGTCGAAAACGACATCAACGTTCCGATATTGATGTCGAAAATGATACTAATAATGATGATGATGACGACCATGAATGATGATTCAAACAGAAGAAAAAAAAATGAAAATTTAAATAAAAACAAAATTGAAATTTAATATATCCAATCATCATCAATTCGAATATTCGAATGATTGTGATGAAAAACGAATGGCTCCACCCTCAGGGAAAAAAACCTGCTTTTGCTTCGTACTTGATTGCCGATGATGATAAAAACTGTTTGTTGTTGTTGTTTTTATTTTTTTTTTGCATTTGTTGTCCAATTTTCATCATTTTTCGATCATGAATAATAATTCGATCCATAAGGAATTAACATTTTCGACTGAATTACGTCGTTTACCAGCCAATATTATTCATCAATTAATTGGTCTACTTGATATTAACGATAATTGGAAATTATTAGCTGCAATTATTACAAATCCTGATCATCCTGAAAGGTTTTTATTCCGTTCAACGGATATTACCATTCTAGATGAACAACGTAAACGTCCCGGTGGTAGCGCGGCCAATGCAATGATTCAACATTGGTCTACATATGGTCAACAAAGACATACAATAGGAGATGCTATTCAATTTCTTGAACAATCAGGTCTTGTTCGTGCTGCTGAATTGATTCGAAATTCGGTTTCGGTACATCAAAAATCATCAACATCAGATGTCATTAATGATCACAATGATGATATTGTTAAAGTATCCGATCAGAATTGGACCGATCTACCAGGTTATAGATCACGGGCAACAATGGCCAGACCAACAGCACCAAATGAATCACTTATGTCATTCACAACAATCGATTATAATATTGATAATCATTCCACAGATCAACAAGATACCACTACTACTGCAAATTCGAAGGATTCACTTATTCGATTTTCATATCAAAATCTTCGTCTTGCAACGGATAATTTTTCATCAAAAAATCTAACCGATGGTGGTACCAAACTTGGCGAAGGTTCATTCGGCGAAGTATTTCGTTGTGCAACAGCATTACTCAATCATTTTCGTATTAATGATACAAAATTCGTAGCCGTTAAACGTTTCAAACAATTATCGTTGGAAGGCAATAACAATGATTTTAATGAATTTCTTGCTGAATTAAATATTATGTATCATTTTCGACATCCAAATCTTGTCAGATTATTTGGATATTCAGATGATGGTCCAAATCTTTGTATTGTAACCGAATATATGCAGAATGGTTCTCTCTATAATTATCTGTTTGGAACACAACAACAAGATCGACGACCATTATCGTTTGCCGAACGTTTACGGATACTTACCGATATTGCCGATGCGATCGTTTATCTGCATACATATTCGAATCACGGTTTGGATAAACCATTTGTCCATCGTGATATAAAAAGTGCGAATATCCTATTGGATGGACAACTTTGTGCACGATTAGGTGATCTTGGTCTTGTACGTCAAGGTTCAAATTCCAATACGGAAACAACTATTGTAACACAAACGGTTAAAGGAACCAGTGTATATATGGCACCAGAAGCATTTCGTGGTGATGTTTCTGTGAAAGTGGATACATTTAGTTTCGGTGTTGTTTCATTAGAATTATTGACCGGTATGGCTGCATTCGATCCTAATCGTGATGAATCCGATATGGTATCGTATATTGATGAAATGATTGGTGATGAATTTGATCAAACAACAAATTATGATCGAAATATCAATCTAATCGAATCAATTAAACAAACATATCAACGATGGAATAATCCAACAAAACTTGAGCAGATATTTGATCAAAAATGTACGGATTGGCCACAACAATTGGCCACAAAATTGATGATTTTGGCAAAATGTTGTATTGAACAACGAAAACGAAATCGACCCACAATGATTGAGGTTTTCTAAAGGTTTTTTAATGGGGAAAAACAAAAATTTATTTAAAAATTTTTTTTTATTAATTTACAGGTACGAAATTTTCTTGATCACCTGTTGCGTACATAAAAATAATACCGTTATGGTACAGTTCATTGGCGACATCATTTTTTACGTATAGATCGTTCCAGAAGATTTTGTTCAGTTCGATCTTGTTCGGAACGATAATGAGAATAACGTTCTAATGGGTAAGTGGTCGTATCGTCTTCGATTTGGTCATCATCATCCACATCATCAATTTCATCATCAGAATCAATCGGCCGATTTGATGAGTCAGATCGATTCATAGCCATTGTTTTACTTTGTACATATTCCAATTTAGTATCAATTTGTTTTACATAATTTTTTGCTGGTGGTTCAATCTTTCGAATCATCTCATTGGTTTCTATATTCAATAAACAAGATCGAGATTAGAATGAAGGTCACTAAATCTCAACATCATGGTTTCATCATCATACTTATCATCCATTTACGAAGAAAAGCTATTTCATCTGAATTTCCATCGAATAATATACGTAAATATCTATCAAAAAACAATAATACATTACATTCAATCAAATTGCAATAAAATGACTGCCCAACTTACTCGTCCATTGATTCATTAAATTTATCGGCTGCATATATGATGGCCAACAACGCAAGCTGTGATGGTGGTGTGAAAAAAAATTCAATTATTAAAAAACCAATCTACTTAATAATAATTACCTGATTCGGACAGAGAAGAAAAAAAGCATCGGTAAGAAAACATTGATCAATAAATGTATCGATATGTTGTCGATAACGTTCCGGATCTCTGCACGATGGACAACGGGTCTAATCATAGGGTTTTTTTCATTTTTAAAAAAATTCACCATTTAAAAAATTGTTTGGTTTACCTTGATATCGATAAGAAATCCTTCGATCGATCGATATGGATGCCAAATGATCAGCTGATAATTGATTTTAAGTAACAATAATAGTTCATTGTTCAATACAATATCGGCCGCTTTTTCACGATCACCTTTAACATTTTTAACAAATTGATCCATTGTAACATTGAATTCTTCAATTTTGGCAGCTAAATATACACATGTAACAATCAAATGTTTTGGATGATGTTCCATTACAGAATTATTGAGATAGAAACGTTTAAAATATTGTATTGATGTACTCTATATCAAATGAATAAAACGATATTTTAATGAATATGAAAAAAGATTCGATAATATAATCCAATGATTTACCGTCACATATTTAGGCATAGGTGGATTGAATCGACGGCAAAAATCTCTCAATAAACTTAGATAAAAATTAACCAAAGCTATCTCTTCGGCAAGTGTTAGAAAATGTTTATGAGCTTCATCTGGCTGTAAACAGAATTTGTTTTAACAAAAAATCAATTTAAATGGATTCAAATCTTTTTTGATTTTCTTACCTTCACATTAAGCCAGGTAATATTGTCTTGAATAAAACGATGATTTGCTTCCTGTCTTCGTCTATATAGTTCATCTTCATCATCAAATATCCAATATTTATAATGTGTTGTTGTACGGAACATATTTGTATACGAGATATTTGTATACGAGAATTTTGATTTTCTAATTTTTTACTTTGAAAAAAAATTCAAAAAAAAAAAAATGTAAACAATTGTTTTTTTGGAATATTTCGAACATGTGTGTGTGTCAGTGACCCGTACATAGATAATGTATCCTAAAAAAAAAAAAAAATGAATTTTGAATTTTGAAATGTTCAAAGTCCTCTCACTAAATAGGTTTTTTTAGGTGAAAAAATATGCCAAAAAAAAAAAAATTTTCCATTCACTAATTTTATTATCATTCATTCATTCATATTTTTTGTGTGTGTGTGTATGATACATTGTCATTTGGAAATTGGAACAATCACACCCACAATGATATACTAGCTTCTTGTTCAATATGCTGTTCTCGATTTAATGTGTTTCTTTATCATCATCATTTTCTAACGAAAGAAGAAAATCAAACGAAATGCTGATTTCAGCAGAAAAAACATTTCATTCATTTTTTGATTGAATGATGTGAAATTCATAAATCAAAAAAAAACAAAAACGAAAGTGTTGGCTATCGTTATTGAAAACAGGTTATCATTTGAAAAAAAAAATTTTGAAATCAATTGAAATATTTATTACATGAAATGAAAAACAAATTGAATGATGAAAAATTAAACTTTTTTTTTCCTATTGAAAAAAGAACTCGGACTGAAGAAAAATTATTGATTTATCATTATCATCACCATCACCATTACCATTATCGTCATCATCAAATATAAACGACACACAAATCACAAGACAGCAAAAAAAAATGTCTTTTCTTTTCTTTTCTTTTCTAACTAATCATAAATGTTGACAAATCGTAAATTGTGTCAACTTCTCTGATTTTTTTTTCTTCTCAACAAAAATTTCTTTTCCTGCTCCTGTGTATGTATAGAAAACATTCGATAAGAGTGTGAAATTATTAGTGTGTTTGTGTAATGGAATTTTCACATCATCATCATCATCGTTGTCGTTTTTGTTTTTGATAACTTTTCACAATCACATCTCTCATTCTAAAACAAAAAAGAAAGAAAATTTTGTTGAGAAATAAATTAATTTAGTTCGTGTGTGTGTGTGTTTAAGCTTTTTGCACAATAACTAATAACAATAATCAAACAGTTGACAAATTTCATTCGTTTAGTCAACATCGTTTTAGTTTGTTTGTTTGTTTGTTTGTTTTTGGCCCATCCATCCATCTATTCAATCTATCCATAAATCGTGATTGAGAAACAAAAAGCAAACATGAAAAAATTCATCAAAATATTCACCACCATTGGAATATTGTTGGCCATCATTATTGGTTCAATAAGATCATATCCAACTGGTGCACCAAAATGTTCGGCAACAGCACCAAAACATGAAGATCATAAAGCACAAACAACACCATCACCATATCAGATAACGGCATCAAAAACGGGTAAATCCACTGCATCGGTAACAATTTCTGGTGGTGATTTTAAAGGTTTTATGTTGTATGCGGCTAAACCCGGTTCAAATGATATGATCGGTACGTTTACTAAGACTGATAAATCCAAAGAAATTACCTGTGGATCTGCTGTAAGTTTTTTTTTTGTTTTGTTTTCCATGTTGCTGAAATTGAAATTTGAAAAAAAACTAATAATAATTTCTTTATTATGTTTAAATAGTCGGCCATTACACATAAAAATGATAAAGCTAAAAGTTCAATTACATTGACCTGGAATGCACCGGATAAATTTACGGGTGATGTTGAATTCAGGTAAATAATTATTTGTTATTCAAAACAAAACAAAAAAATGATTCATGTCAACGATGACAACAACAACAACAACAGGTCACAGTCTAATAATTGACAAAAATGTGGTCAAACGTGTGTGTTTGGTGTTTCATTCGAGCAATGAAATTGTATATGTTAGGAAAAAAAAATTGTAAAAAGAAACAATCAGTTTTCAATTTTAACAATTCACTTTTTTAATTTATTTACATTTTCTTTCTCTATTTACACACACATGAATAAACAGGGCCAGTGTTGTCAAAGAATTTAAAGAATTTTGGTCTGGTCTGAAATCACCAAAAGTCACCTTTAAATAATAATGAAAAAAAAGGGATAAATTGTGATTCGAGCTCATTATTATCATCATCATCATTATCATCGTCGTCGTCGTCGTCGTCGTCGTCATCATCCTGATCATCATCAATATTAATCATTGAACAAAATTGATTCGAATTTTAGAATTTTTCAGATTATTATTATTATTATTAATTTTTTTTTCTATAGAAAACAAAAACACATTCTGAATTCTTTGCTGTTATTATGATAATTTAAAAATTCAAACAAAATATTAAATAAATGAATTCTTTTTTTTTGCCGTTTTTTAAAACAAAATTCCTTTTCATAATAATAAGAATCGCGCGTGTGAAAAAAAAAATTTGTTGTTGTTGTTGTCGTTTTGTGTTTGCGAGCGTGTGTGTGTGTGTGTGTGCTGTTTATCATAAATCGTCATCTTAAAAATCAGCTGATATCATCCACACATTGACTCATCATCATCGATATTTTTGAAAAAATTTTTTTTTTGTTTTTCAAATTCATTGATTATTATGATATGTTTCGATCCATGGTCAAATTTGATCAAAAAAGAGAGAGAGAGAAAAAGACGGCAAGTTTTGCTGGACATGATGATTACACATAACCGGTTCGATCAACAGAAAAAAAACATCTTTAATTAAATATTGAAAAAAAAATTGAATAAATAAAATAAAATAAAAACTGGTCATACCTTGTGTTTGTGTGTGTGTGTGTGCGTTTGCAAACGAATATAAATAAACTATACTATAATAAAAAACATCTAGATAGCTGATTCGAACAGGTTAGCAATCTAACATCAACAACAATCAAAGTGATGACCAACCACTTGTCATAAAGTTATTGACCCATTTTTCATCTTAAAATTCGACACACACACGTACACACAGAAAAAAATCGACTGATCATCATCATCATCATCAATAATCAGAAATTATTTGTCTTCAACAAAAAAATACCCAACAATAAATTCTATCCACTTTTATCATTTTTGATTCGAATTTTAGTTGTTTTTTTTTTACTTGCTACTAGTCCACGTTTATTTATTATTTGAAAACAAAAAATGCAGGCCAGTAATATGACAAGATTTATTCGTTATTATACTCAACATTGTCATCGTCGTATGTCATCAATAATCATTAATGGTTCTTCATATGTTGTTGTTGTTGATAAAAAATCATCATCATCATCATCGGTAATAAAGCCACCATATTTCATTAATCAATCATCAAATGTATCACTCAATTCAACAAGGTAATATATATACGATGTTTATGAATTGTTTGAAATTTTCAAATTTTTCAATTTTCAAATTGATGATGATGATTTATATCTGATGTTATTATAGATATATGGTTACCAAAACAAAAACAGGTGGTAAATTGAATAGAACGATATCGGCAATCGATCTGAATGAATTTGATGATGTATATGAACAAGCACGTTTGAAAGCAATTGCCGATATTTACAATGAACACCAACAAACACAATCATTAAATGAAGCTAAAGAATGGCTACAAAATGTAATTGATTATAATGTCGGCACTGGTAAACGTAATCGTGCACGTATCTGTTGGCTTGCATATAGACAATTATGTCCATCATCTGAATCAATAACTCAAGATAAAAATCTTCAAATCGGTATACTTGGCTATTGTTTAGAATTGATGCAATCATATTTTCTAATATTCGATGATATTATGGATGATTCGATTACACGTCGTGGTCAAATTTGTTGGTATCGAAAGGTAAACACAAAGGACTATTGAGAAAAAAAAACCTTAAATCTAATTTAATTTAATTAATCATTTAAAAAATTTAGAATGGAATCGGTATGATTGCCATTAACGATGGTGTTATGATTAGTAGCTTGATACATTTATTATTGAAACAAAATCTAAGTACAAATCCAGTGTATACACATATGGTTGAATTATTCAACGAAGTTACACGTTACACTTCATATGGCCAATGTTTAGATCTATTATCGTTTCCGTCTGATGGATCAAAATTAGATTTTTCCAAATTCACAACCGAACGTTATGATACGATTGTTCGATATAAAACAGCTTATTATACATTCTCATTGCCGATACGATTGGCCATATATTTGGCTGGAATCATTGATCCAAATACTCATAATGAAGCTGAAGAAATACTTTTACAAATTGGACATTTTTTTCAAACACAAGATGATTATCTTGATTGTTTTGGTGATTCAAATATAACCGGTAAAATTGGTACCGATATTGAAGATGGTAAATGTTCATGGCTTTGTGTTCAGGCATTAAAATTGGCTAATAATGATCAACAGGCATTACTATTTCAACATTATGGTGTAAAATCTAAAGAATCTGTTCAAATTGTTCGAAATATTTATCAACAATTATGTTTAGAACAAGTGTTTGCTCAATATGAACATGATAAGTACAAAGAAATTTGTTCAAGAATCGATCATATCGAAAATAAAATGCTGCCCAAAGATTTGTTCCACATGGTATTAACCATGATCTATAAACGAAAACAATGAATTGTGAAATCTTGATGAATGAATCAATAAATAGTTGCCATACATTTTTTTTTGACCATTAAAAATATCAATTTATTTAAATGAATGTTTTTACCCAATTTTGAATAATAAAAACAATTATTATTACTTTGAATCAATCAATCAATTGATTAATTTGTAAATGGTAATGTCATTGGTAATGGATTCTGTAGATATGTCATGACTACGGCCAAAAATGAGAGCATAAAACAGCTAAATATTTGTTTAAAATCATCGTGCATACGAAGATTGGCAAAACTAAATTGAACGAAAAAAAAAAATTCATGTATCAAATGAACAAAACAAATAAGAAAAAAAATACCTTATGGCCGAACAAAACAAAGCAATCCATGCTGACCATTTTAATTTCATCTATTTTTCGCACAAGTAGAATCAAATTGATCAAAAAATTGTTGCTATCGTTCAAACCACTTACCATCAGACCGCACATAGAAAACAACATGGAAAGAAGATTCATATAATCTGGTGTTGGATCTTCAGATGGACTACCGATACAACCAGCCGGTAATGGTTTATATCTTTGAACTCGATCTGGACGTCGTGGATCATTACTATTCATTTGAGACATTTTATTTTCTGTCGAATTTTATAAAAAAAAATCAATGTGATCGAATAATTATCAGTTTATCGATAATAAGAATGTCTGCATGCACACACAACCAACCAATACAGCTGATTCATTCAAGTGATAATGGCGCCATCTATTTGACTCCATGATGATTACCGGACAATTGAAATTATCAGATATGACAAACTTTTAATATAAAAAATAGAACGATATCATTTATTATAGTTAATATTCATAAATTGGAACAAAAAAAAATTACATATACATCGAATGAGAATTTCATTTCATAGAATCATAAATTCTGTTTCGTGATTAATTAATAATTCATCATTATTTACAATATATCTATAAAAAATAGGAATTTGTTGAGTATGTTGTAGCTGAATTAATTGGTGATCCACTATGATGATGATGACCTGGATGAACAAATGGAACTGATGTTGTTGTTGAATGATGATGATGAGTAACAGGACCAGGACCAGTTGGCCATCCAGAATTACCATCGGCTACTGCAACTAGATTTCTATGATGATGATGATGATGGTGATTAGTTAATGCAGCAGCAGCATGTAATTGTGATGGCCATGTTTGATGATGTGGATGAGTAGTTGATGGATATGTAGTAGTTGTTCCATCATTTATTAAACAATTATTCATCACACCCATTTGATGTTGTGAATGATTTGAGTATTGTTGTTGTTGTTGATTGTTGTTGTTGCTGCTGCTGCTGCTGCTGCTGTTGTTGTTGTTGTTGTTGGTGGTGGTGATTATGATTATGATGATTTACCTGTTGATGTAATTCATTTATTGTATTCGATATTGGTGATGTTGGATTGAATATTTTTTGACATTCAGCAAATTGATTTAAAAATGAATGATGATGATGATGTGAATTTGTATGATGATGTGGATGTGTATGATAGCTATTCTGATGATGATGATTATGATGATTATGAATTGTAGATGAATTTATTGGATGAATTGTTGATAGAAAATCTGTGGCTAATGATGATGATTTTGAATCTCCATTATAATCATTGTTTTTCGATAATTGGCCATCATGTACAGATTGATTGGATAATGTAGAGGAAGTGGTTGACGATGAAGTTACAACAGCAGCCGTAGTTGTTGCTGTTGTTGTCGAAGAATTGTTGATCAATGATATAGATGATTTAGCAGATTGCCATTCTGAAATTTCATGTTTAACACTATCCGATAAAACTGTAGAATCATAGAGAGAGAGAGAGAAGGAAAATAAATGTCAATTAATCAATCTATTCATGTGAATCCAGAATAATTACCATTATTTGTTGTTGAAGCAAATTCTGAACTATCAATATAATAAGGTTGACTATATGTTGTAATTGATCCAGCGGCAGCGGCGGCAGCAGCAGCAGCAGCAGCGGATAAAACATTCGATACGGAAGACGGTACTGATGATGATGTTGATGATGATGATGATGTACCTGCCGATGGTATTGTTGTTGGCAATGGAGGTGCTGCTGGTGGTGGTGGTGGTGGTGGTGGTGTACTCAACATTGATGATGTTGGTGATATAGAGGCTTGATGATGATGATGATGATGATGATGATATGGATGTTGATGACCACCACCACTACTATTATTACCAGTAAATTGTACTGCAGCAGCAGCAGCAGCTGCTGCTGCTGCAACTTGACTATTAACCTGTTTACGCCAACGTGCACGACGATTACTAAACCAGACCTAAGACCAGTGAAAAAAAAATTAATTAATTAATTGCAATCCAAGTTCGAATCATTCATTTATCATCATCATAAATATATGAAAAAAAGAGCGAAAAAAAATTTTTTTGAAAAATGAAGTGACGACCACCAAGAAACAACAAGCACCCAATGTCCAAAACCAAACAAACACACACACACACAAAAAACTTGTTGATCATATCGGGCGCGTCTTCATCGCGATAATCATTGAAGATGATGAGAATATAGAAAAAAAACCTTGGACTACATGATGATGATGATTAATTGTTCAATTGAATTTCAATTTACAAAAAAAAAAAACTTATGGGTGACACAACACACACACACACACACACACACACACTGAGAGTGGTGGATAGTTGGTTGGTGGTCCTTGTGGTTGTGGTTTTGTTTGTTTGTTTGTTTGATTATTTCTCTCATTTCAAATATGACAACAACAACAACAACAACAGCGAAAAAAAAAAAATCATCATCATATAATTTATGATCTTCTTCCAAAAAGACAGAAGGATCTTCATCATCATCATCATCATCAATTGATTTTCTTCAAGACACAAAACAAAAATTATGATTATTAACTAAGAAAATGAATAAAAAGCTACAGTCATATCTTCGATGATGATGATGATTAGACAAATATTTGTATACAAATCGCCCACAAAAATAGCCACCAACAAAAAAAACTACCCATCATCATCATCATCATCATCATTCAGTAATGATGATGCTAAAAAAAAATGAATGTGGCTACCTGTGGTAGTAGTCTCATGTGTTTGGTTTAAATGGTGAAAATTCAATTTGTCAATCCCATGTTTGTTTGTTTGCTTTACATACATCGTTTGTTTGTTTTCGTTTTGTTTATGTTCAAATAGCAAACACATACACATGCACACACACAAGAGATTTTCTTGAATTTTCTTTCTCAAAATAAAAAATAAAAAATAAAAAAATAGTGGCTAACTGCCTGCCACTGGCTAATTTTTTTTTGTATTGATTAATGATTCGTTTGGTTTTTTTTTGGTCGTAACATTGGTGGTTGTGGTCAATGATCGATATTTTTTTGTTTGTTTGTTTGTTTGAATTAAAAGATTCAAATTCTTGTAAAAAAAAGAAAAAAATTCTTACCTGTACACGAGCTTCAGTCAATTTTGTACGTTGTGCTAATTCTTCTCTTGTATATACATCCGGATATTGGGTACGTTCAAAACTACGTTCCAATTCATCCAATTGTTCAGCGGTAAATGTTGTACGTGAACGACGTTGTTTACGTTTCAATGGTATGCCTGGTTCTGATTCACATTCTGATTCATCATCGCTACGGACTGGGGAAAAAAAAAAAAAAACAAAAAAAAAAAAATTTGAAAATATTTACTTTACAGTCTCTTTCTCTCTTTGAATCATTGAAGTGTTTGTATTTGCTCGAGCCAGATCAAGATCAATCAATTCAATTGATTGATTGAATCAATTGAATTAAAAGCATGATGACTATAATCCGGTTATAATGCAATTTATTATATTTATATCTACCCAATAAACATAGCAGGTCAAGTCTTTGATTTGGATTTTTTTTCTTCTTCTACTTCTTTCATTGGATTCAAAATCCGCTACTGTATTTTGAAAATGATCATTTCATCGGTTATTATCATCAACATGCGTGTAACTAATCGATATGTTCCAGTGATAACGAAATTTTTTTTTTTTTGTATGCTTGTTTGTTAATCTCTTGTGTGTTTACACTACTTATATCTTGAATAGTAGAAAAAAAATATTTATAGACTACTGTGGATTAAAATCTCTGGATTTATCATCATCATTATCATCATCTTAAAATTATCTTAAAAAAAATTATTCGGCAAAAGATCAAACAGAGAAAAAAAATCTTTGAACATTTCATTCAATCAACAACAACAAAATAATAATAATAATAATAATCGATCGTTGATGGTGGGCTGGTTTTGGATCATTTTTTCTGGATCATTTCATTGTCATCGAAACAATGAAATAAAGAATAAAAAATTCAAGTCAAAATCAATGTCGACACGTTCAATGTTTTTTCTTCTTCTTTCTTGAATTGAATAGAAGCCGCCGATCCAAAAATGTTGCTCACACCTATTCAATGTGTGTGTGTGTTTTCTTTCATTGGATCGATATCAAATCGATAACAACGAAACAAAAACAACAACAACAACAACAACAACACGAACCACAACAATAACAATTGATACATGTCGCACAAGACGACATTTTCAACAATCTAAGAATGAAACAGAATGGCAAAAAAAAAAAACAACCGTTATTGTTATTAAATGGATCAATTGAAAATCAAATCAGAGAAAAAAAAATTCATTTTTCTCTTCCATTCAAATCGCCGGCAATAGATCAAAGAAAATCAATAAGAAAAGAAATATGGTGTACATATAAAATGATATCGATTAAAACCACCTACGTTGTCGTTGTATTCATCATGGTCATCGGTCAAGTGGTGATGATGATGATGATGATGTGTGTGTGTGAGGTCAAAAGATTTAAAAAAAACGAAAACTACGGCCATTTTTTTCTATACTGATCAATCGAAATTGTATCGATCTTGAATGTAACTGATTGATAACTGAAGGTGATGGTGGTGGTGGTGTTAGGTGGTGGTGGTGGTGATAGGTAGGTGGTAGATAGTCGTGGCTATCTATTAACGGTGTATTGGTTGCATTGTCATTGTGATTATAGAACAATGACAATGCAACAAACATTTGACTTTTTGGCTTTTTTTTCTTTGTTCATTATTTCTTTGATCATTTGCCGAAATTTAAAAAATGTATATGGTCCAAGAAGTTATTAATAGCCACAATCCACAATAAAAACAACAACAACAACAACAACAAAAAAACATGACAAGAAAAAAAATTTCATTTCATTCGAATCGAATTAAATGAGGTGCAAACTACTATCTACTATCTACTGCTACTGATTGATTTGATCACAAATCGGCAGTAGTCAATTAAATTAACAAAAATTATCGAATATTGATCGGTGATTAGTGGAAATGAACAAAAAAACTAATTGATTGATCAATACAAAAAAAAAAAATAAAAAAAAAGTTTCCATCGTCATCATCATCATCAATTGAATTTTGGAAATACTACAACAGCAAAAAGTTCCGAATCGAATCCAAAATATAGACCCGAGGATTGAGCCAGAATGATTTTTTCATCATTTTGTAACGACACACACAAGGCTGTGACACGATCAAAATGATGATGATCAGATTGCTTTGGTTTATCGGGAGGAGGAGAGGGGGTGGGGGCTATGAAAATGAGATCCATATACAAATTTCTGGATTTCCATAATGTTTTTTTTCTTTTTCAAGAGAAGGGGAGAACACTAATTACCGTAACCAAGCGTACGATACAAAGTAAGTAATAGAAATTTTTGATTTCAAAAAAACGTAGTACGTGCAACAAGAGAAATTTTTTTTTTTTTTTTTTTGTCAAAAATGGATCCAATGTATGTGTGTGTGCTGGACGGAACAAATCCGAGTCAAATAAGTCTGTGTGTGTGTGCGTGAATTCTATTTCTATCACCATCATCATGATCATTCCCAAAAAAATGAAATGAAATTCGTTAAGGTTGATTGCAAATAAATTCAACAACAATCAACGACATAAAACTTTGAAACTATGACCTACGTTCGATGTGTATATATATCAAAATGCATCATTATCATCATCATCATCATCATCGAAGACCGTGCCAAATTTGTTTCAATTGTATCACATAAATGAATGAATGAATGAATGATCGGAAATGCAGAAAAAAAACTAGACCCGAAAATGAAACCTTTCGATATATCACAGGATTTTTTTTCGTATCGGTCTACAAACAAAACAAAACAAAACAAGAAAAGAAAATCGACGTCGTCATTTTTAATCATATGAAAACTATAGTTGTCCATTTGTTCGTTCATTTTGGATCTGATTTTCAATGATTTGTGTGCGTGTGTGTGTTTGAGAAAAAAAAAGATTTTTGCATTGAAAAATGAATGTTTTTACCATTTGGTTTTAATGGATGTTGCATATAATACGTTTCACATATTATTATCTGTCAAACACAATATCAAAAGACCTATAATGTTTGACAAAAAAATTGCACATCTGTCTGAGTTTTTTTTCCTTTCTTTTCTATCACAAAAAATCTTGGAAACTGGCCAATTTAAATACATATTGTTATTATAGGCTATTTTTAGGTAAAAAAATTTTCAATTTTCATATCTCTCTATCACTTTATGATATCAATAAAGGTTGTCATCACTTTCACTAAATAGCGACAGTCAAAGAAATCAATTAGTTCAACTGAATATAATCAATGTATCACGCTATAAGTAGTAATAAGTAATGGTAAAAAAAGAATAAAAAGAAAATTATCTACACCTTATCATCCACTCATATTAATCACTACCTTGAAGTTTACTTTAATTCATTAGAATCTAATTATATTCGGTTTGTTTTTTGAAACGCGTGTGGTTCACGCAAAAAAAAAAAAAAAAAAAATCATTCACTTACTTGAACCACCAAGAATACCATCGATACTATGATCTTTACCACCACCACCAACACCAGTAGATACAGATACAGATATTGAATCTATTGATGATGAATCATTTGTATAAAATCGATGATTATGATGATGATGATGATGATGAAAATCATGTGGTGATCCATTGGATGTACCACGTAATACACGACTTATTGAACTAACACTTGGTGCCGTATTTTTATCGCAAATACCTTCTTTAATTAGTCGTTCACGTATTTCGTAGCTAAAAATTCCTGGATTTTCTTGTTTATATTCTTCAATTTTTTTCTCCACTTCTGGCGTTGCTACACGTGGTTTACTACCGCCAATCACACCTGGACGAATACTACCGGTTTCCTGGTAACGATTCAATATTTTCGATACACAACCATGTGATACACGTAATTGACGACTAATCACACATGGTCTAATACCGGCGGCTGCCATTTCAACAATTTTATAACGAATATGATTCGGTAATGGTCGGCCATTGATGAATACACCACCCAATTGATTCACACGTCCTTGTCCTGAATTGATGAATGAATGAAAAAATTAAAAAAATTTGAAAAATTCAAGAATTTTTAACAAACAAATTCACAAACCCTCTAAAAGTGAAGTAATTTCTAAATCTTGTTTAGCCCAACTGGCTAAACTAGCCTCACTACTACTACTATGATTTTTGGTCATGTTTTAAAATGTGAAATGAATTGATTATTGGATCTTGCAAACATTTTTATATAGAGAATTTCTTTTCAAAAAAAAAAAAAAGATTCTGGCTATGTTTTTCTTCATCTTCTGATTTCAATTAAGTAAAACGAAAAAAAAAACAACAGCTAACTACCACATGTCTCCATTCAAAATGCTCAATGGTCAATATTAACGATTGTTCAAGATGAGAACCACCACATGAATACACATGTTTCAATCCATATGGTTCCATTTATAATTGATTTTAATTGAAAATGAAAAATAAATTTTCTATCTATCAATTCATATTGGTCATTTTCTATACTAATGGAAAACAAATATTCTACTTGTCTTTATTGGCCAAAATTCTGGTTATTCTCATCATCATCATCACTTGCTAATCACATTATTGCTATACCAGTGAACCTCGTACACACACACACACATCGTTCATCATAAAATACACGTGTGTGTGTGTATGAAGAATTATTTTGTTTTTAGTGGGAAAAAAAATTTTTTTACGACTTTAGACGCCACATGTCTGACGCTAAGTATATTTATTCAAATGGGTCAATCTAGCTTTGTTAATATTCATATATTGTAATAATAATTTTTTTTGCAAAAAAAAAAAATGAACATCTTACCTTGAAAAGGATAACCAGTGAATGCTGCTGTTAATGGCCTTATATTCAATGCTGTAGGCATGGTTGTTGTCATTGTTGTGGAAAAAAAACAAAACAAAACAAAACAAAAGAATTTTTCTATTTTATTCTTCTTCTTCAATGAATTTTTCTTCCCCAAAATTTAATCATTTCTTAACGGAACTTTGGTTAATATATGATCATATTTGTAGTATAGTATCACTATTTGGTCACACACACACACACACACACACGCACAGAGAGTAATTGGTTGTGGTCCAAAAAATTTGATTATTTTTGATTGCAGTAATAATAATATTTTTTTTCAGGACCGTAACAGAATCAAATTACCAGAAAAAAAAATACTAAGAAACTATAACGATATCGATGATTATATGACGATGATGATGATGATGATTATGGTCAAATATTTACACACACACATACTCACTCGCACTTGTTTGGTCAAAATATTAGATTCGGATATCAGATACGGAACGAAAAAAAAAAAATTTTTTTTTTGTGTTGATCAAATTTCTTTCGTGGCCAGACAAGGGCTTCTACGAAAAAAATTGAAACATTTTTTTTTTGTTTGATTTCGCACTTTGTAACTTTATTTTTCTCTCTGTACAATATTGCTACCAGACAAGAAATGTAGAAAAAAAAATGAAATCAAATCATTTCACTGGTGTTTCAGGAACGAATTTGTTGTTGCTGCTGTTGTTCAGGCAGGGGGTAGTATCATTCGTTTCGATTCGATTTGATTCGATTCGATTCGTGGTCCGTTTTTGTTGAATAACTAACCGAAACTAAACAGAATATACTACTCTATACAACAGACATCAACAACAACAACAAAAACAGTTTCATTTCAACAAATTTTGATTTGGATTCATACAAGAAAAGTTCTCTTCTTTTTCATGAGAAAAAAAAAATTAAAAAATTTCGTTTGTCTACTATTGGATAATCAACCATACAACAGGTTCCACCCCATTTTGGGCATGGCCAATAACAATTTCTTGTTCGAAGGTTTGGATATTTTTTTAGCCAATCACACACACACACAGATCTATGGCTTCTCCTTTACAATACACACACACACACACAGTGGATCTGATTAATGTGAATTTCAGCAACAACAACAACAAGGAAAAGGACCTCACTGTATTTTGAATAATAAATGAATGAATGGACCTGGTTACATAAAACGAATTTGGTCCCCATTGTTATTATTATTATTATATATGATTATTATTGTTGCTGTTGTTAATTACCATCAATCAAAAGCCAAAGCAAAAAAAAAAAACTAGACCGTGAAGAAATTTTGAAAATTTCTTTTCTTCATCATCAATCGATTGCCGTTGTTATATATTGTTGTTGATTTGGTGTGAATTTCGTAAATTTCATTTTGCATTTTTGCATTTCAATAACTAGATTTAAATGGTGTGATTATTTTATTATATTGATGATGATATTGGGGCGTCATGGTTCGTTATTGTTGTTGTTGTTGTCACTTTTATTTTCAATTTGGTTGTAACCAAAAAAAATAAAACCATAGGATGTGTCAAATGTCATTTGCTAAAAAAAAGGTCATTGAATGAATAACATGGAAACAAAAATGGTCACACGGTCAATTTTTGTTTCTATTTAAATGATCGATTGATTCATTCACATTGATCATCGATTCGATTTGATCAATAAAACATCATGATGATGATGATGATGATGATGAGAAAATTGGGTCAAAAATTACTTCATTTTACCACACACATATACATCTTTCCAATTCCACAACATAATTAGTTTCGGGTATTTAGAGAGAGAGAGAGAGAAAAAAGATGATGTTCAACAACAAAATCAGAAACAAAGAAGAAGAAGAAAATTGTTGTTGTTGTTGTTGTTGTTGTTGATTTACTTGTTTATTATGAAAATTGGGCGTAAAATTCATCTTCATTCAAAGATTTGCCAAAAAAAAAGTGATTATTATGAACATAATCAGCTAATGTGTGTGTGTGTCTTTATTTTTTATTGGCTGCTTCCGCGTATTTTTTTTTTTTTTCTCTCATTACGATTTACACGTGAATCATCATCATCACCGATTCTACTGATGAACTATAGTGAATAATTCACAAGAAACAGAAAAAAAATATTCAGATGTTTTATGACGATCAATAAAACCATAAAAAAAAACAAAACAAAACAAACCAGACCAAAAAAAAAAAAAAATGAAAAATGAAAAATGAAAAAAACATTCGAAAATGTAATGTTCACAAATGACATGTTCGGTGTAATGTTTGAAATGGAATTATCTAATGAGATTCCTGTGTATGCATGTTTAGTGGTGATAATGACCATCATCACCACCACTGCTACTACTACTGTGATTATGGTCATAAAAAATTTTTCGGACCAAATTTTTTTTTTCATTACTAAAAAAAGTTTTTTTTTTCTCTCTCTCTCTTGGTTGTGAAAACGATGATAATGACCATTCATTATTATCATTCTTACTACTACATTATTATCAATGAGGAAAAAAAAGGTAAAAAAAAGGTACATCGATCGTCGTTGTTGTTGATGATGATGATGATTTCTGAATACCGTGGTTCATATAAAAAAAAAACTATGAGCTACTGGAACTTTGACGATGATGATGATGATGATGATGATAATGATGATCTTTTTGCTGCAGATACCATAAAAAAAATTGTTCGGACCATAAAGGCTAGGGCCATAAAAAAAACAATACGTTGTAGTGATTTTGAAGAATAATTCGTGGTCCGCACACACACACACACAGAGAGAGAGAGAGAGAGAATGAGAAATTTTTGGTTCATTATATTACCTGCCATGTGCAGGTATCTTCAATTCACGTCAAACAAACTCAAATTCAATGAATTTAAACAACAACAAAAAAAATTCTCTGTTTTTAACCATAAACGTCGGCTTTGGGATTTTTTTTTTTTTTTTTTTGGTTTCTGTATACCACCTCATTGGATCAATGATCCAGATTGAAAATGTCAAAAATTTTCGATGTAAAACGTTAATTTCTTTCTTTTTCTCGTTTTTTTCTGAATTTTCTGATAAATTTCATGATGAATTTGAACAAATTGATTTTGAATGATTTTTTGTTTGTCAATAAAAAAAAAAAATTTTTATTAATGTCAAAACACACACATATAGGTTTGATCTATTGTGTGACAACAACAACAACAACAACAACGACGATGACAGAAAAAAAACATGTCAAAAAAAACTGGACATAGGTCAAACACACAAATTTCGTAAACCACCGTGGGTCATAAAAAATGAAAATGACAACAACAACAACAACAACGACAACAAATTTTTGTTTCGTTCCAAAGATAGAATCTATTCCACCAAGTTGAATGAAACAAACTCTTAGGTTCTTTTTTTTTTTTTTGTTCGCTTCTGTCACAGAAACAGATAATGACCTAGATCATTTCATTGTCATCGTCAATTTTTCACCATCATCATCAGCACCTTTTCATCGTTTTGCGGACCTTATGATTTTCGTTGTTTTTTTATTTTTATTTTTTTTTTTTTTGGTCAAGTTAAATTTGACCATTTTTTTATTGCACCCGAAAATAAAAAAAAACAGGTATACAACACACAACAACCTATACAAGTTGCTAGAAATAGAGAAAACAAAAACAATGAACACACATAAATTTTCTACCTGTCAATTATTGTCATCAATCGATGATGATGATGATGATGATGAACCAAATGAAAAATTTTGAAACAAAAACCAAGCATAGGTAACACCAGTGTGTGTGTGTGTATACAAGAAACAAATCATCATCACCCTTAATGATCTTTCTGGATCCAAGGACAAGAAATGAATTCAATGAATGAATGAATGAATGAAAACAAAAACAGGTCATAAATTAATCAATTTTTTTTTTTGCTTGTGGCTGTCACCAACAACAAATCAACAATCATCAACGATATTATTATTGTGTCATCATCGATCGATCGATCAGTGATCGTTTTTTTTTATTTTGTTTTTGTTTCAACATGCATGGTGTCGAAACAATCACATCAAACATGTTCGTATTGGGTAAACATGATAATAATAATAATAAAAAAATATGGACAAAAATATCATCATTGGGTAACAAACAAACAAAATAATGATGATAACATTGTGGCCACCACCACCATTACAACAACACCTTTATCATCATCATCATCATCGATGATCATTGAAAATTCAATTGAATAAAATGAACAAATTTGTTTGGGCCAATCAAAATGACAAATTGATGAACAAAATCAAACAAATGATTTTCGTATACACAGACATACACACACAGAGGACAAGGACAACAATAGAGATTTACATTTTGTTCCATTGTTTCATTCAATTTTATGATTATCGTTTGGTTAGATATTCACCATAGGTGGTGTATAGGCTTCCCATCATCATTAGTATGGATGTTTGTTGCACATTTCTTGTCCCAATCGTCATGGCCAATCATCAACAAGAAGAAAAAAAATTTTTTCTTGAAATTCGTCATACTTGGGTTCACATTTGTTTAACGGTTTTGGATATTTTTTGTTGCTGCTGATGTTGATGGTGAATCATTGTTTCATGTCTCGATTATTTTGTTTGTAATATGAACTAAAACAAAACAAAAAAAATCTGATGATGACAATTAATCAAATTTTGATTTTTTTTGTTCAAATTTTTTTTTTTTTATTTAAACAAACAAATGATTAATAGTGTTTCATGGTATTGTTTTTTTTATAGGTTTTGATTGTTGGCCAGTTAGTTGCGTTATTCATTCATTCATCGCGATATTTTGAAACGGATTCCAATAATTCTTCACGATATCCAACAATATCTACACGATCATCTGGTGCTACATAGGATGGTTTTCGTATATTAACATATTCAGGTGACTTATAATTGAAATGAATGTAAATAATTCCAGCCATAGTGGCCCATAATCCAAACCATTTTGCTGCCCGTATTAATGGTGGTGATCGTTGTAATCGTGGATCATTCATTTATTCAATCGTGATCGATATCGATTGATTTATGAAACAAAATGAAAATCAGAAACAAAAATCCAACAACAACAACAACATTCGAATCAAATCAGATGATCATCATTCTATGATGCCATCTGTCAATGGTTAATGAAAAAGAAAAAAAATTTTTAACACTGGATGGCGTAATAATCGTTCTGGAAAGAGACATGCGCATCATGTATACATTTTGTCATATACACGTGCAGCCATTGTGATTCGATATATCAAAAGAAAGAGCAAAAAAAAAAAAATCAATTTCGATTTTCATGATCAAAACACACACACACACATGTACTGTTTATTTTATTTTTGAAAATTTTGTGACAAAAAAACATTTTGTGTTTCGATTCAAAAGATTTGATTCAATTCGATTTGATATTATCCACAATGACCACTGATGTCATCCAGCGACATAACATAATTTTCTTTTTTTTTTTATTTCGAATTGAATTTATTTTTCTTTTGACCTTTACATTTTTTTGTTTGTTTGTTTGTTGTGGATAACTTAAATTAAAAAAAAAGATGACATCACCAACCGATCCATTATCATCGACAACGACACCAACACCACGTCCAATACCACAATTTTTTAATGAATACAATCATTTAACAACAAAACGTGAACGTTATAGTTCAACACCTAAACGTACACAATTACCACCAAGACCACCATCAAAATCATTTGCACAATATAGTCGTCTATCATTATCATTTAATCATTCTTGTCAACAAAATTCGAATCATCATTTACATAATAGTCATCAACAAAAGGCAAGAATTATATCATTTAAAAATGAAAAACAACAACCACAATTATCACCATTGTATAATCGTCAACTAAAAGAATCATATTTGAAACAATGTTATCATATTGAAGAACGTATTGGTAGCGGTTCATTTGGTGATGTATTTCGTTGCCGTAATCGTTGGGATCAAAAATATTATGCTGTAAAAGTGTCACGTGAAAAATTCAAAGGTAAAATTGATCGTGAAGAAAAATTGAATGAAGTTTGTAAACACGAACAATTACCGGATCATGATCATTTGGTTAAATTACATTGTGCATGGGAAGAAAAACAAAGGCTTTATATTGAAACGGAATTATGTGCCGGTACATTATCAATGTTGGCCGATAATAATCATGATCTAGCTGAATCAACAATATGGGCCATACTAGTCGACCTATTGAAAGCTATTGATCATCTACATACGAATAATTTGATTCATTTGGATATAAAACCAGAAAATATATTCATATCAAGAGATGGTGTCTGTAAATTGGGTGATTTTGGACTTATATTCGATATGAATAATGTAAGTAAAATTTTATTAATTTTTTTCATTGTGTGTTGACACATTGTTTTTTCTAATAGCATGAATTAAAAGAAGCAACCGAAGGTGATCCAAAATATTTGGCCGGTGAAGTTATACAGGGTATTTTTACAAAATCGGCCGATATATTTTCATTGGGTATGACTATATTGGAGATTGCATGTGATCTAGATCTACCAAGTCGTGGTGATGCATGGCATTGGTTACGTACTGGTGCTATACCTGATTATATTTTCAAACGTAAGTTGGTGGAAAAATGAAATTTGAAACTTGATTAATCAATTTAATTTTTCTCTGTTTCATAGATCGAAATGATGATCTCAAACAAATCATTAAAATGATGTTGAATCCAGATCATTGTAATAGACCTACAGCAAGACAATTATTGGAACATCCATTGATCATTTCACATGAACGTTATAGACGACAAGAATTGAAAGGGAAAAAATTTCGTTCCAAATTAACTGAAACAATACAAATGATTGATGCATTATGCATTGGACAAAAAACATTTTTATGGCCATTATGGTCATGCGTAAAACAAATGGTCAATATTCTTTCGGCACCTTTTCGATTGTTATTATCGAATTTTCAACAACAACTACAAATGAATTCAAGGCATGATTCTGATTTGATTTTAAAATCATTACATCAACAAAACTCGTATCCATCCACACCTATATCATCATCGATTAATAATCGAAATAATAAAAATGTTTCCAGCAGTTCACGGCCAAAATCACCCAATTATAATCGAACATATGTATCAAATTATTTGGATCAATATTCAGATGATGATAATGATAATATGACTACATCAAGATTCATATCAAATCTTTCGTTTGATATGTCATTTGGTTCATCATCGGATGATGAATATAGCCATCAACAACAGCAACAACCACCATCACAAAGGCAAATGATGATGAATGAATCATTGGATCGATTTGATAATCTAAGGTAAGTTGTCTGGTTTTATTTTGAGATTTTAGAATTAATTTTTTTTTCTTTTTGTTTTTCTCCCAGTAATCGTAATCTATGTTCAACAGTTAATCATCATCATCATAGACCAACATCGATTAATTTTGAAATGACACCTAAATTCTCACCATTAAATCAGAATAATAGTGTCGATGTAATGATGATACAAACAAGTCCAATACATTGTACTGATAATGGTGCTGGTGGTGGTGGTGGTGGTGGCAATTCAATCAAATCTGTCATACAACGTTTAACATTTGATGAATTTAGTTCAGATGAAATGGAAATGACTGAAAATGATGATAATGATGATGATAATGATAATAGTAATGAACCAATCGGTATCACCAATAATAATAAAAATAATAATATTACCAAAGATGCCGATTCAACAACATCATCATCATCACCATTATCATTCCATGGTATTTCAGGTGATTATCATCATTCAAATCATAATATTTTGAGAAAAAATTTAATGAAAGTAAGTGATGCAAAAAATGAAAAATAATTTAAATTTTTAACATTTTTGTTTTTTTTCTTGTAGTCATTCGACGAAATTGACGAAATGGTATCGTGAAGAACAAAAAAAACACTTTTCATATTGACTTTTTAAAATTTTTTTTTTTGTATTTTGTTAATTTGTACCCTATTTTTATCACTTACACACACACACGAAAACTTTTCTAATTTGTAATCAATTTTTTCGTTTAGCCACACTTACACACATAATTTGTAATGATAATAATTTTTATTTTTACAATTTTCATCATCATCATCACCACGTATATGTATATCTAAACGCGAATATATGATACACATCATAAAAAAGTCTCTATATATCAATTGTTGATTCTTTGACCGATTCTCTTGAATATTCTTTTTTGACTTTAAAAACAAAACAAAATTTTGATTTGAAATGAAAATTAATTATTCATTCATTCAATTTTGATTTGAAAACAAAAAAAAACTTTTATTTTCTCCAAAAAGTTCCGGGTCCGGGTCAAGTAGTTTGTCTAATTCGTGTCTCATGCTACATGATTCGATACGATTCATTCATGGCCAATAATTTTTTTTTTCTGTTGTTGTTGTTGTTGTTGTTCTTGATTGACAGGTAAAAATATTTTTTGTTTTCTTTTTTCATCACATTTTTTTTTGTTGGCAACACAATTCATTAATGATTGTCCCCAATACGTGACGTGAAATTTTTCATGGTTTTTTTTGGAGACATGATGATGATGATGATATATGGTTCTATATACAGACAAATGATTGTTTGCATACGTGTGTGTGTGTGTGGCCATATTGTTTGTTCCAAAGAAGATACAAAAAAAAATATTGCCAAATTCATTTTTCCATCATTCAATGTGTATTATGTATTGTTTGTATGTTGTCAAAGGCAACCCGGTGTCTAATGAATCATGACAATAATTGACGCATTTTTTTTTATCACAACAGAATAATTTTTTCTTTTTTCGATCGAACATATGAATTCAATAATTGATAGATGACCGTTGATATAGATTGATTTATATTTTATTTCATTTTCATATAAACAATCAAAAATTGATCAATCTTTTCATTCATTTTCAAATCGATTTTTATCTAAATTATCATGTCATTTATGTATGGACCCCCTGGATTCTAATACATTGATGAAACGTAACCACCCTTTTTGGTGGTAGTGGCAGTCTACGCTAATAATCAACGTTACAACGGTAGGAGTGGTCAATTGTTTAAATTCAGTTTCGGTTGACTGACAATAAATTGCATTCTCTCTCTCTCTTTTGCTCTCTTTCTGTTGTTTGTTCGATTTTAGCCAACAACAAAAACAACAACGGAACGAATAAAAAAATTCGTTGCAATTCACAATATTATTACCCCAAAAAAAAAAAAAAAAAAAAAAAATTTCGTCGACTGTTGTTGTTGTATATCGTGATGATGGTTGATGGACACCGAAAAGAAAAAAAAACCCGTTGAGTTTTATTATTTTTTTTCTTTTTATCGGTTGTTGTAGATGGTGGATGTATTTTTTGAACAAGTTTTTTTTTCATTCTTTTTTTTCATCATTCTTCATCTTGATTGCTTCCTGAGTGTTGTGCGACTACCAGCCACCACAAAATAATAACAACAACAACCAGTCACAAAATCTCATCTTGACTCGAATTTTTGTTTTATTTGTTGTTGTTGTTTTTACTTGTATTTATCATCATCATCATCATACATCATCAACAACAACAACAACAAAAAATTTTTGTAAATTTTCAACCATATCGAATATTTTGATTTTATTATGACCAATTCATCAATAGAAACTATTTAAAATTTGTTCAGCTCTCTTTAGTTAATCTGGAATCTGGTAATATTTTGTTGCTTGCCACTTTTCTCTCTGTCTCTCTATCTCGCTCTTTTTTTTTTCTCTCTCTTTGATTTACTCCATCACAATCCCCCCATCCACTCAATCATTAATCGTGAAATGATGATGATGAAGTTTATTATTATCCAATGACAAGTGAAAAAAAACAGAAAACAAAATAAAAGGGTTTAGTTTTTTCCATCTTGTTGAATCATCGAATTTCACATATATAAAATAATGTGTTTTATTTTTCCCCAAAGAAAAAAGATTCTTTTTTTTTGTTCTCACACCATTTGTTTTCAATATATTGATGAATGAAAAACACCAATCATCATCATCGGTTATATATCCACTATTTATCTTTTTTTTAAAAAAAAAGATTATGTAGATTTGTCGTCGTGGTTGGTGGTTGTTGGTTCCGAAAAAAAAACAAAACAAAACAAGAAGTCCACTACTCTCGCTGCTTTTGGCCAGTTTGTATGGACGTCGTCGTTGTTTGTATGAATTTACTTTTTTTTCTTGTTATTGTTATTGTTCTGATGTGGATGATTCGACTCAAATTTCATGTGTGATATCTGTGTGTGTGTGTTTGGATTCCGTTAATCGTTAGAATATTTTGTGGTTTGTTTATTTTCAAAATTTCAATTAGTTTCAAACATCATATCATATTCAATAATAATTGTGCTTGTCATTGTGTGTGTGTGTGTGTGTTTTTTATTTTTCTTGAAAAGATGATGATGATGATGGCTTAGTCATCATTATCACAGTCTTTGTCTTGTTTTTATGACAAAATTTTTTGCTTTTTGTGTGTGTGTATGTTAAAAAAAATTCAATATTCAACCAACTTAATCTTCACACATTAGATAGATAGATAGATGTGGGTGTTGCCTCATCTTCATCACATGATGATGATGAAATATGAGAACACGTTGCTCTTGATTATATTGTGACACTTTGACCAGCCAACAACACTAATAATAGAAAAAAAAATCCTAATTTTTATGGTCTTTATATGTGCGATTTCTTTTTTTTTAAAAAGATGACGCACATGAACAAAGATCAATTTTTTTCCTTTGTTTCTTCTTGCACAGAATTGTATTGATTAAAAAATTTTTTTCTTCTGTCAACGGAATCAAGTTTACCAGCAACAATAAATCGATTTTTTTTCTCTGTTTGTTTCTCCATCTTCCTCCTTTTTCATTCATCACAATAATAATCGGAGTAACCTTGATTTTTATTCTTGAAATTATAATGCTAATATAATTATCGTTTATTACAGAATTTCAAATTGTAAAACAGAACAACCATAACAGCAGCGACGGCAGCATTAGTAACAGCAGCTATCGATATCAGCTTTTTGGCAAAGTGAACATTATTTGAAAAGTGTCGAAACAAAATTTTTTTGTTTTGTTTTTGCTTCCACTTTTTTTTCAAATTCTTTGATCTATCATCAAAATTTTCAAATCAAAATCAATCAAAATGGCCACATTAACTAATGGAATGGAAGTTAAGATACAAAGAACGAATGGTAAGTTGGTTTTTGTTTTGTTTTGTTTATTTTCGAATTCTTTGTAATGATGAATTTTTTTTTTTTTTTTTTGCTACAAACAATTTAGGTAAAATACATGGTGCAATTGTCATGACAATTAGTTATGAAACAAAAACCGTTACAGTCGAATGGGCCGAAGGTGAAGAGGTCAAAGGAAAAGAGGTGTGTTTGTTGTTGTAAATACCTGTAAATAATTTAATCAATTGAATTAATTAATTGAATCTCTTTAATTTTAAAGATTGATCTTGAACAAATATATCGCCTTAATCCAAGCCTTGCATTACCAACAACAATGAATAATACAACAATAAATGGCAGCGGTATTGCGGCTGCTTCTGCTGCTGGTGGTGGTGTCGGTGGCGGTGGCGGTGGACAACTTAAAAAGGTAACCGGAACACGTAAATCAAAAATTGATCATCAATCACATAGCATGGTATTAATTTTTTTTTCTTGTTTCATTTATCTACTTTTGTGATATTCTTTTGTATGCGTGTTTTTGTTGTTGTTGTTGTTTGTGTGTTTGTTTGTTTGTATGTTTGTATGATGATAATGAACAGCATGAAGAGGTGAGCGTCAATTTCGTTTTGTCTTTGAATTTGTCTATTTATTCCTTTTGAATTCCTGTTCCTTGATTCATTATGTTTTCATTAGAAAATTGAAATTTTATTTTTCATTATTTTAATTATCTAATTTTTTCTTCGTTTTTGATTTACGTTATGTGTAGAATCCATCAATGTTGCCTGTACGTACGGCAAACATTGCCTCATCACATCATCATCATAATAATAATCATCATCCGGCAAAAGGTTCATTACGTATGCGACAACAAACAAATCATAGACAAACAATTGCCAATGGACATCTACTTAATAATAATCATATGGATCCACCGCCCGCAACGGCGACAATATCCACAGCATCAAATAATATGACGAATGGATCGACAACAACAACAACAACAGCAGCAGCAGCATCGAATAATAATAATGCAGCTTATTCTCGTCGTCGTTCAAATGCAGTGAAAGAAGTGGAAAAGATTAAAAAACAACGTGAAGAACGACGTGCACGACAAGCTGAACAAAAAGCCGAAAAAATTGAATTAATGAGTTCGGTTGATCCAACTTCACAATCACAATGGGAATTTTTGGCCATGATACGTGATTATCGTTCACAGATGGATTTCAATCCAATCACAATGAATGATCAGGTGAATGATCATCAGATTTGTGTGGCTGTACGTAAAAGGCCGTTGAATAAAAGGGAACAACTGCGTAAAGATATTGATGTGATAACCATTTCGACCAAAGATATGGTCTTAGTCCATGAACCGAAACAAAAAGTTGATCTTACAAAATATTTAGAGAATCAACGTTTCCGTTTTGATTATGCATTTGATGAATCGGCCGATAATGAACTTGTTTATAAATATACGGCCAAACCATTAGTCAGAACCATATTCGAAGGTGGTATGGCCACCTGTTTTGCATATGGACAAACCGGTAGTGGTAAAACACACACGATGGGTGGTGATTTTCATGGTAAAACACAAGATTCATCGAAAGGAATATATGCATTGGCTGCACGTGATGTATTCATACAACTTCGATTGGCTAAAATGCAAGGAGAAGATTTGTTTGTATGTGCCTCATTTTTTGAAATATATTCTGGCAAAGTATTTGATCTGCTCAATGGAAAACAAAAGCTACGTGTGCTTGAAGATGCTAAAGGTCAGGTACAAGTAGTTGGCCTTAGTGAACGACGTGTTGATTCTACGGAAGATGTATTGAAACTAATTCAAATGGGCAATAATATTCGAACATCCGGTGTAACATCGGCTAATAATCATTCATCACGTTCACATGCCGTTTTTCAATTGATATTGAAAAAATCTCCAAATAAACTTAAAGGAAAATTCTCATTAATCGATCTGGCTGGTAATGAACGTGGTGCTGATACATCATCAGCTAATCGTCAAACACGAATGGAAGGTGCTGAAATTAATAAATCATTATTGGCATTGAAAGAATGTATCCGTGCATTGGGTAGACGTGGTGCTCATCTACCTTTTCGTGCTAGTAAATTAACACAAGTATTACGTGATTCATTTATTGGTGAAAATTCTCGTACCTGTATGGTAAGTGTGTATTTTATTCAAAGTTTTTTTTTTAAATTAATATGACAAATTCTTTAAAAATAGATTGCAATGATATCGCCTGGATTTCAATCTTGTGAACATACATTGAATACATTACGTTATGCTAATCGTGTCAAAGAACTTGGAACGGATGGTTCAGCCGATGAAGGTAATAAAGAAATGGATGGTGAAGATGATGTCGATGTGGATGATGATGATGATGCTATGGCCATCAATGGTGATGATATGGAAATTTTACAAGCTGCTAGTGTATGTATCAAATGTTTAAACAATCATTATGTTTGATTTCTGATATTAAATTTAAATTTTTTTTTTGGATTGATTTAGTCTAATGATGATCTTTATAAAATGCATCAAGCGATATCACATTTAACCGAATCTGAAGAAGAAGTGCTTGATATGCATAAAAATATTTGCGAGGTAAAGTTAAAATTACGTGGTATATAAAATTCAATTTAATTTAATAATTGTTTGTTGTTCGAAACAACTATTAGGAAATGCAACGATGGACCAAAGAACATGATCGTTTGATTGATCTAACATCCGAAGTTGATTATAATGTTGATGTATATGTACAGAATCTTGAAGATTTATTAGCCGTACAAATGGAACAGATTAATAAACTACAAGAACGATTAGGAAATTTTAAAACACAACTACGTGAAGAGGAATTGATCTCGAAAAAATTGGTCAGATAATTTTTTTTCCCAATCAATCAGGAAAAGTAATTCGACCAAAATTGATTATTATCAACAATTTATTATTATTATTAAATTGTCAATCATCATTCAGCTAAACTTCCATCCAAGTTTCAAACAAAAAAATTCTATAAATTCGTTGTTGCTGCTGCTACACTACTACCACCCTACATAATACAAATTTTGGTCATATATTGAGCGAGACCCACCTTGTCATCGTCTTTCTTCCACCAGCATTAACACTACCACCCACCCCCACAACATCAACTATTTGTGCATAATTTATTCTTGAAAACAAAACAAAAAATTGATTTGGATTTCTTCAAGTGTTTTTATCTTCTCAATGTAAAATTGATTCAATTTTATAACCAAAAAAAAAAAAAAATGATGATTTCTACAATGGTAATTTTATCCAATGTGGTGATTGTGGTGGTGATATGATAATAATTTATACGCGCCACGTTTATATATATGGCCTCCACACACACACACACACATACAAACACATTACCCACCTAAATTATTTATTTTTTTTTAAATTTTACCATTTGTCTGATTTTTTTTTATTTTCAAAAAAAAAAAAAAAAAATTTTCTTATAGTGTTGTGACGTGGCTGTGTGTGTGTGTAATGTGTGTCTTTTATATGTTGTGTAAATAATTGAAATTTGTAATGATGATGATGACACAGAGATTCAGGCTCACACACCCACATTATCAGTGTGTATGAGACCACTTTATATTTGTTCTGTGATTCATTTTTTTTGTTTTGTTTTAAGCATCAACAATGCATTATACATACACACATACCAGCGTGTGCTATGGATTATCAAATGAGAATGGATTATGATTGATGCCCGAATTAATTATACTCAATACAATACACACACACACACACACACACACGATTTATTTGAATTTTAGATTTGCACCTTTTTTATCGCCCCCATAAATTCACATATAACACACACAGAGAGAGAAATTCAATGATTATAAATTGGCTAATCTTGTGTTTGAATCAAAAATCAAATCATAAAAATAAAAATAAAATTTTTAACACTGAAATAATGATGACGATGATATTTGGTGGTGTGTGTGTGTGTGTTTTTTTTTTATTTTATTGAATTATCGATATTTGGTTGTACGGTTTGGTTTTTTTTTGTTGTTTCATTCATTCAATTATTGTATTGATTTTAATGATTCGAATCTTTGGTGAATCGACTACCACTACTGTCAATTCATGATCATTACGTCCACCAGTGTTTGTAGCAGCAGAAGAACCAATTATTGCTGATGAATTTGGTACACTAAATAAATTAATAATACGTTTTTGGCCACCAATATGAAAACCACGATCCAATTGTTGATTAGCACGTATCAAATGTGTAAGACCATTACGATTTAAATAATCAATATTTTGATTATCATCAGCAGTATTCATTCTAGACACGTTGATCAATATTTCTTTAACTATAGGAAATTGATTTGGATCTTTTAATTCTTTTGGTAAATTATTATTAATATCATCAATCGATGTGGTCGTACGAATGGGCAGATTATTATTAACACATGCAACCGATTCATCGATTATTATAGCCAATGGCATACGATCGAATATATCATTGATCAATTCATAAAGAATATGTCCACTTTTATCACCATATTTTCGATTACATTCTGATTGAAATTTATTTTTCTGCATTTGTCTACATTCATTATGGCCACGTAGTAGAAAAAATTTATTTGGTGTAATAATTTTCAATGCAAACAAATACAATATACATTCGATTCCCATTGAATTAATGCCAATACCATTAACATAATTGCCAAGAAAAACATAATTACTGGGTACAACTGGAACACTTGTCCATAGGGCTCGTTCCATTTTGATTAAATTACCTAAATCACCGATAATATCACCAATAATATATGATGATGAATTTATACGTATCAATTTATCTTCACAATCAAATATTGCACGAACATTTTGACATAGAATGGTTACATAACGAATAAATAGATCATGATTATTATCAGTACCAGCAAAAAATCCCAATGGTTGATGTTGTTGTTGTTGTTGATGATGTCGATCTTTTCGTGATTGTTGTTGTTGTTGTTGTACGGCATTAGCAGCATTAAATTCTCGTAACATATCCAAAAATGTTGGACCAATCGATACAGTTGAGAATACATAATCCTGTGAATATTTATGCATAGTCATTTCATTTTTATCATTATTAACCGTTGGATCATTGCTGATATTCAATTCGTTTGTATCATCGTCTAAAAAAAGAAAAATTTAAATTAAAAAAAATTTCCAGAAAAAACAACTTACGTTCAAGAATATTTCTAGCTTCAATACAACGACCAATCGGATCGAAACGTACACAATGTGAACCAAATTCATAATTACGTTCACGACATGCTAAACAAGGGCCATGACTTTTATCAACAATAACTGATGATGAATGATGATGATGTGATGATTCAACACGACTTTTACGATATGCAGAAATTCTTGTATCATTACGGCGTTGAAAATTATGACAAATATGCACCAATAATGGACTTGATGCACGACACAATGATTCTGTACGTATTGAATCATTTGATACTAAATGAATAAATTGATCAAAATTTATTGGAAAATTTTTCCATGTACCAAGCGATTGTTCATTCCAATTTAAATCACGAAACATTCTGGCCATATCATTTTGATCCAAATGATCACGACGTTCCAGATCATAATAACGAAATATAAAACGTAATCGTTGATTTGTATTTGGACAACCAGGTTCTATTGAAACGATACCAGAGAAAAATTCTTGAAATGTTAGATAACCACAACGATTTGAATTGAATGCCTGAAATAGCTGTAATAGTGTATCACATTCATGAAAATAATCATTAATATAACTACAAAATGACCAATATGTCATATAGAATGATGGAAAACAATGTTCCAAAAAATCGCTATAAATTTTTCCAATATCCATTTTTGATATATGAAACGTATTTGCTAATATTTGATCTATATTTTTATTCTGCTGCTGCTGTTGTTGTTGTTGTTGTTGATTAATCAGATCCTGCAGTCCAATCATAGTAATCAAATTATCAACATTGAAACCAATTTCTGATATTTCTCTTGGTTTATTTGTTTCCACTAAGAATGATACAAACATTGGTACTTCAGGACCCCATAATCCGGATATATTACCGGTGATGGCATCATTCATGTCGATCCATTGTAAATGTTTACTACTTGTACAGCATTTAAATTGTGTTGCTGTATCACCAGGTGGTTGATTAACACTATCCAATGTGACCAATTGTATTAAACGATAAATAAATTTTTTTGTCATCGGTAATTGTATCCGCAATATGTGGACACAATTAATACTTTGTACTGGTATTGTTTTCACTAATCTTGGATCAATTTCTGAATCTTCTTTTGAGAATATTATGGCAATACCTTCGGTAGTGGCCATATTCCATGTTTTATCCGGTTGTAATGCAACAAATGGTAACCAAACAGCATTATTACGTTCATTAAGGCTAAGCATTATTCTTCGATGTAATGGACAATAGAATATATAGGCAATACAATTGTACATATATTCACCAATTGGTGAACCACTTTCTGGTTCTAATTTAGCAATAGTGAATTCTTTTAATTTAGGCAATTGTGTCATATCAAAACCATGAAAATCTACTGATGGTTGTGGTTGTTGTTGCTGCTGATTCTGCTGATGCTGATGCTGCTGCTGCTGTCCAACACCCATACCAATCGATTCAATAGAATTAGTTGAATTTGTTGTACTTCGAGATGATTTCTGTGATGACATCGATGATGATGACAATGATGATGATGATGATGATGATGTCTTTGTTGATGTTGTTGATGATTTCATAATTTTTTTATATTTTTAAATTAATGAAAAAAAAATTGAAAAAAAAAAATAACGTATTTTTGATACAACGAATTTCATCGATATCAATAATTTATAGTCACTATTTATATATTGATTTGAAAAATTATTTTCATTCTTTAACAGAATTATTATCAAATTAATTAGAATTAGAAACAATAAACAGTAACATAATAAAATAATTCATTCATTCATTTGTTATTACCAATCATCATCATCATCATCATCATCATTGTTGTTGTAGCATCATTTAATTGTTCGAATGTTTGAAGATTTTGTTGTGCCGATTGTTGTAGATAATTTTTTCTTTCAATCAATTTTTTTCTACAACAATCACGTTTATTTATTAATCGTACCATTTTATAACGTAATTCATTTTGATGTTCATTTTTTTCATTATAACATTGTCGTAATTCTTTCAATGTGTTTGCACGAATTTTACATTCATCCAAATAAATCTATTATAATCAATCAATCAGTAAATCAGTGATATAATGATAAAAAAAAACAAAATCAATAATTACAATTGTAAATCACCAACAAAAATATTACCTCTTTTTCATTTTTATTCTGTTTCACTTGACAAAGTACAAGCAAAATATTACGAAATGATTGTCCATTTGGTTGTCGTAGAAAAATAAGCCGATATAATTCAAATTCATCATGAACATTTAACGTTTTATTCCGATGTGGTTGCTGATGTATATGATGACGATCATTGTTGTTGTTGTTGTTGTTGTTGTTATGATCACCATTATTCGATGATAATTGATGATGATTATTAGTATTAAATGGACAATAATAACATTTCAATAATATTATCAATCTATTGAATAATTTATATTTATAATCAAAATCAAATTTATTATAATTATTATTATCGTTAATCCAAACATCATCATAATCATCACCATCATCATCATCATCATGATCATCATTAGAATTTAATTCCATTACAATCATATGTAATGTATACAGGACAGTTAAATGATTCGGTTGAATGAAATCATTTGATCGTAACTTAAATTGATGATGAAAATATTTTGATAATAGATTAATTATTCGATAATTTTCATTAACATTATTCATTATTCATTATCATCATCAACAACAACGATTTTATGATGGCCAAAACACAAACAATAAACATTTTCCACATTTATAGTAGCCAGTTATATATTTATTATTTTTTTTTTTTTTTTTTTTCGTCATCCTAGTCAATGTCAATTTTCCTTGATGATGATGATATTTTTTTCGAACGAATTGAAAATGGAAAAAAAACTTAGTCACCAACACACACCACATTCGAATCATTGTTTTGTTTGTTTTCACTTTTCTTTGACCTCGATCGATTGATTTATTTACACTTGAAAGGACTTGAAATTCAATTTATGGCTAGAATTTTGACAGAACAAAAAAAAAGTCTATTAATTGCAAATTAAATGACAAAAAATGTATAACAACAACAACAACAACAAAAAAAAATTCACCATGTAATCAATCAATCACCAAATTTAAATAGACATGAAATTTGAATTGCAGAATTAATTATGGAGATGGATCAACAAATAAGAGAATCAAATTACAATATAATTTTTTTCATCGTTTTTTGTTGAATTTAATGACACAAAAAAATATTCTTCATCGGTTGTTCATCATCATCATCATCATTGTTGTTTTTGAAATTCGTACCATTTTTTTTATCGTTTGTTTAACACAACAATCATCATCATATCATCGAATATTTTTTGTCATGATAATGATATATATCAATAATAATGTTCTCTTTGGAATACCTTTGTTTATCTTGTCGTTTTTATTGTTTCAATTTCAACATTTGGGTCATTCATCATGTGTTGTTTTGGTTGATTCACCTGACTCGAATTTTTGATTCGATCATCATGATGATGATGATGATGATGATTTAAATTATTTTTTTTAGTTTCAAATGAAAAAAAATGATTCATTTCAAATCTAACGATCATCATCATATCATCATCATCAAATTGTGTTGTGTAAAAGAGAAGAAAAAAGTTATCATGGAAACGACAACCATTTCGTTAGGACCGGCTAGGTCGATACAATCGATACCTTTATCATCATCATCATCATCACCATCATCATCGTCATCGTCATCATCATCATCGAAACAATCGATTGGTCAATCATGGTTTTCATCATTTGTCATTATCATTGGCATTGTTTTATTATTATTAGGCTGTGGTTGTGGACCATCATTACAGATTGCATTTGCACCGAAATTGATAACAAGATTTTGTTATAATTCACCAAATTTATCCACTATTAATGTAATATTGTTATGATGATGATGATGATTATGTTTATTTCCAGATTTTTTTTTTTTTTAATTACTAATCATCATTTCAATTTATTTCCATCCACATTTTATATGTATAGAGCCAATGTGTCCTATGTAATTATTATATGTTTGATGCTACGGTAAGTTTTGGTGAAACAAAAACTTTTTTTTCTTTGTAATAATTATTATTGTTTATGTTATCATCAATAGGTTCTTGGATGTACTGGATCGGTTTGTAATCTCGTCATTTAAAATTCTTTTTTGGTGTTTATTTTAAATTTCATTTTTCTCGATACACATACACACACAGACAGCATTAACGATGAATATAACGGCAACGCAGGCATTCTGTGTCATTTCACAATGTTTAGGTGTAAGTTTTTTTTTTTTTTTGAATCACAATTTCTTTTTTATTGAAAATATTTTACAGCAAATAAGACAACAACCAGTATTTTTGGGACGTCGTAAACGAGATAGTAATTCAAATATGATAATGGAACAATTAGCACCAATACAACGTTACAAGGATTCGAATTTGGATATGATCAATCAATCTGCTATATCTACATTACCGGTTGAATATCGTATCGAAAAAGAAGTTGAAGCAGATATTGTACCTGATGATGATATCGATAATGACGATGATGATGACGATGATGGCTACGAAATTTCCGGCAAAGATTTGGATTCGTCAATCTAATTGATCATCATTAATCATCTAACTTGACCCTATTCATCATATATGAATGAATGAAATTATTACAATTAACCTAACTTGTTTTATTTTGAATGATTTATTTTGTTTTTTCTTTTATTTTTTTTTGCAAAAAATGTTGTTGTTTTTTTTTGTTTCCAAAAAGAAAAATTTTTTTTTTATTATTCAATGACAAATATGACATTTCCGCCTGGTTTGTTATTTTATTTTGTTAAAATTTATGAATCAATGAATTCAAAACAACACAACAAACGACAACAACAACAACAACAACAAAAAAACATCCAATCAATTCAAATCCAATCCGGTCCAGTGAATTTATGGGTGGACAAATAGATTCGAATATATATATTCGGATGTATTGTGGTGGTGGTGGTGTAGATTGTGTGTTCGGGTCAGTCGGTTTTTTGTTGTTGTTGTTGTTGTTGTTTGTGAAAATAAAATGAAAAATAAAAATATTTCATGATCATCATTCATTCATTCATTTACTGACTGACTATCATTGAAAATGGTTGATTCAATCAGAATGATGATGATGATGATACGAATGAAGAATATTTTCGTACTTATTACCACTGGTATTTGGTGGTCATCATTATTTTTCATTTCATTCATCAGTCTATTTCAACATTATTCAACCTATCCAATGGTAAGTTTATATATAAGTGAATAGCAAATTCTTTTTATCATTCGATTTCGATGAAAAAATAGCCACAAATGAGAATATGTATACAATCAATTGATCCAACAAGATTACCAAGTCAATGTATCTATTGTAAAAGTCGTACATTTCCAATTACTGTTCGTATGTGTACTGGTAATGTATGTTTTTTTTTTTTGATAATGTGAATGATTGGGTTAACCAATATTTTGTTTTTTTTTCTTGTTATATGAAGTCATATCTTCCGGCACGTATGACATTGAATGAAGCTTCGTGTTTGATAACCACTTGTCGTAAGGTGTGTTATATATATTCTATTTAATGAATGTCCATGATTGATTCGTTTTTGTTTTGTTTGCATAGCAACTTCCAAGATATCCACCGGAACCATATTCATATATACGTCCAATGGCTAATAATAATATTGGTTATAATAATAATAATAATCATAATAACTATAATAGCCATAATAATAATAATGCAATGCATAATGATCCAATTAATGATGACGATGATGATAATGATCATAGTAATGATCATACGAATGGATCGAATGGTATCGATGATGTTGGTGGTAACAATGGTGGCAATGATATAATGGAACATCCATCAACAACAATAATCAATAAGATACGTAAACCAGCGAAATTTTTTCTTGGAAAACCACAAAAAATTCAAACATCAAGTAAGATTTTTTTTCCTTCTTCTCTCTCTCTCTCTCTCTATCAACAAACTCAATTCATATTTTATTTAACATTTTTTTCTTTTGATTAAAAATTGTAAATAGTTCGACCATTTTCATTGTATGGATAATTTTGGAAGAATTTTATCTCCAAAAAATGTTAAATTTCAACGACAAAAAAAAATAAACTTTGTACACTGATTTATTGGTTTCAAAGGATTTTTTTGTTTTGTTTTTTGGGGATTTTTCAACCCATCATCATCATCCAAACTATTATTAATACAACCACTACAACTACCTGCTGCCGCATCATTTCGAAGGAATTCATTTCATATATCATCATCATTCAGCAGCAGTAAGCTAGCCAGCCAGTCAACCATTTGATGGACGTTGACATCTGTGGATGAAATATCAAATGTACGCATGTGTGTAAGAGATTCTTTAAGGAGCCCAAAACAAAACAAAAAAAAACTAGAAATAAAAATTTTCATTTCATCATCAATTGCACCCTGAAAATTTTCTTGTTTCTTTTTTTGGTTGATGATGGAAACGTCACGAATTATGATGATGATGATGATGACGATGCGGTCAAAGGTCTATTTCTCTATCGTTTCTATATATCAAAAAGGAGTGGTTGATAAAAACAAAAAGGTGGAGCCACCACCACAAAAACGAATCGGGCGTCGTAAGGAAAAAAAAGGTCAATCAAACAACCGATAAGCATTCCGACATTTAATAAAGTACAGTATATAACCACTTTATCACAGCATCATAAAGGTTGTGTTTAACATCAGAGAGAGAGAAAGAGAGTTTAGACCGTAAAATGGAAAAAAAAAAAAAATGAATGAATGAATGAATTGATGTGCCATGTGCTTTCACCCCCTCCCACCCTCATATTTCCTGTCATGATACGCTTGCTCGAATCATAAGACCAGTAGTTTGTGTTTAGAGTATACTCCCTCTCTCTCTCTCTCTCTCTCTCTCTCTCTCATCATCATCATCATCATCATTACATGATTACATGAATCGTGCATCGACACTAACATTTGATATACAAAAAAAAAAAAAAAATACCATCTGTATATTGGCGAAAAAAAATAGTGAATGAGTATGGCAATGATGAGGATGAGCTATTATAATAATTTATTATGAGTGAAAATTAACAAACAAACGAATTGAACATGCGCAAAATAAATATCATCTGCCGAATTGAAAAGAAATAAGCAAAGAAGGGGATTGTCACGACGACTATGATGATGATGATCAAGACGACGACGACGACGACAAAACCAAACCAAAAAAAATAAACGGCTGGCTCAATTCATACAAACTTTTAGCATCCTCTATTTTTTTTATTATTATTATTTATTTATACAGAAAAAAATAAACAAATTTTTTTCTCCCAAAATGTAAATGATGGATATATTGGCCTAAAAAAAAGAAGAAAAAAAATCTGCCCATTTGGTTTTGGTTTTGGTTTTTTTTTCTTTCGTCGTGTGTGTGTGTTTGTGTGTGTGTGTGTGTATGTTTGGAACATCAACATTGTGGGTGAACCATATGAAAATTTGTTTTGGTATTGCTGATCATCAGATCATATGTTTGAATGAAAATATAACCAACGATAATATATCAATGAAGGCTGGTATGGCCGATTATTTTTCAAATCTCCATCATCATCATAATCATCATCATTTTTTGCGCCTTATTGTACATCATCATCATCATTGTTTTTAATGATTTTGACGAGAAAAAAAAACAAACGGAAAAATTTCAACGAAAAACACACACACACAAAAGCCTTTTTTTGCCTCACATACACACACACAGTGTTTGTACATTGGGCCTTGATTGATTCGAAAAAACAACAAAAAGGCGAAAGGATTTATGGCTTCATTTGAATGATGATTGTGGGGTATTGTAAAAAAAAAATCCTGAAGTTTTTTTTTCTTCATTTTCCAATGAAAAATGTTTTTCGATAAACTACTACGGAACTATTTCATCGTAATCCATTAATAATTATCCAGAATTATAATCTCTTTTCTCGCGCCCACCATAAAAAAAGGAGAAAGAGAAACAGAGAATAAAACGAAAAACGACAACAATCGATTAATCGAATGTTGACAACAATACAAAACATTTGAATTCGAATACTGCCATAACATTACATTTACACAAATGAAGAAATGAACGAATGAATTCTTTATCATTCTATATTTTCTTCCGTCTACTTATGTTTTACTCATTTTTATTCTTTGTTTTTTTTCCAGAAAAAAAATGAAAAATTCAAATTTAATGAAATTAATCAACAAAATACGTCTGTGCCTCATTTTGATATTATAGGAGTTTTTTTTTAATTTCAAATTTTGAATTTTTTTTTTGTTTTGTTTTGTTTTGCTCACATTCGATCATCATCATATCTTACCACCATTATAACACCGCCACCCGATATATCCTATCCTGATAACCCTTTTTTTTATTTATTACCCTGTACTGCCATGACTACCGGTGGTACAGCTTTGGTTGATCATCATCAAAATAGTAGTCACTATAATAATAATAATAACAATAATAATAATCGGCAGCAACAATCAATTGATACATCATTGATAAATAGTGACCATAATGATATTCAATCTACAACAACAACAACAATTCGATCATCATCATCATCGATGGCCATGGAAACACGGCCATCGATTGAACAACGGTCACAGCCATCAGCAGAATTAATAAATGTAACACGAAAACTTCGTCTACTTAGTCCAGTTGGTGCTGAAGCTGCTGAATATGATTGGCCATTAGTTGTAATGGTATGTGTAATGTGTAATGTGTGTAAAAAAAATTGATTGAATTTTTCATTTTAAACAACAGAATAAATATAATGCTGCCATTGAAATTATTGAAACCATACGTCTAGTGGCCGAAGAATTTCCACCATTGGAAACGGCATTGAAAAATATTCTAGCCGATTATGATACATCTAGTTATGAAAAAATGAAATGTTTTTGTGATCGTTATAATAAAGTGATCAAGGGATCAGTGCAAATGGTTAGTAATATGATGATGATGATGATGATGATCGATTAATTTATTTGATTTCAATTATTTCTATCCAGTGGAAAGGAACATCAATACCAGAACCAGAAAAACGTCCTACAATAGAATTATTATCACATATAATGCAAATGTGTTATAATCATAGTGTTGGTGATCCACAAAAATTGAATAAATTCTATGAACCATTCTCACCCGAAGTTTATGGTGAAACATCATTCCAATTTGTACAACAAATGATTGATGAAATTGGTCTGGATAAAGATGATGTATTTATTGATCTTGGTAGCGGTATTGGTCAAGTTGTATTGCATGTTGCCGCTGCTGTTAATTGTGTTCGTTGTATTGGAATTGAAAAAGCTGATTTGCCAGCTACATATGCTGAGGTAAATGGATTTTTTTTTTTGTTTGGATTTATTTATCCGTTTTTATTTCAATTTAGCAAATGAAAAAACAATTTCAATTCTGGCTCAAATGGTATGGCCGTAAGTGTTCAGATTTTGAATTATTTCGTGGTGATTTTTTCTCCGAAGAATTCAAAGATATGATTTATGGTGCCAAGTAAGTTTTATATATAGAAGACAATCACCAATGATTCTCTAAATTCAAAATGATTTTTTTTTCAATTTAGTTTCATTTTTGTTAATAATTTTGCATTTGGACCCGAAGTTGATCATCGTTTAAAGGGTTATTTTCAAAATCTATTAGATGGATCGCAAATTCTTTCATCAAAAGCATTTTGTTCATTGAATTTTCGTTTTTCACAAAGAAATCTTTCCGATATTGGTGCAATGATGACAGTGAAAGAAATTCTTCCACGTGATCAATCTGTATCATGGACTGGTCGTCCAGTATCATATTATTTACATACAATTGATCGTAAACAATTGGCGATATATTTTGAAAAATCTAAAAATCATCGATTAAAGGTAAGAAAAGTATTGATTTCTTATATCGATCAGTGATGTTCAACCATAGGATAGGATTCACAAATTGAATAAAAAATGATTTATTAAATCATTATCATACAGATTATGATTAGGTTTATTTATCCAATTTATTAGATTATCTTTAGTTTCATATATATCACACAACAGTTAGCTTATCAGTGATTTTAGATTAAACGATAAGATAAATTGACGTAAATGATCCAGAAAGTTTGAATACCACTGTATTCAAAGATACGACTATTTCGACTATGATTGTCTTCCCTCTTCTTTTGGAACATAAACTCTCTCTCTCTCTTTCTTTCTTTCTTTCTTTCATACTGACCGACTCAATTCTTTCTTTCTTTTTTGTCATTGTAAATATTACTATGTATATAGAGCAACAACAATGGCCACAGCAGTAGTAGCACTAGTAACAGCAGCAGTACAAGTAGCCATAATAGAAAATCCAATAGAAATCGTCAACAACAACAACAACAACAGCTATCATCCACAGCATTAACAACAATCACAGCATCTAATCATCAAAATATTATCGTTAATAATAATAACAACAACGGTATCCATCAACAAAATATTGACGATAACGAAGACGATTCAAATCAATCAAATAGTTTGATTAAAGATGAAAACATGATACCAAATAAATGGACAAGAAAAGCATGGTCAGAATATATATCTAGTAATAATAATAATAATTCTGGCCAGAATACTAACAACAATAGTAACAACAGTATTTCAGTGTCAACAACAAATGGACCATCTACGGTGAATTCAACGGTGACTCCGACAACGACAACAACGGAAATTGATGATGATCAAATGTCAAGATCACCGAAATTATCAACATCAGCAACAATAGCTTCGACGGTGATAGCTGCACAAAAGAAACGTACCCGTGGTCGACCTAGAAAAATAAACATTCCTGACAATAAAAATGATGACATTGATGATCATTCCGGTAATGGAGATAATAATGTTGGTATTGATGAAACTAGTCATAATCAATGTGAATTGAGTGGCAATAATAATAATAATATAGTTGATGATGAGGATGATGATGATATTGAAAATGGAATTTCAAATCCACCGGAAGATGATGATGTTGATGAAGACCAATGTAATGATAGCAATAATCGTCGTGGACGTCCAAAGAAAAATTCATCATCCACACAAAAGAAAATCAGTCATAAAACAAAAAGGAAATCATCAATTTTCTCCACTGGACGTTCAAAAAAATCATTCAAAGGTATATCGATGAATAGTTTGGCTGTATTGCATGAACAAACTGTTCTTAGTACAACGGCCATCAATACGAATCTATCAATAAATGTGCCAAATGGAAATAGCCATCATTATCATCAACATAATTCTCGTCGACGATATTCACCACCACCACCCGGTTGTGTGGAACAACGTCTTTGTTCACGATTGGATGAAACAACTGTACAGGTGCCAAATATAACTGTTATCAATAAAGAATTGATTGCAGCAGCTGCAGCTAATGCTAGTTGTGATCTATCATCACCAACGACAGCTCTTCGACAACAGATGACACCACCACCCGACATTGATGATACTTCCACCGCCGCTGGTCGTTTGGATAGTAAAACAGAAATATCTGAACAGATTAAAGAGTTTAATGGCATTCGTCTATGTAGGCCATTAACTTTAAATGAATTACTCTATCTATATGCCAAACAAATTCAAAATTTTAATCTTTATATGCGTAAACCAGAATATCTGGATAGTCTTCGACAATCCATACATACGTATGAGGTAAGCTTTATTTTTTTATGGCTCGAATAAAATCATTTTTTTCTGTCACATTTTTAGAATGAAAACGATAATTCCAATTATCAGATCAATCAAATGAACAAAAAAATTTATGAAGATAAATTCAATTTAAAACGTTACCTTAAAGATCTCAATATTGAATCCAGTCAAGATCTTGTGACACGAATTCATGAGGTTACTGATTGTGTATCACAATTGAAAGTACAGATTGCTGAACTTAAACGTTTGATAGTAACACGTGAAGATGAACTAAATGATCTATGTGCACAAGCTGAACAAATTCAACTGGAACGTCGTCAACAGGAACATCGACGACGACATGAACAGCGGCGATGTTTGGATGAAATATATGAACGTGAACGACAATTACAAAACAAATTGATGATCAAAAACTTCAATTGGAAAGGCAGCAACAACAAATTCTGCAACAACAACAGCTTCAACAGCAACAACAACAACAGAATCCAGAACCATCAATCGTAACAACAGAATCGGCTGATCAGGTGGAATCGCCAAAAATAAGCTACAAAGAAATGAAATATAAAAAATATTTAAAACGTACAAACCGTACAACAACACCCCCACCACAGCCTGCACCTACAGCTGTAATAATGGCTACGGTGGCATCAGAATCGGTACCGATGACACCACCAACTCCAATACCGACACCACCATCGAATAGTAATGATGGTGGTGGTGTTAACGTTGAATCATCAAAATCATCTGATGCAATGAAAATCGATGTTAATCGTATCAATTCGGTCATTATGAAAGGTTTTAATGAAGAAAAAGCTGCTGCAAATGCTGAACAATCAAAATCATCGAATCAAGTGAAGCGACAATCATCGTCATCGACCAATAGTTCAAGTACAAATAATGATTCAAAACAATCGAATAAACGAACTAGGAATAGCAAAAAAGAAACAAAAATCGAAACATTAAAAACGAAAAAAGGTGATCATCGTGATGTAATTATGACGGCTGGATGTTTAACTACGGTTGTTAATCGTAAAAACAGTAACAATAGTAAGGCAAATCATCTAGATTCAAGTTCATATAATTCAGAAACCAATTCTACTTCTAATATATCTACAGTAAATGCTAAAACAGTAGAAACGATTGCCAAATCTAAATCTTCAAATTCAGATGCCGAATCTCAGAAACCATTTCCATTTAAATTGAAAATTAATTGTAAAGAAAGTAAGGTTAAAATTTTGAATGAATCAGAAACGATGAATGATTCATTAACAACATCGACAACAACGACCAATAAACGAAAGTCATCAACAACAGCAACAACCGAATCAACACATTCAACAAGCAAAAATAAAAAGACAAGATCATCAGAATCATCATCCATTCATCAATCAACGGATAACATTGCTAGCCCGGTCGAAATGAAACGGCCATCAGTTGTCATTAAACTTGGTTCAAATGGACAATATTATAGTCAAACAACCTTAATCGATAATAAAGATAATGATGGTCATACGGATGATGGTGATAAAAAACGATCAAAAACGGATGAAAATCAAGATGAAAATTCCGAATTGACAAAAAAATCTATCGAATCTCTTAAGTCGAACAGTACTACTAGTAAAGGAAGTCGTAAAGGTCGTAGTTCAACGGCTAAACATTCTAAACAGCAACAGTCAGTATTAAATAGCCAGGATGTTCAACAACAACAACAACAACAGCAACAAACAACTATTAATTCCGTTACTACTTCTGTTGATAATTCATTGCATCAACCGAATGATCAACAACAGAATCTGTCGATGGCCAATCAACATTATACGAAGCCATCCGTTCCGATACCACCACCATCCACTACAAATGCTGATTTAGCCGTGAATTATGCTCTTAATTTTTTCAACAATATAACCGATGAAATTGGAACTAAAAATTCCTATTTTAATGCAGCTGCAGCTGGATATTTACAAGCGGCTGCAGCTAGTGGTCAACATTTTAATCCCGGTTTTTACAATTCACTTAATCAACATTCTCATCATCAAGGACATAATTCATTTGTAAAAAATAAATCCAATTACAATAATGGTACGGTTGGTGGGAATGTTCGAAATTCAACAACAACAACAACAACAACAGCAGCAGAAACATCATCTTCGAATCATCAACATAAAGATTTTTATGATCATGCAATGCAACAATTTGCCGCAGCTGGTGTAACGAATAAAGAAACGACCGAACAATTTTTACATCAATATGGTTTGATGGGACATCATTCTCATCATCATCATCCTCAATCATCGTCGACGACGGCAAATGGCCATTTTGATTATTCATCATCATTGGCTGCATGTCGTTATCAGAATAATCAGTCATCATCACAACAGCCATCTTCGAATGGAAATGGATTATCATCAATGGGCCATAATAATAATAATAATAATGATCCATATGCCAATAGTTTACATATGACTGGATCATCATTGGATTCATTAATGTCAGCAACGGCAGATACTAATCCGATTCATAATCATCATCATCCAGCCGCTAAAACGACTAAAGATCATAATAGTATGATGAATATATTATAGAATAAGAAAAATCTCATGCTAATCATCTCTTTTATTTATTTTCCAGATAAATCAACCACATTCTATAATCAGAAAATGATATTCTAGAATCTAGATAGACAATGATTTTATCTCAATTAATTAATCACAATTCATAATCATCAATTTATACAAAGTTTATTCCGCTTTGGATTGTTTGAATTTTTATAGCTCCATGTTAGAAAATGTGTATGTGTTCCTCTCATCTCGTTTGTTCCATATGTTTTATATCTGCTATATGTATTCTTTCCGATTCTATCGTTCATTCATTATGTATTCTACATTTTTACATCACAGTTCAAAATTCAACATCATTATCCATGATTTGATCTAGTGTTTTTCATTTCATTCTTCTCAATTTCTTTTTTTTCATTTTCGTTTTTATTTGTTTACATCTACCTCTTATTTTGATGATGATGAAAGTGTGTGTGTGTATTCATTCTCAATCAAATCAATGGATACACACACCATTATGTGTGGAGAGAGCTAAGAATCATGTGGAAAATTACTAAGCTGTAAAAAAAGGATTGTTTTTTTTCTCAATCTCATCATTCTTGTTCTGTAAATGTTTTTTTTTTCAACATTGAATTTTATGAATCAAGATTTTGATAATATAAATCACACTGCCAATAATGACCATGATAAATGTTTAGGAAAATTGATTGTTTTTTTTTGCTTCATCTGATAATGCCAACAGTTGACAAAATTTGTAATTTTGACAAACACAAACACACACACACACAATTCTGGATGTATATTTGTCATCATTTGATTACTTATTTTTTACTTAATTTATTTTTTTTCCTTTTCTCTTTTTGGTGTCTTTTTAATAATTTGGTTATCTCTAAATAAATTTGACATTCTTTTGAATTGGTTTGTTTTCATTATGAAACCAATAGATATGGATAGAAAAATGATGATTTTGACTATTTTTAGCCAACCGGTATATTCATAAAATAATGACCAAATAAATGTTTAGGAAAATTGATTGTTTTTTGCTTCATCTGATAATGCCAACAGTTGACAAAATTTGTAATTTTTAAATTCTGGATGTATATTTGTCATCATTTGATTACTTATTTTTACTTAATTTATTTTTTCCTTTTCTCTTTTTGGTGTCTTTTTAATAATTTGGTTATCTCTAAATAAATTTGACAAATGAAACCAATAGATATGGATGAAAAAATGATTTTGCAACCGGTATATTCAAAATCGAAATCGTCATAATTTAAGCAACACGAAATTAATGATGAAATCAGCAACGAAAAATCATCGTCATAATTTATCCGATAATATGGAATTGATAAAAAATTTGGAAAAAATGATTCGTCTATCGAAATGTTGTCTTAAATGTCAACATGATGAATTGCCATTGAAAATGATTAAATGTGGCCATTTATTCTGTTCAAATTGTCTATCTCATTTATCACAATGTCCATCATGTTTTTGTCATTTTGATCAAACAGATATTAATGATGATGTATTGTTTGAGCAATTAGCGGATAAATGTTTAAAATTGCAAAAAACTTTGTTCACAAATGAAACCCTTGGTAATGATCATCTTGATGATTCTGGTGATATCAATCATAATTTGACTGTAGTTATTGATAATGAAATGAAAATGAAATCAAATACTATAACAACAATGGAAAATCAGCCATTGAAACATGATTGTTGCATTGAAAAAATGTTGCATCATACATTACAAGCGAATATTTGTCCAACTATCAACAATATCATGCAAAAATTGATCGATCCATTGATAGTATCTCATCATTCCGAACAGAAATCATCACCACCATCATTCAAATTGGATGTATCGGTTCAAACTGATCAAATACCGGTAATTATACAATCAACGAAATCCATTCAAACTGATCAAATACCGGTAATTATACAATCAACGAAATCCATTCAAACTGATCCATTGCCGGTAATTATGCAATCATGGAAATCCATTCAAACCGATCCGATGCCAGTAATAATGCAATCAACGAAATCCATTCAAACCGATCCTTTACCGGTAGTTAATTTTTCATCTCAATCCGTACAAACTGATGCTATGCAAACATCGGTTTTTTCATCAAACTCCAAACAAACAGAGGCAATATCAACAAATGAATCATCAATGGTAAAGAGTACGTCTATTAATGTGAAATCTTCTCAAAACGATGAATCACCAGTGAAAATTCCAACATATTTCCAGCCATTGTTGACAAGTACTGATAAAAAAAATAAAAAGAAAAAAAATCTCCCATTTTTATCGAGCAATGAAGATTCTGATTATTCTGTTCCACTGAAACGTTTCTGTACATATTCATCATCATCGTCATCATCATCGTCATCGTCATCAGATACTTATAATCATTTTGTCATACTATGTTCCAACCTTGAACAAATACAAAAACGGCGATTATCTAAAGCTGCCATTTCATTAAATTTTGAATTGGTCAAAGAATGGTCATTGAATGTCACACATCTAGTGGTTGGTTCGGCACCTGGAACGAAAAAATCTGATCTTTTGACAACTAGATCATTCAAATATCTTATGGCATTGACTGCCAATAAATGGATTGTACATTGGGATTGGATCACAGCATCATTGGCAAATGGAAGTTTAGTTGATGCTGAACCGTATGAAATCAAAGGAGTGAAAAATTGTGATAAACTTGGCTGTCCAAATGAATCAAGACGAATGAAAATTGCTTTGTTTGAAAATTGTGCTATACATTTTTCCTCATTGATTAATTCTCCATTAAGTTTGGACGAATTAAAACAAATTGTACAGCTTGGACGAGGTACGATTGTCGATCAATTAGAACAACTCGGTGTAATATTGCTCAAAATGCCTCATCTAAAACCTATTTTAATCCATAATGAACACAAATATGAGAAGGGTGCTGGTCTCAATAATTCTATCTGTTGTTTATCTATTTCAGAATTTTTTGAGATTATTTGTCGATTAAAGTGTTTAAATCAAATATAAATCATTGAATAAAAAATTTTTTTTGAATCGAACGTTTTTTATGAACGCCATCTTGTTGTTGTTGTTTTTATGTGCGATGACATTTCGTTTTTTTTCTTGATTTTTATTGTTATTGTTGTAAAAAATGAAATTTTTTTTTTGAAATAATAAATTAAATCATCATCATCATCATCATCATCATACGTTGTGTTTGAGTTGTTTGTTTACTTTTTCTGTTTTTCTGTTTTGTTCAATTATCATATTTCATTCGTCATCATTGTTCATATGTGGGAATATTCATTAACCTGGTTAATTGTATTGTTTCTAATCAATCTTGTTTCATTATCTATTGCTTGGAATATTTATGGTTCTCGTATCAATGTTCTTATTGATCGTAAAGAAGAAAAGGATTTAATTTTCGGTAATTTATATATTCTGATTGAATAAACATTCATATTTTTTGTTTTGTTTCTAGATCAACTTCGTAAAGAGGCATTGGAATTAAAGCTACCGAAAGAACATACACCAAGAATCTGAATCATGCAGAAAATTAAAGATTTATTTAACAAGAAAAAAGGTGATCTAACATTCAAAAAGGCTGGACCTGGCTATCGTCTCAATGATAATGCATCACAAAGGCCTACTTCATCCACATCATCATCGGGTATGGGACGAATATTAGGTTCAGGTCAATCAATTCAATCGAATGAATCACAACCAAAACGTCATGGTGGTCCAGATGAAAATGTAGCTAAAGCTACATTAGCTCGTCTGGAAACAAGACCAAATTCGACAACAACAACAACCAGTGTAAATAAATCTACACTATACGATATAATGGCCGAAGAGAAACAAAAATTTGAAAAAGAATTAAAAATGAAAGATGATATGGAAGAGAAACGTCGTCTTCAACAACAACAACAACAGGAACAATTGAAACAAATGGAAAATCCTTTCAAAGAATTTGAAGAAGCACAACGATTCACTTGTCAAACTTTGGATATAAATGATTCGATTCCATTCAAAGATATTATCCGACAAATTAAATCATCCATCTATGATAATTTTACTGATGATCCTGTTCTTCGATCAGCTATGATTGTATTCAATTGTAATCGATCTATCGATGATGGTCCTAACAACGGTGGCCGCAATGTTCGATTACAAAATTGTTTGGATATTTTGTTGAAAATTGTATCAAATCTATTGAATGCCGAAAATAATGAACAGCTAGAAAAATTTAAACGTGTACGACGATCTAAAATTGAACAAAAAGTTCTCAGCCTAGATGGTACATTGGATTTTATGTTTGCCATTGGTTTCACCATTGATGATAAAGATTCTGATTGGCTAGTCTACGTAAATGATGATGATGAAGCTGGAAGAAAAGCTAAAATGACCTATCTAAAAGATTTGATTTCCAATCCACAAATCATTCCGATCGAATTGGATAGACAGGTTAAACTGATCGATCAATCGATACCAGTAGATGTTGAATCAGATGATCAAATAACATCGGCTAATATAAAAGAATATCATTCGAATCTTGAACGAACACGTCAAATTGAAGAAATGTTCATCAGTCGAGAAACAAAAGCCAAACTTTTAGTTACGAATCCAAATCTAAGCAATTATCGTTCGATATTTACAAAGCTTCGATTTAAATTTGAGCTAACTGGTGAAATGCAATTAATTGAAGCAGTGTTTTATTCACAAGAAACATTGGCCGATGTAAAAAAATGGTTTCTAGAACAATATGGTAATGTATGTGATGGTCAATCCGTTCAATTCAAACAAGGTCTATCATTATTGACCAATGAAAATGATACATTGGATACATTGAAATTATCACCTGCATCAACATTGTTGGCCGTTGTTGTTCATTAATTTAATAATTGAAAAAAAACAAATACAATAAATGCAATCAAAATAAAATTTTTCATTTTAAAATATATAATAATAACTGTAATTTTGTTTGTTTCGAAATTTAGCATTATCATCGAAAGCGGAAGTTTAGTAAATACCAAACCTAATGCTACAATTGTTGGCATGTCTGTTTTTGTCATCAATTAAATATTAACATATATTGTATATATCCACATTTTTATTCCACATATCATGGTCATCATCATCATCATCATCATCATCATCGATATATCGAAAACTTTTTTCTTTTCACTATTGCCCCATAACTTGATTATGATGATCGATGACGATTGATTGATGCATTCGGTGGTTAATCTCAATATATATTGATATATATATAAATGATAAGCCATTGAAATGCCGAATGATGATTATGATGATGATGATGATGATGATATGGACAGTATGATGATGTATTTGATGTAAATCGAACCTTCAGCTGTATCAATACACGAAAAAGTTTAATTGACGCCTGTCTATATACATATCGTTTTCATTTTATTCGATCAACAATCAATGGATCGATGATATGTCGTGTTTCTTTGTTTTTTCATTTATACGATTGGTGGTGGTGGTGGTGGTGGTCTGATCATCATCATCATCATTCTTTGGATGAAACAAAAAAAAAGTTTCCATACACACACACATGGCATGTGAATGTTTTATGGGTGTATATTATATATGTAAAAAAAAACATTGTCGAGACACAAAGCCAAAAAAAAAAAAAAGTTCAATAACAAGAAAAATATTTATTCACATTTTCAATTTGAATGTTTTACACGCGGGCAAATTCATACATATGATGATGATGATGATGATACAGACATAGATCATCATCACAGACATAGATTTTTAGTCATTCGAATCGAATTGAATCGAATCGAATACATATGGACAGATATGTTACATTAATTATTATTATTATTATTATATCGATAAGTATAAGATTTCGATTATTAAAAGATTCAAATCATGATTATCATTCATTCATTCATTCATTTCATTCATTAATTCGTTTGTTTGGTTTGATTGATCGATGAAATAATCATCATCATCCTCCCCTTGATTGCTTATTATTATTAAATATCAGAATTTTTTTTGTTTTGTTTTGTCTATTTCATTATCATCATCATCATCAACATCGACATCATCAGCGTGTCTCTCTCTCTCTCTCTCTTGTCATCGGGTACGAATCGATTTGAATTCGATTATACAAACCAAATCGAATTGAATCACCATCATCATCATCATCATCATCATCATTTGATTATCAAGGCATTATTATGAATGATGACAGATAAAATTAATTGCCTACAAATTGCCAATATAACACACAGAGGCGCGATTACTTTTTGTTGTTGTTGTTGTTGTTCAATCATCATATGGCCAAAGCTTTCGATTAATGATGTAATATCTCATATATTGCTCAATGATTATATTAGATCGTGAGTCATGGAATTTTTCATTTCATTTTTTTTCTGTTAATCGATAAGGTCAATCTAGATCTATTGATTATTATGTATACAAATTGTAAGAATTAAACGGAGCAAAAGATGATACCATTAGGCAAATCACTGGCTTTAATTACATAATTAACAATTTCATTAATTATCACGAAAACATTTGTCATTGTCATTGTGTGTGTGTGTGTTTGTTTGTTTTCCGAAATCAAATTCACAACTTTTGTCTGATCCATTTGTTCCGTAGTCGTGGTGTGTGTGTGTGTGTGTGTGTTTTCATTCAAGGTTCCAAGAATGATGCCATTTATATAACCGAATAATTTTTATTTTGTCTTTTCTTTTCTTCCCATCTATAATTCAATGATGAATCGTGTTATACCGAAAATGATGATGATGATCTTGTTGTTGTTGTTGTTTTTGTTTCTGGATCATTATTATTATTATCATCATCATCATCATCATCAATGAAAGGATGGGAATCATTTATTCATTCATTTTTTGTTTTCCATTGTTATTATTGTATATTAGATATACAACTGATAAGTTCGAACTTGAAACAATTATATTTAGTTTTCCAATGATTTTTGAAGGTTTGGTCGTGTGTGTGTGTGTGTGAAAAAAAAAAAAAATCGACCGATGATGTTGAATTTCGCCCAAAAATTCAAGTCAAGTTGGATCAGATCGAATTGTTTCTATGGTTTTCGTTGTTGGAAATTTTAATGATGATGAAACCAAAAAGGATTAATATACTCACTGTGGTGTGTGTGTGTGTGTGTGTGTAACATCATCTTCATTTTGTCATCATTATAATAAAAATAAACACATGACATCAATTTGGCCATCAAATTCTCCTATTTTTATTATTATTATTCATTAGTTGTTCTGATCTCAGTATTATATTCATATATGTGTGTGTGACACTTTAAAAAATAAAAATGACCAAGGTCATTATCGTTATATACATACCAATCTTTTGTTTTTGATTCATTCATTCATTCATTCATGAATCCATTTGATGAAGATGATGAAGATCATCATCATCATCATCATCTTTATTGTCAACAATCATCATCATCATTGTAAAATATCTTAATTTCAATTGTATCCCATTATCATTCAACACATCATCATAATATAATATATATGAAAAAAAAATTGTAGGTGGCCACTATAGTGGAAGTGTTGCGTATTTTTTTTTTTTTTTTTTTTAAAATTTTCAATATATCACTTCTTTTTTTCATCATCATCATCATCATCATGATGAATCCATGTGGTCAAAGAAAAAAAATCCTTTTTGTTTTCATTCATCTCTCTCTTTTTATTTATGATTATAATCATATTATATTCATATATATATGAAAAGTTTTTCTTTTCGTTTATTTGTTTGTTCAGTATCAATGAATTGTATATACTTGAACAACAACAACAAAAAAAAGAATGGATTTGATCATATATATGATATAATCATCATTCGGATATATAAGTGTGTGTTGTGTGTGACTTTGTTCTATATATAGTTTTTTCCATTGTTGTCGTTTCAGTTGTTGTTGTTGTTTCGTTTCGTTTTAAATCCGAAATACAACAAAACAATTCACATGAATGAAATATATGAACAATAATATATGAATGATCATGATGATTATAGGTAGCTAGTGTGAATCAGTTCATTTTCATCTAAAATCTTCAATGCTGTAATAATCATCATCATTATTATTATTGCTTCTGCTTTTTTAATTATTTCGATCAAATTGAAAGACCTTGATTAGAAAATAATTGTAGCACATTTCATTTCATTTAGTTTGTTCGTGTGTGTGTGTGTGCATGTTCAACACAGGTTATCGGATGTTTGCACCATGCATGATGTGGTGTGTGTGTGGTGTGGTGAGTTGATTTTGATCCTGGCAGTCTATTAGAAGTATAATAATAATTACTGGTGAATAATAATAACAATAAACGGATTAAAATTGGATGGATTAATGATGTTGATGCTGATGATGATGAAAAAATTTTTTTCGTTTTTCGCTTTTCATTTTTTTTGTTCCATAATTTGGCCTATAAATGTGCACTTACTTTTGATCATTGGCTGCTGATGAATCACTTTATTTTGTTTTCAGTTATCAAAATTAAGGATCGTTCAATTCACAATCAATTCACACAAACAGATCCAGTTCATTTTCAATAAGTTCAGCTGTGTGTGTGTGTGTGTGTAGTGTGATAAATGTCGGAAGTTATCGATTTGCACTAAAGATTTATAATTCATTAATCCCGATACACATTGTATATATATTTAGCCTCGGGTTGTTGTTGTTTACAAAAAAATTTTTTTCTTTATTGAAAACAACAAAAACAATTATTTTTCCATCTATAATTTCGAATAATAATCGAAAAAAAAATGAAATGAAATGGAAAAATCAAGATTACGATTATAGAGATATGTGTAAATGAAAAGCAAAATTTTTAAAAAAACAATGTACTTACATGTGTGAAAATAAAAATTAAATCCATTTTTGGATCATTTAAAGTTCAAAGTTAAAAGCCGAAGAAAAAAAAATAAATCAATCCAAGTTCAAGTTCTTAAGTTGTAGAATTTTCAATGCAATTAGATTTGAATTATATCGGCTTCGTTTTTGTTTACATTAACTTTAATCTATATATTTTCATCATCATCATCATCATCATTATTATGGTGGAAAAAAAAGTCGAGATGATTTTTGTTGATGATCCATCCATCCATCCATCCATTCATCCATTAATTCATTCATTCATTAATGATTGATGTCTTTTTTGTTTTGTTTTGTTGGCGATATAATTTTCATTCAAACATTTGTTTTCAGCTCAGCCAGGTGTTATTCAAATAGAAAAAAACGGGAGATTCATAATGGCCATCATCATCATCATCGTCATCATCATCATAATCATTGACATAATGTCCACTTATGAAAAGCAGATTGAAAATGGATTGTATATGATGAATAATGGATAATGGATTCATTACATTATTGAAATAAAAAAAAAACACATTTTCTTGATGTATTGAATTGAATTGAATTGAATTTTGAAATCAAAATTCAAATTGAATTACTGGAAAAAAAAGAGAAAAATATAATGGTAAAATGATCACTTGTTGTTGAAATTCATATATATAGTGTATATTTACCGAAAAAAAACCTGCGGATAAATCACGAGTTATCATCATCATCATCATCATCATCATCATCATCATCATCATCATCGTTGTCGGTCAATGGAGAAAAAATGGTTCCGTATTTAAAAAAAAATTGGCATTCATAACATATGCATTGCATTTTTGTTCTTTCTATTTCTTAAGGAATACAAATCACATTTTAAATGTGATTAATCGGTAAGTGATGATAATTTTTCAATTTTTCTCATTATCATCACATGGCTTAATATTTGATTATGATTGGTGTTTGAATTTGTTGCTTTTTTTTCGCCGTCTTCATGAAAAAAAAACCGAAACCAAGAAAAAAATGAAATGAAATGAAATGAAATTTCTTTGAATGAAAAAAAAGGTTTTTTTGTTCAATTTGGTCGTGATATCCGGACAAATTATCATGTTTGTTTGTTTTTCTGTTTTCTTTTTTTTCTATGATAACAATTTTCACTGACTTTCAATGATCACATTGAAGAATGATGGCAAAAAAAACATTTTCAGATGAGAATCGACAATGGAAAACATTTTTTTCTTCTTCTTGTGATTTTTCATTTTTATTCTTGTTTAACACTTTAGCGATAAATTCCATCATCATCATCAACATTTGACCTAAACGTTTTGTTTAGCGAAATGATGATGATGATGATGATTGACATGATTGAAATTGGTGATTCACATTCACATACGTAAATGTCAATGCGCAAAAGAAAAATAAAAAAAAATTATCAAAAAAAATTTCTTCATTTTCTAGTGAAAAAAAACAAAATTTCTGACCTTTAATTTTTTTTTTGACAGCCTTATAAGGGGTTATTAATCAAACGTCATCATAGTGATGTGATGATGATGATGGTCAATCAAATATCATGATTTTTCTGTTGTTGTTGTTGACATTCAAATCAACCAAATGGCCTTTATTATTTCAAAACTTTGCTACCGTTGATGATTGATGAACCAAAACAGATGCACCAATCGTTTTTTGTTTTGTTTTGATGATCAAGTTCATCATCCATCACATATTTCAATCAAAGTGGATTAATCTTTGGATGATGAGATTAATTATTGATTTTTTTTTGTTTCGAATAATCTATTCCATTGTTGTGTGTGTGTGTGTGTATATATTACCCAGTAGCCAGGATAGATCATCTGTTTTGTTTTTAATCATCAATCTGATCGTGATCAAATGACTGAATTTGATATGATAAATCATCATCATTTTTTTCATAAAATGAAATGGATATCATATCATTATCATCGGATCATATGGATGGTGGTCCATACACAACAACAACAAAAAAATGTCAAGATCAAAAATGAACGGGGCTATAAATACAAAAAAAAAAAAAAAAAAAAAGAAAATGAAAACAAAAAAAAATCAAAAATCATCACGTTGATTGTTCAATAAAAATTGACATGTTTTTCTTTCAATAAATGGACAGCTTGAAAACTTTGGCTTACCTGTGTGTTTGATCATTTGAAACAATTGTCTTCATCAAGTTGGTTTAGCTTTTTTTGTTTCTTCGTTACCATAAGTGATGATATGATATATCCATTCAGTGAAAAAAAATGGAAAAACAAACAAACAAAAAAAAAAAAATAAACGAATGGATTACTGTTGTGTTGAAACATCATCATTGTTCCAAATTTAAATTTATTTTTTTTTTCAAACAAACAAAAAAAAAGAAATTTAAATCCTTAACCACACACATATAGAGATAGGATTAAACAAGATTTTAATTGGCCACGAATATGAATGAATGATTCGGAATTTGGTAAATTCGAATGAATGAATCATGTCATCGACTATTGTGACTTATTGTTTATATCACTCATTTTGTTTTTTTTTTTAGGGGAATTCTTCATTTGAAGGTCATTGTGGGCTGTTTAAATTTTTCAAAGATAAATTCATTTATTGTTTTTCTTTAATAGAACAACAAAAAAAAAATTCAACACATGTTCTGAAGTCTTCATTTAAAGTTTAAATTTTGATTTTTTTTTTCATCGTCTGTCATCGTCTGTTGTTGTTGTTGTTGTTGTTGTTGAGATTCAAAAATTGATCGCTTGATCGATCGATTGATGGTGGCAAAGAAGTAGAAAAAAAAATAAAAATACAATCTGTCAATCCTGCCGCAAAAAAAAGGTCGTTATTGTCTTATTGAATCATCATCATCATCATATTTGTTGTTGTTGAAACGATCACATCAATTTATTTGGTCGCTGCCGGTGTGTGTGTGTGTTTAATGTTGAAGAATTGATTCTGTCATATTTTTTTCATACTGACTATATTTCTATTTCCACACAAATGTGTGTTCATTATCGAAAGAAAAATAAAACCACATGTGAATCATTATTTTTTCAAAAAAAAAAAAAAATCTTAAGGAATTTCGTCACCATTCAAAAATTGAATTGAAAAAGTGGAATTTTTTTTTTTAGATTGAAATCTCAATTATGATGATGATGACAAAGTTTTTTTATTTTTAAATTTTATTTTCGAAAGTAAATTGTCAATCAATCAATCAATCAAAAACACACACACACACACACAATCAAATTGTGATTGGACTAGATGAGTAGATATAGTGTGACCAAATTCGAACATTATTGTGTGGCATATTGATCATTTTGATGATAATGATTTTTATTTGATTTGTTCATCATCATCATCATTTCATCGCTTAGACAGAAAGAGATTTTTTTTTTTGGTATTTGCTTAACCTTTGATTATTATTGGCCATCAATTATTTCAAATTGACTGTATGTGTGTGTGTGTGTGTGTTTTACTTTATTGAAACATCTATATTGATCGAACGATTATTTGTTCATTTCTAATTTTCATTGTTCAATCACACACACACACACACACACACACACACAGGAACATCTTTTTCAAAATATTCAATGTCATCAAATGAAATGATTATTATTATTATTTGATTTCAATAGATCGATCAAATTGAACATTGGAATCATATGTATCATCGCACTATTAAATTTTTTTTCTTTTTTACATCATCATTCAATGATGATAATCGTAATCCAAATGGAACGAATTCAATGATTCTGTAAGTGTTTTATTTTGTTGAATTTCTTTAAAAAAACTGAAACTAAAATAAATTCTTTTTTTTTGTTTTCAGCCAAAAAAAACATGATGAAACGATTTTTTTGTTTTTGTTTTCGTTTTATTTTTGAAGGATGTTATCCATTCATCCATCCATATGATGATGATGATTATGATTATGGTCGTGCGTGACATCATCCGTGTTGTGATATATCGATCATGTTCGAATTATAAATTTTTTTCTTGTTTGATTATGATGATGATGAACAGAAAAGAAACATGATTAGAATACAATGGCTGTATTTGTGTGGACCAAATAGCGTCAAATCCTTGATTGAATGACCGAATGAAATAACAACAAAACAACAACAACAACAACAAAAAATGAAAATCGGTTCAAAGATTAAGTCATCGAATAAAAGAAAAAAAAACGTTTACATTGAAAAAATATTTGAGGAAACAACAACAATCGATCGTGATTGATTTTTTTTATTATACTTTTTTTTGCTTAAATTTAAATTTGATCTTGGTCTATGACAAACAAACAAAATAACCGAATCTTTGATTTTGTTTTTTACTTTTTGACAGAACTTTTAAGCAACAACAACAAAACTTTTTTTTCGAAATTCATTTCGGATGATCTGTTTGGCACGACGAAGATGATGATGACGGCGACGACGACGACGAAAATTTGTCCATCAATCGAAGATGGTTAAATAATTTATTCAAATCTTTGTCATTGGTGATGGTGGTTCTCAACTAATCTCTGGTTAGTAGTGATTTTCTTTTTTTTCTGTTACAAATTCAAAAATATTAACGTGATCTACTTATATAGTGGTATATATGCTAAATCCTGAATCCTGAAATGAAATTCCCAATGATCAAAAGGATTGTCACCCATTGTGTAAAAAAAAATCCCTGTTGAATATTTAATCAATTCCTTTTTGGCCACACATCAGAATCAAGATCACAAATGACATATGAATAAAATTATTTGTCAAACAACAATGATCCAACAAAAAAAATTTTCAACAAAGAGCATGTAAAATCAAAAAAAAAAAAGAAGAAAAATTGGAACGAAAACGCTGATAAACTTAACGAGTGACTAAAAAAAAATGGGATGTTCATCCACAACAATAATAATAATGAAAAATACATGCACAGGGGGCCAGTTCCAATAGCCATCTTGGAACAGCAGTAATACAACAACAGCTAAAACAACTGTCTATCTGGTCTTGTAACAACAACAAGCCTTACTCACTTTGATTTGAGTGACTGGCCAACAACTTGTTACACACACATACACACCAAGCTGTTTGTCTCTATATGATTATGATCATCATCATCTTCACATCTTCGACGATCATATATAAATAATGGTTTCAACTATTGAATGGACCAAAAAGAAAATAATCATTATTTTGGATCAAAAGTGTTCTTCTGAAAAGAAAAATCATTCAAATAAGTGAAAAAAAATCAACAACAAACATCGACATACGAAATTTTTTTTATTATTTGTCTTTTGTGTTTATTTATAAGTGTTCATCATATCCGTAACGTCCCGTATATTCATATTTATTCGGTTTGCTGTGTCCATCCACCCATCTACCATCATTCTGGTTTCTTCTTCTTTTTTTTTGTCGAATCAAAACTTGAATGAATTAATCTACTAATTGATTAATTAAAGTTCCGGTTTTTTCTTCTTCCTGGTTAACCCATCAAACGAATTAGTTCAAGCCATAAAAAAATGGGCGGAAATCATCTACTGTTATTAGGTAAGTCTATCAAATGTCTGACGAAAAAAAAAATTGATTATCATATCCTGTCTGATTGCTTGTTATGTTGAATGAATGGTGATTTTTTTCATTTCCAAATACATTCATCATCATCATCGACAACAACAATAATGATAATAATCACAGAATGATGATTAAAAACGATGATGATGATTATATATCATCAGACATATAAATAGCAAAGCAATAAAAAAAAACATTAAGTACAACAGTAGGTCCTGTCGTTTATTGACTGATGATAATAATGTTGAAAATATTAGTTCTACTTTTAGATTTTTTTTCATTTTCATTTTTTTTGAAAAGCTAGCCAGATTTCAAATTTGCAAACTACTCTTATTTATTATTCATCAAAATTTTTAAGGAGCTTATAATTGTTTTTTTTTCTTGTTCCTGTCTTTCCATGTTAACACACACACACACACACACTCGCTGTCTACAAGTCAATTTATTCATTCATTCATTAAAAAAAAATATTGATTCATCATCCTTTTTTTATATATTTTATATATAATAAGTTTAGTTTTTTTCCGGAATGTTTGAAAAAAAATAATAACATTACCACCAGCCACATACGCAAACGCAAAATCTCTAAATGATTGATTGTTTCATTCATTAATTTTACATTGATATTTTTTTTTGATTCAATATATTTCATTTTTGTTTTGTTTTTTTTTTTTTGTTGTCTGATTGATCCTACTTATTTTTTTTAGCCATTTTGCTGCCAGCAATAGTAACGAGCTTAGCCCCTCAAACACCATCATCATCATCATCATCAGGTGTTCGATTGAATCGAATCTTATTACGACGTACATCACGTACAGCCATACCGATGCGTATTAGTTCATCACCTCGACAAAGATTCTCTCGATATATACAAGAACAACAACAACAACAACAATTGGAATCACCGCAGGATGTTCAACAACAACCGCAACAACAACAAGATGATGATAATGATATTGATTCAGAATTGGAATTCCTTATGAATGCATTTCAGCAGCAGCAACAACAACAACAACAGGAACAACAGCAAGAGCAACAACAACAAGAACAGCAACCAATATCTATGATGATGAATGGCAATGGCGGTGGTGGTGGATCAGTTCCGGCTTCTGCTATGTATACAACACTTCCATATGGTGGTTATTCACCTGCTGCTGGGTCAGCTTCGCCAACTTCAACGCCTCGAACCGTACAACAGAAAGGTAAATGGATAAAATTGATTATGCAAACAAAAAATCCTATAAAATTTGATTATTTTAGAAGAGGATATACCACGTCGTTCACAACCGGCTGGATTGGCTGCCGCTGGTGTTGAAATAGATTTATCACAAAAATTCATGCCACAAATGCGTGAAGTTGATCAATCATATGGTGCTGGTAATGGTGGTCAACAAAATGGTGCTTCAATGGGATATAGCACAAGAGGTTATAAAAATGGTGGAGGTAATGGTGGCAGCAGCCATGATGATTATGATATGGGTTTTGATAACAGTATCGATATGATGGATATGATGAAAAATTCGATCCGTGGTGAACCGGGTAAAGATTATCCTATTCTAGCAGATATTCCTATTACACGATTCAAATGTTCGGATCATGAATCGCCAGGTTATTATGCTGATGTTGAAACACAATGTCAAGTTTTTCACATCTGTCAAGCGGATGGCCGTCATAATTCATTCCTTTGTCCAAATGGTACCATTTTTTCACAACGTCATTTTGTATGCGTTTGGTGGTATGAATTTGATTGTATGGATTCAGCGGCTTATTTTGGATTGAATGCTGAATTGTATAAAGAAGTTGAAGCAATCGTAGAATCAATGCCAAGCGGCCCAGCTAATGGAGGTGGATTTGCAGCTGGTAGTGCTGGACCAATCACCGGTGGTAGTGTACCAAGTTATGGTAATGGTGGTGTTACTCAATCCCCGAAACAATCTATGTATCAGCAACAACAAATGGCTGATGATTTTACCGTTGAAATGGGTCCAATGACAACAACATCTCCAATGTATTATTCTGGTAATGGTCAACGATCAAAACCATCAGCTATTCAAAACTATGGATATAGCAATGGCAAAAATGGTAACGGAAATGGCCAACGACCAAAACTAACCTCAAGATATGAACCATCATATGGTAGTGGTGGTAGCTCACCAATGTCTGTGACACCTAGTCCAATCGGTCAAGAAACCTATGAAACAACGCCTTACAATTTGGATGCTGCATTAGGCGAAGAAATTCATTCGGAAACACCATTAATCGAATCATTACCATTGACAACTATATTACCACATGTGGAAAAAGTCGTAGATATGGCCATTGCTAGCCGAAAAACAGCTTCAACTAAATCAGCATATTATGGTTCAAATAATGGTTTCGGAGGTAAAAAGTAAGTAGTCGACTATTTCGAATGACAATTTAACATCCAATTTAATTTGGATTTGATTTTTTTCGTCTAGATTAAATGGTGGTTCGAGACCATCATATGGTAGTATAAAAGGTGGTAGCAATAATGGTAAATCGAATAATGGCGGTGGTAGTGTACCATCAACATATGGAATGGCAAATGGAAGTTCATCACCATCGACATCATCATCACCATCACCACCATTATCACCAGCATCAACGGTAGCAGCACGAAAGAATGGTGGATTTAAACCACAACAACAATATCAACCATCATATGGAACAAAAATTTAAAATCAAAAAAAAAAAAAATATTTTATTTGATTTGATTAAATGGTAATGGGTGGATGGATTACAATGTTTTTGTTGTGTTTTTTTTTCAATTATCAAATTTTCTCATTATTTTTTCTGTTTTGTTTTCTTTAAATCGTATTCACTTTTATATTTCGCCCACCCCACAATGTATGTATTGGGGGTAGCCACCATCAATTATTGAATATCATGTGTATAAATTATGATTGATGAATGAATAATGAACTTGTTTTTGACATTCAATGTTTTTGTTTTGTTTTGTTTCGTTTCATTCATTTTTTTACTCTTCAACCCCAGTTTTTTCTATTTCTCTCAAATTTTTTTTTCATTCAAATAATAACATTGATAATGATCGTAAGCTTATCTTTTATTTTTTTTTTTTTTTTGATCCACAAGTTTCATCGATTTGGTATATATTCATCAAGTGGGTTGATGGGTGTGTGCGTTTGAATGTAATGAAATTGGCTTTATTGACATTATTTGAAAAAAATGATGCTGAATAATAAATTTGAAATTGATATCGATCGATCGATCAATCAATCAATCAATCAATATATTGATCAAGATTTGGTTCGTTGAATGAATTTTTTTTATTGCTGTTGCTGCTGCTGCTGCTGCACCTTCATGTTCTTCTAATCATCATGTTGATATAGCCGCAATTTTTTCATCATATTCGATGCATAAAAAGGATTAATGTGGATGGATAAAAAACCAAGAAATCGAGAAAATTGGAGAACTTTTTTTTTTTTTTTTTTCATATATGCAAATTGATTGGCATCAAACCTCAAATCAAATCATTAACACCTTGTAAAAGTGATGAGTGATGATGGTTTAGTGTTTTGTTTTCATTTTTGTGTTGTTTTTTCTTTTAAAAAAACATTTTCGCCCACATGTCTATCATTTTTATCGTAATTCACATTCGCACACACAATATTTCCAGAAAATATTATTTCCGGTTGTCATTTTCATGGTAATCATTTTGATTATCATGATAATATCGGCTGCATCTGAATAGTCATTCATTTTATAAACAAGACCAAAATTGAACTCGTGAAACCTTGAGTGAACTGAACATTTATTTTTACGATCATCATTTAAATGAAAATTAAAAACCAGTAAGTTGATAATTCAATGAGTATAGATGATATTAATCATCTATAGTCACTATCTAATGTCTAATAACAACATTCGATTATTATATATCATTCTTATAATGGCTACATATCGAATTTCAATATTTTTTTTTCTTTGTTCAAACAAAACAAACAATAAATATATAGATGCTCTTTCAACAAGATGAAAATTCAATTCAATTCAATTTGAGTATTTTGATTATAATCATGTGATTATAATTTCAATTGAAAATTTTACGCAATTTCGATGAACAACTATGCAAACGTTCAATTTGATTGGAAATTTTTCCAACCAATCGATCCATTTTTTCAACCGAATCAATAACATGTACCCGATCTGTATATGGATCATATGATACTTCAAAACGACGTGGTAATTTATCGGCTACATATTTTCGAAATTTTTCTTTTGCATCATCAAAACTTTCGGCTACAAAATAGATTTCCTGATAGTCCAGATCCTGATATGGTTGTATGGCCGTTTTTTCCGGATCAAATTCTCGTAATTCTGGTTTGTTCGACAATGAATGTTTTAGTTCACCAAATGATGATAATAATCCGGCTCCGTATGCACGTATCTGGCCATTCTCACGACAAAGACCAAATTCAACGGTAAACCAGTATAGCTAAATTGAAAAAATTAAAATTAACAACAATTTCAAATTTAAACTATTTATATATGAAAAAAATACAGTGGCCAATTTTTCCAGATCTTCATCGCTTGCACCAAGTGAAGCTAATCCTATTTCTTGTGAAAAATCGGCAAAACTTTCATCAGCCAATATTGGTATATGGCCCAATAATTCATGAACACAATCTGGTTCAGGTGAATGATCAGGTTCACTTGGATGGCGCATATATTGTGTTGTTTGAAATACACGATAAGCAAGACTGGCAAGAAAATCACGTGCAGTCAATAGGCCAGCCGCTGGTCTTATTGTAAATCCAGTTCGTTCTATATTGATAATCAAAAATTATATCAAACAACAACAACAACAATGATTGAATATATTGATCAAGAAAGACATACTTTTAAGAAAACGTGAAACATCTTCCAATTGTGGTATATTATCCGGTGCATAGCCACATTCTTGTTCCAATAGTTTAAACACTTCAATGTGTTTACTACATGCATGTGTAGGAAATAATCGTAGCAATTCTTTGTATACAATGCCCCAGGTTTTAATTTCTTCTTCTGTATATTTAACTCTAGGTATTGGATTACCACTTGAAATGGAGAAAAAAGAAATTTCATTAGAAAAAATCATCACAAACCGACATTTGAATTTCAATTTACTATCGATAATCAAATGCAATGTTTGCAATCTCTAAACGACGTGCACGATAAATTGCATCGGAAAATCCTGGATGATCACTATCTAATTCTGGTTCATATTTGGTCATAATATGTGTACAGAAATCCAGATCGCTTATATGACGTGGAAACCATGGATCTTTTACTGATATAAGTTTTTCACGCAACAATGATACTTCACCAAGTCCAGCTTGACGTGCTGATTTCATAAATGTCAACAGATTTGCCGGTGTAATCATGACCGACATGAATATATCGAAACATTTTCGATCTTTTTCATTCTGTCGACTTTCCAAATGTTCAATTGTGGCCTGTGTTGCCTGCATCAATCGTAATATTCTTGGCAAATTATCCAGACCATTATTGGCCGGCAATGCAATCATTAGATTTTTTCTTTTCAACATATCATCCGTTTTCTGTTCGCCATCTTTTTGTCGTGTTTCTTCCGCTACAATAACCTCCTCTTCGGAAAGATCAAAATCCTGTGATGCACTACGACTTTCTTCGATCCATGAACGTACGGCTTCACGATTTTTTTGTGTCTCAAATTTAGCATCATCAACTAATGATCTTCGACGTGATGGATAGCCATGCTATTTTTGTTTGAATGGATAACAAAGAACAAAACAAAAGGTCAGCGAAACAACGACAAAAAAAATCATATAATCATTTACATTCAATCAATCCATTGATTAATTAATTAATTGGCAATTATAACTGTCACCAACAGAAAAATGAACAACGGAAGTAATTTATTGTTGTTTGTTTTGTTCAAAAAAAAAATTGAATCAAATGATGTGTGTGTGTGTGTGTGCTGTCCAATTATCATCAATGTGTAATTATAATCAGAAAATCAGATTCAGAACTTTCGAATAATTACAGCAACTCACACACACACACACACACCCATATCCACTTTTTATATCCATCCATTCTTTTTTTTTTTTTGTTGAAATGTGTATAACATTCAACACACACACAATGTGGATGACAATGAAAAAAAAGATTTTCATTCTGATTATGTGTGTTCGTCGTCGTCGTCGTCGTTAGTTAGTTAGCCATATTTTTTTCCGATGATTGATATATTCATTACAATGAAAAGATTCATGAATAGAATTTTGTGTGGATGAAATAAAAAATTGAATAGAGTGGAAAAAAATGATAATGGCGGATTTCCGTTGCCACCATTTTGGATGCCAACAGTAAGTCATTTTTCCATTATATGTTGTTTAATAACTTTTGACTTTTTTTTCTCTCTCTCTCTCTCTCTTTAGTTGGCCAATAAAGTGATGGAATTTGTGTGTCAAAATTAATCCTATTATTATTATTCATTATCATTATGATATTCACTATAATCACATGTGATTGAGATTGATTCAAATCAATTTAAATATATTGTCAATATTGATAATCATGGATGAATGAATGAATGAATGAAAAATTTTATTGAAAATTATTTCTCAATCAATTTTTCTCTTCGGCTTTGGCAATGATCGGATGGGTATTATTATTCATAATAATCATCATCATAATCATAATAAATAGAGAGAATAGAAAGAAAGAGAGACTTACCTCAACACTATAGCTACGTATGGCAAATTTTTTCTCCAATCGATTTGCCGATGCTAATGATGCCATTATTTTGAAACCGGTAGCTGACATACGCAAAATATCAAAACTTTAACTATGAATCAATGAATGAATGAATGAATGGTGGCAACACTTTTTCAAATTTCCAGAACTGATCTGATCTGATGTCTAAACATTGAATGAATCGGTATCCGGAATTGGATGGACCATTTTATTATCGAAAATTTTTTTCTCCGTTCAATGGCGCAAAATCCAAATGAATTCTTTTTCATTTTCATTTTCTGAACAAAGTGGGTGTTTTATTTTGTTGTTCGAAATAAGGAACAATTGTCAACAATTGAATTACAATCAATATAATGTACAGTGGATAGGCCATGGTATGGGAAAAAAAAATCAATTCAATTTCAATCAAAATCAAAATTTTTCATATACTGTGTATGATGGCTTCAAATCGATTCGGTATCGGTTATCAAATTATTCGTGTTTCATTACTCATATTTTTAATATTGATGATCATATTGAATATTGTAGGACTATTTCGATCATCAGATATTTCACATATTATCTGGACAATAATATCATTTATATCGATAATTTTTGGCCTAATTGGTGCTATAAAACAACATTTTCTTTATTCATTAATATTTACAATTATAACCATAATATTGTCTTCAATGTCTGTATGGATAAGTTTATTCTATGGTTCTGCCGGTGCTGCCATTTTATTGGTAGTGATTTCATTAATCTATACATTTATGTTATATGATTCTGGTAATCGTCAAATGACAATGGCATTCAAATGATTATTGATTATTACCGATTTTTCTATAGAACAAAAATAAAATCAAATTAACAAAAAAAAAACATTTTTAAAAATTTTTTCATATATTAAATTAAAATTCCCAACACTTATGTGTTTGCAAAAACTGTATAAATTTTAGCTCAAATCATCATTTTATATATTTGAAATACTTTTACGAATTCTATAATAAATATTAAACACTGATGGGTTTATTCGGTGGTGGTGGCAATAAATACGGAATATTCTATACAATTGTTCGTGTTGTATTAGGCATATTGATTGGTGTTATATTGATTATGGTCACATTATCGGTCATCAATCATGGTCTTGGTTCATATAGTCTATCCGGTTATGTGTGGTTGGCCATTTCATTTGTTTCGCTTATAATTGGTTTACTTGGTAATGGATGATAATAATAAATAATATTTTTTTTACATAATAAAAATTATTTGTTTATCCAGGTACATGGCGTGAACATTTTTTTGCCGTATTCCTATTATGTGTCGGTTCGATTACATTGGTTTGTCTTTCATATTATGAACGTATTAATATGGGTATGTGTGACAAAATTTTTTTGAAAAAATTCCAATCATAACCGACAATTTGATTGATTAATAAAAATACAAACAAAACAATTATGATTATCTTTTGATGTGATGTTTTTTTTTTTTTTTTAAATAGGTATATGGTCAGGCAATTTTGCAACTGGTCAAGGTATGATAATGGCTATGATTGCATTGTCGGCCCTGTATTCATTTATGCTTTACAATACTGGCCATCAAGAAATGGGTTTACCAGAATTTTGATTCAAATATTGAGAAAAAAAAATTTTTTTTCGCTGATCCAAAGACAATAATAATTGTATTTTTTTAAAAGAAATGATGAATTTTATCTATTAAATTTTAATTTTTTATTTTAAATCATCATATTTGTGAGTTTACACTCTGCAAAATAGTACTTGTATTGTATAAACAAATTACAAGAACGCCCGCGCCAATTCTTGTAATTAATTTATTTTCTTTTTTTTTTTGTTTTGTTTTGTTTTGTTTCGAATAAAAAGTAAGCCAGAAAAAAATGCATTCGAAAATTTTATTATTTTGAATCTATAGAAACTTTCAAAGACAACAACAACAAAAAATGGCCGATAATAAATTCGGTCTTCTTTATCCATTCGTTCGTTTGACTATTGCAATACTAATCATTTTGATGATAATCTTACAGCTAAAGATGGTAATCGATTATTATGATATGTTCACAGCATCACATTTTTTATGGATCATATTTTCATTCATTTCCTTATTGATCGGTATAATTGGTGTTTGGAAAGAACATTTTCTATTCACATTGTTATTCCTAATTATTGGCATCATATTGGTGATGATTGGCCGTTTTACAGCCACTTGGATTGATTATTCATATAATGATGGTTTGGTCATGGCTACATTGATATTGTCAGCAGTATATCTATACATGTTACATGAGAATGGTCATCGTGAAATGAATATGCCAAGATTCTGAATTACGTAAAACATGAAAAACCTACACAACAACAACAACAACAACAACAATCGTCGAACAAAATAAACAATCGGAAAAAAATCGAACATTCGCCCATTCGAATTATGGATTGTTTGTGTGTTTGTGTGTGTGTGATTGTTGATAATAAAAAAAAATATAAAATAAAATCTACATTTCATTCGATTGGTTCGCATTTTAAATTTTCCCTGTGTATTTTTGTTTGTTTGTTTGTTTGTTTGATTTCTCAATTTTTCATTTTACTACTACTTTATCACACATCCGTTTATCGTTCTATTACACATTTTGGAAATTTTATTTCAAAAAGGGGAAAATAAATCATCATGACACTCAATATGATGCAGATTTGTCGATATGCATTCGGCATTGGTGTTGCCATTGTATTCGTATTGAATATATTGACCATTTTCAATTATAGTTTTGGCCAAAATGGTATTATCTGGATGATAACGGCAATGTTTGGATGTATTTGTGGTGGCATTGGTGCTTGGAAAGAACATTTCCTTATGACAATGTTATGTTCAGTATCATGGGCAATATTATTAGCACTTACATATTTTAAACATATTTATGCTGGCTATTATTATAGTGAATATGGTTATCATGTTGAAATTGGAATGGCAGCCGGTGGTGGTATTTATGGTGCTGTATTATATTCAAATGGTAAACGTGATACTGGTTTACCACATTTTTGAATCAGAAAACAACAAGACAAACAAACGATAGATTGAATCGAATTCAATCATTCAATCATAAATATAATATCGATCGTTCATAATTGAAAAAAAAATTGTCTGATTCTTTTTTTTGTTGTTTGAAAAATTTTTGAAAAAAAAATAAATAAATAAAAAGTTATGTATGTATCATTTTATTCAATGATTATTGTGTGTGTGTGTGAATTAAGAAAATTTTTTTTTTCAAATTCAAACACACGAATATTATAAAAAAAATGGGAATGAATATATAAAAAGAATAAAACCACACACGATAATAATAAACAGATAGAATATTGTTTGTGTGTTTAAATGGTGATGAAATCAATTTTTCTGTTTTGTTTGAATCATCTGCCATGTGAATCACCATTATTTGAATTAATTGTAAACATATCGGCAATAACATTATGATAACGTTTTTTGATTGCATTACGTTTTAATTTCATTGCTGCCGTTAACATTTCATTATCTGGTGTCCATTCATCCAATACAATTTCAATCTGTAATGGTATTTCCACTAGTTTAAGGCCACATTTTAATCCAGTTTCTTGCATCAATTTCCAGATCATTTCTTTTAATCGATTCATCGATTTTGTTCCATTCACAGCAAGAGAATTTAATTTTTCCTTATTAGGTACAATTAAACCGACCAGATGATTGGCAAATCCATTGCCAAAAACACAGATATGATCAATGTAGTTGCAATTCTTCAATGTTGATTCAATCTTTCCCAATGATACATATTCACCGTTGGCTAATTTGACTAAATCTTTTTTACGATCAATTATTTCTAATGTTCCATCTGGATGTATTTGTACAATATCACCGGTACGTACATAATGTATACCATTTTTTTCATCTTTCAAATATCCTTCATCGGTATTTTTCGGTAGATTTAGGTAACCATTCCAATGAGTTTTGCTTCCTATTAATAATTCTCCACGTGGACATGGGGAATCCGTTCGTCGATATCCACCTTCGGTCCAATCAGCTAATCTTGCATAAACATTAAGCAATGGTGGTCCACTACGGCCATATGATAGATCATGACGATCCATACACAATACTGGACCACATGTTTCCGTCATACCAAAACCTTGTACTAGGTTCGTATTCATGGCCATTCGACAAAATGCCTGTAATCGTGGTGATAATGGTGCACCACCTGCAATCACTTTGGCCAAATTTCCGCCGAATAGTCCACTTATTTTGGAACACACTAGTCGATTTAGTAACGGTGTATTATAACCTATAGAGATTAATATAATAATTTTATTTTTGATTATGAAATAAATGATTGATTAGAAAAACGTAAAGTTTTTAACAATGATATGGTTTACCTTTATGAGTCCAACGTAATTTATAATTGATCAGATAATCGAATAATGGGACATGAATTGATGATCGTGCTTCCAATTTTTTGTAGATTTGTGCCTGAACTCGTTTCAATACTAATGGTGCAACCATCATTATTGTTGGACGTAAAATGGACAGATCAGATTGAGTATCGGGTGCGAGCCCGGGTGCACCATCGACCAATGTTAATGGACTGGCAAAACCAATACGGCCACCAAATGCCAAAAAAGCTAATTCAACTATAGCTTCGAATATATGTGCTTGTGGTAAGAAACCGGCCAACACTTGATTGGTGCCATCAGCCACTAATTCCGGTACAGCTGACCATGCCGTTGGAATACTATGGATTACTTGTTTGGATGTTAATTGAACACCTTTTGGTAATCCAGTACTACCGGATGTAAATACTTTGATTTGAAACAAGAGATCAATTTGCGTTCAATATATATTATAGGCTTCATTCTAAACTTACCGATTAATGACAATTCATCTTTATCAAGTGGTTGACATAATTCTTCATTTGGTTCATTCGAATGATTTCGATCAGCATAACATTGTCCAATCAATTCGATTCGATCGAATGGAATCAAATCACAGTGGCCAATTGGTTCAGTAAAACATTTTTCATTATCAAGAATTTCCTGTGAAACTTTTTGTGCTCGACGCCGGAGATAGATAATTTTTTCAATATTTAAATCATAATTAACAATTGTCGAACGAACTTTAGGCAATAGATCCCATGATGTGAACATGTATCGTGCTTTAGTCTCACGAATAGCATGAGCAATACCAGATTCACCTAATGTTGCATAAACATTCACCTGAATAAGACCGGCACGTGCCAATGCAAATTGCATCATAAGAAATTCAGCACAAGTTTCACATAGAATAACCACTGGTTCACGACGATCAATACCGGAAAGACGAAGACCATGGGCAATACGTGTGACACGTTCCCACATTTGTCCATAACTAATCCATTGATAATGATCAGATAATTTACGTTTCTTTATCCTACGTCCATCTTGATCATTTTCAAAATATTCATAAAGAACATGACGATAACCAATTGCCGGATTTTCATTGGGAAAATATTGGCTATGTTCACGTATAAAATCCACCAATGTATCACAATTATCGATTATTGTATTTTTTAATACCGGATCATCATGAATACCAATCCATGGTGAATCAATATCGGTTGGATCGATTTTTTTAGCACGAATTTTTTTCGATTCATCAATAATTTTTCGTGGATTCTGTATCCACATATAAATCGGTAACGTTATATATGTATACAATGTGACGATAATATCGATGAAAATGATGAACATTTTACTTGCAGAGAATTTATTATTCGAATCGATTGTCATTGTTGATCACAAACATAGAAAAATAAAAAAATAAATAAATTCTAGTGGTCTAAATTCTTCTATGTATGATGAATGAATGAATGAATGTGAATGAATATAACCATAGATACCGAGGAAATCTGCAACAACAACAAAAAAATTGAACAAAATTAAAATTAAATTTTTTTTTCTTGTTCATGAATATCATTAATAAATTGCCATTTCATGATTTGATGGCAGAATTCAATTACATTTTTATAAATGAAGCCACACACGACAACGAATGAACGAACGAAAAATGTACTGGTTATGAACTGATTAGATTTAAATATAATATATATACTTGATATACTTGATGACTTCCCGTCAATTTTAACGTTTTTTTTTAGATTAAAACACAATTTGTAAAATTAGTTGATTATAATACATCAGGCTGATATATATATTCTGTTTATATGAGAAAAAAAATCGAATGATTTGAACAGCATCATCATCAGCAACAATTAAAAAATAACAAATGGCGTGATTAATTATATGGTAGTGGTGATTAAATACCATGTCATCATCATCGACAACATCATCATTACACGCACAAAAAACAGGATAGTATTGAATGGCTATTTGATCGATCATGATCGGATGATGATGATGATGATGATGAGAACCTGTCAAAAAGAAACAACAAAACAAAATATCAATTTTCGTTCGAAGAAGTAAAAAAAAAATTTTTTTTTTTACACTTCATCATCATTATCTTTGTCATAATTATTGACGACATTGTAATGTGTATGTGTACTATATATTGGAAAAATCTGCTAGCGTCAATAAAGATTTTTTTCTCTCTCAAAAAAAAATTGATGACTTTTGTTAATTCGAATTTGAATTAATGGTCAGTGTGTATGTATTAAATTTTTTCCGATTTTTTTTCATTTTGATTTGGAAAAAAATGCAACCACATTCTTATATGGTTGATGATGATGATGATGATTAAGAGTGCATTGAAAAAAAACGATGGTTACTATATTGGTTATTCATATCACTGTTTTTTTTCAAGTTCACTATCGATATGTTCATTTTTTTACACTTCTTTTTTTCCTGTTTGTATTTCTGTAACAATTTTATTATTTTTGTTCTTCTTGTTGTTGTTGTTGTTGTTGTTGTTGTTTGGATAATATTTTTACAGTAAAAAAAACTTGGAGAAAAAAAGAGTTGAAATGATGATTTTGAATAAATTACAAAATATAGAATATTCTGTAGCAATTCGATGGAAATTTTTCCATCACAGAATGGGCATAATATTTTTTTGTTTCGAATCATTTTCCAAAATGATGAACGAATTAATCGATATTTATTTTTGATTATTATTATTATTATTGCGATGTTTTGTTTTTGGTTTCAATCTCATCAGATTATTTTTGTTTAAATTTTATTTTTCCTGATGATTCGACAATTATGATTTTAGATTCAGATTAAAAATTCAAAATTGGACAATTGATTTGAAAATTTAAATTTTTTCTACAATTTTTTTTTTCATTTGAATGAATCAGCGGTATGTAAACTTTCTGTTACGAAAAATTAAAATCTGATCATTAGTGGACATTATTAATTAATGAATTCAATTCTAAATTTTCAAGGTTTTTTTTCATAGCAACCGGATTATATACATGTACTTGATTTGTCTGTGATTTGTATTGATCTCTTGGTCACCATCAATCGTCATCAAAAAAAAAAAAAAAAAAACGAATGAATTTTCTCCATCCATTTTAAACCGGTGCTTGTTGTTTTCTAAGAAATTGTAAATCTATATATCGATCAATTGCTGACGAACATTTTCAAAAACAAAAAAAAAAAAAAAAAATGCCACCAATCGATTACAATCGATATTATTCCCTTATAACTGATCATAGTTTCCTACGTCTATTTGGTCAATATGATAATCGATTTGTACGATTGGCCCATCAATTAATACCTTGGGATCGTTTCAATGAAGATTTTGAACATTTACATAATGATGATAATTGTGACAAGATTGATCGTCGTGATTATTGTATAATACGATTATTGGAACATTTTAAACAGGAATTATTCACCTGGGTAAATGAATTGAAATGTGATCATTGTAATGGTAAAGAATGTGATCTATTGGAATGTCGCCACACAAATGATATTGAATATCATTGTCGAATGATTGAAGTATATAAATGTCCTAAATGTAATGCACTAATTGAATTTCCACGTTATAATCATGCTGGACGATTATTGGAAACACGTCGTGGACGTTGTGGTGAATGGGCACTTTGTTTTTCATACATTTGTTTTGTTTTTGATTACGATGTTCGTATGGTACATCATGTTGATGATCATGTATGGGTAGAAATATTTAGTGAACATCAAAAACGATGGATACATTGTGATCCATGTGAAAATGCTTTCGATAATGCATTACTATATGAATGTGGTTGGAAAAAACCTGCTACATTGATCATCGCATCAGGAATGAATGAAATTCGTGATGTAACATGGAGATATTCATCTGAATGGCAAAAAACTGTTATGCTTCGTATCCAATTATTCGATGAAAATCGTTTACAATCAATGATTGATCAAAATAATCGTCGACTACAATCTAATCTTTCAGCCACTGAACGTGATCGAATCCTACATCGTTGGATGGGTGAAATGGTTGAATTTTTACGTACACCTGATCAAAATATACGACAACCATCCGATCCAAAAGCCCTTCAAGGTCGTATCAGTGGTTCAATTCAATGGCGACAATCACGTGGTGAATCTAAACATTCATATCATGAATTTCATTTGAATCGACGTTATTGTCAAATCGTATACAATTGTCAACGTGATGAATATTCAATCAGTAATCTGGATTCGAAAGAAGAATCTTCATCGATCAAAGGATGGCAATCTGGTTGTTATGAATCGGCCTATATTTTTCGTATGATTGAACATGATTGGCAAATGTGTTATCTAAGCCGACAACAATATTGTGGCCAACAAGTTATTGGTTCCATACGTTGGAGATTTCGATTACCTAATGCCAATGTTGAATGGAATCATATCAACATTCTAGTCAAAGGTCGAACTTATGAATCCGGTGTTATCGAACTTCATGTTATATTACCATCAGCGAATGATCATTTATCATTCGAACTGAATGAAATGTTTCAATTGAATCGAAATGATTTCGATCATAAAATCGAATGGTTCGATATTGAAGCCAAATTAATGTTTGGTGAAGGCAATATAGCCTGGCAACATGCACAACTTTTTCGACAAAAATTATTACCTCAAAACAACAATGAATCAGATATAGATGATGAGGATTTGTTTAAAATTTGTATTAATTAAATGATTCAAAAAATATAAAAAAAATACAAAATTTCATGCCATTATATTTGCAAAATATGACAGTCATTTAAAATTCAATACATTTGTTTTGGATTGATCAATGGATAATTATTCAAACGACAAAGGCCAGATTTGTTGCATGAAAAAATCCATGTATATGTTGCTAGATTCGGATTCCAGGAACACTTTTATACAAAAAAATTTAAAAAAATAAATAAAAAAAAAAAACCAATTTTAAAATTCAATGTAAATGATTAAAAAAAATATTACCTTATTGATTGCATAATATCGATATAAATCATTTTTAGTCAATAATCGAATCGTTGTCGATGCAGTACGTCCTTTTAGAATAGTATCAGGTTTTCGACTATCTTCATAGATGAAAAAATATTTATCAAAAAAATCATCAATATGATAATCAAGATCAAGCGGTTCGTTTATGGTTATTGATTTTTTAATCGATTCCAAATTATTCTTTAGATCTTGATCGATGCTTGCCAATTTCGTTGAATATAAAATCTAAAATGAAATGAATTTCAAATTAATAATTGTGAGATTACGATACATTTTGTCCAATAATAAACACATACATAATTGATTGATTTTGATTTTTCCGAATAGCCTGGTTTTTTCATCATTTTTGTCGTACATAATCTACCACATTCAGATCCAAATGCAATCGTATACATCCATGGTGATAATGACATGTCCTAATTAGATCAAATGAAAATTATTCAATAAAAATAATTATAAAACATTTATCAGACAGTAATTCACCGTATAATCATCGGTTGCATTTGATATGATCGTATGACGAATATCAGCACCACTATCAATAGGTCGATCTAGAAGAATGAATCCAATGAGGCTACCTTTACGTACCATAGCCATTTGTATCATAGCATTATTCCATAATGGTGAATAGGTCATAATTTTCTGACATGGACGACATTCAAGTTGCCGAAATAATCCATCCCAATGTATATGATAGATGAATGAATGATTCAATGAAACACAAACATACATGTATTTATTGATCCAACGAATCGATAATAATGGTTGACATTTAAGATTACCATTCTGATCACATGGTAATAAGTGTTTATCTTTGGTTAATAATTTTTCATCATCATTATCAATTGGTAATCGCCAAAGACATGCAAATCCCGTGTTGAATGCACCAACTATCATAGTGAATGGAGCATATGGATACCAATCAATGCTATTACAATTTAGATATCGTGGAAATCGATCCTGTAATACAAGTACAGGTTTGACTTGGAACAGGTATGTTGTTTTATAGCTACCATTTAATTGATGGGGATGTGGTAAAGATATAATTCGAACATGACCATCTTCACTGGCAATTGCTAATAATCCTAATCGTTGTAGTCGTTCATTCGATGGTTTTAGTTCTTCATACGAAACACCCCATGGACACCAACACATTTCTAGAACATCACCATACGATGTCCAATCGATATTCAATGCTAAACGAGCTATGTTTTCTTCCGATTCGCCTTTTTTCATTTGATTCAATGGTCCAAGATTCCATAATTGCAAACAAATTTGATCGGAACGTTCATTTTTAAGTATCTGATCAAAATCACTGGTAGCCAATACAAGATATTGATCACGTTTAGCATTCACTTCGGACATTAGTATTCGATCAAATTGTGATTTACAATCAAAACGAGTCGATTCGGTGGTAAATGGTAATGGACACCAAGAAATAGCTGAAACACATTTACCGACATTGAACATTAGATTGTCGTTATCCAAACGTATTGATTCAAATGCTGATAATTTTTTCATTTCATTATCACCAGAATCCATTGTACGTGTTGTTTTGAAATAAGGGGATTGACAATTTTGTATCTGAAAATTTTCATCGATTATACGGTAATCATCATGACTTGGTAACATGTTCGAAAACATTGGATTGCCATTATCAACAATGTTAGCTTTCAATGATAATGATATTTGTTTATGCCATTCAAGAAGTGGTTTAAGATAACGAGGTTTTCGTGAACTACTTGGACCAGAACGAACAACATCATTCAGTTGTTTTTTCTTTATAAAAATATCAAATTCTGCTTTCACTGCATTATTGAATAATTCCTATATGAATAACAAAAAAGAACAAATTGAAAACTATGAGTAAAATCGATTAAAAACATACATTGTGTTTATGAAAAAAATGTTCCACAACATTTACATCGAGCCAATTGAAACGATTTCGATCATTTTGTTGACATTCGTTAAGGAAACAACGAAACCAAAATTTTTTCCAACGACATCGACGATAATGATTTTCCAATTCGAATCGATATTTAAATTGAGTAGGACATAAAGAATTGTAACAGGTAAATAGACCGTTTCGATTAACAGGAACCGATTCGATGATTGTTCGTTCAAATCCATCGCTATTATCATTACCATCTTCTCGGATTAAATGATGAACAATTATGGAAATGATTCGATCCAAATCACGATCATTCAATGTTTTTGTCGTTTCCTGTTGAATCTTATTATCTTGATTACCCTTATCATTGAGATCATTTGTTTCATTCGAAATTGACGCTTCAAGCTCTTCATCTGATGATGATGATGATGATGAGGAGGAGGAGGAGGATTTAGCTGAAAAATCATTATCATCGTTTTTCAGTCGTGCTTTCTTTGATTTTTTATTTTTATCATCATCTTCACCATCACTACCAGCTAGTTTGAGAGATCGAAATTTATTGATTGCTCTTTATGATTTTTAAAAAATTATATTAATAGTAAATTGAATGAATAAAAAAAAATAAACTTACTTAAGAGCAGAATTTCGTTTTTTGCCTCTTTTACCTTCCACAACTTCTTCTTGTTGACTTATCATTTCAATATCATTATCATCAATTTGAATCGATGGATCAACATTTGAATGAATTGAACGTAAATGAAGGGCCAACGAATGAATTCTTAAACGTTTACCACAAATTTCACAATCACGAAATAATTCATCTTCCTATGAATGGGTGATTTACAAAAAAAAATGTTACATCATTAGGTTCATCCATATTGTAAACAATTGATGTGTGTGTTAAAACATACCGATTTACCACATACTTCAGCATGTAATACCATACCCAAAAAACTTCGAAACGTTTTCGAACATATTGTACAATTGAGCATTTTAAGAACACTTAAAGCACGACGATAGCCTTGTTTAATTTCCGCTTGGGTCATCGGTCTATCATCATTGATTAATGCCTATTAACATACAATTGTGTGAAAAATATATGAAGAAAAATAAATTTTTAAATTACAAATTCCTATTGCATGCATCAAACCTGGCCTTGATGTTCAACAAGAATATGATGATCACATTCATTCAATTTGATTGAGACGAATCCACATAATGAACAACAATATTTATCGGCTTTTGCTATGCCAAATGGTTCATCTTTTGTCGTTCGACCCATTAATGGTGGTGAATATAAAAATCAGAGATAATAAACGGAGAATATGAATTAATAAAATCAACAAAAATAAAAATATTTGGCCACATTAACCACGTTTTTTTTCCTTCTGATGATGATGAATTTCGAATCGCCGTTCATATACAACGTTATATGTAATGTATTCAAATTTTGAAACAAACATCATTTATCATTATAAATATTGGATCGAATTTAAAATTGAAAAATTTTCATGATGTATAATAATTCATTTTTTTTTTTATTTTTCATTCATGATTCAATCATCATTGGTACATAAATGATGATTTGAAAAAATCACTTGTTGAACAAAATGTTTTATGCATTGGTCACAATGACCAATATTAGTTATGAAAATAATAATGATGAATAGTAAATGCATGGTGGTAAATGCAGTTACAGGTTCAATTATGGCCATTACCACAAATGGAAAATGTTGACCAAAGTTGTTGCAGTGGTGGTGGCAATGATAACGAATGGCCACATTCCACACACACACACATTGACGAATAGAAGAAGCACTTGTTGAATATAAGGAGCTAGACAACAACAACAACAACACACACACTTGTTTGAATCAACTATAATCGAAATGGACTCGATTTATGTCTCTGCTGTTGTTGTTGTTGTTGCTTATGGAGCAAACAAACAAAATCACACACACACACACACACCTTGACCCATTCACTATAGAAATATAATTGACTGAATGAATTGTTTATTTGTTTGTGTCCAACGACATATTTTTGATGATCCAAAAAAAAAATAAAATAAATAAAATCGATTCACCAACAACAAAAATGTCAATCTTATCAATCAAATGATCAATCGATTATCTATACTACTATATAGTAAACGTGTCATGATTAAAACGCCCGAAATCCATTTATGGGATTAAAAAAAAATAAATAAAACTCGATCAAATGTCGAAATGTGGTGATGATTTTCAGTAACAAAATTATGTGACTTTTTTGTTGTTGTTGTTGGTTCATTGAAATAAAAATTCACTGCCTCATCCACACACCACCACCTTGTTCAATTTTTGAAATCAAAAAAAATTCTGAACTTTTTTTTTCATCTCAATTTTTATAATTGAATATGACCACCACCACTGAACAACTTACTATTCTACAATCGACGAATCGTAAGTTTTTTTTTGTTTAATATTAACAGAAGACTAGATTAACAGTTATTAGGTTATTTTTTTTGTTGTTTAATCCAAATAACAATCAACAAGTAAAATTTTGTTGTGTCATCTCTTAATCTATGAATATGACCGCTGGTCAAATTGATCAAAAAAAACACACAACATAAAAAATTATATTTATCTTGTGCGTCTGTGTGTGTGTGTGACTTTGAATTTGCTAAATATAATAATGTGAATAGTATATATCAGCAATGTCTAAATAGTTTAGCAAAACATGAGCAGCTTTATAGAGAACTCCCCGTTTTTTTTTGTCGAGGTCATGGGTCAAAGGTCTTTCTCATCAACAATATGATGATGATCCAGTCCTATCGTTATTTCTACCCGGGACCGTATACATTCTCACCAATCAACCAAAATATTATCCACCACCATCATCATTCATTCATTCAATATTATATTCCTCCCCTTAGGACTGGTTTTTTTTTCTCACACTACCATCATCATCATCATCCATACACCGACCGACCGAACGAACGAACGAATGATTGGTATTTTCGCTCGATCAATCGTTCGGTGTATATTGTGTGGATGAATGTCCTTGCTGTTCTGTTGTTGATGGCGGTATTGATGATTGTGTTATTGGTGCTTACTACAACCCCAATTATTTTATACACAGTGTTAAAAAAGAGAGAGAGAGAAAGAAAGACATTGGTCAAAATGTCGCCAATGGTGGACTTGAATATAAATGTTTTTTGTGCACTTGGCACACAGATAACTAACCAGCACCTAGACAAAAGGTCAACCGAATTGAATATATTGGATATATAATGCAAAGAAAATCCCTGTATACAACAAAAAAAAAAAAGAGAGACCTGGATAAAGTGGCTGATTCAAGGCCTTGATTTTTTTATGAAAGATTGACTCTTTGGATCTTTATTGTGTGGACATTTAAATTTTGAATTTTTCGTTTTTTGTTCATTTAGTTGTTGATCTCAACCAATCATCATCATCATCATCGACGACGACGACAAATGACATAATGGTAGCTGAACATTTATCAAATTTGGACGATATTCGATCATCACCAAGTATGGCAATTATTTCTACTGCTTTGGCTACAAAATCTCCTTCCACAACGCCTACAAGTCCATTTTTTCGTACAAATTTAATTTCAATTTCTAATCAAAATTCATTGAATCAAATGGAAGATCAATACCACCATCACCACCACCAACAACAACAGCAACAACAACAAGGTTGGTTTCTTCGACGTAGACAATCGGAACAATTAATGGAATCATCATCATCATCAAAACGATCACATGAAGAAGATGTTTATGAAGATCTTTGCTATGTAACGCTTAGGTAAGATTTAATGATGATGATGATGATGATCATTTTGTAATTTAATTTCATTTCATATTTTTTTAGATCAAATTGTAATCGTGATTCAAATAATTTGGCCATTAATTTAAATTCAACAAATAGTAATTCATTAATTACATCTAAACGTGATTATTGTTTAAAAGAATTGATTGAAACGGAAAAAAATTATTGTGAAGCATTACAGATGATAATTGATCATTTTTGTCAACCATTAATACGTGTTATACCGGTTAAACATAGAAATGTTATATTCTCAAATTTACAATCATTATCTGAATTACATTGGAAATTATATCAAGATTTATATCGTACTAATCAAAATGGTCAACAACAACATCAACAACAACATCGATCCAATAATAATCATAATAATAATAATGGCCAATTGATACCGGGATATCCATCAAATTGTAGTTCACCAAGTGTATCCACCTGTTCAACATCATCAACATCATCTGGTCATCCAATACAACAGCTAATTAAAAATGGAACAATATCAGCCTGTTTTCTTTCTATGCGTGATCGATTTCTTAATTATGGCCAATATTGTGCTAATCTTCCAAAAGCACAACAATTATTGGATGAATTATGTGTACAAGATCCAGTTATTGAACATTGGGTTAGCAGATGTCAAGAGGATGCTAATCAAGGAAGATTTAAACTTAGAGATCTTCTTAGTTTACCAATGCAACGAATACTCAAATATCATTTATTATTAGGTGAATTAATACGTAATACCAATGATCAACATGATGATTTTGAAGGCCTACGTCATTCATATGATATGATGCTCGATATTGGTGCCTATATTAATGAAATGAAACGTGATACGGAAACATTAGAAATTATTAATGATCTACAACGATCGATCATTGATCTATCGATGCCCGATGATTATGAATTAAAAGATTATGGCCGTTTAATTAAAGATGGTGAAGTTCGAATGCGTGGCCCTTGTACACAAGATGGCGATAATGTTGTTGGTGGTATTATTAATGGTCATCATGTTGGAAATTGTGGTAGTTATGGTAGTCGTATGACAACACGATTGAAGAATAGATATATATTCATTTTCGATAAAGTTATGCTTATGTGTAAAACAATACGTAACCTTCAAAGAATTCAATATTCATATAAAGATTGTATCGTATTGGAAGAATACAAGGTGAGCGCATACATCATGATGATGATGATTTAGTTCATAGTTTAGTTTTATACATATGGCATTGCATTCCATTTTGCCATATTGTTCCATTTTTATATATATCACAATTAACCTTCATGTTGTTGTTTTTTATGACTTAATCCACTATCAATAATGTTATTGAGATATACTAATTTTAAATTTCAAATTTTTTTTTTGTTTTGTTTTTATTATGGAAAATTTCCACCCCTCTTGTTTTTGTGTGTGTGTGTGTAGCTGGAAGATATGTCCACTTGTAGTCCGATTTCGAAATTAACAAAAAATTGGTCATCAGGTTGGTCATTGATACATTGTCGTACAAAACAGCCGTATACATTTTTTGTTAAAAATGAAGAAATCAAAAGAAAATGGATGGAAGCCATAGAACGTGCACAGGATAATGTACGACCAAGACAATTGAATCAAACTGATCATCATTTAGCATTGGCTACAGTTTTACCGGCAACCTGTTGTGTTAGTTGTCATAAACTTTTGAAAGGAACCTGGTTTCAAGGATATCAATGTTATGTTTGTAATGTTGCTGTCCATAAGTCGTGTATCACAACGGTACGTTCATGTGCACAGATGATGCATGAAAGACAATCATCGATTGATATGAATCAATCATCACCATCGAATGCTAATCATGACCACCAACATCATAATGTAACAATGTTGAATTCGAATTGTCCAGAACCACCGACACCATCTAGAAATAAACAACGGATTCTTGCCAAAGCTATATCAACACATTTTGTTCATGGTCAATTACCAATGGAACCTAATGATACAATAGTTGTATATTCAACAAATGGACCGCTTAGTTTTGGTCTTAATCTACGACTTGGTGAAGAAGGTTCTTTTCCAACTGCCTGTATAACTGAATTGATGGCTGATTCACCATCGAATGCATCATCATCGAACATTGATTCACCAACATGTTCATCAGTATTTCGATTCTGTTATGATGATCAAACTGTTCATCATCAAACGAATGATTCATCAACAACAACATCGACAATGACACAAACATTGCCAAGAAAATTACATCAATCCAATTGGATAATGCCAACATCACCGTTAGCTGTATCGACACCTGCATTGAATAAAGAGGATATTTTCTTTCCTAATAACGACAATAAAACCACCATCACCACCAACAAATCGAATCAATCAATGAATCCAGCATTGGTACAAGATGGCAATTTAAGGCTATTCTTTGGTAATGGTTACAATCTTGAAGAATATGCTTGGTTCGCAGGTTCCATGGATCGTGATACAGCACAAACTACATTGAATCCATTGCCGAATGGATCATTTTTGGTACGAATTTCACCAAAACAACGTAATAGCTATGCTATTAGTATCAATTATAAAGGTCTTGTGAAACATATGCGTGTACAGGTGACATATATGAATGGAATTCAACCAACAACAATATTCGATTCGAATGTTCAAACTAATCAACAACAGCAACAACAACGACAACAGCAGCATAATCTTGAACGGCCGGATAAACCAACTCATTTTTATCTATCGGAACGGCGATATTTTCGTACTATTGTTGATCTAGTTCGATGGTATGAATTGAATTCATTGGCTGAATCATTCAATATGGTTAATACACAGCTATTGTTGCCATATAAAAAAGCCTATTGCCACGAAATACTTGGTGATGCTGTTGCATTATATGCATTCACTGGAACATCATCAGCTGCTTCATCATTTCTATCATTACGTAAAGGTGATCGTATCACTGTTCTATCACGTGCAGCTGAAGATAAAGGCTGGTGGAAAGGACAGATTGGTGATCGTTTAGGTTATTTTCCATTCAAATATGTGAAACCGACTACATATTCATTGAAACGATGGTTTGAATTGAAAACAACAACAAATCAAGATCAACAACAACAACAACAATATCAACAGCCACAATCATCACAACGATTATTGGATTCATCAATGATACAACATCATCGTCAAGATGATTCTTTTGGTGCCATGACAACATCGACACAAATGACTGATGTATCATCACCTACTACTACTACTACTACCACTACTAATAATACGGTGAATGAAAATAAACAAATGCCATCACCATCATCGTCATCATCTGCATCATCATCGGAAACAAGTTCACCTATAACATTATCATCACCGGTAAATTCAGATCGTGATTCACCACCATCATCATCATCGAATTTATTACATTCAAGACAAGCATCTAGTGATGCAGGTATCGGTGATATTGGTGGTGATCTAGGTCAATTAACAATCAATAATAATCAAACAGAAAATGGTGATATGATGATGATGATGATGATGATAATGGTAAAAATCTATTGGCCAACTAAACTACTGGTTGAATAATAAACACCATCTAGTCACACACACACACATGGACACTCCCAAAAAATTTAATTTTTTATAATACGACTCAACATTCAAATTCAAATGAGCAACTCAACACTCAAATGTCGAATTTTTTTTTCATAATTTATCTGCCAAAAAAGCCACTAATTGTATATTTTAAACAACTTGATGCCGATTCTCGATCTCAATCATCAAATTTTTTTTTATTATTCAATTTTCGATTTTTTTTTCGTTTCTTGTTCTTGTATTACACTAACGCCCATCAATATTGCCTTTCTCTTCTCTCTCTCTCTTTATTTTATCTCTCTGTCTTTGAATTCGAAATGAAACAAACACACCACCAATAATCATCATCAATCATTATATGAATAACTTGTTCTTTTTCTTTTTTTTTTTGCCGTCATAATATTATATATACATTATAATTATGAGATTCGAATCAAACAAACCTTTAAATTAATAATAAAAAAAAAATTTTTCATTTTTCTTTTGATTTTCGTTTGATTTGAAAACTGTGCAACATGATGATGATGATGATGATGATGAACATGACAATCGATGATGATTTACCTGTGTTCGTGTGTGTGTGTCATTTGATCAATAGACATTTTTTGGTCAAGTGTTATCATATTTGATAATGATGATGATGATGATGATAATGATTATCCACCTTGTTTTTTTTTCAATGATTAAATTTGCCTACAAGCTACCATGATATTTTATTTGATTTCCGATTCAATTTCCGAATAAATATATCAATTTTATTATATTGGAACGTAGTGAGTAAAAAAGATTTGATCCAATTTTCTAAAAAAAAATGGGGAAAAAGAAAAAAAAAGAAAATGAAAGGTCCATTTTCATTGCATCATAAAATAATCATCATTGAAAGTTATCTAAGAGTTACCTTTTCTCGAGGAAATGAAAGTCATTTCTTTGAATTTTTTTTTTTTTTCTGTAATGACTTAGCTTGCTTACAGGCAACCCTGTTTTGTTGTTGTTGTTGTTGTTGTTCAAATATGTAAAAAGACTGATTTGTTATCGTTTCCTATTTGCAAGCATCACTTTTTTTTCTTTCTTTTCATTTTATTAATTACAATTTGATTGAAAATATTTGTCACATGTGAAACAGGTTGAAATTTAATGAAATATATAAAAAAAACAACAACATTATTATGACAAAGTAATGGTGATTTATCGATCACAATCATCATCATTATGATGATGAACAATCACTTCCGATCCGATTACATTGAATCGAATTCAATAAAATGGACAAACACACACACACACACATTATCAATCAATCAATCAATAACAAATGAACAAATCAAACATTTAATTGCTCCATTTCATCTCACAATCGACTGCAAAATTTGATTTGTGTTCATTTTTTATAAATATATAAATTGGAAAGAACGAGTATTTTGTACTATCGATACTATCGAACAGGAAAAAGAGTGTCGTGTTTATTTATTTACTTATTTCATTCAACTTTTTTTTCAAAAAAAAAAAAAAAAATTAAGTCTTTCTTAACATCTGTAAATGACGGTCGGATAATAAAAAAAAATAAAGAAAGAAAAGAAAAGAAAAAATGCATGTAATAATCAAAAGAAAGTTTAAAGAAAATGCACTGACCACCACCACCACCACCACCAGTGAAATGGATCACATATAAACACACATGGTTAAATGTTTTTTTCCCATTTATTTACTACTCTTTGGAACGGATCTGTTTGTTCCGCCGTTACTTTTTGTTGTTGTTGTTGTTGCTGTTATTCGCCCATCGCCCAAATACAAATCAGTCTGTCCATTGATTGTTTATGAATATTATTATTATTGTATTTTGGATGGATCGATTTTGCTCCAATTTTTTTTTGTTTTGTTTGTTTTGTTTTTTCAGCTAATAGACAAGAAATAGGGAAAATTGAGATCTACTACTTGAACATTCGATATTTGACCATTACCACCACCACCTTCACCATCACCTTCACCATCATATAAAAACCAATGTTCATAAGGGATTGTTGAGAAGTTTGTAAGAAAAAAAATTTTTTTTTGTTTGTTCCACTAATTTTACAACACTGAATACTTTTTTCGATCATCATGTTATTCATGTTTTGATTATTGAATAATAATCATTTGTTGTAAAATCCAAATCCAAAACATTTGTACTGTCCAAAAATGTCGTGTCAAACAATCATCACAAGGTTATCTTGTTTATCATTATCATCATTATTAATAATAATGATGATAATGGTACCATATATTGGAACTGCTCCAACCACAAATACCGACACAATAGTTGAATCAAATCAAAATGTTAAAAATCATCGACCATCATTAATATCACCAGCAAGAGCAATCAAAATGAATCGTTATAGGCAATCATCATCAATGAAATTTCAGGTACCAATCAATTCAACTAGACATCGTATAAAATTTGGTTTTGATGAACTTAATTTAACGGCCAATGATCAACAACCACAAATTGAAGTACCAACAAATTCACGTGATCGTACACCATTATCATTAGTATTCCGTTCTAGTTCATCACCATTAGCTATACGACATAGCCAGGATCATTCATTTGGTTCAACCAGTTTACATGTTGAAAATGAACAACAAAAATCATCATCATCATCATCACAATCAACAACAAATGAACAACAACAACAACAATTCACTGGTTATCAATTAATTGAACCATTATCAATGGTTGAAAAACCAAAACCTATACAGGAAATAGTTCCAGTATTGATTATACCGGAAGTGTTCCCAATTGCAATTACTCAACATCCAAATTATTATCATCATCATCATCAGCAGCAACAACCAAAATTAATTAATGATAATAATGTTATAAATCAACAACAACAGCCTAATAGTGAAACACTTAAAGCAATCGAACATATGATTTTAGCTCAAGATTTATCTAGCTATCTATATGAACCATTATTATTGGCTAGTTTGACCGATCAGGTCATTATAGAACCACCAACACCAGCAGCAGCAGCAGCAGCATCTATTAATAATAATGGTTATGTACCGGTATTACAACCACCAACATCACCATCATTACCAGTAGCTGGTAATACACAGATTTGGACAACAGAACATACATATTCACCACCATCATCAACAACAATGGTATCACCACCACCACCACCACCACCACCATCATCATCATCATCATCATCATCATCATCATCTGGATATCAAACATTATCATTAGAAAATTATCTAAAAATGTCACAATTAAATCCTGAAGAGTTAATCATACCTACATGGGCAACAGCAACGGCAATTGCAATGCAAAATCATCCACAATCACAACAACAGCATCAGCAACAACAGGAACAAGTACAACATGATAATTATGATAATCAATTACAACAATCACAATCACAACAACAACAAGTCAAAATAGCCATCTTTGATATGCGCCAACATTCTTCTTTGTAACGGTGTGTGTGTTTGGTTTATCTATATATAATAATACAGATGATTATGATGATGATTCGAATGTTGTACGTGGCTTGTTATACAACGAAGGTACATCGATCATTTATTTACCACAATTTGAATTTTTTTTTTTTGGAACAAAATCATTGATGTTTGTAGTAACTATGGAACTATCATTGATATATAAAAATAGAACAAAATATATAATACTCGTATATGTGTAAAAATTATGAAAAAAAATTTTAAAATAAAAAAAAACTAAAATTAAAAAAAAAAAATTCAAAACTCGAGCGCACCATCATCATGATGATCCATTTGACCAAGGCCAATCATTACACAAATCTGCACAAATCAAATCACCATCATCATTATCATGACATATCTGAACTGAGAAATTTGGTTCACTTTCACCAATCAATTTTATCAATTTTTTATCAATTTCTCTTTTTTCTCACATCTCGTGACCAATAACAAAAAAAAACGGTGACGAGAAAAAATTTCATTTTCATTCATTCATTCATTCATTTAAAATTCACATTCAAATTGATGATTATTTAACCGTTATCAGACAAAAAAAAAATGTATGCCCAATTGCAGTTCACGCAAACACGCAAAAAAATACTGCTCTATTTATACACCAGAAAGACACACACACGCGAAATCGGCATCGATCTTCATCATCATCATCAGATATTATATGAGAAAATACACAGCACCTGATTTGTATAAACCAGAAAATTTCACCTTTTTTTCATTATAATCAATTAATCTCCTGTTGTTATTTCAATTTATCACCTGTTTTTCTAGTGTGTGTGTGTGTGTATAGAACATTTTGAAAATCTTCAGATGTGATCAGGTGGTGATGATGATGATGATCCCCTTTTTTTCGATGTTTCAAAGAGAGGACATTGCCATTTTAATTCATTCGATCAATGACATTTGAAAATTTTTTTGATTTTTTTTTCTTATTTTTCATTTTAAAGATTTATATCGTCGATAATAAAAAATGGGTAAGAAAAATAAATTTATGGATGGATACTAAATCGGGTATATAATAATAATCATCCATATCTAGGTCGGTGGTGTGGGAAAAAAAAAGAAATTAATACTGAACATCATCATCATGGGTGTGTATGTTGTGAACAACAACAACAACACAACAATATTGACTGACCTTTTCGAGGTGATTTTTTTTCTGTTTGTAAAAATTGAATTTTGTCACCCATTTTCTTGTTTTTTTTTCGCCTGTATACATCACCTACCAACGAAAATCGAGATCGAGAGTGATTGAGAAAAAAAAAGAACCAAAATCATCACATATTCAATGAACAGGACAGTACTCTTTTGATGATGAACAACATTAATATGATGATGATGACATCTCACTTTTATTTTATGGTGTTTTTTTTACATTATCATTACAAATCAAATGTGTTCAATAATATATGAACGAATATCGGTCGGTTATTTTATATTATGAACTAAATAATTAAAAACTTACCACCATTGTGTGTGTGTGTGTCTCTTTTAGTTATCTTTGGATTTTCTGGAAAAAATAATCACTCTCACTGGTTTTCATTAGAATGATGATGATGATGATTCGATAGTGAGAGTTATTTTCGGACAAAAAAAAATAACATAACCGTTTGAATTATATTTTTTCTTGTCCAATTCGAAATGTATAAATATTGCCCGATTCGAATATGATCTGTTCATTCTGTTTCTAATCATCGTGATAGTTTAAATAAACCAAATAACAATAACCATTATCATCATCATCATTCAATTATAATTGATATATAATGATGATGTTCCATGTAAGTGGTGTTTTTTTTTTGTTGTTGTTGTGTCGAATGAAATTGTGATTGTGTATCAACGTTTTTGTTTTTGTTTTGTTTTGTTTTGTTATTAGTTTATATTAACCATCATTATGATGATGATGATGATGATGGTAACAATATCAAAATCGGCTCCATATTCTGGTGTTAAATCCGGTAATATTATTCGTGGTGGTCAATCACAGATTATGGCTGCACCTATTATGATTCGTACAACTAATTCAAATTCTGGTTATGGTTCATTATATGGTCGTTTAGCATCATCATCCAATGGTGGTGGTGGTGGTGGTGGTGGTATTATTCCAATAGCCATTCAAACCAAACATAATATCGAATATAAAGATGTTCCATCAAGTGGTTCAATTCAAACGGCTACTGTTGAAGGTAAACATACATTTCTTGTTAATATTCGATAATTAATTTTCTTTTTCTGTATTGATTTTATAGTCGGTGCTCGATCCATACCTATAAATATTATTTTCCGTTCAGCATCATCATCATTGAATGTATTACAACGTCATCAAGGTGCCGGTGGTGATACACAAGAATCACATTCAGAAGATGAACCACATGTATTACGTCATACGGTGAAAAAACCGATTTATCAAATAGTCAATGAAATCATAACACCATATAGAAAAATTTCACAAGAAGTACATCCAGTACAAGAGGAAATTAAAACCGTTGTAGCAAAAAATAGTAACCATCATCAACCTGTTGGTCAAAATCGACCAACAACAATCAATAATCATTATGCTGCTGCAGCATCTACAAATAGAAATCATCATCATGTACAACCATCATCATCATCATCATCATCATCATCAATTATTCTTGGTTCACATTCCATGGAAGATGATGATGATATTGATAATAATAATAATAATGATAATAATGATTATCAAAAATTATTACAAAGTGGCAGTGCTATTGTAACGACATCTTCCGTATTGAAAGGTACTGATGTTGATGGAAAATCTATTGCAAAATCGATGGATCAAAATTTAACAAAATCTGTTGCTGCTTTATTGAAAACACCAACATCACAGATAGCTAAAACTAAACCATCAACATCCATATCGGTCTCATCATCATCATCATCATCATCGTCATCATCATCATCGTCATCAGGTGCAAAATCATATCAGGTTTAAAAAAAGCGACAACAACAACAACAACAAAAAAAAATTCGAGTCAAACAAAAAAAATCAATTTTTTTCAAATTTTAAAATTAATATAATAATGTAATGTAATAACTAATTATAAATCTTTTATTATTAATTATAATCTATATATAAATAAAAATAAATGGAAAAAAATCAATTAAAAATGTGATGCAATCACACACACACACACACACACACAGAATCACAACAGCAACAAATGTGTCTATGCTTGCGTGTGATTGAATCAATCAATCAATCATTCATTGATGATGATGATGATGATGTCATTGCTAAATAACAAATTTGTAACTAACAACAACATCAACAATGAAAACATTTTGATGATAATCAACAATTTTATGTTTAAATTTAAATTTCAAGCATGTGAAAAAAAAAAAAAAAAAATGAAACATGAAACATGAAACTTTGTAATTAAGACGCGTACACGTATTGGATATTTACATACACACACACGAATGACAAATGACAACAAGTGAATGATGATGATGGAAATCTATCTCTATATCTGTATATAATGTATGGATCTATATATTCAACAGGTTGTTTTTTCTCTCTGTGTGTGTGTGTGTGTAATGTGAATTTTTTTTTTTTAATAAAAATAAAAAAAACATAACAACTTTATCACTTGTTGTATATAAATTTGGATTGGTTTTCTCTCTGTGTGTGTGTTTGTTACGATTTGGATGATGATGATAATGATAATGATGATGCGAAGAAAGCAACATATTCGAATTTGAGAAAAGAAAAACATTCGAATTTTTTTTTCTCCATTTTTCCATCCAAGCTAGACGTAATTCGTTTCAAACGTTAAATTTTTTTATTTTTGTTTTTGTTTGATTATTGATAATTAATCGCTTTTGCTTAAACACATGTGTGTTGTACATACACACATACCGAGGTTTGTTTTAATAATATCATTGCAGCAAGAACTTTTTTTTCCAGCTAAAAACTGGACATTTTTTTTTTAATTAGTAAATCTGCTACTGCTACTGCTACTGCTGCCGAAATAATCACTAAGAATTATGATGATCATCCATAATGATTATTAGATATAGAGAGATAAATGATTTTTATTTTTCGGAAACAGTTTCATGAATGATCATGGATCGATTTATAGATTCGATTGATTATTATCTTGATTAATCAATCAAACGACAAATTCAAAAAAAAATTGCATGAAATGTGTGTGTGTGTGTGTGTGTGTGTGTGTGTGCACATGTTTCTGGAACCCATCATCATCATGAACATAATTTTCGATTTGCAATTCGTTCCAAGATTATCATTTTTTCCACAACAACAACAACAACAAAAAAACGATTGAAAAAATGATTTATTACCATGGATTTTTTTTCATCCATTCCACTCCCAATTATATATTATTTGTTGAAGATTGGATCCAATTTGATCATGATCATGATGATGATGATGATGATGATCACATGAAAAACATGATTATATTCCAATGGCGTCAGATCACATTATATGCGCGTTTTGGGTGCACTGCACACACACACACACACACACATTTCATAAAATGGAAGTAAAAAAAAAATCCATTTTCTTTTTTTTTCTCAATAAAATAAACGAATCGATCGATCAGATTAATTTGTTAATTTCAATCCTAAGACAGACAGAGAGAGAGAGAATGAGAGAGATAATTGAAAAAAAAAATTTGAGAAACCTTCATTCGAATATAATGTGAACGAGTTATGTATGTAATAATCATTTAGTCAGCAGCAAGTCATTCAAAAAAAAACAAAAAACAAACAAATTCCATGACATTAATGATTGATTGCGCGATATATTCAAAGGATATTCAATATTTATATGAATAAAATGGAAGATGAAATTGTCCCATACCAATTGAATTCATTACATGATCATGATGATGATGATGATGATCATTTTGTAGCATTTTTATTCGATGAAAATGAAAATCTATAAATCAATCGAAAATAATTTCACTTCTTCTTCTTCTTCTGCTGCTGCTGCTGCTGCTGCGATAGTTTGAAGCTTGAATCAAGTTTGAATCACGTTTTTTTTTCTTTCTTTCTTGATTGTTTTTTTTTTCTTGCCTTGAAATTGAAAATTTTACAGAAAAAACATCAACAACAACAAACGTAAACGTATTTACATATATAGAAACATAGAAAAACAACAACAGCCAAATTATCATATTTGGTTTTTTTTTTTTCTTCAATTTCATTCAAATCGCTAATCATTGGTTCGAATTTTAAACATGCGTCTTGAACATATACAACGGTAATATATATGCAATATATGTTCATCTTTGAGGTAATCTAAAAATTCATACTGGTCATAAGCCCAATGATTTTTGTCCAGTTTTTTTTGCTTGCTTGTTTGTTTGTTTGTTTTTTCCTTGAATTTTTTTTGGAAATTGGATTTTTTTGAAAACAACAACAACAACAACAACAAACGGTGATAATCATCATGAGACTTTATTATTATTATCATCATCATCATCAAAAACAACAAAATCATCATCTTTGGTTTTTTTTTCTCATTTTATTTATCAATTTCAATTTCATTCGCGAATCGAATCATTGATGATGTATGTACATATATTTTGTGTGTGTGTGTGTGAATAATTCATCAATCGATTGATGATAAATAATATATAAATGGATGATGATGAGGACAGATTTTTTTTATTTATAAAAAAAAATTATTATTATTATCATCATAGTACAGGTATACCATATAGATTGATCAATAGGCCATTATTAATTGCTTTCCAATATTGTTGACCTAATTCATTACGCATTTGAATCTGCCATAATGTTGATTGTTGTTGTTGTTGTTGTTTTGATTCTTGTTGTTCATATGGTTCCATTGTTATTGTTCTTTGTTGTTGTTGTTGTTGTTGATGATGATGATCATCATGATTATGATGGCTGCTGCTGCTGTATAATAATATTTGATTATTTTGATTTTCTCGTTGTTGTTGTTGTTGTTGTTGTTGTTGTTGATCATCATCATTATTATTATTATTCAATGGTTGTCTAGAAATAATTGTACTAATTGTTTCTTGAACAGGTAGAATTTGTTGTTTAACATATCGATATGGTTTAATATATTCATATATTTCCTGATATATTGGTTTCCGTATTGTGTGTATTAAACGAATTGGTTCATCAGTGGAAACCGTTTCTTCATATATGCCACCATTCGATCCATCATGTTGTGGTATAACATTTAAATTACTTGAACTTGATCGTAATATTAATGTTAATGGTATTGCTTGTGCTGGTACCTGTATTGTAACCGATTTACTATTATCAATTGATGATGATGGTGAATCAACATAAACAATACGATGTTTACGTATGATTGATGCTTGTACAAGGTTGTTGTTATTGTTATTGTTGTTGTTGTTGTGGTTTCCATTAGATGATGATCCATAGAATTGATTTGATTGCCGATGTTGCTGCTGCTGTAGTTGTGTTGTTGTTGTTGTTGTTGTGGTTTCGGATATTGATAATTGTGGCTATTATGATTGAAAATCGAATCACACACCGTACTGGAAATAATCACCAGAATAATGGTGATTAAAACTTTCACTTTCATTATTGATGAAAACTATCGACGATAATATGTTGATGATGATGGAACGAACAAGTGAGTGACTGAATGAACGGATTTTGAAAATTCAATCATCATCTTATCCGGACACAAATCAGTTTGGGGCTCGATTTTTTTGAATGCAACAACCACAAAAAACGAACGAACTAACGAACGAATGAACACAACAAACACAAACACAAACAAAACTAACTAGCTACTGTCAAATGTTCGATGTAACTTGATAATCCATTCATATTGTTGTTGTTGTTGTTCCATTTATTGAATTAAATGATCTTAGAAAACGATCAGATCTCATCATCATCGTCTTCGGGATCGTATGTCACTGTGTAAACGATAATGAAAAAAAATACTGTTATATGTAAACGATCAGTATCATTATGATGATCCTGATCGTTTTCATGTTGACGATGATAGTGGAGGTGGTGGTGGTGGTGGTGACCGAATTTATCATACACACACATCACAGGTATCATCATTATCATCAAATCATCAACAATGGAAAATAAATAATGATGGTGATGATGATCGATATGAAAATACACCTGTTTGGTCCATGGATCATAAAAGTTCATTTCGATACACAAATATATCGATTATATTGTTGTTGTTGACATAGATTCTCAATGAAAATAGCCAAATCGAAATGGTTGGCTATTTCGAATTATTTTTTTCGAATATTGTTGTACGTCATATATGTAGGTGCGTGCTTTAGAATGGAAAAAACTCAAATTAACACTTGTTAGATCCAAGCATTTACTCCCTTTTTCTTTTTTTTCCTTCACTGCCATAATTATATTTCTTTTCTTTATTTTTTAATGATAATCAAATAAAAAACATCAACAACGACAACAATGATTAGTGGCTAGTGGCTTAGGTCAATTTTACAATCAAAATTAAACTTGGCTGCAATTGGGAAATTGAATCGAACCACGGATAGAATTTATTGTCTTGGAACATCGATTATGGATTTATTTATGTTTAACGTTTATGAATGGCAATTTTTTAATGTATTTTTTATTTAAAATTTTAATAAATTAATATTTCAATAAAATCAATTAAATTTCAATATAATCGATTAAATTAATATGAGGTAAAGGGAATGAAAGGGGGTCAAAATTGCTGCAACAAAGCGACACCATCGAACGATAATCGAAAAAACAATCGGACAATTGCAATGATTAGTGGCTAGTACTCACGCGATTTTGGCGAGCTGAACCACTCCAAAATAGTCATTTACTCCCTTTTTCTTTTTTACTGCCATAATTATATCTTTATTTTTAATGGTAATCAAATAAAAAATCGAAACTTGGCTAGTGGCTGTCAATTTTACAATCAAAATTAATATTCAGATGATAATTTTGTGATGAATCGAATCGAAAAAATTAACATCGATCTTATGGTGCTGTTGAAATTATTTCCACATTTGCTGGATTCGATGTTTTTGTACCCGGTTCATTGGTTTCAACACGTGCATTAAAACCATTTTCATCCGATGTATATGATACGATACGATAGATACCAGTTTGTGGATTTTGAAATGAATATTGTCCAGTTATTCGTCCTTGTTCATCACCTTGTTCTTGTCGTTGTGATATGGTTCCATTTTCATCAACAGATTCAATATTAAATGAATACGGTTGTGGTGTTTCATGTTCATCAGGCGATGATGCTTGACGAACATTACGAATGGCTGACAGAAGATTACGGCAAACAATTTGTTCGTTAAATATGAGCACCGATATGGCCAACAAAAGAATGATTCGCTATTCAAATGAATGAAAAAATTAATTCAGAAATCAAAGGTATTTCAAACCAATCGGAACATACTTTGATCATTTTTTTTCACAATCGTTAAATTTCAGAAAAAAAAGAAAATTCAAATGTAAAACTTTAATAATGAACGATTTCAATAAATCGGAAATCAATCAATGATGACAATAATGACGATGTTATCGTTATTCGATATATTTGAATTTGATTTCCACGAAATCTAACACCTTTATATACACACATCATGTTGTTGGATGCATCAATATGGAATGTTTGTGAATTTGAATTTTTTTGATTTCTGTGTCTGTGTGTTATTGAAGAAAATGCAACAACAGTGCAGAAAAATAGCGTCATCGACGACAAAAACAATCATCATAAATTGAATTTTATAACGGAATAAACAGTGAATCATCAGATGAAACATCTTCATTTATTATTTTTTTCCAAAGAAAATGGAAAAAAAATTCATATTCATTCATGGCGCTTTTATTATTGAATTGATTGATTTCCAGACCTGTTGCTACTACTGCTTTACTGAATATTTTTCAATTCACAAAACACGAATAATCAATATATATATATCAACAATGGCAGAAAACGAAAAATGATGAGAAAAAATTTAAATTTCAAATGATTCATATACATCTGGTTGCATACACTTGTGCATAAGTGTTTGGTATGTGTGTGTGTGTGTGTATTTTATTTTAATAAAAAAAATTAAAATTCATTAATTTCATCCATACATACGGTAGTATTATTATCAGACCTCGAACACCATTTTGATGTTTTTTAATTGCCGAAAGCCATATTACACACATACAGGAACCATTTACGTGTATTTTTCAATGACAAATGTTTGTTGTTGTTGTTGTTTTGTTGTTCCAATTATGTTGAATAAAATTCCAAGTTCAAGAATCGTAAATCATTATGGATCGATTGCGCGTGATCCATGGTCGTCATATCGCCCATCATCATCATCATCATCATCTTCATACAAATCATCATTGACCACCACCACCACCGCCAACAATTGTACATTAATCATTCACATTCAATTCATCATCAGAAGAATGTATTATTCTCTCTCTCTTGTAAGAGATACACACTTTCAATTAACATTCCCACATATCATGAAAAGAGAAAGAGTGATAGTGATTAGAATCAATCATTTTGAATGATGATAAATTGATCATTTCCGATTTCAATTATTGTGGAAAAATTTTTTTTTCCATTTTTCACACCATCAGATGGTCATACAAAAAATTAATGACTTTTAAAATTTTTTTTTTTTAATTTTCAATTTTAACATTTATTTTCTCAACATTTAAAAATTGAAAAATTCATCAAGGAAGGTGTTGTTCAAATATGTAGGATGGTGTTTAGTGTATGTTTATATAAATGAATGAATTTTTAAACAAGGAACTTGATCATCATCATAATGCCTTCCCCTTATCATAATTATTCAACCTTGTAACCATTGTTGTTGTTGTTGTTTTTGTCGTTGTTGTTGTTGTTGATGACGACGGTAATTTGTTATTCAGATTCACAAATATGAATGGCTAATTAATTTTGACGATGATCATTATGGATATTATATGATGATGATGATTTGTTTGAAATGAATAAAAAAATTTTGTAGATTTTTTTTTATCACTTTATCAAGTATTGTGATCTTCTTCAATTCGTTGAATATCCAGATATTCATCTATACGATCCAGTTGATGGGCTTGAAATATCTATGCTTGTGGTCGACCGCGAGCAGCAGCTTGTGCAGAAGCAGCAACAGAATTCTGACGTTCTTCCGGTACTTCTTCGACACTGAAAGCAGCATCAGCAGAATCACGGTTAATAAGACCTTCTTCATTCGAACTGATTGTTGCCTGGTTTTTTATATTTTATGAAGATTTTAGCTAAGCAAGATAAAAAGGAAATGGAATCGTAAAATGGTTGCCTACCTTGAAACCGTCCGGTCCGGCCGTATAATCCACTCGTCGTCTGCGGCCTTCAGCGTCCATTATATGATAGAAACCAACAATGTTACCGCCAGCATCTTGTCGTTCTTCTCGGGTCAATTGGGCACCACTTTCTTCATCATTCACTGCATAGGAAAAAGAATATGGTTCAGGTGCTGGGTGCTGATTATCATCATCACGATCACGGACTGGTGCAGCAACGGCAGCGGATGTTGAAGGCCGTACTGGAATTTTAATAGCTGGTGCAGGTGCAGGTGCTTGAACTATTGGTCGAGAAGGAATTGGTCGTCTTGGAACTGGTGCAGCAACTGCAGCATTTGGTCGTGGTAATTTAGTGCCACCAATAGCTTTTACTGGTGCTGGAACAGGTGCTGGTGCCGCTGGTCGTAGTTGAGCAGTTGAAAGAAGAGAATTGGAATCGATTGGCTAATCACACATATTTGGAAATAATTTCATTAGGACAAAAAAAATGAAACAAATATCATTACCGTTTGACTTATTCTGGGTGGTGGAACCAATGGTCGAGTAGGACTTTTTGCAAAAGCTTTACGTCCAGGACTTAAAGCTGGATTGACATATGATCGACCTTTCTGAGCGGAAACATTAATGACCATTACAGCAATGGTCACTGCTATTATAATGAACTAAAATGATGGCCATTTGGATTAATTGTAAACAAAAATTTCATTCAAACTGAAAAAAAAAATTCAAATCAAATATAAAATCACCTTTTGCATGATGATAAAAATCGATTGATTTTTAATTGATGAAATATAAGATCAAATAAAGTGGTGATAGCTGATGAGCAAATAAGAAAGATATATATCGGCTTATAGATGATCACTGATCACTGGCTATCAAATGAATGAATGAACAAATGAACACTGTGTTTCAATATTCACACTTAATATGCAATGGATAGATTTTGATTGGCTATAATGAACAACATACAACATAAAAATATTTCGACAGTGGTCAACAACAGTTGTGCGTATGTTTATCTTCTGGACGATAATTGAGAGGGCAGCCAAAACATGATTTGTTCATCATGACTTTAAATATGTGTGGCGTTCCGCAAAAAAAAAAAAATTTTTTTTTTTCTTCTTGTTCAATCATTCATGATGATGATGACGATAATGATGATGATGATGATGATGTATTCGAATTGCTGACAATGAACAACAAGACAAGAATTGTCTGTGTTTGTGTATGTCTGTGTTTGTGTATGTTCTCTTTATAATTGATTTGTTTCTTCTTTCACTTATTCATCAATAATAATATATATGGATGCTTTTGGAGAATGAAGAGCCTAGCCCTGTTCCAGGATCATGATTATTGTTACTGATGTCGTTATGATAATGCCAATAATGTAGCAAGGATCGACCACCTTTTTTTGCTGTATTTGTTGTAATTCATAATCATCATTCATTAAAATTAATAAAATAAATAAATAGAAAGAAAAAAAAATAATAATTTCAATGCTCACCACTATGATCCATCAATCCATTGATATGATGGAAAAGAGTATGAATTATTATTATTATTATTAGAACGAATTGTCATGTGTATGAACCACCATATGAACGCGCATGTACATTTTCATAATTTGATTGGGCTTATCTTCAGATCTTTTAGATTGGAATTTATGATTAGTCAATATATTCAATTCAGTTGATTTTGATTCTTTTGAATTGTGAATTTTGGTTAAAATTGAGACATTTATTGCCATTGTCGGATATATCAAAATGGACATGATGAATGATGAATGATCCTTGAATCCTTCCTGATATTTATGCGTAGCTACCAATCATCGATTGACAAGTTGAATATATGTTTGTGTGTGTTCGATTGTTGAGGAAATTATTATCCATCGATCATCGATTGGAAGATGATTTGAAATGTTTTCGATGAGAAAAAAAGCCATCACAAATTATCATTGAATAAATATATGATTTTGGATTGTTTTCATTTCATTTCATTTTTTTTTTTGTTGCAAAAAAAAATATTTGGCCAATTCGTAGAATAAAAATGATGATTATAATCCTAAAAGAAAGTGGAGAAAAAAAATTAAACCTCGACATCGACATTAACATTCATATTCATATATATAACCAATGACAAGATGATTGTTGTTGTGTTGAGAATCATCATTTTGTTTCAAAATGAAAAAGAAAAAGTAAAAAAAAAAATTTCAAGGTAGCCCCGAACGGGTCAAATATACGTTGAAATTATTATTAGGATTGGCAACCACCAATAATAATAATAATAATTCATATATTCACTAGACAAATTGCCCTCAATGATAATGATTCCCTTATTAGGAGAGAATCTATTAGAGGCTGAAAAAAAGAAAAATAAAAACAAAAAAATTTTCATTACCATTATTAAATTAGAAAATTTTTTCCAAGAAAAAGAAGAAACATTTCCAATTTGTATCGTTGTTTTTTTGTTTTGTTTTTGAAAGTGATTTATCGCCATCATCAATGATGAATAGATTGATTCGAATGTTTGTGTGTGTGTGTGTGTGTGGCGGTAAAACATTGTATATCGATTGTATCGATTTGATTCATTCGAAAAAATTGATTCATTTTGTTCGTGATGAGAAAAAAACAAACAAACAAAAAAGATTTGGCCCATAATTTTCTAAAACGAAAAAAATGATGATTAGACTTGCTAAAATGTACAAAAAACAAAAAAAAAACAAAAATGATGATGATCATCATCAATTAACGTTCGTTCTTCCTTTTGGGCTACAATTCTGAAATTAGTACGTATCTAATTGAAAAATTTAAAATTAAGATTTTATTTCGTTTTATTTTATTTCATTTTTGTCCATATATTAAAATTAAATCAACATTTATATATTTGATGGACATAATCATCATTATCATTTATTGTTGTTGTGAATAGATTGTTGTCCTTGACTGTTTTGGTTTGTGCGTAAATTTTTTTTTTTTTTTTTTTTTTGAAGAAAAAAAACGATTTCACAATGAATTATTGGTCAAAGAAAAAAAGATTTTTTTGGTTATTTTTTCGGTTTTTGGTTATTAGACAACATTTGTGATTTGTGATTGATCAAAAAAATCAATCAATTTTCGAATCATCAGAAAATGAAATGTGAAATGTGAAGTTGTTTTTTGTGTGTGTGTGTGTGTGTATATAATGAAGGGTAATGAATGAACGCACCATCTAGTGGCGATCGATTTAATTTCATTTTTAAACTTGACGAAGAATTTCCACATCAATTGCCTGGTCTTCATAATCATCAAATTGGTCATCATCTTCATCATCACTTGGTGAATGATCTTCACCACTTTCATTGTTAACATCAACATCATCATCATCATCATCGTCATGAATTTTTTTCGGCGCTTCAATAAACAACAGATTTTCTGTTGTTATCCATGATGTAACTTCTTCAGGACGAATTGCTTTTGGTAAAATGTATTCACGATAAAAATGATTGGTCACATATTCTTTACCATTGTCAAGTTTTTCACGATGTGCTGCCGACACAAGAAAACCTTTACGAAATGCACGTACTTTTAAATCATCTGGCGATAATTCAATGACATCCAAAATCAATTGAAATTTACTTGGTCGTATGAGAATTTCACCCAATTGTTTTAGTTGATTTTCACCAGATTCCAAATGATGATCACCATCTTTAGCCAACAATGTGGACAGACATTCTTCTGTTTCCATCGATGCTGATGATTGTCTTCGAAAACTATGTATATATGTAAGAAAACAAAAATCATCATAAAAAATGATTAATTTAATAATAATCAATCAATCTCAATCTCATTTTTTTTTTCTCCTGTTTCAGAAATCAAAATCAAGTGAAAATGACAAACTTTTTATTAATGAATGGATTATTATAGAAATTTGCTGCAAATGTCAATTGTGGTAATGAAACACGACGTGCCGATGAATGTAAACGATGTGCCATTATTATTGTTAGAAACGAAATGATAATAATAATAATAATAATAATTTTTAAAAAGATGACAAATTATCATTCACCACCAATTACAACGACAATGACAATGACAACAAAAAAAAAAACACAACAAATTTAAAATCATAAATTTATTTATCGAAAATGAAAAGAAAAAAAAAATGAATCATTTCATATCATTACAACCGAATGTTTATATACAAACATACACACACACACACACACACACACGAACGAACGATCACAGAGACAAATCATTTGATGTTTTTCTAATGTTTTTCTGTATTGAAAACAGAATTTTTTTTTTTTTTTTTTTTTGATAGATATGTGTCACTTTGTACAGTTTGTTACGTTATTATTATATTGATATAAGACAAGAATTTCACATTTTAATTCATTCATTCACATTGTCAACAAGTTTTCATGTTCTGTAGTTATTCATTTTACATATATATCAAGATTATTCCATAATATTTTGGGTAAATGTTTGTAAAGAACTTACAAACTTTACAAAATACCAAAAAAAAAAAAAAAAAATGATGTATACGAAAAAACACACACACACACACACACAAATGATTGATGACAAAAGTGTTGAAAAATTTTCCTTTTTTTTTTTTTTTGTTCGTTGTTCCCACTGATTCAGATCCATCATTATCATCATCATCATCATCGTCATCATCAACGTTTTGTTGAACAAATTCAAATGGCATTTATTAAATTTTTATTCGCCCGCCAAAACCAAAAAAAAAAAACAAAAATATTCTATTCACACACCGTACGTACACACACACTATATGAACAAAAATTCTATATTCGAATCATCATCATCATCATTATTATGTTATTTTTGCAATTCGGCGTGACAATTAATGAATAAGTGATGCATTGAATTCAAAAAAAAAAAAAAATTTTCCGTCATTATCATCCATCGTCTTCATCATCATATGGTTTGGAATGTTTATTTTTAGTGTTTTTATAAATATAAAAATTGAAAATATGAATGAATGAATGAATGAATGTGCCGATATCAACACACACACACACACACACACACACACTATTTCAGTGTGTAATTATGATGATGATTTTTGTTTTTTTGGGTTTTTTTTTCGTCTCTTCCTCTGGGGTTCATTCGTGTTTGTTCGTCTCGGGTGGTTGTTGATTTGATTCGCATGTTTTGTAACATTTTTTTTGTTTTGTTTTGTTTTGTTTTGTTTGTTTGTTTTCACTCTTGAAAAAAAAAAACTTATTCGAAAATGGCATTAGACCGCAACGAAACAAAAAAACAGAAAGTTATTTTCTGAATTTATGCAAATTATGTTCGAATTAAACCATAATAATAATAATAATAATGGCAAACGAGAAAAGGAGAGAGAGAGGGCACGTGTTTTTTTTTTGCCCAATCTTCCAACCAAAAATGATCAGAATCAGCAATTTTAATTAATTTATAAATTCCCACACATCATCATCATCATCATCATCATCAACATTTTTTAGTGGTGAATTTATAATGATCATCATCATCATCTTGATGAACAAAAAAAAAAAAAATAACATACACCATCGTTTTTTTTTCATTATTTTATTTCATTATTAAAAATAACGAAAAAAAAAAAAATTCTCAATTTATTTTTAGCTCATCATGATGATCATCAGAAAAAAAAATAAATGGCGACTTGAGAACATGATACAATCTTTTTTTTTTTTTTTTGCTCATGAAATTTCTATAGAATATATTCTTTGCTATTTCGCCATGTTTTTTTTTAATTTATTCATCATTAAAATTGTGGACTCATATTCTTCGAAATTCGTATCAAAAATGTACGAATCTCCATTGGTCCAATTTCAACGTCCATAGTATTCGAATCGAATGGTTTACCAACATTATGGTCATTTTTATTATTATTAAATGATGATTGATAATTAAATCTTAAACGATCATCCAATGCATTGATTGGTTGATTGGCAGCTAAAGTCATCTCTTCAGCATCAATTATATTGAATGTAGTGAATAATTTTCGTAGATTTACAGTCACTTTTTTACTATTATATTCGTTATGTTGATAAATATTTTCTAAACGAATCAATAAATTACCATATGACCATTGTTCTAATGTTAATAAATGTATTTGTGGTGGTAATTCTGTTTCCAGTAATGAATAATTATTTAACGATATTGATTGTCGATAATGATGATGATGATGTTGTTGTTGACGTTTGTTTAGTTTACTGAAAGCCATTATAGGTTCCATATAAAATTGTTGTGATAATGGTCGATGATAATCAGAATCAGAGTGGCCATCATAAAACAATAATAATCGATGTCGGCCACGAATAACTAGACCATGACCATCAATACCAGTTTCATTCAATGCTTCATCCACACCAAAACCATCATCATGTAATAATCGTCGATGTACCATTAATTCAATTGTTCCATCACTAGGACTAGTACCACCTTGTGATCGATCAGTTAACACTGCCATAGATCTACCATGATCTCCTAAAATGATACGAGAATTGACCGGATAATAATTACCGGCAATAGGTTCTTCAATTTCAAATGGCCATGTACGACGATAATTCCATTTTCTATATATTAATTGTCGTCCATTAGCATCCGTATAGAATTGACCATTATTTCCATAATTTTTTATTTGATATTGAACAACAATTTCTTTACCAATATTATCCAATATGGATATAGGTTCAATAACGTAATCAAATTCAACAAATTTACTATCCTTTGTCAATCGTATAATTTGTCCAACATTTGAATCAAATCGTTGATGTACTTCTTGTACAATACCATAATTATTATCCACATAAAGAATAGCTTCAACAACATGACCATATGGATAGGTACGTTGTGCATTCGGTCGAAAAATGTAAGCACCACTTGAACGATTTATTTGAAGTTTATTATCACCAACAGCACCTTCATAATAACGGAATCGATTCTGAAATGAAAAAGGAAAACTTTGACCGACTGCTATCTGTATTGGTTGTCCATTTTGATCAAAATATAAATCAAAATTATTGCCAGATAATTTAATATTATTCGAATCAATACGTTTTCCTTGTATTAATCGAGCTGTTTTTTCCGTCGCAATCAATGATGATCTTATTGTATAGGTTTCAATACCTAATGCTGTTACATTCACTTTGAATACAATTTCAACATTTGAATCGTAACGATGTGATCGTCCAGGTATATCACGTATCCATTCAGGTATCGGTATTAATATTGCCGGTATTGTATGACCTTCAGCATCGAAAACTTGATAAAAAAATTTTTCATTTACAGGCAAACGAATCCTATGATCTGATAATGGATGCGATAATGGATTATACAAGGTAACAGTAAAACTATGACCACTTTCTGTTATTGGACAAGAACTAATATTTAATTCATTACAATATTGTAATTGTTCAGGTTGTGAATGAAATTCTAGGCCCAAATTTTTGGCAATATTTCCGAAACTTTGACTAATAACTTGTTGACATTCAACAATGGCTTTATGAAGTAATCGTGCATAATCATTGGCAACATGTTGTTTTTCTGTTCCTATTGAACGACAAAAATTGAAAATTGAAAATTCAAAATAATAATAATGATGATGATGATGATTACAGCATACCTGATACAGCATCATGATGTTGTAAAATGCCCATTGCTTCACGAAGATTTGTTATATTATCATCGAATCGGCCATTATTTATGGCCAATGCATCCAATTGTTTACATGCTTGTAACCAATTATTTGCAACACGTTCCATACGTTTCAATGATGGTCTTGATGTATAATATCCAGTCCAATATGCATGTGGATCGGATGCATATGGAAAATAATCATCATTTTTACTAGTCCATGTATGATTACTATTCCAAAGTGCTTTTGTATAACATGTTGGTGTTGAATAAAATGTACGTACATTGGATTTTTGATCACCATTTATGGCATCTATTAATTTATCCATATTTTTATACCATTGATGAGCGGATTGATAATTGAAATCAGTACCCATTGGAAACATTATATGATTTGTTGCATAATAATAGGAATATTTTCTTGCTAATTTTTGAAATTTTTCCACAATTTCTGGTACATTATATTCTTCGGAATTTTTATTATCAACAATAGGATCATTTTCACCACCAACAAGATCCCAATCTAATCCATTTGGTGGACCATAACCCATTTGCATCATACCAGTGAAAATATCACTACGATTACCAAGATCATCTGAACCTTGCCATACATGTTCCAATGTATGATGATATTGACGATAACGACGATCCTGATAATCTTCACGTGCAAAATACATTGCATCATAACCCATTTGAGCATAAAGGCTAGCCATTTCACGTGAATGTCCAAATGGATCAATTTGCCATGTAACACGTGGTCGGCCACATTTACCAAATGTATCATTTAAACGTCGTAAACCCCATGTAGATTGATCGATTAATGATTGATAATGTGTGGTCGCTTCATCCGGCATTGACCAACCACCATTGATAAATTCAAATTGACCTTTTTTGTTCAAATCATATCAAATATAGGTAAAATTAATCAGCCAATCAATCAATCAAAATCTAAATCAAAACTTACCAGTACGAACCAATTCTCTTACAATTGAACGCATTTTTTCATCCTGTTCAAGCCACCATTTCCAAAAATATGCTGTCTCAACATAAATAAATTTACGTTGTTTATTACGTATCAATTCATCGATCACCGTATCCAGGATATATTGTACACCAGCATTTTGGATCCATTGTTTTGTACCATAATAATATTGATCAACTGTTTTTAGCCAGCCAACATCATCATGTGTATGCGGAACCAGGTGGACATATAATTTTGTTGGATCCGATATTTCCACAATGGTGGGACATTTACGAAAATCACATTTTTCAGGAAGATCATCTTCTAATTCAATTCGAACAGCATGAATGATTCGAACAACGGGAATAATAATTAGCAATGAAAATGCAAATAACTTCAGTGGCAATAATTTCAATTTCATTGTTGTCACTATGAATTTCTAATGCAAAAAAAAAAAAAAATACGAAGAAAATAAATGAACGACAAAAAAAATACGCATCAATATTTACAAAATAATCAGTTGAAGAAGATTTTCTTTATTCAACATTTTTTTTTTAAATATCAAAACAAAGACAAGATAAGAAAAAATAATAATCAAGTTGACATTTGTATATGATATCAACAGAAAAAAATAAACATTAAAAATAGAAATAGAATAGAATAGAATGATGATGATGATGATTATACACAAATCAATCGATGGTAATGACTTCAATCACAGTGGTGGTGGCAGTAGAAGCAGTAGAGGGTAATTTTGATTTTAAAATCGAACATTTTGATTTTGATGATACTGATGTTGTTGTCGCTGCTGCTGCTGCTGTTGGTGGTGATGGTGATGATGATGATGATGGTCGCCATTCCAAATGAAGAATATTTCGATGATAATCATGTTGATGATGATCATATCGAAAATTTGGACTAAAACGTTTTTTCAATGGTAATTTTCTTGGATCAATTGAACGTTTTATTAAGGATTTTTCCATGGATTTATTTTTTTTGTTTTTCAACATTGATTTGGATGATGATGATGATGAACAATTATTTTCAATAATAGTCGTTGGTTGATGGGCAACAATATAAAGATGTCTTTTAAGTAATTCAGTTGTTGTTCGCCGCCGATTATGATGATAAATATTCATTAATGCTTTACAATGTTTACAGATAATGATCCATGGTTTTGGTCCTTGTCGATAATTGGGAAAATAATTAAAAAGTGATCTTGGTAATGGCCATGATTTTGATATGTATGATGATGATGATGATGATGATGATTTTTAATCTGGCAACGCTAAAACTTGATTTAGACATATTTTTGGTCATCAATTTAAATTCAATATAAGCGTGTTACACATGTGTTACATGTGCGTGTATTCGATTTGAGTGAATTTGAACCATGCCGATTTTTCCAAAAAAAAAAAAAACATTCGATATTCATATATCAAACAAAAACACTCACACATACATAGATTCAATGACGATGGTTCAAAGAGTAAACTGAAGTCCTAGATGGTTATTTGACTTTTATAGGAAAAAAAATCCACTGTAACAGATAACATTGTGTTTTTTTGTTTTGATTATGTTTATCATACCTCCATAAAAAAATCGACCCTAGGGACATTTTTTTTGTTGTTGTTGTTACGTTTGGTGGTAGAAAAAAAAATGTGTTTCTGTTCTTTGCTGTGTGTGTGTGTGTGTGTGTGTGTTTTATTTTCTAATTGTTTTTTGTTGTTGTTGTTGTTGTTGTTGTTGTTGTTGTTGTTTTGTTTAAATAATGCTAAATAGCAGTAGTAGACTATGTTTTTTTATGCCATAACGTTGATGATGATTCGAATGATAAAAAATTTTTTTTGTTTGTGTTTGCAAATGACACATAAATAATACACACACACACATTATAAACAAAACAAAAAAAATGGTCAGCAAAATCAAGGTCATCTTCATCTTATTTTGACCTTCCGTAGTAACAGTTGTAGTAGACAGTAGAATATGGATGGAATAATAAAATAATTGATTCGTTTCGAATTTTAAAAAAAAAAAATGTTATAAACAAATTTTTAATAAAATCGAACGATTGCTGCTGTCCATAATAATCAAACATTTTTTTTTCGAAAATTATCCATTTTCTTTGAACATCAAAAGATGGCGACCAAATCTATAGTAGAGATTATATAATAATATACTGCTATCATTTTTTGATTTATTATTATTTCAATACAAACCAATTGTAGTAGTAGTGGAAGTAGTAGTAGTAGTAGTAGCGTGATAAAATATTCTGCATGTGAAAGATATGAAAATTTTTTTTTTTTTTTTTTAGTAGTGGTCAGTGAAAGAGTTGAGATGACATGAAAACATACACACATTTTTTTATTAAAACCAGAGGGGGCCATACTCGAATACACCATCCACATTGCCCGTGGTGTGAGTGTGTGGGGGGAAGGAAGAAAGAAAAAAAAGAATGAAATTTTCAAGGCGTTGGCATGTTGCCTGAATGATGATGTTTAGCCGACAATGATTATAATGTTCGGAAAAATGATTGTTGTTATTTTGTTAGGGCGATGAATTGTCAAACAAAATACAAACATTGTGGTCAGTCATTTTTACGATAATAACAATAACAATAATAAACAACAACAACAACAACAAATCAAACGCATTGAAAATTTAAACGAAAAAAAAAATTCAATTTTCAAAACCGCAAAACGCACGCACATCATCATCATCCTCTTTTATCCGAGATTGCATAATTTTTTCCCGGTTCTTCAGCGCAAGATCAATCAATATATATATTTAATATATCCGCCAAAACAAAAAAATTATTCCATGTTGAAATGCATTGAAATTTCATTAATTATTTTTTTTTCTTGAATCATCATTACCATCATCATCATTGTTGTTTGATGTTGAATCGGCAAAATAAAAATAAAAATAAAAATTTCCATTTTATTTGGAACAAAATTTTTTCGAGTAAGTCAATAATCTATATGTGATGATGATGGGAGTTTTTTCTTTTTTGGTCTTTTCCTTATTACTTTATATATTATTATTATTATTATATTATTAAACATTGAAAATTGAAGAAATCAGTTATAGTTTGTTATTAACAATGTGTTTATTATTATCTTTTTTGGAAATGTAATGTAATCATCATCAAAAATTATTATATTGTAGTATATGTTTTTAATGTCTATTTTTTTATGACATCTTAATGAGTGTGTGTGTGTGTGTGTGTGTGTGTGTGTGTTTGTATTATATTTCTTACGACAAATAATTGTAACGGGTTTCCATTTGTTCGTTCGTTCGTTCGTTTGTTTTTTTCTTGTTGTCATTTTCATTTGAATTTTGTGAGATAATAAATATGTTTTTGTGTGTTGTTGTTGTTGTTGTGTTGATTGATTGATGTTCAGATGTGGCAAACTTCCCTATTCCCTGTGTGTGTGTGTGTGTGTGTGTGTCTATTTGATTGATCTGATCAATCAAAAAAAAAAGTTGTATTTTTTTTCATTTTGATTGACAATAATCATGTTCGACGTGTTTATAATCGATCAATCGTTCGAACGAACAAACGAACGTGACTGACAATCCTAAATTTATTTTCATTTTGTTTTTTTTTTTCATTGTTGCTAAACAATTAGTGATGATTGGTTTTTAATCATCATTAAAAACACACACACACACATAAACATCGAAATTGAAGAATATCGTATTCAATGAACCATTCCAATCAATTTTAAATTAATTTTGAGTTTTTTTTTAAATTATTACTCCTCTGAAAAGTGTGTGTGTGTGTGTGTGTTTGAATTATTTGTAAATTCAAGGTCTGTTTTTTTCTTCATTGAATTGTTTGCAAACACAAGTGCTGCTTTTTTGAATAAAATTGATGTGAATGGAAATATAACCCTTTTGTCTGTGTGTGTGTGTGTTTGTTGCTGTGTTGGCATGAAACCTGAGAGATCTGCATCTTTAATTTGTATGGATGGATGTTAGTTTGTTTGTGTGTGTGTGTGTGTGCAACCTGTGATTCTGTTTTTATTTTTAAATGTTTACACTAGGAACAAGAATCGTATGGATGAGTCATAGTTTTTTTTATTTTTTTTTTTTTTTTTTTTTTGAGAAAATAAGAAATCCTCCTACATCTAAAATCATCGGCTGTTTTATTCAAAATCTTGAACCTTGTACTTTTTGATTTTCAAAATCTTGAATTTTATTCTCTGTTTACTAATTATCATCATCATCGATATGCATCCGAAATCTTCCCACATGTGCATATATATGTTTTGAAAACAAATTTTTTCCTTTCTACAGATAGTTTGTTGATTAATTTATCATATCACATTTCTATAGTCTTCATCATCATCATCATCATCATCATACGAACTAAAGTGGGTTAATTAATATATTGATGATGATGATGTTGTTTATGATGGATTTACATTTCAATCTGATTTGTCACTTTATTTATTAAAACATTTTTCTTGTTTTTCTTTTCTTTTTTTTGAACAGATTCTATCAATGTAAATGGTGGAATGAAATATGTGATGGATGATGATGATCATTATTCATTTTGACATTTAAATGTCAATCATAATTTTTTTTTACGTTGAAAGAATTCATTCATTCATTTATTTTTAGAGAAATCATTTTCCATTTTAATTACAAATAAATACACATTAATCAAACATACACACACACACACACTCACGATGGGTGGACGTATGTCGTCCTCGTTGAATGATATACATAATTCTTGTGATGATGATATGAATCCATCGATAATGAAAAGTGAATCAGCTGCATCAACACCAACAGCAACAACAATGATGATGCATAATAATGGTTTATCACCATCGATATCACTTCAACAGCATCAATTATCATCATCATCATATAAATCTAAATCAATGAAATCATCGATTGGTTCACCAACGAATAAAAAACAACAACAACAACGAAATAAATTTAGTAAAGGAATTAGTTTGGATCATACAAATTATCAACCAACAGCCAATATGTCAATGTTATTATCAACAAGTGATATTGAAAGACCGGAAAAAAATGAATTGGAACGTAGATTTCAAAAAGGTTTGCCAATATATATTTGATTAAAACTTTCAAGTTGTTAAATAAAAAAAAAACTTTTTTTCTAGTTCTCACATCAATGGATTTACCACCGGATAAAGCAAAATTATTACGTAGCTATGATGATGAACGTAAATGGGAATTGATACGTGATCAAGGAAAAATTACCGCAAGACAATCACCACAGGATTATCTAGATAAATTGCAAACTTATCTGGATCCAAAAGCGTCGAAAAATTCTAAAAAAATTCGTCAACTTGGTGGCGTTACATCTACACAAGTACTTCGTGATCTTGAAATTTCCTTACGAACAAATTCAATTGAATGGGTTCGAGATTTTCTTTCCGAGAATCATCGTGGTCTAGATATTCTTATTGAATATCTAAAATTTCGTCTTCAAACACAAAAACAAGAACAATGGCGTGAATATCATCAAGATGCCACCAATAGTAATCAACATTATTCCAATAATAATGGAACAATTAAAACAACATATAGTTCTACATCGACAGCCAATCTTAATTCAAGTCAGGAAAGTTTTCCATCTTCAATTGCTGCAAATCAATCGAATGGCTCGATCAGTAGCCATACGCTACAACGTAGACCATCATTCCTATTCTCACGACAACATTCAACCAAAGTCAAATTGGGACAAGTTGGTGATGATGTACATGTCTGTATAATGTGTATGCGTGCCATTATGAATAACAAATTTGGTTTCAATTTGGTTATGGAACATAAATCAGCAATCAATTGTATTGCCATATCGATGACACATAAATCATTACGTACAAAATCGCTAGTTTTAGAATTACTAGCTGCCATTTGTCTGGTTAAAGGTGGTCATCAAATGATACTCGCTGCATTCGATAATTTTAAAGAAGAAATTGGCGAAAAACGTCGATTCCAAACATTGATGCATTATTTTATGAATTACGAACAATTTAATATTGATTTTATGGTCGCCTGTATGCAATTCATCAATATTATTGTCCATTCGGTTGAAGATATGAATTTTCGTGTTCATTTGCAATATGAATTCACACAGCTTGGTCTTGATAATTATCTAGAGAATAAATTGCGCAATATGGAATCCGATGATTTACTTGTACAGATTCAAGCCTATTTGGACAATGTATTTGATGTGGCTGCATTAATGGAAGATGCTGAACAGAAAAATGTAGCCCTGGAACAATGTCAACAATTGATACAACAAGTGGCCAATGCACATGAAGCCGAACGTGATTGGGAATCAAAATTTCATGAACTTAAACATGAATATGATTCATTGGAAAAAGATCGTTTAGATTTGGCCGAATTGAATCAACATATGAATGATGAGCTAACAAGGCTAAAACAATCCGTATGTGAATTGGAAGAATCACGACGTCGTGAATCATTGCTTGAATCTCGAATCAATGAATTAAAACGAATGTCAACCAGTGGTGGTGGTGATATCGATTCCAACCTAGTCAATAGTGATACTACAACCGGTTCCAAAATTTCATCCACACTATCATCATCATCATCAACAACAACAGCAGCAACAGTGCCTCAAAGTCCACAACCATCATTAACAGTTCCTCCGCCACCACCACCACCACCACCTCCGCCTCCGCCACCATCAATCAGTATGGTGCCACCACCACCACCTCCACCGCCTCCAATGGCTTCCGGTGCATTCGGATCATCAACAAACGATTCATCGAATATGTTGATGACTTTAAAGCGAACTTACCAGACAAAATATAAATTACCTACATTCAATTGGGTACCGTTAAAACCAAATCAAGTAAAAGGAACGATATTCAATGATTTTCATGATGAGGAAACCATACTTAAAACGATTAATTTTGATGATTTTGAAGAACAATTCAAGTTGGGTATTAAATCGTTTGGTGGTAAAAAAGGTGGTCTTATCGGTCAAGATCAACGAGATTCTTCGGGCATGGCTAATGGTATTGGCAACAACAACACCGGTGGTGATGTATCGAAACGTTTTAAAGTACCGGAAAAAGTTTCGCTTTTGCAACATAATCGTCTTAGGAATATGGCCATTTCGATGCGTAAAATTGATCTCGATACCGAAACGGTAGTGAAAGCAATACATTCATTTGATACAAACATATTATCTATGGATTATACCGAAGTTTTGTTGCGAATGATACCACAACCAGAAGAAACCAAATCTTATCGTGAATATGAACGACAAGGCAGATTAATTGATGAGATGAATGATGTGGATAAATTCCTATTGCAAATATCCAAAGTTGAACGTTTGGAACCTAAATTAAGAATAATGTTCTATATGAACAATATTAATTTGCCCGTCGATTCACCAGCTTTCAATCATAAACCTGGATCAGGTGGTGGTGATGGTGATGCTACAATGGTCATAACAATTATAACGCAATATATGCAACGAATAAAAACGATTCGTGAAGCAGCCATAGCTATACGAACATCACCCGGTGTAAGAGAAATACTTGAATACATTCTTGTTTTCGGTAATTATCTGAATTGTTCAACACGTACATTGGCTACAGCACCAGCATATGGTTTTAAATTACAAACACTTGATCTGATTACTGAAACAAAATCATCTGTTGATCGATCACGTTCATTGTTACATTATCTTGTTGATGTTATATTGGTCAAAGAAAAACCAGGCGGTAATCATTCTGGTCCTAGTAAATCTGAAGTTTTAGCCACTGCTTTAGCTATACGTCCATTATTGATTAGTAATCGTTCACAACATCAATTGACTGGTGGTAATTCTGATGCCAGTGTTTTGGAGAACATTAAAATGCCTTATGATTTTGATCACCTGTTGCAGATAATCGAACGTGCAACATCAGTTTCCCTTGAAACTTGTGTAGCCGAAGTACTTGAAATAGAAAAAGGAATGGAATTATGTAGAAATGAATTACAGCTTCGAAATCAAGGTGGTCTTGCATCAAGTCCAGCAACTAAAATTCTACAACAATTCATACAGCAAAAAGGACCCGAAGTTTCTGGACTCAAAGATGAATTACGAAAAACTCAACAACAATACAATGAATGTGTGGAATATTTTGGTGAAAATCCTAAAATGTTGGAATCATCCAATCAATTATTCGGTACTTTTGTTCGTTTCCTAAAGAATTTCAAACAATGTCAATTAGATAATCTGATGGCACAACGTAAACGTATCGAAGAAGAATTGCGTCGACAAATTCTAGCCAAACAACAACAACGTATGATGCAACAACAACAGAATAATAGTAATGGTGGCAGCCAATCAGATCAATCCGGTAACCATAATCAACAAGGACAAGCAACTAGTGATAATCAAAAAGTTAAGGAAAAACGTCTACTCAAACAGGATGAAGTTTATAATGGTGCTTTAGAAGACATACTTTCAGGTAAGGAAGATGATGATTATTTTAATTTTTTTTTTATCACAATTGTACTCAAAATATTTGTTTTTGTTTAGGCCTAAAAAATGAACCATTTAGACGTGCAGATGCTGTACGACGAAGTCAACGTAGACGCCAAGCTAATATGACTACGAATGAAATGCAAGATAATAATGTATGATATTTGTTTCTTTGAAAAAAATACTCGTCATATATGCCGATCAATTATCAAGATGTATTAGTTTTTGATGATTAAAAAAAATCAATGTTGAAACGAATTGCTCAATTATCATCACCGAAAATGACTGAATTCCATGAATTTTGATTGATCTAATGATTTTGAAATCGTCATAGCGAAAAATTGAATGTGAAACAAAATTCCCATTATTTAAAACCGAAAATTATTTTTATAATTATTCCGCCGTCATCTTCACAAGGCGTTGCCATACTGTTTTTCTCTAATTTTTTGATTGATTTTTATGTTATTTGATTTTTTTTTTGCTTTACGATGTAACATATATACTTGAAATTAATTCATGGCCAAAGCAGTTTTTTTATGAGAAATAAAAATAAAAATTTTATTTTATTGTCAGTGAAATAGAGATTGTACAGTTGGAAAAATGATGTCTATTGGTTAATTTTTTTCCAATTCACGTTTAAATGCTGGTGCCAATACTTTGGTCATTTCCTTACGTACGGTGTCTTGGAAAATAGCGGTCAATACATCAGATAAAACGCCAAAAATTGGATCCAAGATTGAAAGACCACCAATATGGTTGACAACATTAGCGAATTGTCGTACTTCAAAAGATGTCATTGTTATGTTACCTTCATCAGAAATTTCAAGGGACAAGGCAACAACAAAATCTTGAATATCCGAAATGACATGAGTGTTTGGATGAAGATCACCCAATTTGTATGCTAAATCATATTCCATCGAGACGATATCATCGTGAACACCGATCAACAAATGAGCTTTAACAATACCCTCTTCACCTTTGACATTAGCATCACCTTGACGTTTCATTTGTTTCAATCCTCGAGCCTCAATGTTTCGCATGGCTAATTCACCTTTGAAATCCAAAATACCAACATGACGTTCGAATTTATCGGCATGATCAGGTACTTTCATTGGATCTATTGTTTCGGATTGTTCAATAGCAGCAATGGCATCATCAATAGCTTTGTTGATTTCTTCGGTGATTTTATCATAGTGAACTATATAAGCAAAAATATTTGAATTTAGTAATTGATTTTTTCATTTAATCTGCGAAACTTACTTGGATCAGCCGAAACGGCGACAAATGCCACGGCAGCAATCAACAAAAATTTCATCATTTTGTAAGATATGTTTTTTTTGGATTGTTATTGATATAAGATGTAGACCAGAGAATATGAAATTCAATACAATTTCTAATGTGGCTTTTATTTCTTTTCCATTGATGATTGTATCAATTATTGCATGTACTCGAGTTTAATTGATTTATCAACAGGAACAGTATTCATTCATTTAGATTGATTATCAATGATAATACATCATCGACATTGTGATTACATTTTACATTCGCCCAGTCACATGGAACAGGAATAATAAATGTATTTGATTTGATGATGGCCACTTGAAATTGAATAACAAGGTCGTAAATCCAACAATTGATTGATTTAAAAATGGATCATTTTTATCATGATTATCAATCTAAAATCGATTGTCAATCAATAATTATTAGCTACAAATACTTAAAAATAATTTATTTCTTTTTTCTACAATACATTTCTTTCACAAATTACCAGTCGCAATAAAAAAAAATAATTTAAAGTTGATATAAATTAAGAACCAAGGTCAATTCTAATGAATTCTATCGGGAAAGAAAACGATTCGAATCGTTTTTAAAGAGATCATACAATGCCATCTTTTGGCAATCGGTCCAATTAGCCCCAGATATATTTTTTTTACCATAATTAGGTCTTTCAAGCATGTTTGTTTGTTTACATTCGATTATTGATTTAGAAACTGATTTTATTTGCTGAATTTTTTTCCCATGATATCATAATGGATGCATGTTTGTTTGTTTACATTCGATTATTGATTTAGAAACTGATTTTATTTGCTGAATTTTTTTCCCATGATATCATAATGGATGTCGATTATCAACGAGAATTATGTTTAGCATTAAACATTTCAATGAATGAATTGAATAAATCATTTTCAAATTGGCGTTTCAATGTTCTAAATGTTCGTGGTCTAGATGCATTGACATCTGAAGATGTTTATGAATATTTTCAACGTAAACCACATTCAATCGAATGGTTATCAAACATTTCATGTAATGTTACATTTGAAGGTATTAATGAAGCATTTGAATCATTAATATCGATAGCAAAAGCGATCATCATTCAAAAGAATGAAATTGATTGGCGTGAAAATTCTTATGGCGTCAAAGGAGTGGATAATTTGAATCTAAATGTTGATACAGCTGATAAACTAGAGATTCCTGTACCACCGAATTTTCGTTATGTAATGGGTGAGAAACATCCAAAAGCTAAAACAATATTGATACGTTTTGCAACGATTAATGATCGTAAAGTCAATCAACAATTGCCTGATACGGCACCAAATGAACGACAGCAAATAATTATCGCTCAACGATCATCATCCACCGATCCACCATCTAATGTTCCATTGCGAAGAGTTAAACGAACAAGCAATGAAATTATGATGGAAATTGATGAAGATATTGTCAATGATTCACTTGCAAAAAGACGACGACAACGTCGATCTATGCCCCCGATTCGTATGCGAATGCGAGCTGACGAAGAAGAGGAAAGAATTCGACAGCAACGTCAACGACAACAACGATCATCAAGTGATCTACGTTCACGATTATCTAATGTATCATTTTCATCATCAAGAATTGGCGATCGAATACAATTACAATCCGTATCATCGAATCGTATTATGAAAGCCAAACGATCAGATTCAATTTGGCGTCGAACCACTGATGATGATGCTTTAAAAAGTCGAATGCGATCAATCGCATTGGATGCAAAGACGGGTAAAAAATATACAACAACAATTGGTGGAAATACCAGAACTGTAGGTGATCTTCGTAACAAATTAAACGAACCGATCATACGAGTACAGGTTACCTATGATGATGAAGAAATCGATTTCTGAATTTATAAATTTATTCTTCATTTTATTTTACAATTAAAAATTTTCATTTATGCTTTAATGTTTGTTTCAATTCCATTTTGATAAACATTCGTAATGATGGATCTTCACGTGGTATTTCAATTCTTGTTCGGCTCTTTCTAAGCCATCATTTTTGTAGAATTCGACCAATTCATGACAATATTCCACCCATACACATTTGGTACAACCACTTTGGCAACAAAGATCAGCTGGTGGTGGTGATGGTGGCTGTCGTCGTCGACCTTCAACCGTTTGTTCATTTTCATTATTTAAATAACTATTGGAAAAATGAATAGCTTTTTTGTCAGTTATCGGAAAAAATTTTCTGGTAATCGAACCATAACGTGACCATGGTGAAAATTTCTTAATCATATCATTTGCTTATTTTGGAATAATTAAGGCGATCAGGACGATTGATGATGATTATTCAATATGTTTATATATTGCAAGTATACCAAATGTTTTTATACCAGCCACGTGATTGATTGTTGTTGATTTTTGTTGTTGAATTCGTAATTTTTTTTTTTGAAATTAACAATTTTCAGATTTTAATGCCTCGATACGCCCAATTAGTTGTCGGACCAGCCGGCAGTGGCAAATCAACATTTATTGCCTCAATGCTTACTCATGCTGAAACATCAAAACGATCCATGTACGCCGTAAATTTGGATCCAGCCGCCGAAGTTTTCAATTATAATGCCATTGCCGATATTCGTGAATTGATTCATGTTGAAGATGTAATGGAAGATACAGATTTGAATTTCGGTCCAAATGGTGCATTAGTCTATGCAATGGAATATCTGATGAACAATCTTGAATGGTTGACGGAAAAATTAGGCACCCAAGAAGATGATTACGTTCTATTCGATACACCTGGCCAAATTGAATTAGTATCACATTTTGGTTTGATGAAAACATTTGCCAAATATCTTGAATCGCTAAATTTTCGTGTCTGTGTCGTGTTTTTACTGGATTCACAATTCATATCGGATATGTCGAAATATTTTAGCTCATTGATTATTTCATTGATAACTTTAATCAATCTCGAATTACCTATGGTAAATCTATTGACTAAAATTGATAAATTACCTGATGATCAAAAGAAAGCATTGGAAGATATATTAGAACCAAGTTCCGATTTACTTAGTGAAGATTTACCCTGTTTTCAACGTAATCGTAATGAACGTTTCTATCGATTAAGTCGTGCATTTGCACAGATTATTGATAATTATTCACTGCATAAATTCTTACCAATTTCCGTTCTCGATGAAGATCTTATGAATGATGTTCTACTATCCATTGATAATTGTATTCAATGGGGTGAAGATATTGAAGTGAGCGGTATAGATATTGATTCCTAATATATCATTTTTCTAATTCCATCCACATTTTTGTATTATAATTTTGTCAACATATATTATAAATAAATTGATTAATTAAAATGAAATTTTTATTTTTATTTCAAACATTATCTCATTGCCAAATTATTAAATGAAAATGAATTCATGTTGTGATCAGTATTTTCAATTTTTCATTCTCTCAATCAAATATTAACGACATTTGGTGTGTTCATGTCAATATTGCTGCTATTTTGTTGATGGTTAAAGAATTTCGGCTGCTACTTCAAATAATCGAATATATTGTGAATGAATGAATTGGTGAATGAGAGATAGAAGAATAGGATATTTGTTGATCTACGATGTTATTACAATAGAATCATTTTCAAAATAAAATTGGACAATTTAAATAATTGTAATTATAATAATAAATACGATAGAAATAACAATGGTGACACACTGTCTTGGTGGTTTGATTGATTATTCTTATCATTATTTTATCAACGACAAATAACGTTTTTTTTTGGATTTAATTTTAGTAGATAGATTGGTGATTTTGTGTCTATGTGTGGGTGTGTATGTAAGTGAATAAGGATAATTAATCAATTTCTGATTTTGAAGAACATAAATAAATGAATGGGTGTGTGTGTGTTCATGTGTTTTGGATAAATATGTGGAGATGCGTTTATTCATCTTCAACGCGTGTTTTTCTTGGTTTTGGTACAGCCTGCTATTTGGAAATATAATAGAATAAATGAATTAATAAATGGATTATGAAATTTCAAATCAAAAAAACTTACTCCAGGACTAACACCACGTGTAGCTGATGCAGAGCTCCTGTTTCGTGCACGAAGTTTAGCCAATGCATTTTCGGACATATCGGCACGTTCTTCAGCATCTTCCAATTCTTGTTGTACTTTACGATATTTAGCCAAATTAAGGGCAGCAATCTCTTCAGCTTCTTCAATTTGTCGTTTGTATGTTTTGATCTTTTGTTGTAATTTATCGATCAAATCTTGCATACGTTCATAGTTTTTACGATCTTCATCGGCTTGGAATTGCAATTCCTTGATACGACGTTCAGCTTTACGCAAGTTCTTCGATGCATCACCATGTCGTCGTTGTTCGCTTTCATATTCTTGTTCCAATTCGCGAAGTTTTTGTTCCAATTTTTGGATAGTCTTTTTGCCACCTTTCAATGCAGCTTGTTCGGCTTCTTCCAATCGTACTTGCAAATCTTTGATTTGTTGTTCCATTGCTTTTCGCATTTTTTCTTGTTGTTGAGCATGTTCTTGTTCGGCACGAAGTTCATCAGCCAATCGAGCAGCATCGACCATAGCTTTTTTGGCTTTCTCTTCGGATTGTTTGGCTTCGTTGAGCATTTCATCCAAATCGGCTTGTAAGGCTTGCATTTCACCTTCCAATTTACGTTTGGCCATCGATAATGATGCATTGTTGGCAGACAAATCATTGGCTTGATCATGTAATTCGGCCAATTCACCTTCGGCTTGTCGTCGGCCACGATCAGCTTGTTCCAACAATTGTCGACTTTCTTCCAATTCTCCTTGCAATGCATTGCATCGTCTTTCAGCCATGGCATATTGTTCACGGGCTTCGTCCCGAGCACGTTGTTCGTCTTCGTATGCTGTTTGCAATTCTTTGATATTCTGTTGGTATTTTTTGATATTCTTCTGGGCTTCGGCATTGGCTTTGTTGGCATGATCCAATGCAATTTCCAATTCGTTGATATCTGATTCGAGTTTCTTTTTCATACGTAAAGCTTCGGCTTTCTGTCGTGATTCGGCTTCCAAGCTGGCTTGCATCGAATCCAAGGCACGTTGATGATTCTTTCGAGTATTTTCGAATTCTTCCTCTTTCTCTTGCAATCGTCGGTCGATTTCTTGTCGAACCTGGGACAATTCCAATTGAGCACGCAATACTTTGTTCTCTTCTTGTTCCAATGCAGCTTCGGCTTCCTCTAGAGCTGCTTGCAATTCTTCTTTCTCCATTTCCAATCGTTTTCGTGATTTTTCCAATTCGTGTACCGATCGGCCACCTTCTCCCAATTGATCGAGCAAATCTTTGATCTCATCTTGGAGATTTTTGTTTTCTCGTTTAACAGCTTCGTATTGTTCTTGGCTTTCTTCGTATGCGGCACGAAGTTTGAACAATTCTGTTGAATAGTTTCGGCATTCTTTCTGCGAAGCATCCAATTCGGCAGCCAAATCGTCGGTTTTTTGTTTCCATTCGGCAATAACTTTGTCGAATGTTTTCTGTTTCTTTTCGAGTGTTGCAGCCAATGCATTGGCACGTTCCACTTCGATCGACATGTCTTCGATTTCGCCTTGCAAACGTTGTTTGGTCTTTTCCAATGAGCCCACTTTGGAATTAAGTTGTTCAATATGTTCATCGGCCTCTTGTAATTTGACGCCCAATTTCTTTTTAGCCTCTTCCAATTCTTCCAACCGTGCAAGACCTTCAGATTCGAATTTGGCTCGCCATTGTTGAATTTCGGCATTAGCTTTGCTAAGTTGTCGTTGCAAATCGGCTTTGGCTTCAGTTTCTTCTTCAAGAGATTCACGGACATTGTCGAGGTCGTGTTCCAAATTACGGAGTTTCGACATGACGGAAGCACGTTCCTAATGAGAAAAAATTTAAAGAATTTTCAATTAGTACAAGATTCAAACGAAATATTAATATCCATACTCGGCTCTCTTCATCGGCCGTTCGTTTAGCTTCCTCCAATTGACTTTGCAATGAGCTCTTGAGTTTGGTCAACTGGTTGACCTGTGATTCAGCATCCTCCAATTGACGTTGCAATTCGCCATTCTCAGCGGCCAATTTCTTTTTGGAGGCATCGAAATCGCTCAAATTACGATTAGCTTCATCTAATTTGCCTGTAACTTCACCCAATTGCATTTCCAATTGTTTGTTTTGTTTTTCAATATTGGCCTAAAAGTTATAAATGAACAAAAAAACAAATTAGTATCAACAATACAATAGTTAATCATTCAAGAAGAGTCGTCTATCCGTCTATCCGTCTGGTCCAATATCGATTCCATTTGTTGTTATTACTGTTGTTTGTTTGTTACCTGATTCTTGGTGGCATGATCAACAATTCCTTGTAAATCAACCAGTTCAGCTTGTAATGTGCCTCGATCTTTTTCAAGTCTTTGTCAATTGAAATTAAGTGAAATTTAAATTTACGAAAATTGGCAACTCATAAAAAACAAAATTAAAGCATTGAAAAGCTAGCCTAGTACAAATAATAAACACATTATGATGAAAATCGATATTCGGATAGTCAACCTGATGTATAAGGGGGTGTATGATGGGTCCATAATTATTGACTATCTAGATAACATTACCTTATCTTTGGCAAGATGATCGACGCTTCCTTTCAAATCATCGAATTCAGCTTTCACTTGTTGTTTTTCTTTTTCAACACTATTTTGTTTAAACAGGGATTTTTTTTAAAAAAAGGGGATCACAATTATAATAACAATAATTATTGATTAAAGATAAAATTATTAATCTAAACAAATCTAATGAAAGGGTATCATCCTAAATAAGGGATCTAAAATGAAATTGAAATTGGCAAGCATATAGTTTAGCTATGGGAGGCAAATTCAATTGATACATACCGTTGTTTGGCTTTGGTCAATTGGTCCACTTGTTCACTCAATTCGGCAACAGAATCATTATGTTTTTTACGCAATGCTGACATGGCTTGTTCATGATTAAGGTTGGCCTCTTCAAGATCACGACGAAGTTTAGCCATTTCTGCTTCACGACGTTTATTCAATTCGATTTGTGATGAAGTGGCACCGCCAGCTTCCTCTAATCGTTCACTTAATTCTTCAATTTCACGTGCTAAATCGGCACGTTGTTTTTCAGCTTTAGCACGAGCTTGTCGTTCAGATTCCAATTCTTCTTCCAATTCTTCAATTCGTGATTGAAGTTCTTTGATTTGTTTCTGAAGTTTGGCAACCAATGCCTGTTCATCCTCAAGTTTTGAGGCCAAACTTTGCAACTCTTTTTCTTTACGTTGCAAATTGGTTTCCAATTCTTTTTTATTCTTTTCTAAATCAGCAACAGCTTCCTGTGCCAATTTCAAATCGCCTTCAACTTTACGTTTGTTCTTTTCGATATCAGCACGTGCTTTCTTTTCACGTTCCAAGCTATCTTCCAATTCGTCCAAGGTTTGTTCCAATTTGGCTTTCACCTTGTTCAAATGGTTGACCTTATCTTCAGTGGCTTGCAAATCTTCGGCAGTTTTTTGGCCCATCTCTTGCAAGTTTTTCTTTTCTTTATTCAATTTATTGATCAATTCATCTTGATGGGCGATCTCATCGTTAAGGTTTCGGATCTGATGATCTTTGGATTGTTTGTCTTGTTCAGCTTTTTGTAAGGCAAGTTCCAAATCTTCAATTTCTTTCTTTTGATTTTGGATTTCATTTTCCAATTTCTTTTTCGATGAGCTAAGGCTAGCATGGGCATCCTCTTCATGTGATAATCGATCTTGCAAGTCCTATTACAAAACAACAAATAAATTAGATCATACACATATTAATTGATTAACGTACCGATAATTGGCTTTCTAAATCATTTTTCTGTGAAACGGCTTTCATCAAACGTTCCTCAACATCACCGGATGATGATCGTTCGGCTTCCAATTGCAAGTACAAATCGTTTTTCTCTTGCAACAATTTGACATTCTGTACTTCCAAATCTTTTCTTAATTTTTCTTCTTTTTCGCGTGCTTCGGTTTCTTTTTTAAGTTTCTCTTCCAAAGCTTTAAGTTCATCTTCAACACGAGCAACGTTGAGCAATGGCTTGACTTTCGAATACAATTTCCACCACAACCAATTTCGAAGGGTAAGGAATTTTCGCAAGTTTCGTTGGATGACCAACAAAGCGACACGTTGATCTTGAAGCTTTTTGAAATTCTTTTTAACGAAATACCAACGGATCCAGGCTTGTAACCATGTCATAATCTTGCTCAATCGATCATCACGCATCTCTTCAAGACGACCGAGAACACCGGCACGGAAGAAAATCTAAATAATTTTTTTTCATATTTCATAATTGAATTGAATTGAAATTAATTTAAATTCAAAATTAATTTTTGGAGGACAGAAAAAAATGTTAGGAATTGAGAAAAGGAAAGGAAATGGGAGGGAAATAGTCGTTTACGTAGTAGTAGTCGTCGTCGTCGTCATCGTAGTTGTGTCCATTATTTTCAAAAGATCGATGATTCCAAAGTTCCAAAATTCAATAATACCATAAGCAAAACACTCAAAAATAATACTTACTTTAGTGCTGCCAAGACAATATTCTTGTTCATCAACATGGATTGCTTTAACAAGCTTTTCAGTGATTTGTCTTGCATCAACAAAGCTTTTAGGTATGACCGTTGGTGCCAGAATCAGATAGCTAATAATTTCGATCATTCAATGAAGCAGATATCGGCGGAGTATAGGATTGGATTAATAATTTCAATTCAAAAATACATTGATGGTTGATGTTTTTTTGGTTTGCATTTGAATTTGGAATGGAAAAAGCAAAAGGGAAAGTAAATTAAATCATTTTCAGCAACAGGGCAGAAGAATTGATTTAAGCTAGCTATATAATAACGATATTTATATATTCGAATGTGAAACTGGAACATTTAAATGATGATGATGACGGAAACCAAACACGTTGATAAGAGAGAAATGGGTATAAATTGTAAATTAAAGACAAGATGGTGATGGTAGTGTGGATGGTTGATTTTTAGGGGTTGGGTTGGTGGTAAAAATATATTTATAAACATGCCTTTGTATGGCCATAACGGAAATCATTCTCATCCAATTGGATAGCACTGAGTACTTTTTCGGCAGCCACTTTAGCATCAACAAAACCTTTAGGTACGGCAGTTGGTGCAAGAATTGTATAACTGGACAGAATGATTCATGGATATGATTCGATTGATTGATTGATTGATTCATTGTCATAGGTTCAGAATTGGATTGATTAAAATTAATTATTTTTTTTTGGATGAAAAGGTAACCGCACAATAATCGAGGTTTTTTTTGGGTTTTTTGCAGACAAAAAAAACAACAACAACAACAATATTAAACACATGTAGTAAATAGGAAACGGGAAAAAAATCATTAGAACAAAAATAAAAAAAATGAAAAGAAAAAAAACATTGAATTCTCTCACTCAGTCACTATCTAAACACATCGATCCACAGTGAAACGACAGATTGCTGTTTTGAAATAAAATTATGGGTAACTGATTGACTGATGAAACTGTTTCGAATTTGAATTGGGTTCATATATATTGATGATGATGCACAAAAAAGGAAACATTTTTTTTTTAAATTTGGTTTGTTGTTGTTGACGGTATGGAAAACAAGGGAATTCTGATTCATATCTAACCTTAGTATGACCAATTTTATGATCATTTTCATCCAATTGAATTGCTTCGCAAATTTTCTGTGTAGCCACTTTAGCATCAACGAAACCTTTTGGCAAAACGGTTGGTGCCAAAATGGTGTATCTATTTTTTTTTTTTTTTTTCATTCATTCATTCGTTTGTTGTTGTTGTTGTTGTGATGGTGGTGGTTGTTGTGGTTTCCGAAATAATTTTTAAATAATGATGAAATGATAATAATAAAAATAATTCAATGTGTGTGTGTGTCTGAAGGGGGCAATGACTAGCACATCTCTGACTGATTTATCTAATCACTACTAAACTCTTTCTAATCTAATCTATTCTGAATGAATGAATGAATAATGATAATGACTACATACCGTTGTTTGAAATCTGGATAAACCATACGATTTGGGAAACCTTTACGACAGATACGAATACCTTCCAATACACCATTACAGGTTAATTGATGCATAACCAAATGAGCATCAATAACACCTAAAATTGTTGAATAATAAGAGAAAAACAAACATTATTTAGCAATGGATTTATATTAATAAAAAAGTGAAAAGAAACCCGGGAATTTGTGATTTATAAAAAAAAAATTTCAATCGATCACATTGTCATCTGCTAGCCATCATTATCTGTTTTCTCCTATTGTTTTTACCTGGTGATTTTGTTTCGTTGGGAATAATACAACGAACAAAATGTGGATGAGTTGATTTCAATGTTGTCATCAATTTGTTCAATTGTTCCTATATTTGTAAAGTAAAAATAATGATGGAGAGAAAAGGAAATCGAATGGTTTTTTTTCGAATAAAATCGAAAAAAAATTGGAAAAATTTAGAAATTCGTTCATCACTCTATTCAAAAATATATTGGGCGTATTACTGTATGTGTATATGCGTGTAACGAGAATAGACTATGCATTCAAACAATGGGAAACCAGAAATTCAGATGGATACAACAAACAAACAAACAAACAAACAGACCAGACAAAACAAAGAAAATAGGCAGATGTGATCCAATAATAGAATTGTAAGAAAAAAAAGAATGGAAACCTTAAGACATTTTTTTTTCATTACCTGGAGATTTGGTTTCGTTGGGAATAATACAACGAACAAAATGTGGTTGTGTTGAACGTAATGTTGCCATCAATTTGTTCAATTGTTCCTATTGTATTTTTTTGCATTTGGATTGAATGATTCGATTTTTATATTGATATTGGAGGATTCAGCATTCAAGATTCAGATGATGATTCATTAGGAAGTGGCAAGAGAATTTCAGAAACATTTTGTAGGGAGAAAAAAAAGAAAACAAAATGGAGCACAAAAGGTGGGTAAATTTTTTGGAATAAGGAAAAATAAAAATGAAACGAGAAAAAAATTTTTGATTGATTGATTAACAAACACAGGATTCTCATCACAAAAAATCAGGAATGGGTTAAGCATTTCATTTGCATGCGTTATGATTGAATTTATCATCATTATGATTATGATTATGATGATCATTATTATTGTGTAAAAAAAAGCAAAAGTTAAATTAGCTGGAATTGGAACAAAAACAAAAATCTTACTCTGTACAATGCCGATACAGTCTGGAAACCGGAACCCTTTTTACGTCCACCACCTTTACCGCCTTTACCGCCATCATCACCACCGCCTAAACCTGGATGATCTTCAAAGATGGTTTGTATTAAATTATTTGATCCATGTTTAAATTGATCAACAACACAATCATTCAATGGATCTTTATTCTTTTCAAGCCAACCAATAACATTGTATGGTACAGTGCCAGCATAATGTACAATGGCCATCTGGGCTTCTTTACAGCCTGGTTTTGGTGGTTTCGGTTTCTGGAAATTTGGTGATTTACCCAAATGATTGGTTTTCAATTTTTCTTCAAATGTTTTATCGGTAGCTTTTGGGAACATAGATTCTTCTTCAAGAATGGATAAGATACCCATAGGCTATTTTGATGAAATACAATTAATCTTAGGATATAATATGTCACAGAAAAAAAACCGAACAAACCTTTTCAATCAATTCAATACAGGCAGCCAAATCCATACCGAAATCAATAAAATCCCAATTAATACCTTCACGTTTATATTCTTCTTGTTCAAGTACAAACATGTGATGATTGAAGAATTGTTGCAATTTTTCATTGGTAAAATTAATACACAATTGTTCAAATGAATTGAAATCAAAGATTTCGAAGCCAGCAATATCCAATACACCGATAAAGTATTGTCGTTTTTGTTGTGTATCCAATGTTTCATTCAATTTTTTACCATCCATTTGAATAGACGATCATACATGGCTTTAGCTAATGCACCAATTGAATAGCTAACCTGTGCAGCTGTACGACCTTGTGTGACAAATTCATTACCAACTTTGATTCTTGGTTTCGATAGATTCTTATATAAATCGGCTGCATTCAATCCCAATAAATGTGCAACTCTTTCACCTTCTTCCATACCATCTGGTTCACATTGTTCTTCACGTGGTCGTTGTTTGAATTTCATTTGACCAATATGCATTACAGCCGATGTAATACGATAGATGTCGAATTTTTCTTCAGCAGAAAAACCCAATACATCGAAAGCTTCCTATTAATGATAAGAAAAAAAATCAATTAGTAAATAATTGTGAATATTTAAATCAAGTCAAAACAAAACAAAAATAAAAACAAAAGTGGGAAACAAAAGAAGCAATTTTCAAACTTGATGATAAATAATAATAATCTTACATCGGTGACCATCATTTCGGCTTTATCATCGACTCCTTCGATCACTGTTTTGCCTTGTGATACGAAATAATAATCCTTGATGTCATTGCTAAGTAATAATTTTTCTGCAGTGAATTTTTTTTTTCGATTTACACATCATATATATACACACACACAAACACACAGATATAGAAATAGATTAGAAAATTAAATTTTTTTTTCATCATTCAAATGTATTTGTCTGTGTTTTGTTTTTTTTTTTGTTTTTTTTAATATTCATAATCCATTCACCAGCTTCAGTTTATCAGTGATTGACTGATTGAATCTAAACAATGACTGATGATGATGACGATAAATCTCACACGCACCACACACGCAAACGCATCAACATTTAGCTTAGCTTTTGGGGGCATTTGAGGAGTCCAAAAACAAAGGGTCGTCTTAAAACATCATGTCACCTGATCACAAACTACTTACATCGGTCAAACGCATTTCTTCAGCATCATCAACATTAGGGATATCTGTTTTACCCTGTGATACGAAAAAGTAATCATGGATATCGTTGGACAATAATAATTTTTCTATAATTCATATGTTGATTAGTTCAATCAACAAAAACGCACACATAGGGGTATTGAAACAAAATAATGAAAAAAATTAAAAATAAAACATAAACATAGTGATTTTTTTTGAAAATCAAAAATGAAAAATAAGAGGGAGAGAGAGAGGGGGCGACTAGATTGATCATTTTGGGGGGGCGTTCGGTATATATACTCGCAGAATATATTCAACAGGTATTTCGGAAACATTTTTTTTTCGTCGGGAATGTTTTCCTATCAAAGTAAGTTGGTGAGTGAATGGAGAATGAAGATTTTATTGGGTTGATTGATTGATGGATACAAAGTGATTATGTGTGTGTGGTGTGTGTGTGTGTGTTGGGTGTCAATTGGTAAATAAAATGAAAATACCTTTTAAACCATTAATAGCACCAGACATAATTTGATAGAAAATATGGTATGATCGTTCCAATGATTGTTGAGAGATGACACGAGCTTTTTCCAACAAATCTACAAATTTATAACAATTGTAAATAATAAATAAAATTCCAGAAAAACGAAACAAAAAAAAACTTACAGGTTTCAATATCAGCACCAGCCAATTTACCCATTGGTCCGAAATGGATACGGATAAATTTACCGAAACGTGATGAATTATCATTACGTACGGTTTTAGCATTACCGAATGCTTCCAATACCGGATTAGTTTGTACAACTTGATCTTCCAAATTGCCCTAAATTATCATTAAATGATGAAATTATATTAGATATTGATCATATTCATATTATTGATTTGAGAGAAAAAAAAATTAAACATAAAGCGGTAAAAATTTATCAAAATAACAAAAAAAAATTGGGAAAAGAGAAACAACACACATTCGTACACATAACTGAATTGAAATAAATATATACAGGGTAGCTATATGGAGTGATAAATTTTAGGGAAAAAGAGAGAGATTGAGCGGTGAAACAATCGATGAAAAAATTTGGGTTTTCGGAAAAATTAAACTTTGATGATGGTCATCATCATCATCATCATCATTATCATCATACCTTCTTCTTTTCTTCGCCTGGTTTCGGGGCATGTGCACCGACGTTTGCAAAATAGGCAATGACCTTTTTCGTGTTTTCAGTTTTACCGGCACCAGATTCACCACTAATTTTTTTTTGGGGTTTGGTTTGGTTTGTATATTTTTTTTTGAAAAAGGTCGGTAGAAGGTGACGGGAATTTTTGGTTATAATTTCATGGGGTTGGGTCCAAACATAAAAAAAGGGGCGGAGTGAGAAAAAAAATTTGTTTTTCAATCGATTTTGATTGGTTTAATCAAAAAAAAAAATTCGAATTTTTTATATTTGTGTGTGTTGTGTGTGTGTATGTGTTACCTATATACACCTGCCCTTAACACATGTAGACCACAGGTAATAAGACACTAAATTAACACATGTCCAACAATCATTCAGACAAAACAGAATATATAAAGCCAATAATTTTTTTTTTTAAATGAATGAATGAAAACTTACACCAGTAGAGAATTTATGTTTATAACCAGAAGCGGCTACTGTAGCAAAATAGGTGATGACTTTTTTCGTATTTTCAGTTTTACCTGCACCTGATTCACCACTAAAAAAAATCAAAATTGATGAAATTGATGATTGCCATTTTGGTGGCCGGCCGTACGTTGTGTATAAATGTGTGTGTGTGTATGTATAGTGTGTGTATTGGTGTTGAAAATCCAAAAAAAAAACACTTACGTAATCAACATGGATTGATTTTCTCGATCTAAATAGAAGAAAAAAAATTGAAATCATTTAGTCTTTTCGCTTTTTATTAGGTCATTCATTTCATTTTAGCTTTGTCCATTCCATGCTTTGTTGAAACAAAATCCCTGACCTATTTTTGAAAGTAAAGTAAAAAATTCTTGTCCCTTGTTTATCCATATTATACGTCTAATATATGCTTTATTCTGGCTTGAGCGAACGCGAGAGAGAGAGAAACAGTGAAATTAAGAAGAAAAAAAAATCTGATTGTAAACAAAACTATTTCATGGCGACTGTAATCATCATCATCAACAACATGATTGTAGAATTTTCTCTCATTCCTTAAAAGGTTTTGCAAACATGTAAAAAAAAATTGCGAATCACACACACACACACACACACACGGCAAACAAAAATCCAAACATAGTGTGGCTGTTGTTAAACACCACCCGAATTATCAAGTGATGTGTGTTCATCATTGATGATCATGATGGCAGCCCAGCATAGAATTGTTTAAAAATAAAAATCAAGAAAAAAAAGCCTACGCCTGAAAAGAATTTATTAAAGAATTCAAACAACATTAAGATTCTATTCTATTCTATATTTCAAAATGAGAAAGAGAAATCGGTATATATGATCTATTTTTGGAATATGTGCAAAAAAAACGGGCCAGGCAATCTACTGAAATCCTGAAGCCAAAAAAAAACCCGCATAGAACATTCCATTGTCGACAATACAATAGAATTCGACAATGGAATTTTTTTTTTTTTGCAAAACTAGGCTAATAATGAGAATATATTCTATCGGAATGAATGAATGAAAATGAACTTGGCTTTTGGGTATTGGGATTTAATCATGAATAATTAAAAATACTTACTGGACAACATGTCAGTGTAAGCACCATCAGAAATGGCAAACAAATGTGGTGGTACCTCTGTACGACGTCTACCACGATACATTTGTACTACACGATTAGTATAGATTGGAAAACGTTTATATGGATTGATTACCACACAGAACAAGCCAGAATAGGTCTACAAGAAAAAAAATGATGATGATGATGATGAGAAAAAAAAATTAGTCAATTATAATTATCAATAAAATAAAATCGAAAATTGTCCACGAATAAAAGTGCTGAAAGAATGAAAAAAAACACGTTTTTTTTCATCAAGAAAAATATTTTTAAAAAATATATGGGTCTTATAATGAATCTCGATAAAGGTATCGAATTTGTTGTTTGTTTTGGGAATGGACGGACTTTGGCTATTTTATTTTTGGGTTTCGGTTTGGTTGTTTAACTAATTTTACTAAGGTATTGATGATACTTCATTGTGGTCAGGTCGGATTGATCAAAAAGAGAGAGAGAGAGAGGGGCTTTGATTTATCTTCATTTAAAAATCTTACATAGATCAATTGGTTTTCATAACGTTCTTTTAAATTATGTAGAACAGATGCTTCATTCAAATAGGTCAAATTAGACATGTCTTCACATTTTTCGTATTTAGGTGGATTTACTTGTTGTAGTAAATCCTTTTTCACTTGACGCTAAATATTATTGATGGCGGAAATTAAATTCAATATATATGGGGCGTAAAAAGTGGGTTTTTTTCACCAGATAACAACAAAAAATCAATAAATCAATCGAACATGGGTATTAATTGTTCGATTATTGTGATCAATAAATGTGGGGTCAAGATAGAGAAAAAAAAGAGAGAAAAAAAACACAATTAGTAAAATTTGTTCCACGATATACTTACATAGATTATATTGGAATTATAACGTTCTCTAAGATTATGCAATACGGATGCTTCATTCAAATAGGTTAGGTTGGCCATATCTTCGGTTTTTTCAAATTTTGGTGGATTAACTTGTTGTAATAAATCTTTTTTTACTTGACGCTAAATAGTATTTGTTTTATATATATGATGATAATTAATTAATTAATTAATTAGAATGTTAATCATGAAAAATAATCAATCATCTAACACTGACACAGAAACTGGACTGAACTAATACTGAACTAAATCTTAATAGGACTAAATAATGACGAAGATAATGTTGATTTTGGAATTTTTTTGGGAAACAAAATTTTTTTTTTTATGGATAGGACTGGATAAAATTTGCATGATATGATGGTGATAATTGATTTTTTTTGTGGTTTTACCTCATCACCCTTTACGGCAACCGTACAGACATCACCTTTTGTTGATTGAATTTCACCCAATAGAAAACATTTGTCCGTATCCGGTACCCAGACCATTTTTTTACCATCATATGGTTTTGTTTGATCTTTTCGTTTCTGTTCCAATGAAACGATCAAATATTGCGATGGATCGGGATCATCTGATGGATCGTTTTTGCCCATTTTTTAAATTTTTATTCTTCAAATTTATATAAAAAGAACGAATTTGCAGGTTGTTGATTGATTATTCTGTAGAAAGTAGCAGCAGCAGCAGCAGCAGAGAAAAAAACTTTGATACAGACTTCTTCCTGTGAACAAAATATTGAAAAAGAAAAATGAAAATACTGGAAAAAAAATCACCACACTGAAAAAAATTATGATTGATTGATTCGATGAAATCAATGGATTTGATCAATTTAATCAATCCATTTCTCATCAAGTTATGATGATCAAAATCAATGGGAAAAAAAACACTTACACAAACGCACACACACACACACCATTCAAACAAGAAGTCGAGTGAAAATGATTAGAATAAAATCAACTACTTTTAAACGGGTAAAAATATTTTTTTTTCTATTTTGTCAAAATAAATTTTGTTCAATTCAAATTGTTTCAAAAAAAAAGAAAAAAAATTCTTTTATTCTGATAGTAGTAGTGGTTGATGAAAGAATTCAAAAGAATTTCGAATGAAATTTTACCACCACCACTGCCAATACTACCACCACCATCACCACCACCATTACCATAAACACATGATGATGATGATGATGGTAACCACCCATGGTTATTATTATATACCATACACGGCCGGTAGTTATTGGGCGTATGAATATTTGTTTTGAATTTTTTTTTTTTTTTATAATACCGAAACAAAGACGAAACAAGGCAAATTAAGATCATTAAACATCTGTCTGTGTGTGTGTGTATATGATAGATCAAAGTAATCCATTTTTGGGACAAATAACGGCATGTATTAAGAATCATACGCCTTTACCGTCATCATCAACAAAGAATTCATAAAGAATGTCTGTGTGTGTGTGTGTGTTTGCCTGGCCCCTTATCTTGCGAATGATGAGAAATAATATTCGGTATGCGTGTGTGTGTGTGATTTGTAGGGCAGAGAGAGAGAGAGAGAGAGAGAGAGAGAGAAAAGAAAATAAAAATTCTTTAAACAACAACAACAACAACACGAACATTCTTTTCATTCATCATATAGTTGGGATAAAAATTTAAAAGAATTGTTTTCACACACTGTATTGCATGTGTGTGTAAGCAGGTTATTTTCAGAAAATTTCTATTTTTTTTTTCTTTAATCACAAAACTCAAACCAAAACCAAATAGAATAGAATCCAAAGAACGTGAATGTTTTCTCTATTTAATTCGCACATTTAAATATATTATCTATTAACGATGGAAAAAAAATATATGAAGATTTGAATGTGTCGCCTTGAAGAATTCGTCATCATCATCATCATCATCACCAGGCGACAATCTGGTAAACTCGACAAGAATATATATTGGTTGGCAAAGAATGAATAGAATATGTCTAAGGGATGAATATATGCATAGTAAGCATCATTGTAATTATGCCAAACAGATCTGATTATGGCAACAATCTGATCATTTTTTTTGTTCGTTTGTTTGTTTGATTCATACAAAAATGATGATGATGAATGAATGAATTTTATTCCATGAATTCTAAATTGAATGGGAATCCAATTTTTTTTATTCGATTCGATAGATGGACGATATATCGATATTATCGATTTCAAATAATCGATTCGAACGAATCATGTTAGATATGGCAAAAAAAAATTGGGGTTTGCCCAACCATATCCTTTGTGTTGTATAGAAAATTTTTTTTAATTAACGTTGAAATTTTCTCAAATCAAGATTGGCCTCGGATGAAATGTGTGTGTGTGATGGATGTAACAAAGATAAAAAATAAATCAACTCTTTCATGACAAGTTGTATGTTCTAAAAATGTTTTTCAAACACACACAACAAGTAAATTCCTGCACATTATGGATTCCATTCTTCTATTCATTCAAAAATTGTCTTCAAGATTGATGGCAGATGTTTGAAGACGAAATGTCCTTCAACGCAAAACTCATTGAGATGGTGGTTGTGTATGGAGGTTGTCATGTTTTGAATGTATATATGCAATGTGATTATAATTATTAAAAAAAAAAAATGCAGGAATTATTCCATTAATAATGATACAGTGATTATCACAATATAAATATACTCACTTATATTCTGTGTCTGTAGTGTTGGTGTAGGAAAATTCTTGGCCAATATTGGTGAATATTTTTGCCATATATAAACATTTTCATCATTGATGTGTTGTGATGTGATGTGATGATGCACAATGGAAAAATTCTTTATAATCTGGCCATGTTACACATGTAAATACTATCGGATAAAAATGTCTCTGGATGTTTTTCATATTCTATATCAACTTCCGTCGTGTAATTATATATCATATGTAGGCGTACCGATTTTGTAGCTGTGAAAAAAATTCTTTACGATTCTTGTATCGCCATCTACAGATAGATGCTATCGACCTGTTGCTGTTGAAAATAAACAAACAATAACGACATCTATTGGCGAGGTTTTCAAAAAAAATTTTCAAATTTATTCAAAACCAATGAATATGTCGTAAAAGTTTTTGATGATTGACCAAATTAACCAAATTAAATGAATGATGAATGAATGAATGAATGAAATGAAAAACAATCAAATTGATAAATAGCTGTATTATTATTATTAATGATTGTTCATAAATAAAGATATATTTGGTAAAAACAATTATTTAATATAATCCATCCGAAGCGATCTCCATTATTAAATCAAATCAATTAATAAATAAATCGATCGATAATAAAATATTGCATATGTATGGTGGTTTGCATTGGTGGCTGTGAAATGGGGAAATAAATAAAACAAACAACAGCAAAAAAAAAGTGTTTCCATGATGGTGATGGTTTGGCTCTTTTTTTTTTTTTTTTGTCTGTTTGTTTGATGATTTTTCCCTTTTTTTGTGATTTTTCGTTGTTGCTGTTGCTGGTGGTGGTGGTGGTGTTGTTAAAAATAATCGAAAATTCTGTCTGCGTAATATGAAAGAATTATTATTAATAACCAGTAAGTTCGGCAAATGTCTGGTCCAATTCGTCGGAGATGGATTTGTATTTTTCCTTTTCGTGGACCAATTCGTCTTCCAAACGATCGACTTCTTTCTGGAGTTTTTGTACCGAACGTTCAGCAAATTCGGCACGTGCTTCGGCTTCTTTAAGTTTAGCCGTCATTATACGGATCTGTTGTTCATAGGCTTCTTCACGTTGTTGAGCTTTCTCTTCGCTAACTTCCAATGATTTGAGATTGTTACCGACAACACGTAATTCTTCTTCGAGTTCAACAATTTTCCTAAATTTTTTCAATTAATAATTCATTATATCACAATTATTTCTATAACAGAAAAAAAACAACTTACGATTCACCGGTTTCGGCACGTTCTTCAGCACGTTCCAAATCGGCTTCAACCATTGCCAATTTACGGGCAACTTCATCATATTTTCTATCAGCATCTTCGGCCATCATACGGGCTTCTTTAAGTTGATTTTCCAAACCATCCATACGTTCTTCATCGGTGATGGATCGATGTTCAAGCATTTTACGCATACTAAATTATCATTATTATCAATTATATTTTGGGAAATTATTATTATCAGTTTAACCCCCACTAAAAACGAAAAAATTACCGTTCAGATTCATCGGCAGATTGTGATGCCTCTTCCAATTTGGCTGTAGCAATCTTGAGTCGTTCTTCTGATCGTTCCAAATCTTCTTCAATCAATTGAATACGACGATTCAATGCTGCAACATCACCTTCAGCCTATGATGATCATATGATGACATAAAAAATCAAATGATAGAGGGAGTGATTAGTCATAGTTGATGTGATATACATAGCCAACACAACAACATTGATGATTGACAATAAAATTCCAAAAAAAAAACATTCTGGAACATTTCCTGATTTTTTCATTATGTGGGCAATCGGAATCGGAAGTGGTGACGCCCATCATCATCATCATCATATTGCTCATTATAGTGAGTGAGTGTAGTGAAAACAAAACAAAAAAAAAAACAATTTTTATGACATTAAACACATTACTATAGTCAGCATAATTTCTAATTATAGAATTGGCCATGGCTAAGAAATTGCTTCCAAACGAAAAAAAAACATCATACACACACACACACAGACAAACAGATATTTTGCATCGATGTGACGCACATCACACACATTCACAAACATTGAGCCAAAATGAAAAAAAAAACAAGAACACTAACAAAAGTGGCAAGAATTTTTCTTGGCATCCATATCGAGATGCCATGAATCGAACGAATGAATATTTTCTGGCTCAAGGACTTGTTGCTGTTGCAAAAAAAAAAAAATTTAAAATTCTAAAACAACGATTTTTCTTGATGATGATGATGATGGCGATGATTGGATTGAAATGAATTTATAAAATTCATTTCCATTTGAACAAAAAGGGTTCGGGATAAATAATGTTCATGATAGGTTAAACTAAACTACAAGTTTCATGAAAAAAAAATTCTGAATAATTCTCATTAGCCAATATCTTCTTAGATAGATTGTAATAATTATCATCATCGTCCAACATAGCTGTTGTCAATGTTTCATGATAATTTGTCGTCAATTGATTGTTGATGTTGGCATTAATAGTAGGCAGTGGTAGTAGTAGTAGTAGTAGTAGTAGTAAAACTTACGGTCTGTAGGGCTTTTTCCTTTTCCTCCAATTTTGTATTGGCAGCCGATAATTGTTCTTGGACCTGATCCAATTCATTTTCAATTTGTTGGATTTTTTTCTGTAATGCACGAACTTCTTCCTCAGACTAATAATATAATGTATATATATTTATAAGGAAAAAAAATGAAAAAAAAATAATCAGATAAATTAGATTGAATAAATCAAATCTCTTTCGTTTTTTTTTCGCAATGATCGCTTACCTTTTCGGCACGAAGATTAGCATCACGGGCTTTTTGTTCGGCAATTTCAGCTCGATCGATAGCATTATCTTTCTCGAGCTTCATTGCCTGCATTTTTTTCTTGATGGCCTCCATTTTTGTTGATGGTTGTTGTTGTTGTTTAGCTGCAACTAAAAAAAATTATGATAAGAAAAAAAAACAACACAAACAATGAATGTAAAAAAAACAATCAATAATAATCAATAAGTAGAAATTAATACCGAAAAAAAATTTAAATTATCGACGATCGAATGTTGGAAATGAAAAAGGAATACACCAGAAGATCAGATGATGACCGAAGAGCTTTCAAGACAAACACCAAACACACGAATGACTAGAATAATTATATCGAACAGATCAAGAAGAATAATTCCTCTTCTTCTCTTTTTTTCGTTTTCACTTTGACACCGATTCTTTAAAACAACAACAACAACAAATATTCATTTCGTCTCTTTATTACTTGGCAAAGAATTTCATTCGATTTCATTTTGTTTGCCACATTATTCATCAAAAAAAAAAAAAAAATGTTGATGATGATGGCAGCAGTAGTAACAACAGTAGAAATAGCTAAAACAACAACAATTTATGTTGGGGGTGATGTGTGTGTGTGTAGACGTTCATTTTATTTCAATGAAAAAAAAAAAAAAGAAAATTTTAACAAATTCAAAAAAAAGATGTGGGAGGATCCTCAGAAAAAAACGAAACGATTTGTGCATTGATGGTGGCTGGTTGTTTGTGCAAGCAACCAGTGTGTGTGTGTCAAGAATCAATTCTGGCAATAGCCAAAAATATTAACAGTCGACAACCAAAAAGAATGTTTGTTGCTTTTGTTTGAATTTGGTTATTTTTAATTTCATCCAGCCAGTGCAAACACAGCCAGATAGCTCTTTACAACTTGGACTAATTTGGGATTGGAATTCTTTTTTGTTTCTTTTCTACAACAAGAAAATATCGAGCATCATCATCCACATATCTCATCAACCACCATCACTCAAGAATACATTTTCACCAAGAAGAGAGAAACATCCAACCAACAAACAAATCACATCACATCACATCACAATGTCTATTTTGTTCACAGAAAAAAATAAAAATTAATTTTTTGCGTTAAAAAAAATATATGGGCGTCTTCATCATCATCATCATCATCGTCGTAATAATATGGGTTTTTATGGCTGCTTGTTTGTTGATGTTTGTGTGTGTGTAATAATCATTATGGTTATCACATACCATCAAATCATTGTAGATGAAGGCATGGAGGATGATGATGATGATGATTATGGAAATGGGGAAATATTCCAAGGCGAAAAAAAACACGATTGACACTAAAATAAGAAAGAAAGCAAAAAAGAAAAAATTAAAAGAATTTCCCTAAATGTAGAATTTTCTAAAACGAAAAAAAAAAAATGCAATTCTTCATGTATGTCTGTTGGAATTGCAACAAACCTGTGCAAAAAAAAACAACAAAATTTAAACATCATCGTACATCGCCAAAAAAAAAATGTAACATCGACACACACACACACATACGTTTAAGAATAGATTCACTTTACTTAATGTTTCTAATCAAGGATGTTTTTATTCTGTCTTTTTTTCTTTATACATGAATGAAATTCTTTAATGGTAAAACAAAAAAAATATTCTTCATTCAATGGGTTAGATTTTCGAATATATTCAAATTCCATCTATCGATTTTACTATCGATAGATCGAATTAGAATTCGATAGTGATGATGATGATATTTGAATCTTATAAATTAAAAAATATATATTCAGTTGGCCTTGATATTGGTTTTTGTTTTTGTTAAGATTTTTTTTTTGTAGACTTCAACAAAAGATTTCATTACCGGATTCATTTATAATAATCAATATGAACAATTTAATGATTCGTATCACCAGTGATATGGCAATTATCCAAAATATAAACTATATATCAAATAGCTGACAAATCAATCGTTCGATTACATTTTAAATTCCATAGTAGTTTCCTCACACCCCTTTGACGTCACATAAGATTCTTTTGATCAAGAAAAAAAATACTTGCTGAATTGCCTAAATATAATGATTTTCAGAACAGAAAAACAAACCAAACAACCAGCCAGCCACTCCCCAGTATTTTTAATATTTAGGAAACAAAGTTTTTTTTCATTTTAAAAATCTAATTCAAAGTGAGATTTTTAATTCAAAAAAAAAATATTTAAATCAAATAGCCACTGCCATCTATTGATGAGAAATATTAATTTTTTCATTTTGTACTAGTTGTTATGAATAGCGATGAGTCTCAATCATGTGTGTTGATCAACACGATGTTGTACGCATGCGTGTGCATTTTGTCTTACATTATTATAAACATGCCACATGGTGTGTGGTGTTGCCAGCCAAATGGTTCCTTTTTCCTGTCCGCTTCTGTTTGCCTGTCTCATTCATTCATTCATTCAATTCACTCATAGACACTAAACCCAAGTGGCATCCAATTTTGTAAGTTTTTTTTCTGGATTTTTTCTGATTTTTTTTGATGAATTTTTTTTAAATTTATCCAGGTTAACTAACCGTTACTGAATATAAAAGTTAACCGAGATGTCGGGAGGTCTTGAAGCATTGAAATTGGCCGATGATGATGTATCGAAAATGTTGGCCGCTACCGCTCATATTGGTACCAATAATTTGGATTATCAAATGGAAACCTATGTTTACAAACGTCGTGCTGATGGTGTCCATATAATTAACATTCGAAAAACCTGGGAAAAAATTTTATTAGCTGCTCGTGCTATTAATGCTATTGATGATCCGAAAGACGTTTATGTCATTTCAAGTCGTCAATATGGACAACGTGCTGTATTGAAATACGCTGCCGCAACCGATGCTACACCTATTGCTGGCCGTTTTACTCCCGGTACGTTTACCAATCAATCACGTACCGAATCATATCGGGAACCACGTTTGTTGATCATTTGTGATCCACGTGCCGATCATCAACCAATTACTGAGGCTAGCTATGTGAATATTCCGGTCATTGCTTTTTGCAATACTGATTCACCGCTTCGTTATGTGGACATTGCCATTCCGTGCAACAATAAATCAATCTATTCGATTGGTTTGATGTGGTGGTTGTTGGCACGTGAAGTATTGCGAATGCGTGGCAAAATTCCACGTCAATCACCATGGGAAGTAATGGTCGACATGTATTTCTATCGTGAAGCTGAACAACAGGAAAAAGAACAGGAAATTGGCTTGTCATCTGAACGACCGGCAAAATTAGAAACTGATTTAGGTGGTGAACCTGTCGAACCGATTGCCGCACCGGAATTTGAACCACCAGTCGAACAGGATTGGAATGCTCAGGTAGCCGATGATTGGACCACACAAGCCACCGGGCAAATGGAATGGACAGCCGGTGCCGATGCTACAAATTGGGCTACCTAAATTTCAAACAAAAAAACTTTTTTCTTTCTTTTTTCGAATTGAAAAAAATTCAAATTTATTAAAAAAATAATTTTTTATTTCGTAATAAATGCTAAAATTGATTTGTTTGATTTTTTTTGTTCAATTTTTACGTTTACGAACATAAGCAAAACGTTTCGTTTCTTTTGGCTGTTTCGATTGTTGTGTATCGACACCCAACGTAATAGGGCTATGTAAAGCATTATAAAGTAATTTTGCATGATGACCACTGCCCATTTTTTCCGTTAACATTTCAATTGATTGCTCAACAAGATTAATAATTGATTTAAATTCATTCATTATACAATAAACATTTTGTGTTGTAATACCGGGTAAACATAATAGAAATTCTTTGGTTTCAATATCAAAACGATCGGTAATACATTCCATTGGTAATTGTTGATCTTGTTCAAGATTCAAACGAATAATATCTTTATCTTTGTTTGGTTCATCTTTACCATTTTTTAATTCATTAATAATATCGGCAGTAAAATTTGGCGATGGTGACCAAATTAATCGTAATAATGGAAATTGTATTGTCAGAATGGACAATTGTACTAATGGATCTGGTCGTGATTCTTTTGATATTTGACTAAACAGAAATGCATTGCCCCAGATACGAGAATTGAAACTAAATGAATCTTCAGGAAATTCAATCAATAATAATGATTTTCTATAATGACGTGTCATTATCTGTGTTTGTGAATATAGACGACCATCTGATAATGATTTAAGTAGATCTGGTATAGATTTTCGTTCAATACAACATTCCGGTGTTATAATGTAATCACCGATTTCCAATGTAACCGGAATTAAATCGATTCCAATCTTATGAATAAATGATGGTAATGCTGAACGAAATTCACGTAAATCAATCAATACACATGAATTAGATGATGATGATGATAGTTTTTTCTGGTTATTGACCATTCCACCTAATCGTGTATTGATACGTTCAATATATTCATCTGGATGTAAAAGTGTTGGTTTTCCACGTATGAGATCCGGATGTTCACCAACAGTGCCTTCATTTTCTTTATGGCTAGGTAGTCTAGATTTTTCCTGTATCAATTTTTCAAATGATTTTTTTTCCACTTGTAATCTTCGTAGATAACGTTGTTCTTCTACTGAACCATCGAATACGAAAAAACTAACCTCAATTTCTGGTTCATTTGGTTGGCCATACAATGCCTGATATAATTCAATTTGACGAATAACACACATTTCAGCTTCATATATGATCACATAATATGGTCGCAATGTTTGTAGTAAATGTTTTAATCCAAGACCACAATTATTATCATTAGACCATTCATAATAATGTATCTGATATGATTGATGTCTACGAACAATTGATGTTTCATGTGATTCAATAGGACATAACAACTGTGTCAATGTGAGTTGATCTTCGAATTCAATGATACCATCACCATCATCATTATCATCATCATTTTCAGTATTGGATTTTGTTTTGATCACTTTTGATACTATTTCAATCTTTTTTCCATTAGCAAAAAGTTCAGCTTTTTGTTTCAATTCTTCGATAACAACATCACGACCTTTGTCTAAAAAACGTTCAATTTGACGTATTGAATAGGAATTCTCAACAACAATAATAATATCGACAATTTTATCATCACCATGTATGTCTTTTTTGTTGTTGACAATTTGTTGTTCAATATCTTTCAGATGTTGTATTAAAGCCTCTAATTTGGGATTAATCTCCACATGGAATACTTTTTCACCATTAGAATTTTGTTGAAATATACGTTTGGCCGTTAGATCATATAATGTTGTTGCCGCTGGTCTATGTAACCAATCAACAGTATGTATGGTTGGATCATATGAATCCATTTGATGTTTGATTTCACCATAAAAAGTTACCGAATCCAATTCCGTTAAATGAAATAATAATGATTTCAATAATTGAATTTCACGTATTGTACGGCGAGCTTTTAAGCTTAAATTATACCATACAGAATCCAGATTTAAACGTATTAATTTATTAAAATTATTGGCCACTACGCTTATCGTATTCAATGAACGTTCTTCATCAGTATTTGTTGAATCAAAAAAATAGCCAACATTTTCCATTTTAATCAATTCTTTTATACTGGATGAAATTAGATCTAGAAATGAAAATTGTATTTCTTTCATCACAGGTGTCATTTCGATACGAAATTCGCTTACTTTAGGCTGTTTACGGGATGTCAATGAATTCAGTATTGTGGCCTGAAATCGTGGCCATAAATAAAGATGACTGACAAATAATTTTCTCATACATTTTTCTAGCTGACCAAATGTACCAAAAAAACTGGATGCATTCTGTGATAAAGCTGTAATGAATCCGGTTTTATTCGATAATCGATATAGTCGTAGTATGAATGAAATATAATAATCTTTGAGAACACGATGAGCATTGGCTATAATAATGCCCGATATTGCCGACATCGGTACACGATTGGTAAGCATGTCAACAATCAATATTCTTGTTGTAATGAATATAACACCACCGGCCAGATACATATCATGACGTTCCTGTGTCTTGTATGAAGCATAGGAAATTTTTTTCGGACGTTCAAATTCATCATCAATAATCGATCGTTGAGTTAAATATTCATCAATCTGAAAAAGGATACTGTTTTCTTCAATTTCATCGGTGCCAATAACAAAAACCAAATGACATGGATTAGAATATGTACGAACTAGATAAAATAAAAGTCGATCATTTAATAATCCTTTCGATGAAATTGTCAAACTATTTTGATTGAGCACATTTAATAGGGCTTCATGTTCAAATTCCAATAGTTCATCCATTATGATGATATTTGATGATTTGAAAAAAACAGCTTAAATCTGATCTGATCTGAATATATTCAGTGAATTTTTTGTATTTACTATTCCCAATGAAGCACAATCGATAAAGCAAGTTAATACATTGTAAGTTGTTTTATTGTATACAAAAATGGAAAAAAAATCACAAAATACAAAATATATAAAGGTTTTGTGTGTTTAAAAATTTAACAAATGTAAAAAAAAATTTATAAAAATAAAAATAACCGATCTTTATCACTAAAAAGACCTGCTTCAGGAACTAATATCATGTCTATAGTTGAACCCGTCATGTCATGGTCATTATTATTATTTATGTGTAAAAGGACTAATAATCATAATTTTGATGATTCTCTTAGTTCAAATATCTCTGAGCTACGTATTCGTAATTCCATTTGATGATAACGTTTAAGGCTACGTCGATGACCACAACTGACAATTGTAATGGAATAACGATGAACAAGTTCATTGATAATTTTCTCTTCAACATCTTCGGGTAATGATGTTGTCGATTCATCTAGAAACACAATTCTTGGTCTATGAAAGAAAATTCTAGCCATCTGAAAACGTTGAGCTTCACCAATGGATAGATGATCAAGCCAATTTTCATTGAAATCATCATGTATATTATTATTGACACGTTTGAGTACACATTCTTCAAGGTCTAAAAATTTTAATATATCAACAACACGTTCACGGAAACCATCATTCTGAAACCATTGTTGACGTTCATAGATTTTTGGATATAATATTTGCTAGAAAAAAAAATGTTGAAAAACAAATTTAAATGGTTATGCATACATTGTATTAATACACTTACTTCAGCTACCGATCCACTTGTAAGCAATGGTTTATGTGTGAAAAACATCACTTCTGTTGATCCTTGATCCAATTGAGAATTACGTTGTATGGATCCATAACTAATTGGCCATATTCCTTTCAATGATCGTAATATGGATGTTTTACCGATACCACTTGCACCGGTAATAATTAGATTGACACGTGGTTTGATGATTAAATTTAAATTTTCCAAAATTGTTTGCCGTAACGGTGTTTGAATGGTAACATTTTTCATTTCATAAAAACTTTGATCATTAAATTCAGGATTATCATCATCAAATTTTAATGGTCTATCTCCATCGACAACAACTAGATTCGAATTTGTTTGATGAGCATCTGTCGATGATATGTTGCCACTGTTGTTGTTTGATGATTGTTGTTGTTGTTGTTGTAGAAACCATTTATTCAATTCAATAATACGATTATAATTTCCAAGAAAAACTGATAAATTTTGTGATAAATCAATCAATCGTGTAAAACAATTAATCAGATAGATTGTGACGAATGCATTGGCGCTGATTAATTTACTCAATTCTTGTGGAGTTAGATTATCATAATGTCCGGCAAACAAAGGAACGGCAATTGCAATGAATGATAGTATTGATCCAAAATAGTCGGATAGATTGGTTGTAAATAGCAAAAGAAATTTACGAAATATCAATCGATATTGAACAGTGATCAATGCATCGAGTAATGAATAACATTTACGATGTTCGGCCATTTCACCACTAATGAATGCTATTGATTCGGCATTATTTCGAATACGAACATGTTGAAAACGGAAATCACCTTCACGTCGTTCTTGTTGATAAACATAATGACTAACACGATTGATTAGGAATAAATTTATACCGGATCCAATGACAAACAACATTAAACAACTAATTGGTCCAAGCCAACCGGTTTTTATCTGTGATTTATACCAATAAAATACAACAATAAATGGCCATACTAATAATTCCGGTACAATAATACTGAGCATTTGAAACATTCGATCCACATCCTGTGTAATACGTTGATCAACATTATCTAATGGATGTTTACCATCAACATAATCATTATTCATTAATATATGTGAATAATTCAAAACATTTAAACGAAAATAGGCAAAATTTTGAAAATATTGATCATGAATTTGTATGGTACATTGTTTACGCCATTCAACATGTAGATATGATGCCAGATAATCTTTTAAACTTTTCAATAATGAAATAGCTATATATATATGTAATAAAAAATGATAATGATAAATAAATAAATTTATTGATTGATTGATAATGTGTATACATTCATGGCTACTTACCGATAATCAATCCAATCGATTGTAATGTTTGTATAATGAAACGATGTTTATCTTTTTCGCCCAATATTTCATAATAATCACTACTAATAAGACCAACATGATAAATGGCAACTTCATAAAGGATGGCAATTGTAAACAAGCCAAACAATCCGGCCATTATTGATGGTTTATGTAATGAAAATATTTTCGTTATAAATAATGACCATTTTTGTGATAAAATTGGCAACATTTTTAATTGTTTACACTGTTAGCTTGAATCAGAAAAAAAACAAAGACAAAAAAAACAAAAACAAAAACAATTTAGTTTTAATAATGATAAAATTCATCAAGAAAAAAAAACAAAACAAATCTCAATCATCAAGAAATGCTGGAGCAATTTGTGTAAATTTTTCGGAAATGACATTTAAATTTTTTCGGATTTTTTTCGTCAAACCACCACCACCACTACTTTTGATCATCATCATCATCATCATCATCATTGTGATCGTCCATCAGATGATAATTAGTTGTTGATGTAAAATTTAATAAAAATCTATGATATGTTTCATTATTATCATAACGATCTAAATAATAGACAGCTAAACGACAATTCAATCCGACCATAATTGTACAACGAAATTGATTGATTGACCAACGTGCAATCATTTTACAGTGTTCAATAAATAATGGATGTTCAAATAAATGTTCAACACATTGGCTTAATTCTAATTCTAATATTTTCATTTGTAATGATTTAATATTATTTGATACTAATGACAGATTCAGCCATTGTGGTAATAATTTACCGGCCATATTTTTTTCTAACCATTCTGATGATGATGATGATGATTGGTCATTATTATTATTATTGCAGATAATAATAATGATGATGTTGGTCATTAACAACAACGATAATAATTTTTATCATTGTTTTTTAAAGAATAAAAAAAAATTCGAATGTTTTTTTTTCAGTGTTGGAAATATATAAATATAAATTATAAATAAATACCGTGATACGATAATTGAATTTGAATTTTTTAATTTACACTTAGAGTGAATAAAAGTGCCGTTGAACACACACACACACACATATACAAACACATGAAGTGTGATTGAATAGAAATACAAAAATTGTTGTTGTTGTCAATGATGAAATATTATAATGAGCAACAAGTGGCACAACATCAATCATCAACAAATGAATCAATTTGGATCATAATCGATGATTATATATTGGATGTGACCGATTTTCTGGACAATCATCCAGGTGGGCCTAACGTAATTATCAACTATTCGGCAAAAGATTGTACATCGATATTTAAACAAATACATTCAATACAGGCAAAACAAATGGCAAAACAATTTATTATTGGAAAATTGATTAAAAAAAGAAAATTGAGCGATAATAATCAATGAATTTGATTGAGAAAAAATGGCGAAAGTGTGAGATGTGTTGAAATGAGATAATCACATAATTAAAGCATAGAATAAAAAGCAATAAAAAAATTTTTTTTTTTTCATCGATTGATAACGAGAGAGGAGCATCCTCGACGACAACGATGAAATGAGATTTGATATAACAACAACAATGATCAATGATCATCCATATGGCAATTGTTTTTTGATAATTGATGGTTATATTTGATTAAAGAAAAAAAAAGAACATTACTAGCTGGATGAAAAAATATGCATTGTCGATCCGTAATCATCATCATAATATAATCTCCATATATGGCCTGTATTTATTGATCGGATCAAATCAATCAATAACAGACTAAAACAAACCATATATATGATGATGATGATCATCAATATAAATTGCACTCAATAAAAGATTAACGAAAACATTTCTCATAGCAGCAGCAGCAGCAGCAGCAAAAAAAATGATGACTTTATTAGCCATTGTCCAGTTTCAAATTGATGGAAATAATTCTCTACATATGTATATTTTTTTGGAGGAGGGGGGAAGAAATTCATTCAATCATTGCACATTTGTATTTGTGTGTATTTAATTTTATTGATTTTCCGTCAAACAGAAACAGAAAAAATCCTCAAATATCATTCAAATGATGAGATATTATCCGACCAAAGCGCGGAAATTCAATCCTGGTATTTATGAATGAGCCTCGATTTTTTTTCTGTTTGTTTGTGTGTGTGTGTGTGTGTGTGTGTGTGTTCGAAAATAAAACTCCCAACGTATGTATCAACGGCAAAGATTAATCATCAAATGATCCATGCATGCATATACTCTCCTCTCTCTGCTGTGTGTGTGTGTTTGTTGTTTCTCTCTCTTTCTCTTTCGTTGATGTATTTGATCATCATCATCATCATCATCAAAAACAAAACAAAAACAACAGTGAAAAAAGAAATGTCCTCAAATTTTTATTTCTGATTCAAAAAAGAAAAAAAAATCAACAACAAACTAACCAGTTTTTTTTCTGAAAGAAAATGGTCATTTTCATGATGTTTAGATTGAAATTTCCTTCTTGAAAATTGTGTTTGTGTTGTCGAAAACCTTAAGCGATAAATAATAATAATATTTTAATATTCAACAACAACAACAACAAAAAAGAAAAATATATTTTTTTTTAAATTTTAATTTTAAATTTAAATTAACAAATTCATTATTTATTTATTTATTTTAATAATTGCCATATAGCAATTGCATCATTTTCTCTCATAGAAAATATCTTTTTTTTATAAAAAATTCTGTAATATTCTATTTGTGCTTTTTTCTGTGTGTGTCCATCATTCTCATTCATATTCGATTATCAAAATTTGAAATTGTGATATCCTATCATTATCATCATTTATAATGTATTGGAATGATACAACATCAAGAATTGATTCCATTCTACAGGAAAAGGTGAGTGATTGGTTTATTTTTTGTTCGAAAATATGATGATGATTTTTACTTTTTAAAAAAAAAATTGTAATTTAGAATGTAAAATTGGAACATATTCTTGATGAAGATGATGTCTTACAAGAATGTATGGGCAATAATGTATCATTGATTCAATTGTAAGTTGTATAGATGTTATTGTTTTGATTGAATTGAATTGATTACATCATCAAATTGAATTTTCCTATTATTTATTTAGTCTAACGAAAGAAGAGACAATGATTCAAATGTTGTCCATGATGACCATTGATCCTGAATCTACTGATAATGAAATGGAAAATTATAAATATGCTAATACAATCTGTGAGATATTGACACATGATGGCAATGTATTCTCTAATCTTATCGCTACAAATCGAAAATATCTTTTGATTTTATGGTCATTTCTTGATGAATCATGTCGAAATGAAATTTCCGTTGAAAGTGAACAACAACAACAGCAGTCTGATGATAAATCAGCTGATACAAATATTGAAAATTTGACTATGGTAAATGAAACACAATCTATTGAAACAAATGAAAATGAAGATCATAAAACTGAAAAGGAAATCGTTGATGAAACGGAAACAAATATCATTGAAAATAATATGGTTGAAGAAAATGATAAAGAATTAGAATCGAAAGAAAAAGAAGATGAGAAACAAAAGCCATCGAAACAAACAAAGCCAGTTGATGGACGATCATTGAATCCATTATTAGCTAGTTTTTTCACCAAAGTATTCTCATACATGTTCATGCATGATATGGAACTTGTGTTAGAATTTCTTCTTACTCGTAATCCTCCAAACGATCTCGTAACGGTGATATTGAAACATATCCAAGCATCGGCAATCATGGATTTTATTTATAAAACATGGAAATATGTTAATGTTGATCAAATTGGTCAACAACAAGATGAAAATAAAGTGTCGATAGAGGCTACTACAACGATGATGATGACTAACACCGATACCAGTGACAATGATCAACAACAACAACAACAACAGCAGCAGCAACAACAAGAATCCTTGATTAATTTGAAATACAATAATGTAAGTTTATCATTAACCTTGTCGTTTATCTATGTAATATATCCATTTTTTTTTTCAAATAAATAGTTATTGATTGAAAATGGATTTGTCGATAAATTGATCGATATGTTTAAAAATCCAGAATTAGAATCTGAACAACAAAATGTTGCACAGCTTTTTTCCGATATGATACGTTTAAAACGTGAAGTGCTTATCAGTGCTAAACCCGTGCAACAAGAAGCGATGGCAAAATTTGATCTAGAATCGTAAGTACAATAGTATTCATTTTAATTTACTATTTATATGGATATTTATTGGAAAAAAAATTGTAAATTGGTTAAATGTAGGGAGGATCTTGTACGACGATTATTAAACAATATGTTTGAATGTCGAACAAAAAATTCGATCGTAAATGGATTGAAAATCATACAGGTGTTACTTCATTATAATCGTGAATAGTAAGTGATTGATATAATATTGTCATTTTACTAAAAAATTGTTCGTTTCATTTCTGGTCTTTAGTTTGAATATGGTTATACAACAAGAAGCTCAACTATCATCAATGATAACAGCATCGAAAAAATCTACCGATCTTATGAATGATGATGATGGGGGTGGTGGTGGTGGTGATGATGAACTAGAACAGATGCCAAAGTTTTTAAAACAACAAAGTTCACTTAATCTCAACAGAATGACAGAAAGAGTGCTGGAAAAAATTATGGATAATGTGCCGGAAGGAATTCAAAGTGAACATCTTACACAATGTGTTCGCAATTGTTCAAAAGCATTGATTGAACGTTTAGAGGATTTTGCGGCCATTCTCATCAATTCACCTCATTGTGAACCAATGAAAACAACAGCCGGCATTATTGAAAAACCGCTTGGATTCATACGTCTTGAAGTGGTACATTTATTTGTTGCCTTATTTGCAACATCAGATTATCAAATTATGCAAAAATGTTCACAATTAAATGTTTTGAAAATTTTAACCGTATGTATTGTTTTGTCTGTTTTTTTTTATTTTAACTTTTAATTGTTTTAATCAATTTTAGGATCATTTTTTTGCCTATCCATTAAATAATCAACTACATAAATATTATTGGCAAATCATTTGTTATATATTTCAAAATTATCATAATTATAAAATTATCTATGATAAACATCATCAATCATCATTGCCATCATCAAATAATAATAATAATATCGATCAAACAAATGATGAAAATTCAAAGAGTGATCAACAACCCATTAGCAATAATAATAATGATGATGATGATAATGAAAAAATATCCTATTTTCTAAATCGATTTGAAATATCAAAAAAATTGGTTGAACAAATTCTTAAAGATTGTCATTTGATTGAAAAAATTTTGGATAGTTTTGCCCATGAATCGATTCCTATCAAATCATATGAAATGCAGAATGGTGATGATGCTGATGGTAAAAATCAATGTCATGATAAAGTGGATGAAAAATCCGAATTAAATGATGACAACCCTTCAGCTATAGATGATGAGAAAAAAGAAAATATCGAAGATGTCGTTATGGAAGAACAGCAACAATCCGAAGAGAAAAAGTCGAATACTGATGAAGAAACGATAGTTTCAAAAAAGCCGAAACTCATATCAAGGCCTGGTTATCTTGGCCATTTACGTTTGATAGCTAACACATTGAAAGAGCGTTGTAACGACGATTTATTACGTGTATGTTCATTTGAAGAAATGCTACCACAATGGAAAGAATTTATTGAAGGTAAATTAGAAAAATTGAATAAATTGGTAACTACCGAACTGGTACCCGAATCTAAACGTAATCCAATGATTGAACAAATTCTTAGCGAGGTAAAAAAAAAATCTATTGTTTTGGCTACTATTTGATTGATAATTGATTATTATTTCTCCTCATCCATAAAGGAATCTGAATTTCTTGGCTATCAAAAAGAGGAATTTACAATGTCAAATATGATAAGAGAACCAAAACCATTGCCCGAATTCAGTAAACAAAATGTGGATATCAATGAAACTTTAAAGCTCAATGATAATATGATGATTAATGATATTGAAAAATTCTGGGTATGTATGTTTCATTTTTATTATATCACATTTTATGATATGATTACAATCGATATTACAATAGGAAAGTCCTAGTGAAGATTTTGAAAGTCTTGAAAAATATTTTGAATGTTCCACTAGAAGCCAGGAAGTGAATAAAAAACTTGCCAATCCCGAAGATATCGATGAGCCATGTGCTAATGATGATTCATTTAGTCCATCGACAGCCGATGATCAATGGCCAAAACGATCGGAATTTCTGGCTCAAGAATGTTTTGCTTCATTTGATTCGAACGAAACAACTCAGAAAGTGTCCGATGGAATTGGTCTCCGTAAGTTTCATTTTTGACTTGTAATAATGATATTATAAGGACAAATATGATGGATAAAAATGTTGGATCCTCAATTTGGATCAATTCCTGAATTTTAATATTTACAATGAAGGTTTCGCTAGATAGTATCTGATAGAATCTATTTGTTATTTACATTTTAAAAAACAAATTATTATTATCTATGTTGTCATAATAATCGTTTTTGTTGTATTTGTTTATTTCTGAAAATTTTCTTTAGAAAACCTGGAAGATTATTTCACCGACATTGATGTATTCAACAATTCGGCTACGATGAATATGAACAATACTATTGAACAACAGAATCCATGGGGACCAACTATTGATGGTTCATCATCGAATTCGAAAATTGTCAACGATGAAGGTTGGGCCAATTTTCTTAACGATCCATTTGCATCATCACCAATGGTTTCGATTATGAATCAGCAGCAACAATTTTCAAAAGAAACTGAGTCTACCGAACATGTCAATGATGATTTGGCAAATAAATCCAATAATATTGATGAAGAGGATTCATTTGTTGCAAATATAATATACGCTTCATCGCCTACTCGAAACAATGAAAATGATGATGAAAAAGGCAATCTGGAAATGGTTGCCAACAATTCTCAAACGAATGCTGAGGAAACAAACAATGATTTATCCGAAACACCCTAATCTATAGCCATTGAAAGATGATTTTTTCGCTTTTCATTTTTAAAAAAAACGATATCGTTCTTGTCTGAGCAACTACTATTTAATATTAGAAACAATTTGTACACACACACACACAGTGCCCTATGTATAGAATCTCCGTATATATTGGGAAAATCTTTGTCATTTACCATTGTGATCATCGTTCTTATTAATTGATACAAATTAAAACAAAAATAAACAAAATCAATTGGTCAAATTTTGTTCTGGGTAATTGGGTCATCATGGTCAGACTGACCATTGGAATGATCTGACTTGTTTCACAAATTGTTTATTTATATAAATTCTCGAATTCAAATTCGATTGATAACTGATAGACAAAACAAAGCTTGGTCAGATCATGATGTTAATGGATTTTTGTTAGGCAAATTTTCTTATAAAATTTGATGGCCATATGAAAATTCATGATAAACAATTGAATGTATTTGAATTTGGTTATGAAAAACATTCGGCCACAAGTGAAACCGAATTGATTGCTGGTCATCGTTTGTACGAATAGACATGATTTAAGTGAATGTCGTAAAGGCAATCTATTGTGGAATTTTTTTCTTTCCATACTCAACCATTGTGTTCGAGCAATCCAACGGTGAATCGATAGCCAACAAATTCGATTATATGATGGCATATGAGCTACACGGAAATAGAGGATGTTCACTAGAGAAAATGTTGACATGAATGCCAATGGGACAATTGTATTCTGTACATTCATTTTGGTTTGTTGACTAATGAATAATAAACAAATTACTACAGCAGATTTGGACAGTAATTCAATGAAGAATAAAACACTACGCGCTGTTAAATTGATTTTGGCCGTTTCGCTGTAAAGAGCTACATATTCGGAATGAAATTTATACCAAAACAATTTTCGTTCTCTGATTGAAGATTGAAATGGATTTTGTAATATTAAAGCCGATTTGCTGGATAATTGTTTAAGCCGGACAATAAAGAATTCCATGTTAAATACAATGAAACTTATGGACATGAATGCATCGCTAATCAAATAGATGCATTGAATAATGTATGAAAAAAACAATGTTGATGACAATATCAATTGAGTCAAAGTAATCTGATGGTATTTAAAGAAATCGAAAGAAAAATAGCTGAAAATGAATTGAATAGCCAACAATCCAATGATAAAACATCGAAGGAAAATAACAGCCATAAACTGTGATTTTCGAAAGAATTGAATTAGATAATTTCGGTATTGCGGTGCCAATTGTTGATCATCATATTGCCAATTATTGATGAAAAAATCATTCATCGATGATTTGTAGTGTATAACCTCGAGCAAAAAATGATACCATAAATAGTCATGTAGAATAAATACAATGATCATTTCGATTACTATGAAATCGTTTCTTTTGGATCCGATAATTTTGTCGAATGTATCAATACTGATAACGTAATCATTGTGTGGCCAAATAATCAAACAGACAAGAAATACGATAGAAATCCATCCATTCAATGTGATCCAAATGGCTGGTTTGATCGTTGAATATGTCCATGAAATTTTTCGTTGTTGATAATCAAACAGATCATAATTGATTCGTAAATTATAAAATTTAAATATTTCAAAACCACGCCGGATGCAAAACTTGATTTCGGCATTTTCAATGGATGGCTTAAATAAGTGAAAATTCATGTTGTTTTGTTATAGATTGCCAACCACAAAATAAATGTTATTTTATAAAAGTTTGATTCATATTCAATAAATACAGTCAAAAACAATGAAAATTCCATTTGTCAATTCCAAAGAAATGTTGTCCTTAATGATTTTTATGAAAATAAATAGATATATAATAATAAATATATTTGCTTCTACTAAAAGAAACGGTGAAAAGCTTATGTTGTGCCATAATCACTCGATTAATTGATTCATCGATCAATACAGTTATCATCTATTTTTAAATTTTTGTAATTTATCATTACATGGTAATCAGCTAAAAGAGGTGGTTCTCGAATTTTCAAGGCAGAAAAAAATAATGTTTATACAACACTATAAAATCCATTATTGTTTAAACCATTATCATAAATTGATCAATATTCAAATATCATTTATATTGTTCTTTATTTTGACTACGCTACTGTCATTTGAAAATTACGGTACTGACATTATTATGATATGTCATTAATAAAAAGAAAACTAGATTTTCAAAATTTTTGAGAAACCATTAATAATAATAAGAAAGTCTATAATAATAAAGTTAAATTTGAAAAATTCAAAGAAAATAAAGCAAATCAATATTGTATATATGAATATTGGACACACATCAAGTTGGATGGAAATAGAATCAACATAAACATATGACATGGTGTTAAATGAGTTTTTTTCAGACAAATTTTCTTATAGAATTTGATAGCCATGTGGAAATTCATGATGAACATTTGAATGTATTTGAATTTGCTAATGAAAAACATTCGACCACAAGTGAAACCGAATAGATTATTGGTCATCGTCTGTATGAATAAAGACATGATTTCAGTGAATATCGAAATGGCAATCTATTTTGGATTTTATTCCGTTGCATTCTCAACCATTGTGATCGAGCAATCCAACGATGAATCGATTGCCAACAAATTCGATTATATGATGGCATATGAGCTACACGGAAATAGAGGATGTTCACTAGAGAAAATGTTGACATGAATGCCAATGCGACAATTGTATTCTGTGCATTCATCTTGGTTTGTTGACTAATGAATAATAAACAAATTACCACAGAAGATTTGGACAATAATTCAATAAAGAATAAAATACTTCGCGCTGTTGAATTGATTTTGGCTGTTTCGCTGTAAAGAGCTACATATTCGAAATGAAATTTATACCAAAACAATTTTCGTGGATTTTGTAATAATAAAGCCGATTTGCTGGATAATTGTTTAAGCCGGACAATAAAGAATTCCATGATAAATACAGTGAAACTTATGGACATGAATGCATCGCTAATCAAATAGATGCATTGAATAATGTATGAGAAAAACAATGTTGATGACAATATCAATTGAGTCAAATTAATCTGATGGCATTCAAAGAGATCAAAGAAAAATAGCTGAAAATGAATTGAATAGCCAACAATCCAATGATAAAACATCGAAGAGAAATGTCTGCCATAAACTGTGAGTTTCGAAAGAATTGAATTAGATAATTTCGGTGTTGCGGTGCCAATTGTTGATCGTCATATTGCCAGTTATTGATGAAAAAATCATTCATCGATGATTTGTAGTGTATAACCTCGAGCAAAAAATGATACCATAAATAGTCATGTAGAATAAATACAATGATCATTTCGATTACTATGAAATCGTTTCTCTGGGATCCGATAATTTTGTCGAATGTATCTATACTCATCACGTAATCATTGTGTGGCCAAATAATCAAACAGGAAAGATAAACGATGGAAATCCATCCATTCAATGTGATCCAAATGGCTGGTTTGATCGTTGAATATGTCCATGAAATTTTTCGTTGTTGATAATCAAACAGATCATAATTGATTCGTAAATTATAAAATTTAATTATTTCAAAACCATGGCGGAAGAAAAATTTAATTTCTGCTTTCTGATCGGATCGTCGGAATAATTTGACATTCATGTTGTTTTGTTATAGGTTGCCAACCACAAAATAAATGTTATGTTATAAAAGTTTGATTCATATTCAACACAACACACAGTCACAAAAACTTGACAAAAATTCCAAAGAAGTGTTGTCCTTGGTGATTTTTATTATGAAAATAAATTGATATAATATATATTTGCCTGTACTAAAAGAAACGATGAAAAGCATATTGTTGGGTTCTATTAATCACTCGATTAATTGATTCATCGATCACAATACAATTAAAATTGTCATTTATTTTTAAATTTTTGTAATTTATTATTCGATGATTATTCTCGATGAATTTTCAAGGAGTAAAAAAAAAACTTGTGTGTTTCATGGCACACAGCCATTTGGAAACTAAAAGACTTGTTTTTTGTTATGTACCTTTTTTCATGGATCCAATGTGAACATGTTCAAAGTGTTGTGTAATCATTAAATCAATTAATTAGTTTTCAATTCCACACAAAGTTTTCTGTTTTCGATTCATATTTTGCATTTGTAAAAAAAAAAAAAATAGTAAAACAAAAAAACAAAATTTCAAAATATGTTGTCATGAGTGATTTCGATGGTAAACAGCAATAACTTTATATATATATATATAACTGGCCCCATTAGATTAGAAAGAAAAAAAAACCTCAAGTCAAGTCTAGATGTTCATGTTCATATATTAATAATCGATTATGTCTGAGTTTTTTCTTTGTCGCTCTCTCTGTCTCTCTACGAAACAAATCAATCAATATATTGATAATCAATTAATCGATTGGTAGGAAAAAATTTTTTTTGTTGTTGTTGTTTTTGTTATTACCATTGTTTTTCGTTCGCAATCTATCGTTTATTTTTTTTTGGATTTTTTAAAAAACAACGTCTGAGAAAAGACGTTCAATAATGTGGCTCCACTACGACAACAACAACAACAACAACAAAAATAAACATCACACACACACAAACACAGAGAGTTAAATGTTATAACGAACAAAATGTCGAGACTTTATACAAACAAACAAACAAACAACAACAACAACAACAACTGACTTGGCTATGTGATATTTTAATTCATAAAAAAAATTGTGTTTATCCAATCATCACACAAACTATCTGATCATAGGAATGAATGAATGAATGAATGAGTGGATGGATGGATGGATTATCAATAAAATTGTGTCTAACGGCATTGTGATATTTGTGTGACAAGAAGCGAAAAGAAAAAAAAAATGATACAAAGTCGCCTAAATTTTTCTGTTTCCCATCGTTTTTATAATTTTAACAATTTTTTTTCTTCTTTTTTTGTTGTTGTTGATACAATCAACACAATCGTTGTTGAACCATACACAACCTGGCAAATGATTATGCTGATGATGATGATGTTGATGATCAGAGGATAATAACCGCAGATTTGGAAATTTTTTTCTTTTTTTTTTTTTTGGCCACTTTTTGTTGTTGTTCCTGGTTTCTCACACACAAACCAATTTATCGATAGCTCTTTCAACAGACCAATAGATAATAAAAAAAAAGACGATCGATCGAAATGGATTTTGCAAAAAAGGAGAAAAAAAATTTATTTTTATTATCATCAATTATAATTGATACGATTGGGAATTAAAGAAAGAAAAAAGGTAAACAAAATGATTGAATCGAATTGGGGGAAAAAATTGATTAGAAGAAAAAGTAATAGTGTGAATCTCATCTTACAATTTGAAAATGATGACGATCATGTGTGTGTGTGTATGATTTAAAAATTGAAAACAGTGAAATTAATTAAAAAAAAATGGTGAAAAGCGAAAAGCGAGAAAAAAAAGTCCTGAGTTTAGCTTGAAAATTCATTCGATTACATTGAAAAAAAAATTATAATAGAAACATTCTGTGTGTGTGTGTGTGGGTGATTGGTGGACAACGTCCAAAAAAAAAAATTTATGGAATTATCGAATTGATTCAATTGGATTGATTGTTTTTAAAACAACAACAACAACAACAACAAAAAACAATAGAAGAATGACATCTATACCGGTATATTGAGGGGTGTGTGTGTGTGTGTAGGTGTGTGTGCAGTACAATAATAATGATATATATAATAATAAAAAATAGAAATTTCTTCAATCAATTATTTAACGAACAATAATTTTACAAAATTTAAATTGTGTTTGTAAGTGTGTGTGTGTGTAAGTTGTTGTTCATATATATATATATTAATTAATTATTTAATCAATAAATGACAGAGAGAAAGAGAGAGACTAGTGTAATGGATGAAAGAATAAAAAATCAATCAATCAATCAATCAATAATGCAGAATAATAATCAATCTAAATATTGGATATTTTTTTTCAATATAAAAAAAAATAACAAAACAAGTTTTTCATATTTTTTGCTTTGCAATATTTTGTTTGTCTATCTATATTATATATATATTAAATATATGGTTTGAGATGTGATGTGTGATTGGTTTTTGTGGTTGTTGTTGTTGTTGTTGTGGTTGTTGTTGTTGTTGTAGAGCTAGATATAATGTTTTTTAACGAAACGTAAACGTTTCTGAAATTGAAAAAAAAGAATCAAGTCACGGTTTAAATATGAATTGTTGAACGACGAAATGAAAAAAATTCATTGATTTGAGACACAAAAAAAAAACAAACAAACAAGCAGAAATTGGTAATTGTATCGATAAAACAGAATGAAAACGATAATTTCATGTGTGTGTGTGTGTGCACTTTGCTGAGCAAATTTTTTTTTTCTTCTTGTGGAAATGTAGAATAATTTTTTGTTTGTTTGTTTCAGATTCTTGGAACAATGATTTGACAAGTATCGATTTTTGAATTTTTTTTTTAAGAAAAAAATTTGTTGGTTTTATGACTGGTGATGATAACTGATGTGTAGTACCAGAGCTTTGATTCTGTGTGTGATTGATGATGATTTGTTTAAGTGCATTTTATGCCGAATTTAAAAAAAGAGATACAAGCTTCTATGAGACAAAAAAGTTTTGGTTTTCTTTCAATTGTTTCCTCTGTGTGTGTGTGTGTGTGTTCAGCCAAAATGAATTAAAAATATCACAAATTCTGTACGGTTTGTGTGGATGTGTGTGTATGTGTTATAAAGTGAAGATTTTGAATTGAATAAACAACACATGGTTATAATTTACAGCTAACTAAATGTTTTTTTTTTACTTTTTTCTTATTTTTTTTTGGTAATCAGTAATAATTAGAAATATAAATCTTCACCTAATCCTTCATCATGATCATCATTATTATGATGATTACCATCGATATCAATATCGATATCTATGGTTAATTGTGAAAGATGGCTAGAACGATCAATGATATTTGTGGATGATGATGATGATGATGGTGGCCTATTCTCTTGATCTACTTTATCATCATCATCATCATCATCATCTTCAGCTTCATTATTATCATCATCATCATCTTCATCATCAGCATTAACATTGATCAATGATGGCTGTTCTGGAATGAAAATTGGTATATTTTCACGATCTTCATGTTCCAGATAGCTAAGCAGATCGGTTAACGAAGGTTGTGTTTTAAGGCTAAGATCATCTAACCATGTGGCAGTCGTCATTTGACCAGTAGGACCACCATTGGTTGTATCATGTAATAAAGAATATGACCGTTGATGATTATTATGGGGAATGTAACGATTCTCCTGTTGATTGACCTGTTGTTGTTGTTGTTGCTGTTGCTGTTGTCGATTGAGAAGCAATTGTTTTGCACTAGATACCTGGGCGAATGTAGTATGAATATAATTCTGATTGTTATTGGGAGTGGCTGCTGTGGAAGTCGTGTTATTATTAACCGTGGAATGCTGATGATAATGGTTTTGATAGCAATGAGCATTCATCAATGTTGTCGGTAAATTCGTATCGATCGATATTGTCATGGCTGTGGCTGTGGCTGTAGTAGGCGGTGTGGGAACAATATTCGTATTATTATTGTTGATATGATTTGATGATGATCGGCTAGTAATTTCCGGTGATACCGTAGCTATCGTATCGTCAACATTGTTAGTCATTGAATTTCGATCCATTGTCATTGATTCATTTCGGATCAAATTATCGATTTGTTTTGCATAGTTTTCAATACAATGCTAAAAAAAAAGATTGTGGGAAAAAATATATTGAATACAATGATTATTTTATTGATCAAGTGAAAATAAAATAATTTTTTTTTCATGCAAAAAAAAATGCTTACCGAATCGATTCCAAGCTGTTTTTCTACAGCCAATAAGAATTGTTCATATAAATTATTAGGGATTATTGTTGTTGTTGAATTTTGTTGGTCGTTAGCCTGTTGTACTGTTGTGTGTCGTCGGCTATTATTGCTGTTGCTGTTGTTTGTGGCGGTGGTGGCGGTGGTGGTAATCATATAATTTGTTGTTGATATTGGCTGTTCCGGCGTCATCATCATCATCATCGTATTCGTCTTTGTAGTCATGTCGGTCGATGATTGTGATGTTGTTGTCGTTCTATTTCGATTAATGTCGAGACCTTGTAATGCTGTGGCCACACATGCAGATGCAATCACCGATGGTTCAACAGATACAAATGTAATATCTTTATAAAAAAAAATGAAACAAAAAAAAATAAAATAAAGAATATATATATGAATGAAATGAAATGAATAAGTTAAATGGCAAAGTCACGAGATCCTATGTTTAGACTGTATATATTGATGATAGTGAATATATTGATATTTACATACACACACACACACACAATGTCTATTTCTCTATCTATATGGGCCGATATTTCAATGTCACGCTCTCGCGCGTATGGTCGTCGTCGAATTCGGTTTGTCCATTTACACACATATGATACTATCATCATGTGTTAATGAAAGTGAAATTTTTTTTCTTTGAATCAATCAATCAAATAGATAATTACATGCATATATAAAAAATACGGATCAAAAACGGAACCATGGAACATTTGTTTTTTAGCTCAAATCAAAGTAACAAAGTAATTTTCACCAATTTTTCACCATCATCATCATCATTATCATTACAAATAAAACCCTTTTTTGCCATATATTAATTAAAACAAACAAATCAACGGAAGAAAACGAGGTCAAGTTCTGATTTTTATTATAATAATGTTCTTGGCCAGACAAAAAATGATTATTATTAATATTAACCTAGATTCTTGATGTCATCAGAAAAAATTAAATTAAATTAATTATAAATTGATTGTTTTATGATCATTTTTTTTGAATGTCCTAATTAATTGAACATTTATCAATCAAATGCCAAATCAGCCGATCAACACACACACACACACACATACACAATATGAATCATATGATCTAGATGTGATGGACATTTAAATCGACCTTCAAGAAATGAAAACATAAATTGTTAATAGTTGAATTGTTCAATACATTTTAGTGGTGGGAAAACTACGACAACGACGACGACGACCCGGGACATTTAAATCTGGAACAGCATATATAATACACACACACAGTGAACAAAAATTTATTTATTTTTCTTTTTACATAACCTTTTGTCTGATGAAAAAGGTGGAAATATCACATACTACAGAGTTCCAAAACAACACTAAACCTTAGTGTGAACAAAGAGAAAAAAAGGAAATACTAGATTTTCGTTTTGAGAAAAAGCGAGGGAAATTTTTTTTTATCTGCATTTTCGCGCCCATCTGTTCCTGTTTCATTCGCGTTTGTTTGTTTGTTCTATATATGGATAAGGTTATCCGGTACATTGATTGTCAAAATGGTGATGAAATTTTTTTTTTTGGCATATACCCGAATTAAAAGATACCGATACCTATTGATAAATAGGTGTAGCCTGTCAAATACCACCACGACCACCAAACAATAGATTGGCGGGAACATCTGCGCGCGTTTTTTTCTTCTCAATTGATTGAAACAATTTCCGTTGGTTTTTAAATCACACAAAAAAACAACAACAATAGATTTGTAAAATGATAAAAGTTCAAGATGGCGTCAGAGAAAAAAAAAGTTTTGAATCAATCGAAATAAAGAAAAGAGAGAGAAAATGTCGTTTACATTTGACCACAGATGGCATTCAAAGAAATTTTTTTTTTCAAACCAAAATAGATTGTTGCATAGTCGAGTCCAATTACCTTTCTCTCCCTCTCTCTCTCTCTCTCTCTCTCTCTCTCTCTCTCTCTCTGGTCTAGGACCAGTCTCACCTGCTTGGATTTTTTTTCTACCTCAATCAAGCTACTGGCATTTTTTCAAGCGAAAAAAAAATCGACATAAGCCAATAGGATCTAGTAGACAAAAAAAATGATTGATCAATTTATATGAATGGCTGCTTGTGAATCACCCACCATATTCCGGCATGATTAAACATGGAAAGGATCAAGATTATTATCATCATCTAATTTAACATTGTGTAACAATAATGAAAAAGTCTAGGTCCATCCACCCACCCACACACACATACTGGATTTATTTGTTATCCTCTGATCAAATCGATATATAAATAATAAGTTCAACAGGAAAAAAATAACTAAATCAAATTATTATACTACTATACACGAATCGAGATATCAACAGCAGCAGCTGTTTGGACAATAGTCAATCAACAGTAGTAGAAGTAGTAGTCGAATTAATAAAATTATATCAACACATCCAACGATGATGATGATGATAATTTGGTAAAATACAAAAAAAAAAACAACTATTAAACCTAACCAGGAAAAAAGGTGTTGAAAAACAGTAGTAAGACCCAATTTCATACTCACACACACACGCACACGAATAAATGGACCAGACACACACACACACAGGATGCAAGTCCAAAGATAATTTTTTCTTTTTTATTTAATCATTTAATGTATGGTGGACCTAGTCAACGAAAAAAAGCTAGACCTAATTAAACTGGTAACAAGCCTTAAAAAATACAAAACCAACCAAATACAAATCAACAGGGAAAAAATTAATGATCAACATTTGGAAATGTGGCCGTCATCATCGTACTGTGGTGGTCAATAAATTATTAGATGTCATCATTATTTTTGAGGTAATTATATGGACAACGGATATTCCAATGAAATCCGGACCACATCAATTAGTTTGGAAAATGTTTTACATGTGTGTGTGTGTACTATATGGACATCAAATGATCATCATCAATGTAAATCTGTCTCTGTGTGTGTGTCACATTAATGGTTGAATATCATTTCGAAGAATGCAGAAAATAAAAAAAACCCAAATCACCAGCTGTATATAAATGATGTTCGAAATTGATTGAACTAGTTTTTTTTTCTTTCTAAAAAAAAGTTTGTCATTACAATCAAATAGTATGTGGTGGATTATATTAGTATTTGTATCCTTCAAATGACCCATTGAGTTTTACGATGAAAATTTAATGAATGAAAAGCAAAAAAAAAAAAAAAAAAAAATACCAATGACAAGCCTAGTATACAACTACAACTAACAGTCGACAACGACTGGTAGTAATGGGGTGGACAGAAAAATTTTTCTATTTTGTTACACTTTCCCCTCTTTATATATTTCTTAAAAAAATCAATCGAAATATGTTGTTTCTATTGAAACTGTGAAATCATTCAACTGTAACACTGGCATGTAGAAGAAGAAAAGATCGAAATCTATTGGTAAAGAAAATAGCATCTCATCTCATCTAATCAACAACAACAACAACAAAAACAAAAAACAAAAAACATGTGTGTGTGTGTGTGCAGACATTTGGGCGCCGGAAATGTATTATTACACAATAGTAGACTTGATCACGTATCCTTTTCAATCGATCTCAGCAACAACGAAAAAAAATTCAGGATCTCCCCTCATCATCATCATTCATTCATTCATTCACGAAAATTTTTTCTATTTTTTTTTTTGCCAGACAAAACAAAAGCATTGTTATTATTATCGGCACGAATACAGTCTCGTTACGGTATTTTTCCTTTTCTGAAAAAAATGATATTTAGGTCAAGACCATTGTGTGTGTGTGTGTGTAAGTGTTAATACTTGGGTCCAACGACCAACAACACCAAAGATGGATTATGATCCAAAGAAAATACACACACACACACACACACACACAAATTTGATGTTCGATACAATCACATGATGCTCACATCCACACACTAGTTGATTATGTAAAAAAAATAAACCTTAAGCTCATCATCATTGAATGTTTTTTTTTTTACTTCGTTTGTTTCTCTAGGTCATAGGTCAGCAATGCAATAACCGTTATACTAAAAATGACTATTATTGTTTGAATGAATGTTGTTCTAGTAGCCACGTGCTGGACACCTTTTTTTAAGAGAAAAGATTATTATTGTTTAAATGAGTGATAGTTTGATGACCTATCACATAGGCACACACACACACACACACACACAAGACCTTAGATTTGAATTTGATTTTATAGATAGACAGATGAATCCAAGGTAAATCTCAGAGTTTGGTTCCCCTGTCATTAATGTGTGTGTTTTTGAGCAGATGAAATAGTAGTGTTGTCATTACGCACACACACACACACATACACACACACATAGAAAGGTCAAATCCAGACATACAGTCATAAAAAGTCCAAAAGACCTAGCTTCATATAGAAAACGAGCGATTCATTTTATCATCATCATCATCATAACCGATTGTTAAATATCAGCACAACAAAAAAAACGGTCTTGTTGTTGTTATTTGAATGTTAGACAAACAAATCAATTGTTATATTTAAAGCTAAGAGTTTTTTTTTTTTTCGGTTCTCGTTATAAACCACACACATACACACACAGAAGAGAGAGAGAGAGAGAGACAGATAGAAACATGAAGAATGAAAACCAAGCCAATGTAAACATCAAAAACCATAACCTATGATGATGATGATGTAAACACATATTTTTCACAACGTTTTTCATTGAATCAATCTTTGCATGAAAAAAACACACACACACAAATCGGTGGTTTTCATTGTCCATGGAGAAACAGAAAAAAAAAGATGAGCCATATGAAAAATGACAATATTCGATATTATTCAGGTATAATCAAAGAAAAAAGTTAGGTCATTATAGATTTTCAGACATTTTTCCTGATGATTTTTTTTCTAGTGATGATGATTGGTTGCCATGCTGCCATACAAAAAAAAATTATCAAAATCAAATTGGTTACAAAAGCAAAAAAAAGCTAGCATTGGATATTATTTTTTTTGTTCTGGGCAATAATAATAATAATCATGATTATTATGGCTAACCAAACGCCACACAGGTAAAAATGAAGATCTGGATATAATGAATGAATTGTATAAATGAAATAGACATAATCATCATCATCGTACATAAGCCTTTGACCTCCTAAATGATTCACGCGAATACAATATTTTTTTCAATTGTGCTTAATAATAATCAAATATATAAATGTGTTCATCGTTCAGGTCAACCATGGTCAATTTGCATGCTCGTGTGTGTGTGTGCTGGTGTGCTAGTGTATGCGGCGTGTGACCCATGGGTACAAATTGACCTAAGGCTGAATAAAGGTATTATAGATTTATACTGAGATTTAGCTACACATACGACTCAATTATCCAGAAAAATTTCAGCTCAAT